ATCTACAATTTCCCTATGTATTTTTATAGCAAGTATATTTATTTGCCCCAGTCACATCACAATTATTTGAACTTTTAATTGACAAAATGCATTTATAATTTGACCATTCACATTATTAATTAGGAAGGTCAATCTATGAGCAGGCCTTTTATGATACAAATCCTTTTGAATCAAAATAATTGCATGGAACATAAGTATAAGCAGTTATGCATCTATCTAAATCAAATGAAAAAAAACAAGAAGAGTGAATATTTTCTCTACAGGCTCTAATATTTTAATTCTGATCACAAGTAGTTATATCTGCCAATTCATCTAATGACATTGTGACACATTTTAATAGTTTTTTATCCCACCTACAATAATTATTTTCAGTAAATCTTAAGCATATATTAGAATTTCCTTGAACATCTTCACATCGTGCATAATAGGGAGGTGAAGTTGAATAATTTTTACTAATACAACGATGATTTTAAGGATCGTATTCAAAATATTTTTCTATATTGAAAATTGTTGAAGATGCTTCAATTGCCAAACAAGCAAAACGATTTAAAATAGAAGGTTCTTCTGTAAAAATTTTAAAATTCCTATAGTTTTCAAAATTGATGTTAACGCATGAATTACCATTAAAATAACATCTTTAAGTAGTCGACCATTCAATCATATGACATGAGTTTTTACCCATTTATGAACACTTAAATCCATTGACTTCATTAGCATTAAAAAATTGTTTAACAGCTTCTACGTTTGTGATATCAACCTAATCTGATGTCAATTCTTTACACCTACCATTATCAAAGTAACAATAACCACTAGCTTTTCGAGTTAAAAAACTGCATGAATGTTAATTTATTCCATTGAATTTACTCTCAGTACAACAATTTGTTTCACAGACTTCACTTCCAACTAAAACTTTGCAAGAGAAATTATTTGGGTTATATTAACAATAGCCAATTTTAAATTTTTCATTAGGAGGTATTTAATCTGGATTATCCATGACTACTTATGCGCATACACTACTATTGACGTTTTTAAAATCTGTGCATTTTTAATTTATGCTCACACTGACTTCTCCACATTTATATAATGATTCTTTCCATTAACATAATTATCCTGGCTTTGATATTAATTTACATATCTTTTCTGTAGGAGAATTTTTAATGCATTCTAAAGAATCCAAACTGCTAACCAATATTTCATCATTATTTGAATTAGTATTTTAAGAAGTATTTTCAGTTGAAGTTTAAGATTTAAAGAGTTGACATTCTTGTGTAGCTTGATTGAAGTAACATTAATCTTCTAATTAAGCACAAGCATCTGCATTCAAGCCAGGTTCATCACATCTCATTTATTATTTAACAGAATTGATACATCCTTTAGCAGATAATTTATATCTACAAGGTTCCGATTTAAATTAAATCATAGCACAGCTCTTAGAATTTGAATATATCATTTCTTAACATGAAACATCTGATAGTTCTTTAGGGTTAAAAATCTTAACACATTCGTTTTGATACCATCTACAAGCTGTCCCTGGTTTGATTATACTAGCACAAAGTATCCTATTCAATCCTAATAATTTATTTTCACAATCCAATTAAACTAATAATGCAGTTTGATTATCTAACTAATCTACTTTTTAACATTTTTGATTAGATTTATCATAATAACAACCAGATAATTAGTTTTCTATTACTTGCGAACAGGAATTAGGATTTGCATAGCCTAAGCTTTCGCAAGTTGTTTAATATGGTAAAATGTCTATATATATGCATCCATCAATTGTCCATTAACAAGTTTATTTTTATTTTGTTATATTTAAGCAACCAAGAAAATTTAAATAAGAAGTATTACAATTATCTTCTGGAGAACTTGGAACACATAATTTNGAGGATGCTTCAATTGCCAAACAAGCAAAACGATTTAAAATAGAAGGTTCTTCTGTAAAAATTTAAAAATTCTTATAGTTTTCAAAATTGATGTTAACGCATGAATTACCATTAAAATAACATCTTTAAGTAGTCGACCATTCAATCATATGACATGAGTTTTTACCCATTTATGAACACTTAAATCCATTGACTTCATTAGCATTAAAAAATTGTTTAACAGCTTCTACGTTTGTGATATCAACCTAATCTGATGTCAATTCTTTACACCTACCATTATCAAAGTAACAATAACCACTAGCTTTTCGAGTTAAAAAACTGCATGAATGTTAATTTATTCCATTGAATTTACTCTCAGTACAACAATTTGTTTCACAGACTTCACTTCCAACTAAAACTTTGCAAGAGAAATTATTTGGGTTATATTAACAATAGCCAATTTTAAATTTTTCATTAGGAGGTATTTAATCTGGATTATCCATGACTACTTATGCGCATACACTACTATTGACGTTTTTAAAATCTGTGCATTTTTAATTTATGCTCACACTGACTTCTCCACATTTATATAATGATTCTTTCCATTAACATAATTATCCTGGCTTTGATATTAATTTACATATCTTTTCTGTAGGAGAATTTTTAATGCATTCTAAAGAATCCAAACTGCTAACCAATATTTCATCATTATTTGAATTAGTATTTTAAGAAGTATTTTCAGTTGAAGTTTAAGATTTAAAGAGTTGACATTCTTGTGTAGCTTGATTGAAGTAACATTAATCTTCTAATTAAGCACAAGCATCTGCATTCAAGCCAGGTTCATCACATCTCATTTATTATTTAACAGAATTGATACATCCTTTAGCAGATAATTTATATCTACAAGGTTCCGATTTAAATTAAATCATAGCACAGCTCTTAGAATTTGAATATATCATTTCTTAACATGAAACATCTGATAGTTCTTTAGGGTTAAAAATCTTAACACATTCGTTTTGATACCATCTACAAGCTGTCCCTGGTTTGATTATACTAGCACAAAGTATCCTATTCAATCCTAATAATTTATTTTCACAATCCAATTAAACTAATAATGCAGTTTGATTATCTAACTAATCTACTTTTTAACATTTTTGATTAGATTTATCATAATAACAACCAGATAATTAGTTTTCTATTACTTGCGAACAGGAATTAGGATTTGCATAGCCTAAGCTTTCGCAAGTTGTTTAATATGGTAAAATGTCTATATATATGCATCCATCAATTGTCCATTAACAAGTTTATTTTTATTTTGTTATATTTAAGCAACCAAGAAAATTTAAATAAGAAGTATTACAATTATCTTCTGGAGAACTTGGAACACATAATTTAGAAATACTATCATATTTACAAGCTGCATTCTTATTTGATATATTTTGGCAATAGAGGCCATTATATTTAAAATTTTGATTATCTTTAACTTAACAATTCACGACTTGATTTAAAAAAACTCTTTAGCAATTTATTCCATCCCATTAACAATATTAAAATGATGTTTTTATATTGGTGCACGCCTCTTCATTTAATAACATATCACAACCAAATGTATTTAAATCCTCTTCTGATAAACTCTCACAAAACCCTCTATAAAAAGTGCAATTAGTATTTTTTATCTGTAGACATGCCTTTTTACTTAATCCAATTGTAGAACAAGATAAATTATTTAACTAAGATCGTGTTACTTCCTCGCAACTTTAGGTTTCAATATTATATGAGCAGATACCATCATAATTTTCACATACTAAATAATTTACATTAACTATTTAATTGCATTCTTAGTTCTAATTTTAAAATATTCTACAACCTTCCACTGTCCATTCACATTAAAGACTATAGATTTTCGAAGAAAGGCAGGCTTGCTTGTTCAAAATATAATCACAAGAATCTATTAGGCTTACATCTGTAAATTTACACTGATTATCCTTAAATATACCTTACGCTATGATTTATAAATACAAGTTTGATCTTTAGTGGTGATTGAAATGCATCCATTTTTATTTAAGCCTTTATGAGAGCATTCGATTTCTGAAAGCTGGTTTTCTGATAATGTTATGCACTAGTAATCCTGTTAGATTCCTCCATGAAAACCTAGTTTATTGTTGAATTTACATCGAAGATTTTTAATTTTTGCACACATCTGAAAAGTTACAGATTGATTATAGTATGATTCACAAGTATTATCTTCATTATTTTAATCCAAATTTTCAATTGGATATTATTTACATTCTCCTTACCATATGCAATCTTAATTCACTACATTAAGACAAGAAAACTTAGAGAAATTGGGATCACATCCTAAAGTTTTTAAATTTAGATTTGTAGCTTTAACACATTGATTTTAAAATAAACCTAAGCAATATTATTCAATAACATACATCTAGCTTCATTGTTTTGTTTATTTAACAATTGCGCTACGCAAGCATTTCTGTTTAAATTATTTATACAGCCATAATCAGAATCCTAAAATTCAATGCACTTTGTTTCCAAATAATTGTATTAACCTAAAATAAGGACTTTATTTACAAAAGGCGTCTAAAGTTTATTAAATGCATTAAATTGGGCTGAATGGATATAAGCTACAAATATTGCTAGCCAAGCAATAAGAGAGCAGAAAATAAATGAACAAATTCTATTTAAACATTGTATCAATAAATAATTAATATCTTTTTTTTGATTATATTCACATATTTATAATTGGTATTTATAAATATATAAAAATAATTTATATTATTGGGCTTAATTCGAAATGAATGAAAATATCACTTTAGTAAAAATATCTATAAATTGAAAATTTAGAATTTGAATTTATCTACATTAGAGGATAAAATTTAGCAATTATTCAATTTTGATAAAGCATAACCTAGATAACATCGAAAATCAGAATGAGTTCCACAAATATATTGTGAATACTTCAATTTTAATGTCATAAATACATTATTTTTTTTTTTAACATTAAATATATATATAAAAGAATAGTATAATGATAAAATAAGGGAATACTAGATAATTAAAATTTAATATAATAAAAATAAAAAATTAATAAGGAAAAAATATTCAAAGCAAAATCGAATTATGAATTATCATAACTTTATTTTATAGCTTCTCCATGTTAGAATAATCTCTGTCAAAAACTCACACACTTTCTAAAGTGGATCTAAATTATTCTTTAGCTTAATATATTGGAGTAAATTTAATTCTTTTGGTGAAAATTACACTTCTCAACTGCTATTTGTTCTAGGTATTGATCATAAGTATCTATAGCAAATGATGTGAATTTTACAGCTTCCTTTTTTAATGATTCAGTCAACATTAAAGCTGATACCGCTCAAATACATGTAATAAGTGATCTTGAAATGGTTGCATTTTATAAATTAATATATAAAATTTAATGAGCATTCTCAAAATTGTTGATGAGTATCAAATTAGATGAATAATTGATTGATTGTCACTGGTTCTATTATCGAATATAAAGAGATAAGAAATATGTTTGCATGATGACAGTGAATTTTGAGAATTGTGATTATTGATAATTAAATATTATAATAACAATCTATTTTAATGAGCAAGTTAAACTATGTATTTAAGCCATTGTTTATTGACACCTTTGAGTATAGTTACATGGATGGCAAAACAGAGAAATCATTCACAATAAAAAAAAAACTAGAAACGAAAAATGGAAAAGGAAAAATGTAATAAAGTGAGCCGCTTGCCCAATTTAAGGTATTTTGTCTTAGAATAAAATAAAGAACGATACAATGAAATAAAGCAATAATAGAGCGTAAACCAGTAGGTGGCTAAGGTAATCTTCTTTTGCAAAAAATTCAACAATATATTCCAATACACCAATAAATAATTGTATAAGAAAAACCGAAAGTAGAATGGAAGATGAAATTATAATATCAAACAGCAGGAACACTTCTGAAAAAAGAAATATCAACGTTCCACCATTAAATTACGTTGATTTTAATGTACACGTTCTATATAACCATAGTATAATAGATTTCAGTGATGAATGGAGAAGGGAGCTATTCATTTTATAAAGCTTTGAAGCTAATAAACAAAGATAACCTATTAATGAGAAAGAAAAAGAAGTCTGTTTAAAACTCAAAAACTGTTTCAACTTAAGAGAATGAAATAACTTAATTTGAACAATTAGAGAATTAGCACCCTTAAGATATTATGGAAAAAATAAGTAAAATGCTTGCTATCAATGAAAGATATACTCCAGTTAGAAAACAAAGTAGAGTAAGGGAGGCTTTTACAAGGAATTTAAAATTTTTAGATTAATCATTTTAAGAATCGACGTCACCGGATAAAAAATTATAATCCGTCATTTAAATTTATTTTGATAAAAAAAAGGCATATGAAGAAGAATAAAATAAATAATAAGAAATCACCATAACTTAGCTTTCGGAGTAAACGAAGCCAAATAAAAGCAATAACAGAATGAGAATATCTACTACTTTTTTAAAATAATTGGTTCATTAAGTAGATGAAGAATCAAAACAAAAGTAAATTAAATCTTAAAACAACAATTTTTAATCACTTAAATCATCCTAACTCAAAGATAAAATTAAAAAAAAATAAAATGCCATATTTAGTATCCAAGTCAGATTAATATTTCAAAAGATGTTTAATTAGATTCTGAATTGCGTTAGAAAAATGAAATTAATGAAATTAACAATAAAAGAAATATTTCAAAATGGAGTCATTTAAAAGAAGGCATATGAAAGAGAAGGCTCATTCTAATTTTTTGAGGGAATAGAAGATGATAATTTATAACTTATCAATTTTATGCTCTTAAAATGTAGATATTATGCATTCGACATAAACGAAGAAGGAAAGACATCTTTACATATAAGTTCGAAAAAAGGATTCTCCTAAGTAACAGAAAGATTGCTTTAATCAGGGGCCTACGTTGATTCTGTCGACAAGGATGGCAAAACTCCATTATATTATGCTATATAATCTTAGTAAAAGCAGACAGTGTTGCTTCTATTATATTATAAAGCCAATCCATGGTCCATTAAAAATTGTAAGTATCAATGCAGTAATACAGATATTATGCATCTGATAAAGACATCAAGACAAGTAAATTTAATTTTATACTTAGATACATCTTCTACTGCTTTTAACAAAATATAGTGATAGAGATAGACAATGGTAGGAATCGAGAAAAAAATTACTGTGTTGATTATATTTATTATTAATGTTCAATTATTTACTTAAAAAAAAGTATTGTATCTAGTAATTATAAAAAGATACTTTGTCCTTTACAGCTAATTCTTCTTACTAAACTTGTTAATAACGTAAGAAAAATAAATAGAACATCCAAATAATACCTGAAAACAATCTCGTGATCTCGAAAGTAATTTTCTGAGCCCAAAAACCTTATTCTATTATAAACAAATGACCATCTAAAAGGATTTTAATTAATTAGAAATATATAATACTTTTACTTTACCAGGCTTTAGTGATTCTAAAATAAATAAATAAAATTCATATTTATTATTTTAAATTTTTAAGAAGATATATCTAGCTGTGTATGTTTAAAATAATTAAACAAAATCAAAAATTATCACTAAATCAAGTTTACTCAAGGCATTTCTATCTCTCCATACTCCAGTAATTTCTTTTCGTACATCATATAGTCATGATCCGAAATGAACAATTAATGATCCATTAATTCTAAAAATGCTAATTCAAGAACAAAAATCTCTTTTGTGCTAATTCCTCCTACTTTTGCATAATATTCATTTTTATAATAATCATCATCTTAGAACTTTATAGCGATCACAATAGAAATCAAGAGAAATCTGATAAATTAAAAAGGATACCTATGTATGCATTTTGAATTCAGTACAAAGTAAGGATGTTTTTCTTACAACCTGTCCAAATAGATTAAAGCGATAACAAAGCATTCTTCACTACAATGGGTGTATTTTGATATTCTTTATAAGTAATTGTATAATGTTATTGATGGTGCTTTTGTTGCATGGAAATAAGATATTTAATCTTACTCTATTTCTAGAGTATCAGTCTGTTTAATTATTTCATCCAAAATGTCGGCTATTGTATTAAGTAGCTGATTATGTCGTTGCATTAATAGATATTATTTTCAATATAAATATTTCATAACTCATTAATCGAATCTCATTTTAACTATCTTACCTCTGTAATATTGCTAAACTCATTCTTTGGTACTTAAGAATTTCTTCAACCAAAAAATTTCTCGTTTTTGCTACTATACTCAAACCAGAAAAATTGTTCCTGCCCTTCTATATGTTAAAATTGCCTATTTTACGATATAAAGAACTAATCAATGTTTAAGAAATGTTTTTATCCACGAATTAAAATTTTATAATTAGCAATTTTATCAATGGATTTCTCTTCTCGAAACTGTCCCCTTTTCTTATCTTTATTTAAATTATCATAACTATCAAATTAAGATAAATTAATCTCTGTCCATATTTTTCGTTTTAAATGAAATTTCCTATTGATTATAAATTCCATAAATATAATTATTAAAATCTTCTTCATCCTATCTTAAATGATATTATTCAAGTAATTATTTCCTTAAGATTCCATAATTAATAATTTTAATTTAATAAAATTAAAATCAATTTATTTTCAAGATTGAAATCATTATTAGGATCTAATAATAATAAGACTTAATTAAAATTAATAATCCATATGTAAAATATTATTTGAATATGAGAATAGATTTCCACAGAATAAAATAGTTTTGCGAAAAGTGTATGATTAACAGAAATACGACTTACTTATGATAAATCGTAAAATAGATTAGTTTAAACCTATAAATTCAGCCAAATGTTAATTTGTAAATAAATAAAAGGAGTGCAAGGATATTCAACAATTGTAAGTTCCCAACTGTCTATTTATCATAAAAATATTAGATTTTTAATCTTAATAAAACTTTTAATTTATTTAACATATTATAATTAAAGTAAATAAGCTAAAATTTATTTCAGAATAATAATTTAATTATATTTAAGGTATTTTCCTGATTATTAATAAATTAATTTAATAGATGTAGGTGATTAAATATTATAATAAGAATAAAGAATCTTTTAGTTTTTTAAATTCTTATGCTTTTTATCATTATTTTAAACATATAATGAGTTCCTCAATTTAGTTTCAAATGGGTTAAATTTAATTAACTTTAGTAGATTATTATGAGTTATTTTAATAAATCAATTTTAAAAATGATATCTTAACAAATTATGAATCATAATCCCCATAATTAAAATAAGAGAATTTGAAAGTATTAGCAAGTTTTATGCAAACTATGATACTTGATAAGGATTAATAAATAATTGTAATAATTAGATGATAAATATTAATTAAGTCTTAATAAATATGGATAAATAGTTTGGAAATACTCTATCAATATTATTAATGATAATGCCTCCTTATAAAAATGTCTTTTAATTAAACAGATTTAATGTTTAAATTGACTGATAGGAATACGAGTTTAGCCAAATAAGACATGATTGATATAAAAATGATTAGCACATTTAATCAAGCTTTCTAATAAACTTAGTAAAAGCAATAAGTTATATAATTTAGAATAAAAAACATTCATAAAAGCGATCTAATTTGTCTTGATGATAATGGTGTTAGAGTAATTTATTTTAAATTAAAATCTTTAGTATTTAAAATGATAATTAAAGTTGGTCACCTCAATGGTGAGGTTAGACTATATGATTTAGCTGACTCTTGCACAGCTAAAGAGTTGATGATGATGATTTAGTCTGAAACTTAGTGTGAAATCACTTTGGTGAGTAATGGGGAAGCTGTTGCAGCATCTGCTTTATTAGGTAAAGGCATCATGCAATATTGATAGGTAGCGAGAGCATATATTATGTGAATGTAGATGCAGAAGGAGGTAAAAAGAAGAAGAAAAAGAAGAAGAATTTTGCTAAACCCAAGAAGAAGAAGCATAGACACCGAAAGGTTAAATTGGCAACACTCAAGCTTTACACTGTAGATGGTAAAGGGTTAGTTTAGAGATCACATAAACAATGCCCACAATGTCCTCAAGGAGTTTATATGGCAAAACATTTTGATAGACATTATTGTGGTACATGTCATTAAACATTCAGAATGGATGAAGCAACAGTAAGAATGTGTGTTGATATCTATAGATTAAAGCAAATTTAGAAGCAATAAAAAAATAATAGGCAGCCAAAGCAGCAGCGGAAGCAGCAGCCGCTCCAGCAGGAGGAGCAGCAGCTGGAGGAGCAGCAGGAGGTAAGAAAGGAAAGAAAAAGTGATCATCAGTATAATAATATTAAATATATCAACTAATAATCATTATTTAGCACTCCATAAAGAAATTGAATTTCTAGATAAAATTTGTGGTTATATTTTCTTTTCACTTTTAAGATGCTCTTTCTATTAGGAGTGTAACTAATTAACCTTTTCATTCAGACACTCAATTACTGAAATAAGCAGCATATTTTATTGTTTTTCTGCATGAATTCTACTAACTTAATAATTTGTATCAATTAATTTTTCAAGTTCAAACTTCAATCTTTTATTATCTTCTTATAATTAAGATGTCTATATATTATAGAAATAAATAATTTACAATTTGTAGATGTTATATGTTAGTTTCTTTCTCTTTATTTATTTTAGCTTCAAGTGTTTTAATTTTTTAATCATATAGAATTTCCTTTTATTATAACTATTATTCTTTTTGTTATATTTATAATTAAAACTCCTAAATTGTCTATTCCGAATAATATCCGCCTATGTTATCATTAAGCAAAGTTTTAAATTCAGAATCCAAGCATCTAGGACTCTATTGATAATGAACTGAAGATCTTTAAGTTTCTTGTCTCTCAGTTTAAATAGTATCTACTTATATTTTCAATTCATTTATTTTTTAATGTAATTAATGAATTTCCTTATTCTTACTCCTCTAAGTATCTTCGATTTCTTATTTCAATTACTCATTCTGCATTTCCAACTCTACTAATTTGCTGCATTCCTTTTATTAATTTTAATTAGTTTGTTTCATTTAATCTTACAATTTGCTAATTTTCGTATCCTTTTAATCCATCTATTATTTTAATATTTCAATATTTGTTTTTAATTCTTCTATAACTTTATCTTATTTGCATCTTTATGCTAATTCTTATTATAATTGTAGATTGATATTTTCTAAATTTGAATAATTTTACAATTTATGCTATAACCTAAATAAGTTTGGAACTATAAATACATTTCGTTTTATTCTGATAACTCTTTTTTTTCTTTATTGATTGTTGTTAATTGTGATTTTAGTTTTTCTATCAAAGTTCCTGATAAACTCTCTTCTATATGAATGTTTTTTTGTAATTCTAAATATATTGCATAATTATTACATAGTTTCAACTCTGAAATTTCATTTTCTTTTTAAATTAATAATTGTTCCTATTACTTAATTTTATTAAAATGTTAAGCCTATTGCTAATCTTGCTTTTCTAGCAATTATTTTAATTATTAGTTCTCATCCTCCAACTCATCTATTTTATCAAGCAACTTTCGATCCGACGTTTAATGATTACCAATTTCTTCTTCTTAATATTAATTAATAAATTATAAAATATTTTGCACTTATTCTTCTTCCAATTTCAGTATAGCTTCTTATGCTAATTAAGATTCAATCATAATCTATTATATGAACTCATATGTACTTTGATTATTATTGAAATCAATTTAATGATTTCAGCAGTATCTTAATGTTTTGCAATCAATAAACTGTTAATCTCAGGCAAATTGGGAATTGATTATTTCAAATTTTAAACCAAGTTTGTTACACACAACATATCCATTTGGAAATTTTTTTAAGGAGAAGATTAAACTTTTTGAGGGTAAACTTCTGGATTCAATTTATTAAGTAAATTAGTTAAAATTCTACCATCACTTAAATCTTTTAAAGTGGTACCTTCTGGTACACTGACCAAATATCCAATCCATTTTAATATGGCATTATGTGACATTTTTGAAATTTAATAATATTAATAATTAACGAATATAGTCATTTCAGATTCTCTGTTTTTACAAAGCTAAACGATTCAATAATAATAAGAATACTTTTGAGATATATAACATAATCCATTTTTATTAATTGTAAATAATACCAAATAAGAAAACTATTTTGTGATTATATTGAATCTGCATTATTTTGCTTGAAGAATTATTTATACTAATGAAATTGCAATAAAAACGATTCTTACATAATGTTTGTTTATTAATTACCATAAAGATGTGGTGAATATTATTAAAGATTTATTTTAAAAAAAGTTTATAATTTATTAGAATAGTATTTAAATTTTTAAGTTAAGGTTTTTTAAAAAGTGTTATGTTGACGTAGTGATATTCAGAGATTGGAATGTGAGCCTATAGCAAATTCTAAGAAATTTTAATAAAAAAGCTTGGATGTCAAGAATTCCTATTTTTTATAATTATTAAAGCATATAATAATAAAAAGTTGTGAAGAACAAAAATTGTAGAATAATTAATATTTATTTGTTATTATGAAATAGATGCTTTCATAAAGCTTCGTTCAAGAAGTCCTTCCTACTCTATTTCGAGTATAATCAGAACGTCCAAATCTTGATTAAAAATAATAAGTCTAAAAGGAAAGATAAGGAAAGGATCTTTATTCCTTAATAGTGGACCAGCAAATGATTAAAGCGATCGAAATAGTAGAGACATTTAAAGAAGAAGATCATGGATCGATATATAAAAAACATATTGTAAATTATGTTATTTAAATAAAAACTGATTATTTTGATTACACCATTCCTAAAAGATATTCAGAATTTGAGAAATTGCATGAATAAGTAAGTCTTAAAATTAAAAATAGTTACATTCTTAATTAAAAACAATGCCGAAGTTCCCATAGAAAACATTAATTTAAACCAATTCAAGGAAAATCATTGCGTAAAGATAGGCTTTGCTTCAACGTAAATAATGACATTATTAATAAGAGTTTTTGCAACACTTGTTATAAAATTTAGATCATACTATGTATATCTTTTTGGAATTCTTAAATATCAAAGGTATAAATAAATTGTAATAATAAAAAGAATAATTTTAAAAGGGGGGATTCGATTAAAATGTTAAACTGTATCATTTCAGTAAGGAAGAAAACGCATTAAGGGATCTCATTGATACAAGTCCAAAGAAAATATAGCCAAAGAATGAGCCCGAACAAATGATTATCCATTATCTAACAAAGTTGAATGAGAAAATCGATGAGAGGGGCAAAATCTTTTAGTATTAATTAAATGATTAATTAGAAAAATGGAAAAATATTGCTTTGGTAAAATTTAATAGGTATCCTCAACAATGCTGAAAGTATTATTTACAGGAGATGATGAAAGAGAATTAAAGGGAATAATCCAAGCTTTGTCTATCTAAAATAATGATATCTAAAGTCATATTAGTTGCATAATGGGTTTTTAGTTCTTTCGCAAAGTTCTGGAATATGATTATAATCCAAGTATATCTTAATGTTTAAGTAGATGCTGAATAGGCTCTCAGATAATTTGGGGAAATTAGTATCAAACAATTTAAAAAGATCATGATTTAGTCTCATATTTGCGGATAATAAAAGCTTTGCAAATAAGATGCATTAATTTTGTTACATAAATATATCAATCAGAACTAATTAAAGGATCAAATGATAAAATACTTGATTGATGATGAGGAATGCTTACAAGAGTATGAATAATTCCTTAAGACTCACCTTAACAAGAATATAGATGAGGTTAAAGTAACCATAGATAGCACAGAGAATCTATAAGAACTTTTGCAAACAAAATCTAATTCTTCAGAACATTCAATATTAGAATAAGAGGCTACTATCGAATAACTACATGAAATCAGTTAAATGAATTTAAATTGGAAGTTAGTCTAAGGTATTTATAAAATAGACTATTATTAGAATTTGATAATCACATAATGTATCATTTATCTGGATAATATGTAAAAACAATCCATCCTCTAAATTGTTCTATTGAAAGAGCTATCACTATATTCACAGATCTAAAAATATAATGGTTTCATGGAATGATACAAAAAGACGTTCTTGAAGAATATGATCAATTTAGAAGTTTAATTGTTGAATATTATGTTTGGGAAGACAAATCAACCTTTAAGAAAATGGCTTTTGTTAGTGAATAGGAAATTACAAAAATAGACGACTTTCTTTTTTAAATTACTATTATTCCTAGCACTAAACCTTTACCAGCCAACTATAAAATCAAATGTGATTAAAAAGGTATTGCAGTTATCAAATTTTAGGATAGAAGATGAGTTTGATGTATTTGAAAAAGATAACAGATAATTCTGCTGAAGCTATTGTCTATTAAAATATTATGGATAACACATTTAGAACAGCTTTAACCCCTGTTATTTTAAAAGAAATTCCATGGTTTAATCACACAATAACTAAATTAAAAGCTCTATTATGATATATTACTTACACTAATATATTATGTATTTTATTATACTTAATTAAATGTATACCTATCTTCCGACAATATAATTATAACAATCACTGAATTAGACATTATTAAACTAAATATGAGAGTGCATTGACTATAGTATTATTTTAGAAAATGAATATTGATGAATTGTTGTTTATTTTATATTTTTCATTTAGACAATTGAGGAAATTCTTAATTGTATTTTCTTTAATTTCTTTGGAGTGTTTAATTTGAGAGTATTCTAGCTTTTGCTTCCTCATATGATTATTGCTTTAATTTAAGACGATCATCTAAAGTCTGTTCATGCTTAGCTGATTAATCTGATGTTATTTCCTATTTATCAATATTAGTTTATGGCTTCTTCACTAAGACCTTCTTCGGTTAAGCGGCTGTCATTTAACTTTATTGATATGATCAGGTACCTTCTTTCTATTTTTGTGTCTGACTTTTCATTATTATACATACTGAAATATATATTAATATATTTTATATTTTAAAAATACCTCCTTAATATTCAAATTGCTATAAATTTTAATTAGTTTCTAAAAATAAATTATTTTGTTTATAAGTTTCCACATAAATGCCTTTAACTCTCAATAGATTACTTTATATTTAAAAAATAGAACAATCAACATAAGATTCAAAGCACCAAAAATTGATTCTTGTATAATTGTAATGTATTCGTTACTTGGCTATTATAGTTCTATGTGTAAAATATAAAGAATGTTTGCTGTTTAGACTTAATTATTAAATATAAAAATAAAACTAGAATGATACTAATAAAAAATAAATTAAATTATGAGACAAGATTTATTAAATTGCACTCGTATATCTTGCAAAATATAATCAGTTGAATAATAGGCTTATGTTGTTTTAATTTAATTTTGATAAATTGATGACTAATTATATAGATAGTTAATAATTGAATTTTAAAATCAGATTGGGGTTAATTTTTTAGCTATTGCATGTATATATGCATAGTTACTAGATTAAATGTCACCTGCTTGATTTTAAAGTATTTAATATAAATCTGAATCAACAAAGAGATTAGAGATGGATTCAATTTTTTATCCGCATCTTGGACAACAAATTTCTTCCAAATTTCCTTTCTTCATCTGATATTCTTCAAGTGATTCCTTATCAAAACAATCATAATGATTTGTACATTTGGTGCATCTTACTGGTATTTTGATTCGCTTTTCTGTTAATATACACTAGAATAATAAATGATAAAATTACAAGTAAGCTGAATTTATACATAAAGATACTCTTTGTATATTCCCAAGGTTTGGATTCTTAAATGTTTATTTATTATCCTTTTACTTATCCTTACCCATCAATATTTTATTAATAATTTAAAAACTGCTTATATCCTTTGACAGTTCTTGAATAAAATGGATTTTATAAGAAGAATTTCATCATCTTAACATCGATGTAGATCTAATCAATAAATTTAAGTGGAGGTTTAACTTTATCAGAGAATGGTGAATTGCATAGTGGACATTCTTTTTAAACTTTTTTAACTCCTTCAACATCTTTTTCATTTTTTACTTAATTCAAAATACAAGCTAAATAACGCAAATCTGTCACTTTAAAACCTTTACAATTTCTACATCTGGCTGGTAATTCTATGCCATAATTAGTTATTGGACAAATTACTAATAAATCTTCATTATTTGGTAACTAGGTATTTTATAATTTAAAAAATGATTCTGTCTACTTTTTGTTGTTCTCATTATTAACAAATATAGATTCAGCTATCTCATATATCTTATTTAAATATTCCAAGTTACCCTCCAAAGACTTCACCTCTTTATATGAAATAATGATATCATCTCTTTGTCTATTATACAACATCTCGCTCAACTTCTGTATATTTGGTAGATATGTAAAGTTTATGGAAAAACTTAATCCTTCTCTTCCTGCCTATAATAGCTGGAAATCTATCTGGAAAGATTCTGGGGACCTTAGATCAAATACTGATTGGCAACCTTCCATTGTACAATTCATCATCTTAGATTCTGACTCGAATAAATGTTTATGCAAAGCGATTAAGTCATATGATTCATAATGAACACATTTTGTACCTCTTACAGGTATGTTGACTCTTACCTATGATATGAGGCAAACATTCACAAAATCACAACCAGTATAATCCTTGAGCTTCTTTGAGATTGAAATAAATTAATTCTCTTCTCTGGGTTATTGAAGAAGGATGGGCTCAATCCCAAAATCCTCTGCATGATAGTGTGAGTTAAAGTAGGTTTAATATTTCCCTTTATAGAATGGAATTATTAACTTTTATTTGTGGTAATAAATAATATCTTTTGGATAAATACCTACCTGCTTCCTTAAATTGTAAATAAAAATATGAGGTCGAAGAATTTCTTTTAAAACATCTATGGTGTTAGCAGATTTTGGGATTTTAATTTTTTCTTTGCAAGATGGACATATGACCTGCGTCTTTTCCTTATCCTTCAAAATATCAAGATAAACTATCAGCTACTCTAGATCAAAGTAATCATCAAAATGTTTTTTATTATTGATACATTGAGTAAAAGAAACCTAATAATCTACACTTTATATTTACAGGCACTTTCACCTTCTGTCTTGACACACAACATTCAAAAACTATATTCATTGATTAAGTGATCTTGAATTGGGATTCAATCCAAGCTTTTTAATTATTCTATTCCTATTCCAATATATCTGACGCGAATTGGCTGTATTCTTAAATCAGCTTTCTTAGTGTGTCTTTGTATTATTGCTCTTTCATTTGGTTCTCATTTGGATTTGGTTGCATTTTTTATTAAATATTAACAAATCAATTTTCTTCTTTTCAATATTAACCCAACTTTATTTCAGCTTCATTCATTTACAAATACAAAGAAAGAAAAAAGAAGTAAAGAAGGCTTAAAAAAACAGGCCATAATTGATATGATGGACTATAATTCTATTATACATAGATTGGCAAAATATAATTTTTTCATAATAGATTAATACCTAAATAAATATTATTGCATTCATAATTCTATTATTAATAGTATCATAATATTAACTGAGTATTTCTTAACATCAATAGTATTTAATTGAAATAACAACTACCAATATGGAAATAGTATTTTTATAATTTTCTGTAAATCTCAAACTTAATTATCTCTTTTGATTGTCAAAGCAATTTAATTCTGGTTGTTGATGAATTAAAATAAAGGAGAGAAAACTAAACTAAAATATATTGAAAAAGGATATATCTTAAATTATCAAGTAGAAATAGAATATAAATAAAGTAATTATGTTATTCAGACTTTTATTTAAAGTAGGTTGAATTTATAGATTTCTTATATAAAATCGTATTCATCATAATAGAGTTTATTGATTGCTAGCCAGCGTTTGTCCAAATGTTGATATTTCTTTTCTCTCAGATGTTATAAATCCTAATGTATCTTATCTTTTAATTGTATTAACTTTTTGAATAGGATTAATTTGAGGTTTGACTATTCCTGAATCAACTTTGGCTTAAATATTTTTATAATTGTTTTTTTCTCTTTTCTATTCTAGTTTCAAAAATCCTTGTCTTATCAATTAATCTGAGTTTTCACTAACTTTTTTTGAGACCTACTATTTTAATCTGCTAAGAGTGTTTTTCCCAAATTACAGAGCTGTAGATCTTCTTAGAAATTACCTCTCGCTTACTTCATTTTCACTTTAAACTTAGATAAGTATTAAATTATACTCTGTTTATTTTCATGACGATTAGCTAACCATGAAAAAGCAACTCCAGCAGTAAATTTAGATTAGATTTTTTCCATAATTTTATTTTCAGCCAATGTTTCAGTTTCTAAAGTCTTTATTTATTTTTCTTCTTTGATTTCTCTACTACATTCCTATGATTATTTGGGCAATTCATCTGAAGTCTTTTGGCGTACGATTATAGTTCCTTTCTTTGATTATTTGGGAGTAGCACTCACTTGTCGTTACTATTTTAATTTTCTTCGAATCACATTGAATATGGGCTCTAACTTAGCTGCTTTTAATTTTAATTAAGCTATCATCATTTCATCCTTTCTTTCTAAAATTTTATCAATTAATTGTATTCTAATTTAATTAAAAAAAAGTAAAACCTCTCATCTGCAGAGTTCAAAGTTTTTAATGATGCAATGATTTATTTTTTATCATTAAAATCTGATAATGTATTGTAAGCTTCCTAAACTCTCAATTTTTTGAGATTAATCGATTGAGACTGATTGGAATCATTTCTTTTATGCTAAGTCCTTCTCTCTACTTCAACAACATTTTAATGCCTTTAAAAGTTTATTGTTCTGTGAGTAATTGGAGATTAAACAATAACTTCTTTTTTAGCTTAACCAAAGAGAGGTTCTAATATTTTTTTAGCCGTATAATGAGGTCTGTCTAACATAAGTTTATGGAAGCTCATAATATTATTATAAATAATTGATAAATTTCAATTTAATAATAATCTTCAGTAGTCATTCTAGATTAAACTCTTTAAAACTTTTAACAGATCATTTTTGAAATATCGCTTAAAATATTTCAATATTAGTTATATATATAAAAATTTATATTTTAACACTTATATTTAATAAGAAACATAAAAAAACCAATCAAATTTATTGCTACTCCTAAAATTGAATAAATGAGAAGTTCCTTTTCAAGATCATGGCTAAATGGTATGAACAAATTATTAAAATTAAATATTCTATATGATATAAAAAGTCAAAAACAACAAAGATTAAGTGTTGTAACAGTCAATAATTGGAATTCTTTAATTAATCAATTTATTAATAATACTTCTCCCCCTCTAAGTTTCTTTAAGATAATCGTTTTTAAATAATGTACATTCTTAATTGTGACTGAGTAAATCCCAATTGATAAATTTATTAAGGAATTCTTTTAATCCAAATAAATTTTTTAAAACTTAGAATAATGTATCAAATTGACCGAAATTCTGATATTGTTCATCCTGAAAATAATTTCAAAAGTATAGTTTTAATCAAAATTTTATCAAAGAGAATGATAAATTTCAGTAATGATCCTTCTCATTCACTAAAATTCATCCTAGAAATACTTTCTGATCTAATTTATTGAGCCAATTGTATATCTAAGTATTCCAATTACATTGAACAGCTATTTCTAAATTATTATTATACCAATTTAATCATTTCAAATTAGCTCTACCCACTCTTATATATTATGAATCATAATTATTTGATTATCAATGGGCTTTAATTATAAATTAAAGATGTTTAAGTTTAATTTGGTTGGATCAATTTAAAAAATCTTTTAATCCATAAGCTAGAAATAAAATTGAATATAAAAATGATTTATTAACATTTAGTTTTACATTTAATATTCATTTTATGACTATGATTTTGATTTTAGTTTGATTTACAATGCTATTTGTTAAGAGGATTAAAACTAAAAAATCTACTTAATTATTGAATAAAGATTTGATTTGGAAAGATAAGAGGACTTTTGTGATTAATATTTGATTTGGTTAAAGCTAATTGATTTGATTGGAGAAACAAGAATTAAATTAGCCTTATTATTACTAAAGTGCGATGATATTAGAATGCAACAGGAATTAGAATTAATAAATATAATATTATGATGAATAAATTTATGGGGTATTTCAAAAATAGACCACCATTTTAGAGGAGAGTGGCAAATTCATCTCTGCTAAGTCAATCTGATGATATTTTATTGGATGATCTATTACTCCTAATTTCTTGCTTTGAGAACAATCATTCAGAGTTTATAACAAAAGCACCGTCTTATTACATAGAACAGTATTTCTAGTTAACTTGCGAATAGTATCAAAATACATAAAGGTTTATAGGGAATTTGCGAACTCTTACATAATTCGGAATAAAGTTCTTTTGACCTGCCATTTAATGCTGCATGAATTTTAATTAGGTGTTGATTTTGCAGATCACTTTCTGAATTAGAAGTTTTTAATTCTGACTAATAGAAAGTCACCAAGTCTTGTGAAAACAAATCATTAAAAATAGGAATGGCTATCTGCAAATATTTAGTTAAGCTATTTTTAATATTTACAAAAACTTGCTGTTAATATCTAAGTGTTTCATGCATGCAAGGTGTAGTAGTATCCATTGTTTTAGGAAGGATAAAAGTTTATTGATATCCAGACAAAATTACTGTGGCTATTTAAGATAAGCAATTTGGTACATCAATTATTTATAGAAACAGGTGAATAGTGGTTTGGGATAGATGGAGACATTCAAATCTGCATTATTAATGGTGCCTGAAGATATGTTGCTAAAGGAGATAGTGTTGGTGTACTGGTCGGACATTATTGTGTTTTACAATTTCTTAAGCAAAGAGGTATTACTGTATGGGAACTTTAGATTTTGCAATTGTTGGACTATTATAGACATTTGGCTACTCATATTTGTTTGTAGTTTTACGAATTATATTTATAATTATTCCAAATAAGAAATTCTATATCAGATTTATATAAACATCGGAAGCATTTCGATCGAGATAATGTTATTAAGCAACCCAAATGGTTTGATATAAACAAGCCAGTTCATCAGTAAATTGAGGAATTTATGTTGAAATAAAAATTAAACTTGGGTAATCATACTGACAGAGCTCTACAAAGACCACAGATGTCAAGTAGAGGTACTAAATCATAGATAGCTTTTGATGCCAAAATGGATTCAAGCAAATTCTCCAGAAAAGAAAAAACAGTATAAACACATAGGGCAGGCAAATAAGGAGAGAGTGATGGAGATGACGAGGACTTTGAAGAATTGAAATTAATACTCCAAAATTCAAACATGCAATCCAAGTTAGACAAAAAGAAATAATAGCAAAAACAATTGGACTCTTAGGTGTCTTTCTAAAAGCAATCTCGAGAAGGGGGCACTGATTTACCTAAAGGCGATTGAATGAGAGATTGGTTGTAATAATAATTAATGTTTTTATAAAATTAATTTAATAATGTAATAAGGATATATTAATGCAGAAATGAGTGATTTCATAATTTAGCATACAACCTTCATTAATATTTAACCGAATTTTGATTTGGATAAGCTTCAATTCATTTCTGTAATATCGAAAATGATTAATTAAGGGATATTTTGGACCATTTAAAATTAATTAAATTGTAGAGGTTCCACTGTGGGTTGCAATTGAATTGAAGAAGAAGAATAAATGCAGAGTAATACCTCCTGAATGGTTATCTATTGAAAGGTTGCAATAAAAACTTGATGAGGAAACCATTAATGAGTCGGAATTGGCAAGGATGGAACAATATTATTTTGAGATTTCTTCGATTATGTTCTCTTATTGCAGAGATGACATTAAGGATGATGATAAAATCAAGTTGTTGTTGGAGGATATCAAGACAAGACGAGAAAGCAAAATTTAGAAGAAAATAGAGGAATTTATTGCAAGAGGGTCTGAGGCTCTAAAAATAAATAACTTAAATCAACATGAAAGAAATAAAATTTACTCTAATTTTTATGGAGATTTAAAAAAATTGAGGTAATTGAAATTACTAGCAGAGAGTTGAGAATATTTATATATTAAATTTATTGAAAATTAAATGATTCATTCCTTAAAACCAAAGAAGAGATGCTCATCAATTTGTTATGAACATTAATTCATTTTGATACCAAAATCTAGTGAATGTTGGATTAAGTCATAGATCACTCTTGATTATTGTCCTGTTTATAATGAGTACATGTATTACATTACAAAAGATTCACCGGATAGTTTGAAAACATAGTTCCTATTCTGAATTGCGATAGATAGCCCGGACTCCCTACATTCATCCTAGAATATGATAGAACTCAATATTAATTCAATCTAGAGAGATATTAATAAGAACATCAATTGAAAATTGAAGAATAGAAAGTCAAGAAGATCAAAATGGTATTAAATAGTTATATCATATTTAAGTTAGTTTCAAAGCCTGGCAAAAAACATAGGTATTGTGGAGTCTGCAAAAAAAATTACGAAGAATATTTAGATGTATGTTGACTTTTTATCTTATTTTAGCATATCCAATCCTAGGAGCATATAAATAATTTTAACAACTACAGAAGTGTCAATTTGATAAGAACTTTGATTCAGGGATTTTAGAATGTCATTAATCACGAATTCTCAGATTAAAAATAATCCAGCATCTTGTTTTGCGATTCAAACACCAAAATTCCTATGAATAAAGAGAATTTTGTTGCTTACTTTGATCAAGAAAGAATTGGAGTTCGATTCCAAAAGCAATAGATTAAGGACATTCCAATACTTGAATATAAAATTCCAAGTTCTAAGAGGGGAAGACCAGCCAAAACCAAATAGAAGAAAGAAACCATTAAGAAAGCCAAGGTTCAAGAAGATATTCCCATCATCCCCCATTACTAACCTAATACGTATTTGGACTACTATTATTTATAATAATAATACATGTAAGCCTAGCAACAAATTTAAAATCAACAACAGTAATACTTATGCTATCCATAGCCTCAATAATAGTACTTCAGAGACTGTATAAATTATTTTTATATTTTAGAGATGCAGTATTTTAATTAAAATGCCTAATTGGATTTATAGTTTTATTAAAGCTTAATGTAATAGCAACAACATTTCTTATAATTAAAAGAAATCGAAGAACGAAGAGAATACTCTGATCGTTCTTCCCTATGGTAAAAATTGATTTAATTAACAAATTACTAACAACCGACTCAAAATGAAATAGTTTAACTCTTGCATAGCATCATAGAGTAATACGAATGCAATCCTCGCAACAATCAAAATCTAAATCATAATAACAATGATTAGTAATTTTAATGATTCTATTAATTTTAATTGTTTTGTTTTTCATTTAATTGAATTTCAAATTAAATTACAAAAACAGTATTATTTATATTAATAATCAATTGTCTCAGAATTATAAATAGTATTCCTATTCCTAGTCAATCTATAGCAAAATGAAGCCCATCTGATCCTAACTTGATATTAATTAAATTTATTTATCGCCAAAACAGAGTTAATTTTATTATTTTTGATCACTAACTATTATTAAATAAAAGTTGCATATTTAATTATTAAACAATAAAAATGTAGAAAACCCAATTGGTGAATTTCTTGTAAAATGGATCCAATTTTTATCCATTTGGAGATAAACCAAATAACAGTTACTCACCAGAAGGAAAGTTTAAGCCATTTATTTGTGAAAGAAATCAAGTCGGAAAACTTGTTAATAATGAAAGTTATAACTTTTCATCAATAAGAAAAAATACAAAACAAAAAACTAGCGAGTAAATAAATTAGATTGAAGCTGATACAATAATCAGACAGAAATTTCGTACTGAATTAGAATCTCCTAAATACGATCCAAATACTAAATATGTCACCTTGATACCAGCTGGATTGAATGGCGAGGATTTCTAAAAGCCAATTGATATCAAATCATACACTCTTAATCATAACTAAGTAGAAAGAGGTTAATTGATGAAAAAACAGTAAAAAGGACTTAATCATAAGCATTAATTAATCAGTCGAAGTACTAAAACTTTGACTTCTTAGATTCCAGCCATTGGAATTTATGATCCTCTACCTTTAAATAAGCACTTACCAAATATTTAGATTAAATCTAAATCTATTTAGAAATTGCCAGAAGTTTGGGAAAGAAATAATTCAGTGGCAACACCAAAATAAGGCTTAAAACACTGTGAATCAGAAATGATGTTTGCAAAATAGATTGCTCAAATTAATAGAGAAGTTGAATAACAAATGAAAAGAAATCCTAATCAAAAGTTTGCAGTGTAATAATTCGACATAAATGAAAATATGAATTTGGAAGAAGCTGAACAAATGAGAAACAGGATGAAATAATATTTTCAAAGCGTTAAAGACAGCCTAACTAAAATCAAAAATTTAATAAATGTGAAGAGATGAGAACTTCAAGTATTAATTTATTGCTATCTCTATATTTATTCATAATTTAGATTAAAGAATTATGATAATTCTAATAATTCGAAAAAGATATTTCTTTATGGATTAACAAATTAAAATCAGGTCTGAATCAATATTAAAATAATTCTTATTTTAACCTAAGTGCATTGAAGCTTATTTAATACTTTGTTCTCTATAGTAGTATCTTTTTATTTATGTAATTCTTGCAGATTGGTTAAATTTACATACTGCTTAGAATTATTTGAATTTGTTTAAATTATAATTATTGTTGAACCTGAGATTTCCTAGGGCTTTATACTTTATTTTATTTTATAATTTTGAATATTTTTAATGTCTTCTTATTAAAGTTGTATAATTCATATATTATTATGGAGGATTTTTACTATTTTACTTGAATGCTAAGTATGTTTATGATCCAATTGTAAATTTTATAATTCTTCTATCTTATAAATATTTTTTTAATTTTAATTATCTTTATTCAGTGAATTAATTTAATGAATAATTAGAAAGCATCTCGCTTTTAAGTTCAAGTGGGATACATTTCTAAATATTCATTTTTACAGTTTTTTAAAAATGAGTTGATCTCTTGATAAATATAATTAATTTTTAATACATCTAAAGATCATTTGAAGCATGTTGGTTCACTTAAAATACAAATATATATTTAATCAAATTATCACTGCTTTTGGATGGAATTTCGTTTGATTGTTTATTTACCAGGTTTTTCAAGACATTTTAAACAGAATAAGTTCTTGAGATCCAACATTTATATTGTAATAATTATATCAATATTATGATTTTAATCACTATTATGCTTTTTAACTCCTTAGATGTCTAGTTGAAGTTGCTTGTTATTTTATGATTTGTAAAAGCAAATAAATGATAATATTATACTATTGGTAATACTAAATAATATTATTATATTAATTAAAATTTGGCTAAAATTATAAGGAGCCTAATAATTGTATATAAATTGTTCTAGATTCATTTAAATGTCTTACGTGTATAGAGTTTTAGATTTAAACTGAAATTAATTAAATTTAATATTATCATTACTTTTATATGTAATCTGAGAGAGAAGAGTTTGTAGACGAGCTAACCTAATTGAAAATAGAGAGATCTAAAAGAAGACAAAGGAAAGAATGGGAATTGAAATTGATGGGAAAATGCATCACTTGGTTGATTTATGCATACGCAGCAGGGATAGTAACAACGGGATTGAACTATTTAATGGTAATTAAAGCCATCGAACTATTAGTTAGATAAAAGTTATAAATATGAAGGAATTGTTGAGGACAGCTGTTAGGACTTTAAAACACTCAAATCAGTGAATGACTAAATATTCCCTCTCTTAGATGAATTGACTGTAAAATTAAGAATTGAAATTATAGTACAAAAAATATTTTAAGATCTTCAGAGTGAACTTAGAAAATGATTGTCCATTTTCAATCGGCGAATATATCTGCACAAGTAAAAAATGTGTGATATGTACTTGCAACACATCGGAAGTAAATAAGAGATTAATATATTCTAGATTCCTTCAAATTGGTTATCTCCAGCATCCTCGCCTATTAATTAACCAAAGGACAATTTCGCATTCTGGGATTCAGAGAGATATCTATGTAAATTGGTAATTGAAGTGTAGCTCCTTCTGAATGGATATGGCACGTTGAGGATATCGAAAATGACAAGGGAGTGTACGTGGACTTAAAACTAAATCCTGAGGCTTTCACAGGATACCAAGGACAACACATTTGGGATGTGATATATAGGGAGAATTGTTATTAAGGTTCTTTGAATGAAATGTGTAAGGAGAAGAGAGCCTTAAATAAATTGGTTCAAGGTTTGCATACTTCAATATCAACTCAATTAAGTGAATTCTATGTGGATTTAGCGACCAATAAAACCTATCCAAATTATCCATTGTATTTTGAAAGAGTGGGCAACCATCCTGAAAGAATCCGAAATCTGTTCTTTTTATATTCGGTTCTTTTGAGGGCAGTGTAATTGGCAACACCAGGAATTCAAAAACACGAAATAAATTCAATGTCGTTTGAGGAAGATAGTAGATCCAAATATTTATTGAGTAATATCTTAACTTTAGGAAACAATTAATGTTCTAAACCTTTTGATGAATAGTAGTTCTTCAATCAAATAACCTTTGTAAGTTATATTAATATTGTTAGGAGTAAAAGAAAGATTATCAACGATATATTCACAATATAAGTAGAATTATGGATTGTGTGGAATGCCAAAAATGTAGAGTGTTTGGAAAGATGCAAACATATGGGTTGGGAACAGCCTTAAAGATTCTGTTTTCTGAATCTCCAAGTGAATTTTCAGGGAAGTTGAAAAGAAATGAGTTGGTTGCTTTAATCAATACATTTGGAAAGGTGTCAAGTTCTGTAAAATCAATCGATCTAATGTTTGAAAGGAGGGCCAGATTTAATTACAATCTGATTGTTACAATTGGTATTGTTGGAGGAGTCTTCATTATATTTATGGTGGCAATCAGAAAAATCTACTAAGAAATGGACAAAAAAATATAAAACATGTTTAAAGGAATGCCTAATGACAACCCCTAACAACCGAGTAAAAACACCAAGAGCAAACGGGATTGAATTAAAACATAGATAGACATATATATATATATTGTACCATTTTTATATATCAATTTCATTGTTATTGTTATGCTGTTTCTGTTCCTTCTTCTGCTCTTCTTGGGCCTCTATTGCCACCTCTTCCGAAGGGCTTGTTTCCTCTTGGGCCTCTTCTTTATTCAGGAACATCCTCATCAAACTTTTTATCGGCTTTCTTGAAAGTGGCTGGGATTACATCTTCGACAATGCCTTTTAGGATAGATGACTTTCATATACCCAATTTGTCTCTGACATATTTAACACCTTCAGCCTTAAGGTAATAATAGTAGTATTGCCATGAGAATACCAAATCAACAAGCTTTTTGTCTCTCAAGCTTCTCAAAAGCATCCAAACTTCCAAGTTCTTCACTCCTGTTTCTGCATGGAGTGGAAGTGCCATGTCCTTTTGAATTCTCATGAAAATATACCTTCTTGATAACAATAACACCTTCCAATAACAAGTATTCATAGACTTTTCTTCTGTCTTATCTCTTCACTTGAACCATGTAAAATAATGGATTTGATTTATTTTAAATTTTAAAATAAAATAAGCAAATCCACAATAATGCTGTCTAGAAAATCTTTTTTATTCAACCCTTGTCTCTATAGATTTTGCTCATTCCGAGAAGAGTATGACACCTTTGGACCAATCAAAGTCAAAAGCGACAGACTTTGGGGAGCTTAAACCTAAAGATCAATCTAAAACTTCGATATCTGCAGAGACACCGATAAGATGCCTCTCCCAGTCATCAAAGCTTTTGGAATACTCAAAAAATCAGCAGCCATCGTGAATAAAAGATATGCACTCAAACCTGAAATTTCTGATGCCATAGCCAAAGCCGCAGGTAACTTGCCTATTCTATTATTAGATGAGGTTATTGCTGGAAAATTGAATGATCACTTCCCATTGGTCGTTTGGTAAACAGGTTCAGGCACTTAATCAAATATGAATGCCAATGAAGTCATTGCCAACAGAGCCATCCAAATCTTAGGAGGACAAATTGGCGGTAAATTAGTGCATCCCAACGACCATGTCAACATGAGTCAATCCTCCAATGACACATTCCCAACAGCCATGCACATTGCAACCGTCATTCAAGTACCAATTATGTTTCTAAACACTAGACCAACTAAGTATTGATCCCAGGACTACAAACACTATTGACAAGTCTTGAAAGAAAGGCTAAAGAATTCGAAAAGATCATCAAGATCGGCAGAACACACACTCAAGATGCCACTCCTTTGACTTTGGGACAAGAATTCAGTGGATATGCCCAATAAGTGAGAAACAGCATTGAAAGAGTTAAAACAGCCCTTCATTAAGTTTAATATTTGGCTTAAGGAGGAACAGCTGTCGGAACTGGAATCAACACATATGTAGGATTTGCTGAAGCCATTGCAGATTAAGTCAGCAAAGAGACAGGATATGAATTCAAAACTGCCCCCAATAAATTTGAAGCCTTGGCTTCACATGATGCCTTGGTAGATTTCCATGGATCATTGAATGCTGTTGCTGTTTCCTTAATGAAGGTATTAACAAATCCTATATTAGATTGCCAATGACATTCGATTCTTAGGTTCAGGCCCCAGAAGTGGTTTGGGAGAATTGATCTTACCAGAGAACGAACCAGGATCATCAATTATGCCAGGAAAAGTCAATCCCACCTAATGCGAAGCTTTGACAATGGTCTGTGCTTAAGTCATGGGAAATCAAGTTGCTGTTACTGTAGGTGGTTCAAATGGGTAATAATATTCAATATCACATTTAGACATTTTGAATTGAATGTTTTTAAACCAGTTATTATCCACAATGTACTCCATTCAGTCAGACTCTTGGGAGATGCTAGTGTGTCATTCACTAAGAATTGCGTCGATGGAATTCAAGCAAACACAAAAAAGATTGAAGAGTTAATGAATTAATCCTTAATGCTTGTGACAGCTCTCAACCCATATATTGGATATGAGAAGGCTGCCAAAATTGCCAAACATGCTCACAAACATCATTAAACTTTGTTGGAGGCTGCCTTAGAACTTAAATTATTAAATGAGGAATAATTCAAACAATGGGTTAAACCTGAATCCATGATTGGCCCATAAGAATATACACCCAAAAAATGATATAAATTATAAATTAATATACATGAAAAAACATTTAAATCGGCATTCTTGATATGTGATTATTTTATACATTTCAATAGACATTAAGAGATAGCTAATTAAATTAGACAGTATACATGAATAATAGTAGCAAAAGTGTGATAGATTATCAAGGATGACAACAGAAAAAGAAATATAAGTACAAGTAGAACTTAAAAAAAGGAAAACAATTAAAATGTATATAATAAGCAAATTGTAGGGAATATTAATAAAAAGCTGAATTAATTTGTTTTTTTAATATTTTGTTTGGAATTAATTGAATAAATTGTATTATCAATTAAGTTTACGTTTACTTTTTAATTTTGGCTCAATTTCATCAATATTATTACTATTTTGTTCATCATCATTGTCTATTTATTTTAACTTTCTTGCTTTTTTCTATATTTTTGGTAAATCAAGATCATCTTAAAATACTTGATTTTACTCAAGTTCAATTTAATCATCTAATTTTAAGTCTAATTCATTCATGTCATCTTGTTATTCTTCCTGAATTGGAGATGCTTCAGGCAGGTAATAAACAACTTATTTCCTTTCTCTTTAACCTCTGCCATATTCTTTAACTTCCTGAACTTCATTTTACTTCGATGTAATCCATTCAGGAACTTCATCATCTTAAATTAATCTATAATTGTAATATTGATCATCCTTATTCTCATTAAAGTTTTTATAAATCAACTTTTCTTGCTCATACCTCTATCTATCCAACTCATTAAACATCTCAAATTCTTCTTCACTTCTTGCTATCCATTCATTAATTTACGTGTCATCAGGAATCTCTTCTGCTTCAAACAAGTCCACTTTATTCTTTTATCTAAAGAAATCTTATAAGCGTTCTCTTCTTTCTTAATCAGTGGATCTTTAATTATACAATCCTGCCTAAATGATAACTGCATCCAAACCCATCTTATGTTCAGCTTTACTGAGAATATTCCCCTCTATTTATGTAGCTGTAATCAATCTAAGTACTCTAACCTCATTTTTCTGTCCGATTCTATAGGCTCTATCTTATGCTTATAAATCCATCATTGGATTCCAATCACTATCAAACAAAATGACAGTATCTGCAGATTATAGATTCAATCCCAATCCACCAGCTCTAGTACTTAATAAGAAGATATTATAGATTGAATTTTCTTAATTAAACAATTGAATTCGAGATTCTCGATCTTCTGATTTAGTTGATCCATCCAATCTCAAATATCTCCATCCTCTATACTCAAAAAATGCTTCCATGATATCCATTAATTATGTCATTTAACTAAATATTAGTAATCGATGTTTAAAGTATAACAATTTAGGAATAATTCTATCCAATAATTCAAATTTTCCGCTGGATCTCCAAATTTCATCTGTAACTCTATTCATATCCAAATTCAACATAAACAGATAGGGATGATTACAAATCTTTCTTAATTACATCATCAAATTCTATAAAGCTTAAGACCCACTCTTCCCTGATTATTAATCAAAAGTCATGACTCCTCTTTAATTAATTTAATCATATATTTTCTTTTGCCATGCTGATAACTTTATCTTAATTACATATTCTGTTTTTCTTGGTAATTCTTTCTCAACATCCTTTTTCACTCTTCTTAATAAGAATGGTCTCAGAACTTAATGCAATCTATTAATAATAAGTAATTATTCTTCTTCATCTAATGAAATATCCTTCTCACTTGCTCCCATAATATTTAAAGGTGTCTAAAACCATTTTTCAAAATCTTCACAAGACGAAAATACTTTAGGCAACAAGAAATTCAATAAAGCCCACAATTCAGCAATATTATTTTGTAATGGAGTTCCTGTAAGTAATAATCTTCTTTCACTTTGATATTATTATCCTAAGATCATTGCGAATTTGCTTCTTGAATTCTTCATCCTATGTCCTTCATCGACTATTATATATTTCCATTCATATTTTGATAAAGTCAACTTGTCCTTTAGTACATATTCATAAGTCGTAAGACAGATGTTCCACTTAGTTGTTCTCATTTATTTTGAGATCTCCTTCCTTATTAAAGGAGAACCCTTGTAGATTATTTTTTTAATGGATGGAGCCCACTTCTCAAATTCATTGGACCAATTACTCAATGTTGACAAAGGGACAATAATAAAATATGGTCCAAAATTCTTCTTTGTTTCTATCAAATAACATAAGAGGGAGATGGTTTATATAGTTTTACCTAAACCCATTTCATCAGCCAATATACCATTCAAATTGTTATTATACAGACTGACCAACCAATCTAATCCTTGCAATTAATATTGTTTCAATTACCCTCCTTCCAATAATGCTGGTTACTGTGTTATCACCTCTTTTATTTTATGAGTTATGTTATAATATACTTTATTAGCTTAATTTAATTCATACCCCAAACCATTGCTAGAATTGATGTTGTCTATGACTTCATCCTCCTCTGTAATTTCCTCTCCTTTCTAAATCTTCACTCTTGCCCCTATATCCTTTAAAAATTAATCTGTTTATCTCAAAATTGACACCACTCTCTCCTTTTTTGCCTCATCTAGTTTCTCCAAAACTTAGAGATAAGTTTCTAGATTTCCTCTTCTGATATGTTCTATTCTTAACTGTTTATCTCTTTATTATTCCCTCTATTCCAACACAACCTTAAACTAAACACTTCTTTTTCTAGCATGTTTGTATTTCTTTCTATGAAATTCCATAAACTCAATCTAATGTGCAAATATTGCTGACATGAACTCCTTCTACTTTATCTTCTTCCTTCTTGCTTATTCATGTCTTATCATGCTTAATTCAAATTTGTCTGACAACTTACTCTCAGTTCTCCTCTGAGGCTTATCTCTTTTAAAATAATTTCTATCTAGTAATAATCTTTCCAGCATCCTTGATTACAATACTGCCTAATTTTCTTCCTACAACAATGGATTCAAGATAGAATCTTTAACCTTCAAATAAAATTCCTTTGAATTTATAAACAATAATTCAATCTTCAAACTCACGTATTTTGGATCATTTTGATGGGTTTTCTTTAGCTCCTATTCTATATCCGATCTCCTCTTCTCTAAATACCCTTTCATTTGTTCACTAAATAAAGACATATCCTAAGGAATTCATATCAATGACCATACATCGCAAGTTTAATCCAATTTAAGCTTCGGATATCTGTCTCTAAAAATTGATTTGAGTTCCTCATTTTTATCAATTTTGTCATGAAAATATTGAATCGAATTCTAGAATATCTTTTCCCTCTCTGCCTCCCACTAGTCCTTGTTGTATGGGAACATTAATTTTTCATTTTCTATGTGGTGATTTCTATAAGGTTACTTTCAATATTACCTTTGAACTTGCTTATAAGAAATAATTTGCTACCTCAGTTGGTATACTTATTTTTCATCTTAATTCTAAATAAATATAAATGAATATTTACATAATCTGCTTCTTATTACATTTTTAAAGATTTTTAAAATCTAATGCAAAAATTTTTATATTTTATGTATAAATACAGATCATTAAATACCCACAAATTTTATTCATCTGAACAAAAAATGCACTCAAAAATTTTGCTTACATTCCTTTCCCATTAAAAGATGAAATATTAACTTCTAGAAATACAAGAATTTAGAAATTATTAAATAAAATCACAATCTAAAACATTTATAAATATCTGAACTTAAAATGAGATTTTAGAATATTTATTTTCATTAAAAAAACAGAAAGCAATTTAGTTTGAAAATGATTTCTCTTTCAATTCTCACAAAGAAATAATCTATGAGTTGATGCTTTAGAAATTATGAAATTATTGTTGTAAATAATTACATAAATTTTGATAAAACATCCCTATTTGATTTTTATTTATCAATAGGAACTTATTATTATCATTTGTAAATTTGCATTAATATACAATTCTAATATTTTTATTTAAGTATGATCATTATTATTTCAATTTAAATGACATTGAAGAACTTAAAACCCTATTCAATAATCTACCTTAGCTCGCCTTTTTAGATTGATATTTTAATTTACCAAGATTGGTCTCCATTTAAACTTCTTGAACCTCGCCAACTTATTAATTTTTCTATATTTCTTCATTTATAATATAATCTTTTTCCTCCTATATTTCTTCAATGATTTATAAATTTTTCTCAATTTTATTATTATTTCTATTCTCCTTATTTGCTATTTCAATTACTCTTTTCTTATCAATTTCTTGCTATTCCATTTAGATCTTCTTTTTTATTTGAGCTTATATTTGATATAAATGCTCTTGTTATCTCAAAGAACCAAAACATCCCAATTATTCATAGGTTTAAATTTATTTGATATCAACTTTATTAAGGAAATTTTGATACTATCCAATATCTTTAATCAGAACAGATTTTTGTTGATCTAATTTTTTCATTTAATCAACCCATTTAGAGTATTCCTTTTCACTCAATTCAGCCCTTTTTTTATTTATCAGAATATCAAATGAGGTGTCTTCAATCAATATTGATGCTAGTTTTTTCTTTTCATTGAGTGTTTCTAAGTTTTTTTGGTTTAATTGTTATTCATTACTAAGAATCATTTATTTTACAATAATATATATTATTTATATAATATTCTATGTCAAATCTCAACTTTTTTGACCTTCTCTCCTAGATCAGGAACTTCTTAGGCGATAACTTTAAGTTTGTCCTTGTTTTATAATAATTCAGCTGTATTCATTTTAGTAGTCTTTTATTTGATCTTACTATGCTTTTCTTAGATTTAACTTTTCAATATATCTGCATGTCTTAAATTTACTTCTTTAATGTACTAAAATATAATGTGAGTTGAATACATCAAATTTTTTTTTTTCATGATCATTGTAATTGTCTAAGTCTTATTTCCAAATTTCTGCCTATCTTTTATTGAGTTCTTCCTCCTCTTCTTATCTTCTTTTTTTTTCTTCTATTTATGAATTTAAAAACGATCTCAATTATTATCTTTAATCTAATTATTTCAACTTTTTCTTTTCTTCTTCAATTTTTTCCCTTTCATTCTATTAGATAATATTCCTTAACATTTTTTCATCCTCTTATTTAATCAATTCTTTTTAATCTTTAACAACTCCTTCGGCAAACATTCCCATAACTTTTTTCATTTTTTCTTCTCTCTATTTCCTCTCTAATTCTCGTTATTCCTCCAATTGATTTTATAAACTGATGTATTATTGTTGCATTTAAGTTTCTGCCTCCTTCTCCAATTTAGCATCCTCCAATGCTTTCTTTCTATACTCTTCATTTTCTTTCATCATTCTCAGAAAACGCTCTCTCTCTTTGTTTCTTCTATTCAATTACTCTCTTTATTCTAATTCTAGTTCTTCTCTAATTTTTCTCACCAACAAAGTATCGAGTTCCTTTTCTCTCTTCTATTCTACTTTTCTATTAAAATACTATAAATATTATGTTACTTTCTTTGCTATTCATCTCTTACTTATTTGTCTCTTTGCAACTTTTCGTTATATATTTTATTCTACAAGTTATCGTGTTTGTCCTTCTCTCTCTGATCATAGACATTCAATTGATAATGATGTAACTTCACATAGGCATCTTCATCTTGAACCTCTTCATGCTTCTTATTTTACTTCTCATTTATTTATCTATCCAACTCTGATTTGATCTTCTTCTTAAATTCCTACTTTCTAATGACTTCAAGTTCCTTCTCTTTTTTATACAATTCAGTATCAAATTTAACTAACGTCGCCCATTCATCGTCCTCGTCTCCCTCCATCATGTACACTGATTTCGGTGCCTGACTTATAATTAACTGTTACCTTAGAAGAGGTTTCAGAATAGACATCCTGACGTTATTATGGACCTGTTTGAATTAGTTATTGGTTCGATTTCCTAGACTAACTGCTTGCAGGTTTCTATTGTGGGATCTACTACAATTGTTGTTACTGGGTGACTACCGAATACATCATAGTCATACCTTAGGATTCCTTGATTGATTATTCTGCTTGAGACTAAGTTGTGGATCCTGCATTTTGAATTGCCTATTGAACTTGTTGCTTTAAATTTTTCAAGGTAACATCGGTAACTCTGGTTTTTGAGAAATAATCATTCACGATATTGGTGATAATCTAATCTCTAAATTGTAAGTTACTTATATTTTATTTTTGTTATTCTTTCCAAAATCCTTTATAAATCTTTCCAAAACAGTTTACTTGAGTTGTTCTCTCTATTGTTAAATAAGAGCCTTATCGATGCTTTCCTTCTTCTTTGACTCATTTGTCACAGTACTCATGAATATTTATATATAATAAAAATTAATTAAAAACCATCCCTTAATACATTTGTATTTAATTAATTAAAGCGCCAATAATGGAGAAATAAAAAAGGAAGAAGCACGGAGCACACAACGAATCCAAGAGTCTGTGGAATTACACACTGTCTCCAGGTTGGTCCTAAGAAGAAGTTAAGATTCTTAAACTTGCATTGCAGAAATTCGGAATTGGCAAATGGAGAAGCATCGTCCAATCAGAATGTTTGCCAGATAAATCCATTGGATAGATCTATATCTAAACTTAGAGAATGCTTGGATAATAATCGTTGGGAGATTTTATGGGTATAAATTTAATATCTATCATATGAAAATAGGATTGTAGATTGATTTAGAAAAGGTGTGGATAGACAATAATCAAAAAAAGGGAGTAATGAGAAAAAATGGATGTGTTATTAATACAGGGGACAATCCAAATAAGGAGGAAAGGAAGTAAAGAATCGAAGATAATAGATAGAAATATTCGATATCTCAGGAGGAAGTAAGAGTATTTGTGTATGATGTAAGATTAATAAAATAAAGTTGCCGCGTTTTAAGAATGATTGCGTGGCTAAATATTTCACAATTTAAGAAATTGAAAATGATTAATTTACAACTATTGAAAAGTTATAACATTTTGTGAATTTGGAAATAGAGATTGACAAAAAACTTAAAAAGATTTAGCTGATGAAGTCAAACACAAATGGTATAGGTTATCATAATGGTAATGGAAATGGCATTAATAATCACAACCATAATAATCACTTAGATGAATAAAAGTGATAGTTTTAATTTTGTTTGTTTAGAAAATAAATTAATCATAAATAAAAATTATTATTTACAAGTCACTCATAATCATTTTTTAGTTGAAGTGTTTTTTGACTCCATATTAATATAATTAATTAAATAGTAAAAATTGAGAATACTTATTTTTAAAGTTTATGAATTATTAAAAATTTCGTTAAAATGTGGATTTCTACTTAAAGCCTCAAAAGGAAAAGCTAGAAAGTCCGAAAGAAAAATCGTTTGTTTCTCCTATTAGGATAAAAACATAATAAAGCAATTAAGAATCTGAAAACAAAAAGAAGGCATTGCCTGTATCAAATATGATGGACAGGATCAATAAAGTGATTTTGGATCAGAGAGTCAAATCCCCAATGACTACTTAAAGGAATATCGAATAACATAACAAGGAGAATCATTTCGAATGTTTCTTAAAACGATAGGGTTATTTAGCCAATTATTATAAACATAGATGAGAGTGTAATATAATTATATATATATATATGATTATCAACTATGAAGTTTACTTTTATAGAATTAAAGTTCCTATTTTGTTAATTAAATTCGTTTTCCTGTTTAATCAATTAAAGGATGTCCATCCTAACTAAGAATAAATCCATTCTCATCCACTTAATACATTAACTCTTCATCTTCATCATCATTCTCATGTATTGTTGACATTCTTTAAGCTAATAAATTAAGTTTAAGTTATACATTTTAATTGATCAAATTCTTCTTTAGTAATTTATAAACTATTAGGATCATGCACATTAATATTATCTAGACTATCGATCATCATCTACTCATTCAATGCTTTGATAGGGGAATCCTCATTAGATTAATTAGTTGTCTAACTTGTAGTCTTTTTAGTAATAAACTATTAGTGGATTGACGGTTAAGCAATCTATTATAATGGTTAAGATATTTTGTTTTATTTGATGTTTTGTAAGTTTGTAATATCTGTGAGTGGATGATCCGATTATATGTATTCAATATCGTGTATCTCACTATTTGAATCTTTACTAGAATTTAGTATTGAACTTAGATGGTCAGGTATTTTGCGATTAATCAAGTAATCATTGACCTATTTGTTGAATTACTCATATTTCTTGATATATTGATCGTAATTATCTAGTGAATTTCTTTAAGGTATGTGTTTTTTATATTAATATTCTTCAGCTTCGTTCTCTTTGCCCTTATATGATTGTTATAATTTCTCAGACTACTTGCTGGTTGATAAATTGATCTAATAGAGTTGAGATTTTAATTTCTCAATTTGGACTTGCAAAGCCTTAAAGTCAGTCTATTCTTGCTTTTATAATTTATGAATCATTTCTCTACAGGTTTAAGTAATCTAAATCTGCATTTGTTCTTTCACTTAATTGAGTTATGATTCAATGTTCACTGGTTCTTTCTTCTTTTCCTATTGTTACTACTGCTACTAGATGATGAGTTGTTATTATTAATGCATATAATCGATCTATTTGTTTTATTATTCTAATAATTTTAGCATTTCCTCTCTTTAATTTTTAAGAGCGTTGTCTATATACATTTACAGAGAATTAGAATTCTAATTAGGTCTGTTGTTGGGCTAAGATTACATAGCTGGAACCTCTGGTGATTTGCTTGAATTACCATCGGGCTGACTCATTATTCTGAGACTCTGAAATCCCTTTGGACACACTTACTAATAAGGGATTTGATTGCTGTCTCGTTCTCTTGAGATTTGTCTGGGTTCGTTATCTAATTATAAATGCTGGATTCTTACAATTCTACATGGAGACATATTGAACCGGGTGAGTGGATGGAGTTACTTAGAGGAATTGAAATCGATTAGAATGTTCTAATTTAGTTGAGATATCTTACGTGATATTATTGCATTGCGTTGAATAGGACTTGATGGTGCTGGGGAAAGTCGACGCTGTTAATTCATTAAGAGTAATTAAAATTTGAAAATATTAATTGTATAATGATAAAAACTTATTATTGATGTTTGCATTTAATTAATTTTAATGAGGATTTTAATCACCAATAGCCAAGATAAGAAAAGTAAATAATACCCAAGGCTTATTGCTAAGGACAGTTCAGAAAATCAATAAGTAAAGTTCCAAAAAATTGAATTTTACAATAAATTACCAAAACAAGTCAAATCTAGTGTTGTCCTGAAAAGCCTATATAAACCCAACAACACAATACATAGTTTCCATTTAATCGAGATCGAGGATGACTTGCCAAGACAAAGACGAAAAAGTGACAACGAAGGGTTGATTTCATAAAAGATTGTAAGAGATTCAGTTTATTCTCAAGTTGGATATCGACATTAAATATCCTAGAACTGTGATATAATAGCATCAATTTTTATATAGAGTCAAAGACCTTAGAAGAAGAGCAATAAGGGGTAGAATGAAAACTAAATTTGAGAAATCGGTCAAGAAGATAGATACACCATCTGCAAGCAAATTTAATCCCTTAAATCCCCTTAACTCGAATAAGGATTCTCATTTTGCGAGTATGTAGGATATCAAAGTACTCAGGACTTTTACCAAGGATCGCACTTACTACTAACGACCATTGGTCTTAAAAGATTCGGACTTGATATCGGATTCTCCAAGTGAACCTAGTATTTAATTACAATAAACGAGAAAACATATTGTATTTACTCCAAAATAAAAGCAGTATGTTCTGCTCTAATTAAACAAATACAAACACAAACCTTTCGAACAAATTAAGCGAGATTCTATTATCAAATTTCTTTCAGAAACTAAAGAAACTCAAAATCATACTGTTCCTCAAATGACTCCTTTAATTTAACATCGGCTGCAACCTTATTTTTCTACTCATAAGAAAGTCAATCTAAAAAAATCGAGTTACCTATCTTCTTTTTAAAGAGTAAAAACAATAATATGATGAAATTTGTTTGATCACACATATATCTATATATATAAGTTAGTATCAATTATAATGGCTTCTGCTGGTTTTGCTACCCAAGGCATTTTTACTCCTTAACTTATGATTTGGTTATCCACAAGTGCTAAATTATAATTATGTATAATACTTAATGCTATCGACAGAATTTCTATAAGATACACTTGAATTTCTATCACAATTACTAATAACCTTATGGAATTTTTCAATAAAACTTTATTTAACACTACTACTAATAGGATTATCAATCTTCTCAAGATTCTTCAAATTTATTTTTTAGACAGGAAGAGGAACCTTCTTTTTTACATCTCTGTAGTAGTTAATAATTTCATCTTGAGTGCATTAACTAAGATTTAACTCATTATTTGATGGTGCTGGTTCTTCATCTGAGTTAGAAGATTGCTTTTTGAAGATTTCTTTAAAGTTAATTCTTGAATTTTATTAAATTAATACTTTTTTGCTTCTTCCATTTATTTTTTAGCTTGCACATCAAAATTTACTAAATATTCTTAGATGTTATTTTTTATGTTCTGTCTATATTTCTCTAGGTTTCTGCTAATGTGTGAATCTCTTAAAGCAGTGCTCTGATATTTATCCGACCAAAATTCAGGACAATGAATGCGACCATTGTTTATCAAAGTCACCTTATGCTTCTCAGGCTTCAGAGGCTCAAATTTACGTTTTCGATAAATGGCAATAGTATCCTTTCTGTCCTCTAAAGCCTTATCTTTCAGGAGAAACTGCAAATAGAAATCTAATATTAAACCGGTAATGAGAGCATCACGTTGAAATTAATATTTTTTTTTTTAGCTAACTACTGCAGAGTGAATTATTCAATGTGAGGCAACATGTTTTGTTGGGGTTTCATGATCTCGGGACTGTGTGCAAAATTGTCTTGCATGTATATAATTTAATATTATATAATGAAAGTGCAAAATAATAAAAATGCAAGATAAATAAAACAACTTATCGATTTACTGATTAAATGATTGATGAATGCATGCATTTTAAACGATTTAATTGCAGACGAATAAGAAATTTAATATTATTTAAAATAAAAATTATCAGAATAGAATGGAAATCGGAGTTCAAAAATAAACAGATGAGGAAAAGCAAGCATAACCAGGGCAATTCAACAAACTTGATGATAGTGGCGATAAAAAGTAAACAGGATACTGCGGATTTCTTACAGTGGAGTATTCCTCCAATTCTATCATAGATATTATACTCCCTATTTCAATGTGACAGAAACAGATGTTATAAACAGAATCAAAGCAACCTTTCTTCCTTTCCGACCAGATTTCCTGAATATAACCAAAGAGAACCCAGATTTGTATTTTTGTAGATTTATCATATAGATGGGGGCCAATATGGATCAATGCCACTTTAATTTTTCTGATTACAGCAATTGCAAATTTGAGACAAGTAGATGCAGAAAAAGAAAATCAATCCTTTGAGGTCGGTTACGTGCCTTAAGCAACAGCATTGCTCTACATAATTGCATTTGGAACTCCAGTCATTTTAGCTATTGTGATGAAGATCTTGGGAGTCGATTTGAGTTTCTTCTAAACAATTTGTTTGTATGGTTATTCCATGTCTACATTGTTGCCCATCACAATCCTTTGTTACTTCTAGAATGAAATGTTTTTGTGGATGATTATAGCATATGGAGTTGGAAATTCAATATTGTTTTTAATTTTCAATTTGAAAGAGTACTGATATATACAATAATTTTAGAGAGTTAGATAAGTTATAGATTCAAAAGAAGTACATAATTATTGGCATAGTAGTTACAATGTAATTGTCTCTCTACTTGTTTTATAAATTGGTTTTCTTTTCTTATGTATCAGAGGGAAAAATAGAAATATCATCTGAAGCATAAGGAGAAAAATAACCTGGAAATTGATCGTTCTAAATATATATTTTATAATGAAATAATTCAACCTTTAATTTCATTCCATATCCAAATAATTTTGTAATAATAAAATACTTAAAATAAATATTCTTTTTTGTTACTACTAAAATAGATGATTCACAGTATTCATTTCATTTATAATAAGAGCTCCAGAAATAATTATGCGATTTAATGAAGATGAATTTGCTAAGCAGAAAATTCCATCCAAAAAGCTGAACATAGTAAAGATAGAGTAAAGAGAGTGCATGAAGGATTTATTAATATATATCTAAAATTAACAATCTGAATTAAGTAAAACGTAATTAAAATTAAAAAGAATTAAAACATAACCAACAAATGTCTGGACATTAAATCATTACTCAACCCTAGAGTCGTAGTCAATATCAAAGCAACAATAATATCTTAACAGCTCAACCAATTCAGTAGTAATCACAAAATCCTCTGAATTATCCAAGTAATGCCATTCCTGCACCTTTCATGCCTCCTCAAATGAATCAATAATAATATGCATAATCACAAGTATACCAACCAAAATTGATGGAAAACACTGTGAGAATGTAATAGCAACCTGAAACACATTGTCCATTCTGCTTGACTTGCTAATAACATAAGACTGATCTATTAGCAAGGTAGGACGCATAGAAAGCTAAACCTTAAGGTAATGGTAATTTTCCAGAATATGAATATGGTGTTTGTCCTGATTGTGAGGGGGAAACTGGAGAAGGAGATCCAGAAGATGATATTGGAAAGGAAAATTAGAAACTTCGAGATGACATTGCTGCCAAAGCCAAAGCGAATAGAAAGTTGAGGAATGATGTGGCTCGATTATAAACTGAATTAGATAGAATCAAACATTTGCCAGAGGAAAATGAGAAATTAAAAGCCATGATAGGCCCGTTGGAAGATTAACTAAGAGATGCTAGACATAAGAATTAAGATTTACTTGATGACAATAATAAATTGGGAAATGTATTCTTATTAATTATCCTTATAGTAAGTCAAGGATCTTAGAAATAATATAGATAAAGCTAATAATGCAGCCAAAGATAATGATAATATGAAAAAGGAAATTGAGGAACTAAAAAAGAAGAATAAGGATAACGATAAAGTAATGGAAGAGAACAATGATCTTAAGAATAAATTAAACAGATTGAAGGGAGACAGAGATAAAATGCTAGCAGATTTAGCTGCCTTAGAAAAATAGAATGGAGCAATCAAGTAATAAATTATTCAGAATTAAGGGATAAATTAGGAAAATTAGCCAAAGAAAACAATGATCTCTAAAAGGATTTGGGAGATTTGAAGAAGGTAAACAAGGATTTGGAAAAGAAATGCAATGATCTACAATTAGATAATGACAATTTACATCTGAATCTGGGTGATGTTAAAGGAGACAGAGATAAAGCCAAAGATCAATTAAATGATTTACATAAAAATAGGAATCAATTGCTTGATGAATTGGGTAAAGTGAGAGATAAATTAAAAGACGCAGAGTATCCATTTAATAATATTATTATTCTAGGAAGGATAAAGATGATCTGGGTAAAAAATTGAATACTGTATAAAATGATGCAAAAAAGGCAGGTGATGTACCTAAATTGAAAAGATAATTGGACAATGCCTTGCTAGAATTAGATGACTTAAAAGCTGAAAGATAGGAATTAGAGTATTCTAAATTATTAGTATTTTAGTGAACATTTAAAATAAGTTCATGATGATTACAATAAGGCTTTGAAAATACTGAAAGACAACGGTCTCTTAGGATTATTGGATCCATCTGAATAGCAACCTAATTAGAAACCACCAAACACAAATGGGTAATTAGGTCCATCTGGTTAAGCCTACAATCCTAATCAATAACCTCTCTATGGTCCGAATGGATAACCTCTCTATGGTCCTTAAAATGGTTAGCCTGTTTATGGACCAAATGGATAGCCCATTTATGGACCCAATGGCCAACCTGTTTATGGTTCTCCTGGTTAATATGGATAGCCAAGTTAATAAGTTAACAGTGCGTATTTGGGAACTCCGAATCAAGTTTCTTAGAACAAAATTGGAATGAATCCCATGAATTAGTCATATTAATGGGGAGGTGTTAGTGGAAATGCCGGGAGACCCTCATATGAAGAACTCATGTTGGATAATATTAGAATGAAGAAATGCATTGATTAGTTAAACTATGATCTAAAAAATAGTAAAAAATGATTTATCTGAATAAAACAACATAATAAGATTTTAATATATTGAAGGACTAAGATTATCTATATATATTTAGGTTATTTAGATGATTACTATTATCTCCATTAACAACATACATTTAATAAATTCATTATAAAGCTTTTCAACAACTATTGCAGCTAGATGTCGGCTATTCAGTTTAATTAGCTTCCTAATTTAACTTAAATTGCCCAGATTATCTCTATGTATTATTAGAAACCTTTTGTCCTTCATTCTCCAATCTAATCTTCAGATTTTAACCCAATCTATCGAAAATATCTTCTAATATATACAATTCATGTTTGTACGTATATTCTTGTTCTCCAAAGCACTAGTTTCTAGAAATGGCATATTATACTTTTAGGCCAACTTCTCCCCTTCAGCTGTTTAGACTCTTCTATCTTAAGAATCCAATTTATTTCCTACTAAAATTGAACAACTAGAAATTATTTAGGAGAAATCGCTTACACTTCATCTGTAGTGCTTTCGAGAATTGATTTGATCCATCCTTCCACATTATTAAAAGAGTTTCTGTCGATCAAAGAATAAACAAATATTATTCCAAAGGCTCCTTTATAATAAGTTTGAGTGATGTTTCTAAAACGCTCCTATCCAGCTGTGTCCCATATTTATAGTTTAATTTTCTTATCTTAGATCTTGAATTCAATCATGAATGTACATTTAGAATTTTAATTTTAAAATCCACTCCTATTGTGGCAGTGTAGTTTTGAGAAAATTTTGAATCACAAAATTGCGTTAGGATATTGGTTTTTCCAACTCCTGAATCTCCCAAGACTATCACTTTAACAAGCCAATCATAATATCCTAAGGACATTTAGATTTTGTATTATAATTATTATATATAGCAATTAAGCATTTTAGTACTTTGACGAAATAATTTAAAGATAATTCTTCAATTGTGAAAAATTATAAATAATATATACAAGAATTTAATTCTTAAATTTGATAATAAATCTTATAAAAAATTATGGGCTGCACTTAATAAAAAATATCATCTCCGGCCAGGTACAGAAGCAATGAAAGCCTCACTAATGAACAACCTGACACCATGTAAACTAACTAGGTTATAGTCATCCAATAATTGAACTAAAAATAACTATAATAAAAGATTAACTAGGGAAGGTATAACATTCTCCAAAGGGTTATACTTCGGAAAGATATATGTAAATATTATAAATCATAAACATAGTGAATAGTACCATTATGATCAGGAGGTAAAGAAATCAAGAAAATTTACTTTCTGAAAAACTGTATGTGACTAGCTCTAATGGCTGTAATTGATAAAGTGAAATATATTATATTATGTTAACTAACTATAACTAGAGAAAAAAGAAATTTGTCATTTTTAGTCATTTTTTTAAATTGTTAACACATTTTTCAATATTATTTGACAGCTCAAAAATAGCGGTTAAGATGAAGTATGGTTAAATACAGTTCGTCTAGACTCAAGTACATCTAAATTAATCAAATTACGAGTAAAGTTAAGTTTAAGTGATTAATAATAACTTTAATATTTTTAATTACAAAAATGCAATTTAAAATAATTATTGTAAATTAGGCTTCTTATTATTAAATTACTGAGTAGCTGATTTTGGTATTTTATCGTAAAGAAACTAGAGTTTAAAAAGGAGGAATCTATTTCCTCCCTAGATAATTTAACAAATTGAATTAGATTTAAATTTTGTTGAAAAAACAAAATGAATGCGAGAAATTAAATTAATATCATAATTGTATTTTTAAAAAGAAAATAAATAGATTATTATTCCCTGAGTGTCTTCTTATTCAATTATATACTATTAAAAAATTGGGTTCCTTTGTTTTATATAATCATTAAATAGGGAATGACCATTTTAATTTAAACTATCATTAATATAATATGAACTCTGGGTTGAACAACTAAAATTCTTTGTTTCAGCAGCTGACTCCTGCTTAACTGGAGGAATATTAACAACAACTTAGGTATGATTCTAAACCCATTTTCGCCTTATCGTATTACCCAAATAGCTCTATTCAATCATTTGGCAATTCATTACTTATTTTAGATCATCGCAACTTTTCAGTGCCTTCCTGAATATAAAACCCTATGTTTTTCCAGGCTTAATCCAATAATTTCCAGACAATGCCAATAGAACCCCTTAACCATAAGATCTGTTTAATAGCAATTTTGGTAAGATATCATCAAGTTCGCCCTCAACTATCATATAATGACCTTATAGTTTTTAAATTGCCATATTTAATGTAGGTTTTGGAGGAGCGTTAAATTCATTTGATTATACAAAACTTTTACAGAAAAGCCTTTAGATGACTAATCTGACATCCTTGAATCCCTTCACGCCTAATCAATTGTTCTGCCAAGCTAGTCCAGGGAATTAAAGGAAAACTAATAATTTTAATAATCCCATTACTGTTGAGGATGATGAACCATAGTAAGTTTAGAAATGTCACAATTAAAAATGCAATAATAAAGGTGATCGAAAAACGAAATCAAGAAAAGGGGAAGCCCTTTAATTTTGTGAGAAATGCCTGAGATTATACACTCGTGGAAATTATTGTGATTTTTGTGAATAGGTATTAAGAATTATTATAGAATTATTTTTTAGATATATTCAAATGGCACCAATGATTAAGATGAATAGGAGTGGATACAATGCGATGCTTGCTAAAAATGGGTACAAATTAGAATTATATGAAAGAATCATTTAAATTGCGAAGCTAAATTTAGGAATCAAAACATCAAAGAAGAAACTGAAAATTAAGTTTATCATTGTTTGAATTGTTCGAAAACCATTAAAAAGCAATAACAACAACAATAACAATAATAATTATATCAATAATAGCAATAACAATAACAATAACAATAAAAATAAACGAATAGTCAATAACCAAAGAAATAAGAGAAATCTATAGAAGAATACCAACCAAAATAGAGACAAAATATTGAATGCGAAGATAATAGAATGCGAGAGAAAAACATCAACTTTGTTGCCACCAAAGATAACAAAATTTAGTTTAGTAATTTAAATTATTTATGAAAATTATAAGCATTCAGATTGAATCTTTATGAGGATGAAATTAAACAAGACTTAGATTCTCTTCGAAATGCAGGAAAAAAAATGGTCAAGAAACAGAATGTTGTTGATTCACCTATCATGAAGATAAACCCTACTCCACAATTGCAATAATAATAATAATAATAATAATAATAATAATAATAATAATAGTAGCAAGAAGAGAAAGTATAAAGTATTTCCTAATTTAGAACCCTGAACATCAAGTAAATAGCAGACTTAGAACTAGACCTAATAATAAAAATAAAGTTAATTACAGATATTTGGGAGGTGAATGAATAACATATATCAAATTTTAATTTAAATATCACTCACATTAAAATCAAAATCATGATCTAAATTGAGGGTAATGCCTTAGAAAAAAGAATTAATTATATTCCTGAATATTTATATGTTTTATTTACAATTGAAGTGGATTTATTATATTATGAATGAAAATATAATCTGAATATTAAAATTATTATATGTCAGTATAAAAAATATATTATGTGCCTGAGCCTTTAAAGCCATCACCAAATTACCGAGAAATTGTCAAGTAGTGAAACGAATATATGTAGAAAATTAATAGATTCTAGACAAGAGGATAAATAGAAAATAGATGAGTATTTAGATCATTTCCAACCAACAATTGATGAAACAAGAGAAAAACAAGATTAGTTTCTTGGCAAAAGGTGGTTTTTCTAATTTATTATTTCAGATATCGATCTATATTGTAAGCTCTTGAAAGGGCCAAGAATAACTTAATTAAGTATAATTTATCTTTGTTGGAATTGCAAGACAAAATTGAGAAAAGTGTTGAAATCAGAAAAGTGCTTGAAGATGTTAACAACTATAAAACATACAGCGAAGCATTGACAGAGAATATTAATAAGTTATAAAATCAAATTTCTGAACATACTAAAAGATGCAAAAACCTTAAAAGGGTAATTGAGTACAAACATGCAGCACTCAATAAATAAAACTCAAAGAATCTTGTTCTATTAAGAGAAATCAATGCAGCCAGACATCAATTAAAAAAATAAAAGAAAACGTCAGATACTCAAAGGACACAGCAATAAACTACCTTTTATCCTTAAAAGCCATTAAGTCAGTCTAGTTAAAAGCAAGAATAACTAACTGATCCCCAAATTGATTAAATCAAATATGAGAATAAACAAATGAGATACCAATTAACTTCCTATAGGAATAATAAATATTTGAAGATGGAATTATTTAATGAATGCATGGAGGCTTATAAAAGGTATGATTCTGAGATATGCTATTTAGATATTTTTCTAAATCCTAAAAAGTAGTCAAGAATTCTGGTCTCTAACACTCTCTACTTTTCTTCATTTAAAAGGCATAATTCTCATTATAAGATAACGCCGCGAATAATAGATATAATCATAAGAATTTGAAGAGCGTAATGGCAGGAAGACAAATTAGAAACCTAGTTCATGATACACTCAAATAGATGGCTGAGGATAAATAAAATAAAAAAAATCCATCCTTTGATAATTTGCAGTTAGAGTGGGAAATATATAAGGACTACAATGCTATGCAAATTGTAGCCTTAATGTGTTTGAAACCTAAAATATTTTCTGAGTTGGCCTAGATGTTCTAATAAGAAGTTTTACATTGAATGATAATTCATTATTGTCTACCAAAAATATTAATATTTGAATGACCGATACATTTGGTCTGTTTGTCTTATTTATAGATAATCAGATTCTTTGATAAGCAAGGAGACTGTTGGAATGGGATTTAATAATTTTCTCGAAATAAATTACATAATGTTATTTAATATATATATTTTACTTATTTTTATTTATTATAAAAATGGCAAAGAAAAAATAATAAATTGAAGTTGTAGAATTTACAGAGGCTGAAAAGAAGGCACTTGAAAAATTGTAATTGTTTTGAATAAACATTAACTAGAGATCATTCTCATTTATTGATTGAAATTTAAGTATTGTAGGATAGAATAGAGGAGTTATAGAAAAAGATTTACGAATTAAATGAAAATATAAGGAAGTCTAATGAGTAGAATGTAAAGAGTTTATAGATTTATGTTTAGTTGGCTTTGACCTTAAAAATGGAATCTGATATTATAAAAAAGGAAAGTGAATATAATGCGCTGCTATAGTAGTATGAGGACTTAAAAAAATAAACAACAGAGGAAATAGAGAGTATGATACAGAGGAAGGATGAAAAAATCAGATGTAATTTTGTTATTGAATTGTAAGATTTGGAGAAGGAAAAAACAGAGTTAGAAATCAGACATAAAGATGAATTATAAAAGATAAATGAAGAGTTGAAAAAGTGGAGTTAATTCAAAGTAAGTTTGACACAAATATTAAGGAAGAAAAAGAAAATTTAATAAAAGAAATACATGATTTAAAAGAGGAGATGATCAAAAAGGATTATGCTCATCTGGATGAATAAAGCAAGGCAAATAAAAACTTTCTTAAGTAAACACAAAACTTGACAAACGTAAATAATGCCAAGATAGAAGATGTTTAAAGAAATGCTAATAAGCTGGCTGAAGAAAAGGTAGCTGCTAAATATGATGGAATTCTAAAGGAAAATGAAAAAATAAAGAGTGAATTGTTAGAATATTAGAGAACTCTACAAGTATATTAAAAGGATAAAGAAACATTCTAATAGGAAAATGTCAATTATAAATTAAATCTAAGTATTAAAGAGGAGTAGGCTCAAGAGTATATTATTATTTCACTTTAGGTATTAAATGATGAATCATCAATAAACAATCAAGATTAAGTAATTAAAAGAAAGAATTGAATATTTAAAATCCTACATCGCTAATGTAATCATTTTGAATATATTCTACTAAGGAAGTTACCAAATAAACTAAGGAAATTGAAATAATGAAACATCAAAGTAATACAAAGGTTTAGGAATTGGAAATGCAATTGAGAAATTTGAGACACCTTCTTGATCAAAGAACTAAAGAATTGAAGACAGTAAAGGCTTTAGCCTAAATGATTTTAGATCAAAGATCAGATATTGAATAGTTTTTCCTTTAAGCTATAGATCAAGTCAAAAATGAGATCAAGAAAAAGAACAAAAATCAAAAGAATAGTCGCTTACCTGATATATCATAAAAATCTCAAAGTCTTGAATAAAATAAAGTTGATATCAATGATTTGGATTTAGAGGAGAAGGAGAAGTTGTTGAGGATCCTTTTCTCAAAAATGAACTAAGGAGTACCACCCATAAATTGGAAATCTTAACTTAGCCATGTATTTAACTTTAATCCAATATTATAGAGTAAATCTTAAGTGGATGCCAGTTCATTTAGGGATAACCAATATCAATGATTGTTGGGGATATGATTAATAAATTATTATTATTTAAAATTGTATTTAAAGAGATGATAATGGGGATACATTTTATATATTTATATCGTTTTTAATGAGAGTACGTTTTTGATTAATAATTATATGAAATTCATTATTGTTGTTTTGTTCGCTCTTGCAGCAACAACCTATGCTTCAAAAACATAGGACCAAATCATTGCTTTATTATAAGTAAAAGTATTGCTATCTCTGATAGACTGGAACAAAAGCAAGTGATGCTATTGATACAGTTTTTGGCTTACTCAATGATTTAAAGCAATCAAATATTGATGCTCAATTTGCTGCAGATTAAAAGAATGAAACAGATGAATGGGTTGGTGCATAGTAAATAATCATAATAATCCACTTAGAACTATCGAACAATTCACAAAGATTAAAAGTCTGAACTAAAAACTTTTTAATTAAGCCATCGAGAATAGAGCCAATTATGAAGAAGTTCTCAAATAAACAAAGAATTATTTGGCTTGGAATGAAGCTAGAAGAGATGAAATCGCAAGAAAAATCGATGCTCTCTAAGATAATTAATGCTTTAGCAATTAACTTTTCGTCAAATCCATTAAACACAACTAAGAAGCTCTTGAAGTCATCAGACTCTTGAAATAAGACGTTGCTGGTTACATCATCAACGGAGACTCATTTGAATTTACCTAAGTCAAGGCCTAATCAGTTGCTGAGAAATTGAAACAATACAGCAATCTTTTCCAAGACCATCAAATTAAATCCTTTTTGGCTTTAGCTAACGGACAAGAAGTATATACAATAATCATCACACTAGGAAGGAGCATCATCTGGTCATGGAGCAACCTTAGCTGAAAAAGTATTGAGTGTTCTTGAAGGATTAGAATCTGAATTGTCTGCTTCATTAGAAAACTTGAAATAGAATGAAATCAATGCATCATGGGAATTAGCTGGATGGGTTTCATTATCTGAAGCTGAAATTTCCTCCTTAGAGGTCGAATATGAAAGAAAATAAGTCTTTGCTGACAGAACTGCTACTGTACAATATCATATAAATCTTAGTAAATCTAAGCTGCTTTGGCCTAATAAGCTAAATCAAAGATCATCTTATAAGAATCTCAAGATGCTTTAGATCAAGCCCAAGCTGACTTAGAATCCAAAAGAGCTGATTATGCTGAAGCCAAGGCAAAGAGAGAAGAAGAGAATGCTATTCTTGATGAGGTCATCATTATGTTCAAAAAGTAAGTTGCCTCCTGGTCAGGAAGATGAAATTGATATATATTATCATATATTACAATCAATTATAAAGAATTTTAATTTACAAAATATCCATAATTAGTAAAATTAATATCAACTTGTACAGTATATTAATATTCTTAATTGACAAGACTAAAATAATATATTGCTACTGCAATAGTATATTTATTTTGCTTAATTATAATCAATTTTTAAATTATTATTTTTTTATTTATATTTTGAGGGATCTTAATTATTTGACTATTATTTCAACTTTTAAATATCAAAAAAATAATATAGATTTTCGTTGACTTAGCTTTTTCTTAATTTATATTTAATATATGAAAATAATCCTATTAAAAAGGAATAATAATCAATCGCAAATAGAGAATGAAACTCATATTATTCAAAAACCTTTGAAAGATTTATTTATAACAGTATTTTAAATATATGATTAGGTTGTTCTAAAAAATAGAGTAATGATATCAAACAAAAATTAATAAAATAATATGAAGTAAATTAAAATGATGAATAGTGTAAAATAAATAGGAAGTTATGGAAATTAAATAGGATACTCGAAATTCTATTTCTCAATCAATATATTCATAAATTAACTGTTAATTTAAAAATTGGGGGATTGCTTATAACATGTTAAATCAATTTTAGTTTTTCAATTTTTATCATTCTTAATGACATCTTCTTAATCTTCTATTATGTTTTATACACATCTAGGATAATCATTATTATTCTATTGTCTATAAATAGGTGAGTAATCTTTCTAATAGCTAAATGAAACAAATTTACTAGATATGCCATAATATTTTTTGCAATAGAGTCTTTTTTAATCAAAAAAGTTGGGATGATTAATTCAGGCATAGTAGGAACATTTTCTCGATTATAAACTCTCAATTTATGTTCCTCTATATCCATCCTTCCATTTCCTGATTAAATTTTATTCTTTGATGTTATATTTAGAGCAGGAGGTTTCTTCTTTAATTTCTAATGTTTAATATCTGCCATTTATTACTGCAAACATAGCTGGATTTTATCTTTTTGCAAAAAAACGTTCAATCATATTATTATATATGCGATCTCGATTTTTCACAGCTTCCGAATAGTACTATTACCTTGGTTGCTTTTTAATTTGAGGTGATTAATTTGTTTGAATCTCATCACAGCTTTATTAGACTGATACTTATTTTTCCTCTTTAACATTATCTTATTAGTATTGTAATTATATATTAGGATTGGTAAAAAAGTCAACAAAGTGCTTTTAAGCAGAACTTTCTTCTGTAATTCTTTATTAATCCTGCAATTCTTTTTGTTTTTTCGATAATTCCATTACTCTCCGATATGCCTATATTTTTTTATCAATTTGTCTAATTGCTTCTGGTATTGGAATAGGTTCTGGGACATACTTGATATAGCACAATTAAATACAGCAGAAACATATTAGATTTAGGGTTGTTGTAGCTTAATTAGTTCTTATGTAATCTTTGGTTTACGGCTGACTTTCTTTAAATTGATAATTACAAAAACCGTTAAGCATTCCTCAATTAAGGGTGCGTATTGGAATCTTCAGACTCTGATAGAAAATTGGTCGGTTTTCTAGCTGATTTTATTTTCTCTTCTTGTTTATTAAAATAATAATCCGACATGTTTTTATAGTATAAATATAAATGTTTACAAATACTAAGTCATAAAATTTTTTTAGGATTGTATAACTTGTTTATGGCTTATTTTCCATTTAATTCTTTATAAAAGTTTTATAATTTAAAGATATTTGCTAATTGAACACGTACGTCATCCATCAATAGCACTATTTCTAAGAATGAAAGTAATAATTCGAGCTAATTATCATTTTATTGGCCTTCGTAAGGTAAGATCGGTATGCCATTATTGATTTATGCACTTATTATTGAGATGAAAATACATAAATTTTTTGGGAGAATTTTCAACAATTACAATATCTTTAAGATCAGTTTAAAAAATTCTCAAATCTTTAACATTGTCAATCATGTGTTCTGATGTACAAATGGCCTTGAAATATTTTTTATTTGGATCTATAATTTTTAACATCTTTAAATTTATGGATTAAATTACGTTTATTGCGTGGTCTTGTTTTGCAGCAGTAAAAAGTACCAAAGTACATATCCTTGATAATCTTTCCAAAAATTCTTTACAAAAGGGACGAACCAAAGTCTGATTATTTTTGTGATATATTAGAGTCTCATCTAAATCCAACACAACAACTTTTTCGACTAAAAATAACATATAAACAAAATTTACATTTTAGTTTCTTGAGCTTCACAATACGTTTATCTATATACTCTTTGGGTGTTTCACCGTACCAATGTGATTAGATAGAGGCTTCATGAAGCTCTCTCGCTATTTTAGAATCAGGAAGTATTTAACTTCTGAATGTCACTAGTTACGGTTTTTCTGAATTTCCTGAAGAATTAGGTGTCGATTCCGCAGTGTTAACTAATTCCTAGTCATCAAAAGTGAAGATTTTTTTTTGTAAAAGAATTTGACAGGACTTGCTATGTTGAGCAATTCGCATTTTGATCAAACTAAAAAGGGTAAGATGATTTATTAAATTTAATAATTGTCAATAACTCATTAAAAATCGACCTTAATAAAAGAATGTATCAACATCTGATCATACTTTTATTAGTTTTATGATGATATCATTATACGAAAAACCAAAATAACTTGCTTAACTAAGAAATGTGCTTGGCTAATCTATGTCATTTGAGAATATATATCCACATATTAATTTACAAAATAATTTTTTTTTTATGTACATTATGATAAAATTTCTCAGTTATATATTTAGAAACAAAGTTTTCCCTTCAATTTAATTCTTAACCCATTGTTGTTCGTCCATATGAAATTCCTTTTAGACTCTAATAGGGATAACAATCTAAACCTGTTTAATAATTTCTACACAGACAGAATAGATAATTAAAATGAATTAAAATAAATCATTCTATTTTTAAAACAAGACTCATTGTTCAACCAAATGTTTAATTTCACTCTTTGTTTTATAAAAAGAATTGTATACATTATTTTTTCGAGTTGTGCTTAACTGTTGTGGCACATCCGTTTATTTGCTTCTTTTCTAATTTCTATTAAGAAAGTCCCTGTCACATCCAGATGACTTAAAATGAGATCATTAGCTAGGAAATCAAAAAAAATAAAATAAATAATAAATATTGAATAATTTAAGCATTAAAATGGAGTTGTATAAGAATAAAGTGACAAGACATTTTGACCTTGTTCATAAGCAATAAAATTTAAAATTTAAAAGTAACAATTGTTCATTGGAAATATTTAATTCCCTAATTTATACTCTTTTAAATTTAGAAGGAAAATTAATGTTGTGTTTACAAAATATTTATATTTAATTTAATATCAAAATTTAGTAATATAAATATTTTTATAATTTGTAAATTCACTTATGAAAATGTTTTAAAACAATGTATATGAAAAAGAACTAAAAAAAGCCATGTTTGCAGATTAATAATAACTAAAAACTAGGTTGATTTCTAAATTAAGGAAACCGTCAATGAAACATGATTATAATAAAAAGAAACTAGGCAGTATAATATTTTGAATAGATTTAAGTTTTTGAATTAGATAGAAAATTTAAGGAGGAAAACTTAAGATGCATAATATGTTAAGATTATTTCTAAAAATTTACCTTAACATTTTGTGGACATTCCTTTTGTTATTTGTGTATTTTCGAGCATTTATTAAAAAGTCATGTATATAAAAATTTTTTAATATCCAGAAATGTCCTAGTTGTTTTACCACCATAAAAGGACTTCAATTTATCTATTGTAAAATCATAGATGGTTTCATATAATCTCAAGTAGTTATATCTTCTGAAAAAAATAATGCTTTGTACCTTTCTCGGAAAAAAGATTTAAAAGCATGGAAAGCCAAGAAAAAAATCTAGACTTTTAATGTAGGCGATTTAGTGGACATTCTGGATACTGAACATATATGGTGTGTTGGTAGGATTTTGAACGTAAGATAAAAAAAGAAAGAAAATTATATCTTAGTTCATTATCAAGGATGGAACAAAATTTATGATGAATGTATATCCATTCATTCGCCACGATTATCTCCCATAGGACTGTTTACCAATAGGAAAGGTAGATATTCATTATTATTTTTGAGACATCCTATTATATCAACCAACCCTTAATGAAAATACAATGTCAAATTATATAAGAAGAATTGAACATCAATAAAACCAAGAATTAGGTCTATTAAATTACTTAATTTTGTAACAATAGAACTAGGGCTAAAACTTTATCATGGCCATTGAGTCTGCTGATAGGAACACTCTATCAAGTTTATTATCGTTAGTAATTTATATTAGAGAAATGTCCAATAATCAAAATTCATGATATATTTTTTATGGGTGTGTTATGATATATATATACTTAATTCATGTTTTTGAAATATAGTATATATTTAATTAAAAAACTCGATGCAATCCTATAAAGAAGCTTTATAACTGTTTTAAAAAAACTCAATGAATCTACCAATGACTGAACATGAAGATAAATTAAATGTATTAGTAATTAAAACTAGATTATGTTAGAATACTTACTACATGAATTAGAAAAAGACAAGAAGGAATTATAGATGTTGAGATAAGAAATCATACATGAGTCATACCTTTAGTCCTCAATTAATGACGATACTTCAACAAGCTTTATTGAAGAGATAGCCGATTTCACTCGAAATTTTAGAAAATTGGCTGAACAAGCAAATACTGAAATAAATGAATTAAGCAATTAAGTTGACACATTAAAAAACGAAAAAGCAAGAATCAAAAAATCAGCTAATTTATTGGATCATAGAGTATTTGAAATGGAAAAGGTTTTAGGAGTAGGTATTAATCCAGCTCAATCATAAGAGGCAAACAACTGAAATTTTATTACCATATCCCAATTTATTTTAAAAATCTCTATCTAAATCTCTTTCCAATTCATTAGTTTCTTCAAAAATTAATTACTAAATTTAACACATGAAAAATAGTTTTCATTTTAATTATTATAATTAAACTAATACCATGAAGTTTTTAAATTATTTTATAATTGATTATTTACAAGATAATAAATTTGTTAATGAACTAAATAAGCATGATTTCTCTAAAGGATTTTTAACACCTTTCGCTTTTAATCTGAATTTTGAGATAAATACTCATAAGGTATTAGAATTGTAATTAATATATTTAATTAAATACTAAAAGGATCAAGGTATTAGATTATCTATTCAAAATGACTTTTGTTTAAAATCATCTCTAAATTGATCGTAATCAAGAATAAAACTAATAAAGTTAATTATATCATAAATAATAATTCATTTTAAATAACAATTTTCTTATTTGATATTCAATTTTATCTGATTGAATATCTAATCAAATATAATAATGATTTTTCATAGAAAATATTATCTTTCAAGAAATATCAAGTTACATAAGGAACAATAAATGAGATAGTCAAATAGAAACTAATTTTTTTTAGAAATTAATAAGTGATTTAAATATTGAATCAATTAAAAAATTTTGATTATATACCACATAAATTAGATTATCTTATTAAATTAAATGTGTTTGAGGAGATATTGGATTCTTGTGCAAATGTGAGTGAATCTACCATTACATAATTAGTATATTTGAACTTAAGAAATCCACATTTCATATAAAATATATATAAAAAAGTAAAATATTAAATTAAATTAAGTTTTATGAGCGACGAATCAGAAAGTCTTGAATTTCCGAATGCTCCCTTTTATAGTTTTGTACTTTCATAATATATCTCGAATGTAGAATGTAACAGTGGGATTAACATTATCATTAACCAAATTATGTGCAAGCAAGTGTAGATTATTCAAACCAGATCTTGGAGTAAAATTGAATGAGAATGATGTTCAATGCATTTGTAATAAATACATGTTAATAATATACTTAAGAAAATTGCGCTGCATCCATAAACAATAATTACTCAACATTCTCAAATTAATTAAAAGAGTCTATTAATTTCGAGGATTCATTAGGAGCTTTCGAATAAGAGGAATGATACCTTAAAAAAGAATCAATATTAATAACAAAATATAATATTTTAAATAGGCAAGGTCAAGAGGGTCATTATAATTAAGTGAATTCGACATTTAATTATTCTATTATCTTTTAATGTTTATTCTTCCCATAATTTTAATTCTTTAAATTATAAATTTTTAAAAATTTAACGAAAATGTTTTAAGTTTTAAGAAATGTGTTTGAAGCAAGAAATAACTTTGATAACTATTGGTGCCATTTATGTAAAATGGAGATTATTTAGAGAACTTATCATTCAGAAGAAGATAAACAGGAGTATTGCTTATTATGTGAAAGCCCATTAGAATAAATGGCTTAGGGAATTAACGATTCAGAATTGAGATCTTTTGAAATATATATATCTCCTGAAGCCTAATCCAATAGAACATTATCAGATTGGACATAAAGCTTAAATGAAATCTCCGATTTTCTAAATTTTCTATCTCTTTTAACAGAGAATTTATTTTTCTAAGAAGATCAATAACTCGGAGCTTCAGAATCATAAATAAGTACTTTGAGGGAACATGTGGCAAGCATCGATGATTAATAGTCAACCTGTTATATATGCTAGGAAGATTTTAAGGAAGAGGATGTGGAACTAGAAATGAGTTGCTCTCACAATTATCACAAGGATTGCTTAACATAATGGTTGAAGATTAATAATTCTTGTCCTGTCTGTAGAGCAAAAATCAATTGATATTATAATTTAGTTACTAAAATCCATAGACTCTTTTTTTAATCTGTATTACTCTTTCTAAAACATTTTTGAGATGATCTGTTATAAATATAATTAGTATTTAAATTAAAACCATTTGGAGGGTTGATGACTCTTTATTCTTTTAAATGTTATAAATACTAAATTTTGACTTTTTATTTTAACAATTTAATAATTTTATAATATTCAGTTATATACGTCATTTTTGATTTCTTATTATTAACTACTACAATACATTTGAATTCTCACACAAAATTTCCAAAGGTATCAATAAAAATAATTGTTTAGTTTTTATTAATTCTTTGTGTAAGTACCTTCTTATATTTTTGTCACTTATTATAATCAAAATTAGATAAAGTATAATCCCATAAATGAATCTGAGAGTGTGCACTAGATAATTCAAAGATATTTCTTATTACTATTAATTAGCCATGAAATCATGTAGCAGAGTTAGAACATGAGATGTGTAAAGTACATTAATAATATCATTTTCTAAAGTTGAATTAACATCCATATATGCCAAATATGACTTAAATTAATTCTCATTTAACTTGTGCATTGTGTAAAATTGTTAAATGTTTTGTTAGATGGCAACTAATGAAATTGTTAATCCTGAAGTCAGACTATCAAAGCTTTTACAAATCTCCTCATTATAGAATTAGCTATCTTCAACTGTATTTGCTATAGTGAGCTCAAAGGCTTAACAGCCATTAGTCTTAATGGCATTTGTAAAGATTGAATTTGAAAAGGATTTTTAATTATTCAATCTTTAGACAAATCCTTAAAAAATATCAAATTGTTCTTCCATATACTTTAATGCTTCTTCCACTACTGATAACATAAATAAATTTACATTGATTTAGAAAAAGCATCTCCTCTTATCCTACTTGCAAGTATTTAATTAATAGTTTCTAAAAGCTCTTCTGTTACAATAAATATGATTGTGATGACTTATAGAGAAGTAATTACTCGAAAGAATACATTGCTTACTCTTCAAATGAATTTTAATAGATTAGAGAACCAATATACTACGAAGAAATAATAAAATAGCTTATCAATAATAGTGCTGAATAAATGATATAAGTAAAAGCAGCTAGAATCTAAAATAAAAAAATACTTTTACTGTTTTCTTTGGATTTATTGAATTTGACTTTTATCGATTATCTTCTTAGAGGAGTTTTAATTCTAATTCCTGGAGTAGATGCAATCTTCGACTTTATTTGATCTAATTGATGTTCAGTAGTTTCTTCATTTATAAAGTCAATTTTCTCCAGGAATTTTCCAACTGTAGAAATCTGTTCTACTAAAGAGTTTATATGACCCTTCGAAATGGTATTAAATAATTCCACTATCTTCAATTTCGCTTTGTTTATATTGATTAAGAGGAGTAAGTAAAATATAAATGCCAAACAAAGGGATATCAATGTCAGATAAAAGGATATTTTTGTTGATTATTGTGCTTTCATAAATTAATCTAAACCATCATCAATGACAGTTGAATTTAATGCAGAATTCGAGGAAATTATGGTTATGAAATTTCTGGCTATAAATTCTAAATAGTATTCTTAATTTGAGGAATCTGATTCGGAGAGTAAATATTAAGAGAAGTATCCCAATGAATAAAACAAATTGATGTTTGTTATATTTTCGAATTCACTAATCTGGAGATATGGTACTAACTATTATAAATATTAATTACTTGCATTCTATTCAATATTAAGTGAATAGTATTAGAATTTAGATATGTCATTCTGAAATCGACTGGCACAAAATTTCATATATAGAGTATAGTTGAATTTATTTGTATTGGAATAATTGAAAGTAAGTATGAATTTGTTAATCTACACTTAGAAATTGTTGGATACTTTATATGTTTCAAGAGCCTATTCAATGATCTAAAATATATGGCCTATTTATCTTACCCTATTTTCTTAATTCAAAACATAATAATAGTATATGTTGAAGATCACAAGCAGAATAAAGGTAATTAAATTAAGTATGCGTATCGTCCAATGTTGTTTAGTTTATTCATCAAATAAGTTATGTTTCAATTAAGTTTTCTTGATTTTGATATCGCTGATTTATGATGAAGATATGGAATTCATTTAATCTTAATCAAATAGAAAATTATCAATAGATCCAACGAGTTCATCAGAATTCTTGGATTTGATTGATTCTTTATTTTCATTTAATGCTTCTAATATTGCACTAGAATGTACAATAAGTTTATTCTGATCAGATCCAAAAGCTTAACTAATCCCATTAGAGTTACTGCTGGCAAAATGATTCAAAGCACCAAAGCTATGTGCTGCTGAAGATTTCATCCTAAATGTCTACTAATCCTATAGTCTCTTATCTTGACTGTTTGTGTGACTGAATTAATTTTAGTATTCCTCTATCTTATATTAATTCATGATTTACTTCTAAAGTGTAATGAGGATTGGTTAACATAATCTACATTTCCTTCTGTCTTATCATATAGTCATCTTCAATTAATTTTTAAGTTTCCAAATTATAAATTGTTTGTTGTTCTTGTTAAAAAGATATGAAACCTAATGATTCCTTTTAATTAGTGATTTCCAACTTCTTACATTTCTTCTTTTTAATTTCCAATCTATCTGGACTTAATTTAGTTATTTTTCTACTCAAATTTATGTAATCTGACTTTTCTATTAATTTCTCAAATATTTCGATTCTTTGTGATTCACGAACAGGTTTAATAGTTTGAATTTCGATACAATAAATACTAAAATGATGATATATATTATAGATACGTTTCCTAAAATGTGTGAAACTCAACTATTTTGAATGTAATTCTAAACATATACATCTAATTAAAATTGTCAAAGTAGTTTTGGTTAACTTGATCCTAGGCTTTTAAGAACTCATAAATGGTTGTCTTCTCCTTCCCCCAAGATGACAAAAGTATTTTCTATTTCTTTTTTTTCTTTGGAATGACCATATAAGATTGATAGGGATTCTTGAGTTCTTATTCTAAAATATCTGTTTGATTGAGTTGTTTCCAAGTTTTAATTAATTTCGGTATGAGTTTGAGACAATCCAAAGATTTAATAGATTTTATATCTATGCATAATATAGGTAAGATAATTTCATTGTATAATTTTTCACTGATCTCTTCCACTAAACCATACTTATTCAACATAATGTAATGATAATTTTGATAGGTAGGTAGAATAAGAGCAGAAGACCCAAAATCTGATCCTAAATCTGTCTCCAATCTCACCTTGGCTATTATAGGAAATATAAACCCTAATTTATTTTTCACCAGTAAAAATCTTCTATCTGATTTCATAATATTGATCCTTCCACTTTCTACAAAATTGTCTAAATATTGATCGTGCACCTCTGCTATGATGTCTGGAATGAAATTATTAATGGAACTATTCATTATTTCACTATCTATTGTACATAGAGCATCTCTAAATGTTTTTGTGTAGTTTTTAATGATTCCTTTGGTATCTAACAATGTTAAATAGACAAGAGAAGCCTCTCTATGAAATAGAATTCCATTAATAGAGTTTTAAAATTTAAAGGACAAGGAGGAATCTATTGCAGGAATTTCAATTTTCTTTTTGTTGAAATTTATGTATTTGTAGAATAAATGAATCAAGATGTGACACTAATAGGATATTGGATTTAAATTAAATATATATTTAAGTTGTTCTTCTTAAGTTGTAATTAGATTTTGCAAATGCATACCATCAACTATTAGTTATGTAAGATTCCTATTTAATAGGGTCACATACCATTATTTTTACTTTTATAACACAACACCAAATTATTCTTTCCATTCATTTATTGATTTATTGTAATTAAACACTTTAAAACAATCATATTTTTGATTGGTAATACTTTTGTTCTCAATCATCCTTAGAAAATCACCTTTGACAAGCAATTCGACTGAATTAGTGAACATTTAATCCAAAAGATTCAAACCTGTATACATATTGTTTTTTAACTTGATTATCTCATGAAATGCTTTTGTAGGCTTTTTAATAACTTTTGATAAATAAAGGATATAATAAAAGTAGCTTTTGGCATATTTCTTAGAATTGTTTTTATTCAAACACAACAATTTTAATTCATAATGAAACCTTATCAGCTCTTTGATATAATATTTGAATTATTATCGAGTGATGAAATGATCATTTTGTTTTTTATAACAGCTGCAAAAACAACCATTTCCATTTTGACAATTTATTATATGATTAGTAGAGAGGGCATAAAGGTTTAAGTTCTTTGGTAATCGATATTTGATTTCATTCAACAATATCCCATTTCTACCAAGAGATTCCTCGCATTGGTTGTATATATTCATCATCAAATAATCAAAATTTCTATTTTCATAACTCAGAATCTCTGATTTATTCTCCTGTTGTATATACATCAGATTAGAGATTTCAAATACTAATGGTATTAGAATTAGTATCAATTCTGAAAAATCTTAATTAAGTCCTTCTGCAAAAATGAAAATACACAAAATTATGCATAAGTAGAGTGAAAAAGATTATATTTAAATTTTATTCATCAATTTCTCTTAATAATATGGATGTCTATATGATATGGCTATTATTAAAATTAGTAAACTTAGTTCAACTAATAGGAGCGCTATTTTATCAATCTCTAAATTATCTAAGATGGAAACTATAATAATCAGTATTTCTATTTTTAAAGATTATATCTTTGTCATATTAGAATAAAAGCGAGATAAATAATCGATCTTTTTAAATGAAAATTAGACATCATGAGCCTCATTCAAGAAATAACAGAAGATATTTAGTATGAATACTATATAAGTGATGATTAATACCAAAATTTAATAAGTATTTAAATTAGAATCTATATTGAGTTTAAATAATTACATTAGATTTGTAGAGTTAATATCTTTCTTAACGCTAATTGAATTATTGGATAATGAAAGAGATATTTAAAAATTTTTGTTCCAAAAGTTATATAAAATTCAGAAACTCCAATCAAGTTAATTATACTGTATATTTCCTTCTATGTAAAGGAGATTCCTACTTGTTACTCCCTATATTGAATTGGCTCGTAATGTTTCCTTTATAACTGCTTCTAAACCTTGACTCTATAGCAACAATATAGATGAACAAAACAAAGAAAGTATAATAGTTGCATAGCCAACATTAAAATCAAGAAAATTTCTGACCATATTTGAGTGTCATCATAATTGAGGTCAAGGCTTTAAATAAGTGTATTAATACTTGATATTCTGGAAGAATTTGTTAAACAATAATAGCGGTCTGGCATACATGTTGAAAAGCTTATTAAAGGGATGGCAAATTATATAGTATATCTATGATTAAGAAATCAGGATCAAAAGCAAGCTTAAAGATTTATTCCTACTAAATTTATTGTATATCTGATAAAATTGAGATGAGTAAAATAGTTTAATTGGGATGAGACATTTGAACATAATCGGATAAATAAATTTCTAGTATCAATTATGATTTTTAATTTATTTAAATATATTTCTTTAAATGACTTGATTTGTTAATAAATAATAACAAAAGCAGCAATTTATAAGTTGAACATCCAATATATACTTCAAATTTTTTCAAATATATTAATCCAAATATTAATTTACTCGTTTTTTAAATTATCTTGCAATCTAGAACTTAAAATTAATATTAATCAAGAATTCCTTATAAACTTGAAACTCTATAAAAATTAAAGAATTTTGTTAGTTATAAAAAATGTTAGATGGTTTTCAAAGAAAAGTTTAAAAAATGATAATAATGTTAATTATAAATAATTATGTTAACAGAAGCAGTTAAAATCAAAATAGCTTAAAAAACAACATTTTATGAGACCATAGAATTAATAATTAAATTTTACAAATATTTGATTATTCAAGCTAAAAAACGAATGCATCAGAAATTCAGATGAAAGCTTAATTAAAAATTTTAATAATTAAGGGATTATTTTTTAATGTATTATTTTTTGAGTAAGATGGCAATTGAATTTGTGGAATTACATCTGCTTATTTTAAACCTGTTATAATTCTAACAGAAAGTGATTATTGAAGTTCAATTGAGAAGAAAAAATGATTTTTAAAACTATGAGTGATCCATTAATAATTATAAATTTTATATATTTTAATGGAAGAATAATGGAAGAATAAATGTAAGCAATTTACTTTTAATGTGATTGGAGATTGATGAATTGTTAATTCGTATTTTATACTTTGCACTAAATATCATACTCAATTGCGAATTTAATATTGATATTTTATAGAAAATGACTAATTTTGATTTTAGTTATTATTAACTTATTTTATTTATAACAAATATTATAAACATTACCATCTTATTATAAGTAAATTTACACTTTTTCATAGATATTGCTTCATAATTTGCAAATGATTTAACAGAACCTTTGAATGTTAATACTGTTATGCTTACACCATCTTGATGAAGACTTTAAAGTATAATTTGCAAATTGCTCATCTATAATTGAATGATTTTTTAATGACACTGTTTATACTCTTGATTGAGCCGCTTAAAGTGATATTAAGAGTTTAAATTGACTAAATCCAAATCCACTTATAATGGCAGTATATTGATAACAATAATTTTTAATTGTAATTAAATAAAAAAAAGGAGACTCCAAGAATTGTATATCTATATCAAAATATTGATAATTACATAATTATCAAATATTGGCATAGTTTGGAATTTATCCCATCATTTCATACGTATTTTTTTCAATTGTGTGTATAAAATATATTTTCAATTGGAGAAAATAATAATAAAATTTATCCTTTAATATTAATTTATGATGGAAATAGAGGATTGGGAAAAAAGATCAGAGAATACTCCACTTAAGGTCCATATGATCGGTATTACTTCTGTGAAAATTTTAAGCTGGTTGTTTGGCTGGGTTGATTGAACATATTTCGATGTTGCCTTTGGATAATGTGAAAGTATGTTGTAAACTTATAATTATAGACTCATCTTTAAGTCCTTCCAGATTCGAAGTTCTCAAAAACGTTTGTGTCTTTGAAGTATAAACTTAATTGAATCTTAGAAAATAAGGAGTAAAAACATTTTTCAATGGATTCGGGGCAGTGACTGCAGGTTGCATGCCAGCTCATGCATTTTATTTCAGCAGTTATGAGGTATAAGAATTAACAATATTTGAGATTCTGAAAACACTTCTGGATGTAAACGATGAAAATATCCATGCTTATGCATTTGCTTTTATTGGAGCAGTATCAACTTTATGGCATGATCTAATAATGGTACCCTTTGATGGTATGGTCATTATTATAATTCAGTTATAAAATAAAGATAACAAATCTAGGAGTAATGCTTCAAAAGAACAGTGAAAACAGTTCTAAAATAGGAAGGAATGATTGCATTTTATAGAAGTTTTCCCATTACTTACGTACGATATCTCATAAGATTTAGTTAATGTCTGCACCTTACTAGGCTATATTTTTTGCTGCAAATGAAACTATTAAAACTTTAATGTTTAAGAAATCAGAACATAATTTTGTCAGTCATTTTACATGTGCAGCTATGGCAGGATGTGCTGCTGTTTGTGTAATGAATCCATTGGATGTTGTCAAAACCAAATTGCAGACTTAGAGTTGGCATCTAAACTCTTCACAAGTCAAATATAGCACTTTCTTAGGATCTATTAAAACTATTTATAAGGAGGAGGGTTATCTCGGATTTTATAAAGGATTATTACCAAGATTATGCATGTAAACTATGTCTGGAGCTACCGCATGGGCAAGTTATGAATTCATCAAAAGAAAATTACTTCCTGTTTCAGTTATAAATTGATTCATTATTAATTGTACAATATATGTTTAGTATTTGTAAATAAATATAGGTATATCAAAGCTGATCATTTTATTCATTCTCAGTTTTGTAGTTATAATTGTTGCTGTTGATTTGAATCACTTATTCCTCTACTTTTTAGTATTTATTTAGATAACATTGTGCAATTCTCATTCCCATAGAAACTGATCCCAAATACATCAATCCTATTTGCCATGTGAATTATGGGTACAAAGCCAGTCCAACCAATGGACAGATTCCAGTCATTCCCCATCCAAATCCAAATAAAGATGCCCCTACCAAAAGAATATTTGTCACCTTATTCGTAGGTGGATATAAAAATTCTGCTGCGAAAATAGGTTTCTTCAATAATTTAAATCCAAAGTAACATACTAGGTTTGCCCCCAAAATTACAAATAGGAATTATGGATTCCATTATTCTACTGAAAGAAAACTCAAAATGGTTGTTCTTTTGATCATGCCTGAAAATACCACTCCTATTCCCAATAATAATCCAGCAGGTATCCCAATAACTGTATCAATGAATTAATGTTTATTAAGATATGCTCCCAACAACGTTCCAGATAATAATACCAAACTTAATCCGATCATTATTATTGAAACATGATTGTAATTATATTTCTCCTAACCATCTTCTTTGTGTTCACTCATTGTTACATAACAGCTTATCATTCCAAATAGTATAAACAAACCAAAAGCAACAAATGAACGAAGAGATATTCTTGCTAGACCACAAAATCCATGGCTTGTAGTACATCCATTACACAATTTAGATCCAATCCCTATCAATATACCACTTATCCCTGCTAAAGTTGTAGATAAACTTGTGATCTGAGGTATTTCATTAAATGCCAACGATGAGCTTTCCATTATTCTCTCATCTCTATAAATCACAAAAAGTAATACCCATAAACTTAATACATCAATCCTGTTGCGAATACAATCGAACAAAGAACAGATAATTTCCAATAAAATTCACTCCAATTAAATGTAATTACACCGAAATATATTCCACTGATCCCAGTTATTCTTCCTTTTGTGATGTAATACATACTGCATGCCACTCCAATCATTATTCCCCCTATGAAACTTAAGAATAAGTCACTAATGTTTATTATCATTAAAATATTATTAATATTCAAACTTAAATTTCAAACACATCTAATAAACTTAAAGTAGAAGTGCTTAATAGCAATTCACTATTATACTTAGCAATAGTATGATATACTAGATCAAGAACTGAGAATATTCTCAATATATTGACATATTCTACAAGAAGTAGAGTTAGAATAATTAGAATAATATAAAAGGAAGTCGTATGCTACACAATAATTATTATATTAGAATAAATAAAAAATGTAGATTTCAAGGAATAACTAATAAATAGTTTTTAAAATCAAGCAAAAATATATGATTGATATTAATCTCGATTCACAGATTTGGAATAGAAATTTAAAATAAAATCAGATTTATGAAATACAGAATTCCTGTAGAATTGAAGAATGTAGAATATAGAACATTTAAATTTGTTATCAAACAGCAATTAATATAAAGAGATTATTATACAGAAATAATTCTATATAATTTGTTTGATAATTAAAATTTAAAATCCATCAAATGATCGGCCATTCGAGTGACTGATTAATCACAGATGTTCAAAGGATGAGCAAAAAGATAGTACAATTGAATTTACCAATTTCCTCAATATTAAAATCATCATTATCTTTAGTTTTAATATATGAAATTTAATAAATATTTTTAATTAAATGACATCAATCTCGAGTGCCAATGGATACATACTTATAGTCTTATAAATGTTAGTTAATACTGCTTCATCAATTGTCTTTAAGTTGTAATCAAAAATAAAAATCGATAACCAGGAATTCAATCATCCATTTACATAAACACTTACAATGTTTTTCGGTGAATCAATTTGTTATATTATATTTTTGTTATACAAATCTTTTAATTATTCAAAATATTTATACGAACTGGAACTTGCAAATAAATTGAAATAAGAAACAAAAATAAATTATTTGGTAGTAATAATTCCAACTTTATGTGATTTAATAGCAAGTTGTTTAGCATTTTTTGCATTATCATTGATGCCTACATCGGTTTATTAGATGTTAAGAGGAGCAACAGTTGTTATAACAGCGATATTTTAAGTGATATTTTTAAAGAGAGTGCCAACTAAGCATTAAATATTGGGAATGTCTTTAGTCGTATTAGGTAATTTAATAGTTGGAATAACAATATATTTGAAGTCAACATAATCAGATTACCTAATAGGAGTATTATTTTTATGTCTATCCTTTTTTATGTTTTCCTTCTAAGTAATTCTAGAGGAGAAATACTTTAGAAAATATTATTTGAATCCTTTTGAACTAGTTGGTCTAGAAGGGTTATGGGGATTGGTATTTACATCAATCTTACTGTCTATTATAGAATTCATTCCTTGTCCTTCTTAGATGTAGAGTGGATGTCCATAGAATTCTGATGGAAAATATTATTTAGAACAAACGATTTAATTTTTCTAAGTGGTTTTTTCATTTCATGATAAAAACTATCAACCTTAACTATTCCTGCTTATAATTGCTGAGGCAACATCAATTCTCCTTCTAAATTCAATTTGCATGGCTGTAGTGAAATATTTAAGTGCTCTGACTAAAAGTGTGGTGCAAGTAACAACCATCGCATTAGTTTGGATAACTTGTTTGATAATAGGATGGGAAAAGTTCTATTGGGGTTAATTAATTGGATTCATAATATTAGTATTTGGATCCTTGATTTACAATAATATAATAAAATTGCCGATAAAAGTATATATTAAATTAATAACATCTAGTGTTTGGAATAATAGTAGAAAGTAGAATCCTAATAGTCGAAGAGTGAAAATGAAGAATTATTAAATTGAATTTTTAATCATAAGAATAACATTGTAACCAATAATATTTAATATATATTCTTTTTAGAAAGCTATATTTANATTAATCACAGATGTTCAAAGGATGAGCAAAAAGATAGTACAATTGAATTTACCAATTTCCTCAATATTAAAATCATCATTATCTTTAGTTTTAATATATGAAATTTAATAAATATTTTTAATTAAATGACATCAATCTCGAGTGCCAATGGATACATACTTATAGTCTTATAAATGTTAGTTAATACTGCTTCATCAATTGTCTTTAAGTTGTAATCAAAAATAAAAATCGATAACCAGGAATTCAATCATCCATTTACATAAACACTTACAATGTTTTTCGGTGAATCAATTTGTTATATTATATTTTTGTTATACAAATCTTTTAATTATTCAAAATATTTATACGAACTGGAACTTGCAAATAAATTGAAATAAGAAACAAAAATAAATTATTTGGTAGTAATAATTCCAACTTTATGTGATTTAATAGCAAGTTGTTTAGCATTTTTTGCATTATCATTGATGCCTACATCGGTTTATTAGATGTTAAGAGGAGCAACAGTTGTTATAACAGCGATATTTTAAGTGATATTTTTAAAGAGAGTGCCAACTAAGCATTAAATATTGGGAATGTCTTTAGTCGTATTAGGTAATTTAATAGTTGGAATAACAATATATTTGAAGTCAACATAATCAGATTACCTAATAGGAGTATTATTTTTATGTCTATCCTTTTTTATGTTTTCCTTCTAAGTAATTCTAGAGGAGAAATACTTTAGAAAATATTATTTGAATCCTTTTGAACTAGTTGGTCTAGAAGGGTTATGGGGATTGGTATTTACATCAATCTTACTGTCTATTATAGAATTCATTCCTTGTCCTTCTTAGATGTAGAGTGGATGTCCATAGAATTCTGATGGAAAATATTATTTAGAACAAACGATTTAATTTTTCTAAGTGGTTTTTTCATTTCATGATAAAAACTATCAACCTTAACTATTCCTGCTTATAATTGCTGAGGCAACATCAATTCTCCTTCTAAATTCAATTTGCATGGCTGTAGTGAAATATTTAAGTGCTCTGACTAAAAGTGTGGTGCAAGTAACAACCATCGCATTAGTTTGGATAACTTGTTTGATAATAGGATGGGAAAAGTTCTATTGGGGTTAATTAATTGGATTCATAATATTAGTATTTGGATCCTTGATTTACAATAATATAATAAAATTGCCGATAAAAGTATATATTAAATTAATAACATCTAGTGTTTGGAATAATAGTAGAAAGTAGAATCCTAATAGTCGAAGAGTGAAAATGAAGAATTATTAAATTGAATTTTTAATCATAAGAATAACATTGTAACCAATAATATTTAATATATATTCTTTTTAGAAAGCTATATTTATATATAATTAGATAAAATGTTAAAATATTATAATTATCATTCATATAAATATAAAGATTAATTTCATTATTATAGTTTGTTTCTCCACCATCTTCCTTAAACTACTTATCCATTTGCTTTGACGTAACTTCCAAAACCGCTAATTAAGTCCTAAAGGAAGGTGCCTTCAAATTTCTCACCATTTGACAAATAGAGAGTTCCTTGTCCCTCCTTATTGTCATCGTTGAATTGCCCAATATATTAGGTCCAATATCTAAGATTTGTTCAAAATACATACTCTCCAACTTAATCAAAATCCCCATAATCAAATTCACCAAACAACCTTTATGGTTCTTCATTATACAAAGTGCCTTTACCCTAAAACTTATCATGAAACCATTGTCCCTCATATGCAGGTTTGCCTGATGCATAAAAGAGGGTTCCTTTGATTATAATAAATAGTTACCAATCCCATGCATTTTGTTATCATGCCATTGACCCTTATAAACTCCGCCGTTGTCTTAAAACAAAAAAATACCATAACCCTCTCTCACTCCATTCTTTTTCTCACCTTCATATTTAGACCCATTGGGATAGAGTTCTATGACCTTTTCATATCCAGATCTTTGGGTATTAGATGAATTGAGTCGCATATTGTAATCAACTTTGTGTGATTAATCTGACAGATTATTAATGGATTTGGAATTTTACATTTCTAAAAACCGTTCATATTATGAGGATGTTTCAAAAGAGGTAACTGGCATTAATACCTATTACTGATCATGTTCATGAGTAATATCTGTAAAGTGTTCTATGCCAATTTGATTACCAATATTATTATCTATTCGTGATGGTTCAGCTATTTATTCAGACAAGGGTAACTAATATGATACCAGAGTTGATTACTATTTTAATGTGATCACATAAATCTGGTCTCAATTCTTTTACTTAACTGCCATCAATGTAAATAGATTAATTGCTATATTGAGACTGTCTTAATTCTTAAGATTTCTAAATTTAACTATTTCTTATGGATGGCTGAATTCTCAGATTAGGTCTCTCTTCAGATTGCGTAGCCATCTAGACACTCTATAATTGAATTGGAATGGTGTCAATAACTTATTCGTAAGCTTGCACTTAAACAATCGGAACCTTTTTTATTTGAATAACCTATTCTTCCTCATAACATTATGATGACAGAGATGCTTTCAATTCAGACTTCAATTGAATGAAATCCGGTCTCTAATCCTCATTCAATAATAACATTCTTTTTAAGAATGAAACATATTATGACGAAAATTAAGTCTCCATCTATTGTAACCTACGTTAAACTTGCTAAACCACCACTCTTAATTTAGGGATATCATAGCAATCATTACAGTTATCGAGAGTTGAGAGGTAAAGCATTGTCATTCCCAATGAATACACATCACTTTTATAGGGGTTATGTTAAGGTTGCACTTCATCATTCAAAGATTGCATCAACTAGGGACTCAAATAACACTAATTGATTTATTTCAAGTCTTCTTACACTACCAATTGATAAGAACTTAACACTCCACTCACAGTAGGATCTGTCAATTTCACTAACTGCTATTATTCTGAATAGGAAATAGTCTCTGGCCGTATCCCTTGATGAGTTATATTGTAAAATTGCAAAACGAATAATGCCTCAATGCATCCTTTTAAAATCTGAATTAGATCTCTTTCCTTGAACTATTATTTATTAACTAATCTTTTCTAGATGTGGTCTTTTAGGGATGATGGAATATATTCTAGCAAAATGTAAATTTTAAATAATTGACCGAAGAATTGACTTTCCTTATGAAAATATAGCTCTACATATGCAAACTTTAAATATACTAGTAACATTAATAAGGTTTTCGTATGTATTACTTTCCATCCTCTAAAACATTAGTTTCAATTTCTTGAATTAATCCTCATCTGTTATATTCATTTCCTTCTAAAATGCCTCCTGTTTTGTCTGTTTCTATCTCACTATCCTACCGTTCCCATATCTTGGATCATCCTCTATATCACGAATCATCATGTAGTTCATATGCAAGGCCTTAATGCTTGCATTGCTATCTGTATTGCCCATTATAAAACTAATTATTTATCTTATATAATTCAATAAATCAATGTGTAAATGATGAATAATCCCACTTGTTCTTGTCTATCTTTATTGTTATACATCCCTTTGATTCCAATGTACTGTTCATGCAGCAAGACCAACCCTCACTTCCATCAGGCATCTTCTACCACACACCATTGTGACAATATTTATAGTCCAAATCATGTTTCAATGTCCTTGCCATATCTGGCTTAAATGTATAGTTTTTATCCTCTATTCAGAATTAAATTCTTACTTGAATTTGCTCTTGATTCTTACTTAGTTTTGCCTCATATGCCAATCTGAACACTGCTCCATCGATTGCCTATTGAGAAGCAGCAGGATATGCCATTTGATACTCCAATCTTATCTTACTTCTAATATCCTTCTCATTCACTTTCTGAGATCTAAGATCTAATTACAATTTAGATTAATGTTCTATGGGCTTTAAATAGTTTTTTATAATCTCCTCCTCTTTAGACTTAGTATTCTTGAGTGCATCCTTGGTTTAATTCATTAGATTTTTTTAAAACTCCAGATTATTAGTTTCTGTACTCACATTCCATTTACTAGAGCCTTTCTTTGCTAATATATAATTGTCTCTGGTTTCTATTCCCTCGTATATTTTATTAGCTTTCTCTTTGGGAATTGGATGATCAAATAATCCTAATCGAATTTTAACCAACTTTCTTTCATGGGTTTCCTCTGACAATGGATTTTTTGGAACTGAAACGCTGCTATTCCATTCTTTCTTTCTCAAACCCAAAATATCCTATCATATTAAATGCAAATTGAATTTACTGGGTCAACAAAAGTTTAAACAGTTTCTTTTATTTGCAATGCTCTCTAAGGGATATCCTCTTTGCTAAAAAATTATTCATCTTTATCATAGTTCATTTTATTGTTCTTGATACTGCCGATCTTATGTATTCTTTATTCGGTCTACAATATCTCTTATTCACCGTCACTCTGTTTTTATCTTCTTTCATATGCTTCTTTTATAAACATTTTTTATTTAATGTTATATATATAATAAATATATCATTTACTTATTTGATAACCAATCAATAATAAATACAATTATAAGACTCCTGTTTCTATCAAGCATAAACAAAGTACTTTCTATTTCATCAGTTAAAGAGATCTTAAAATTTGAAATTTGGTATTACATGAAAATATGATAAAACTAAAGTTAGAATTATTTCAATTTACAATAATTTATTGAAACCTTTAAAGAAGGGTATTTTTGAAAGGCATCATTCAAGAACTTCATGCTTTAATTATATAAATTAAAATTTGGTTATACATATCAATTCATAACTGTAGTCTTATATAATCCGATGCTCCTCTAAAAAACAAATAGTGGCATTATCAGTTACAATAAACAAGAAAAATAATTAAAAAAATTAATATTCATATTTCAATATCAAATGATTTCTAAGAATGAAGAGAGTTTTACAGACAATGTACAATCTGAAAAAAAATACTATGAAAGTGACGAGGATATTCAACCATTAAAGGTATTTCTTTTAAATTACCAAAAGGTAGGAGATATCATTTAGAATCGATTTTTAATAAGTCAAAAAATTGGGGAGGGTTCATTTGGTAGTGTCTTTAAAGTTCTTGATAGAAAGAATAATAATGCCTAATGGGCGATGAAAGTTGAAGCAGATGAAGATGAAAGTAGTTTGCTAGAAAGAGAAATAAAAGTTCTAATTGAATTAAGGTAAAAAGTAAATGTTCAATTTTAGAAAATAGTAAGGTTTTCCGCAAATTAAATTTTATGGATAAGAAAGAGGATATACTTATTGCATTATGACAATGTTGGGAAAAAACTTAGAATAAATTTTTAGAAAATTAGGAGGAGTGCTGAATTTAGCCACTGTATTAAGACTAGCCATTTAAGTATACAAACTAAAATGATATTAGTTCAACAGATGATAGATAGAATTTCAGTTATGCATGAAAATAGATTTCTCCATCGTGATATTAAACCTGATAACTTCGTTGTTGATTTAGGACCCAATGCAAAGATTTTATACCTAATTGATTTTGGGTTATCCAAACATTATATAGTATTATGCATGTTATTCACAATTAGAATAGTAAAGGAGAACACATAGCATATGTTAAGAAGGCAGGACTTATAGGAACTGCTAGGTATGCATCTTTGAGTGCCCATGAAGAAATGGAATAAGGAAGGAAAGATGATCTGGAAAGTATAGGCTACGTGTTGATTTATCTTGCCACAGGAAATCTGCCTTGGATGAACTTGTAAATAGAATCCAAAGGTGCTAAATATGCCAAAATATAATAGATCAAAAAAGAAATTAGGACTGAAGATCTTTGTTAGAATCTGCCTAAAGTAAAATTCGATCTAACAATAGTGTTTCTATTTCTTTATGAAAGATGTGAAATCTTTAGAGTTTCAGGAATCCCCCAATTATAATAAATTAAAATCCTATTTTGAGAGAGAGATTGAAAACCAGAACCAATTAAATACAAATGGTTCCTCATTTACATACGATTGGGAAAGACTACCAGAATACAGCAAACAAAAGAAGCATATGACTATTCATGTTATGCAAGTAAATTCTTATTAATTTAGAATCAAGAAAAAAGGTAATAAGTAGAAATTGCATTCAACCCACATAAATAGAACCAAGTCTCTAAATAAAATTAGTTTATTAATTAATAAACAAAGGATTCCCAATAAAAGTCAACATAAAATTAATAACTTACCTTTGAATAGATAATGAATGAAAAGAGAAAGGGAACCAAAAAGACAGTTTATAGTCCTACAGGTAAAAGCAAGAAACAGCCACTCATGATAAATATTGTAGAAAATAATGAATCCAATAAACAAAATTTACTATCTCCAATTAAACCTGATGATAGTCGAATTTTAAGAATGCAGAATCATTCTTCCACGTTGCTTCAAAATCCTCAACTCAACTCATCATACTAATTAGACTCATTTATTTTACCTTCTGTAGCAACTTCAAGAATAAATAATTATTTTGAGAGTGAAGGAGTGGTTAGTGAAGGTGGAGGACTACCTATATGGGATTTATGTGATGGATCAAAGCCTGAATTCTAGAAAGTTACAGGAATTTTGGAAGGAATCAAGAAACCTAGTATAATCATATTGAGAAAAGAAAGGAAAGCACATACTTGTATAATATATTAATTAATGTATTTAGAAATAGATACTGTGAAACTGATGTAGGAATTGTTTGTTCCACCAATCAAATTGATTGGAGACTAAGAATCAAATGTTGAAGGTTTAGAATGAATAAAGAGTTTTATTAAAATTGTTAACTACTTAACCAAAAAATGGTGAATTATTAACTTCAACAATTAAAGTCAAGTTTTGCTATATACAGTAGTACTAAAGAGAGGTCTTAGTTTATTCAATTCTTTCTAAAATAAATTTCGTTCCTCCTTCTTTCCCTTCTTTTTTTTATTATATTTGAGTTTCTCATAGAAAAAGGTTACTTCATTTTCTGTTGCCTAATACAAAGTCTTTAAATCTTATAATATTGTCAAAATAAATGATGTAGCTGAACTGATAATTTCATTGGTTATTGGTGACACTATTGTAATCTCTGATTAATCATCATATTCATTTAAATCATAGAATGGGCTAGAGATATTGATTTACAAAATTACTTCTCATTGAATCCTTTATAACTGATTCCTGTTGTTTTTGGATCAAATTCAGACCCATAAAATTTCAAAAAATTATACGTTGTGTAACCTATAGAGGAAGCCTGGTTCGAGTGATAGAAACATTCCAAAAAGGCTAAAACCATTTGGATGATACAAAAAGAGGACATCCCTCCTTTGAATTGATCATTTAGTCCTCTTTTCTTTAGCAAACTTTTGAACAGTAATACAATTGATCTCAATTCACTATAATAGGACAACCATTATAAAGTTAACTCAGTAGAAATTAAACCCAAATGCTGATTTTACTTAGGACCTGAATATTGAAAGAAACTAATATCCACACTGAAGATCTATCTAGTAATATTTTCATCCGGTCTTTATTAATAATTGATTAATACTTTAAAATGAGATCGATGTAAGGTAATCCTATTGGCAAGGAGGACTAAACGAAGGAGATAGTTGGATCTACTTGCAATTTAATTAATGGCATAGTTGATGAAGTGATCGCACTAAATAATGATATCAATTTAAATTACACAATATTGTTAACCCACCTCATTTTTTAGAGGAATTCAGTTAGCTTCTGAATAGGCATGTATAACTAAGAAGTTAAACACATTTCAAATCCAGTTATTCCTATATCAATGTCACTTTCTGGAAGGGCTAAACCAGTGGCACATGAACCGAAAAGGTAAACTTAAGAATTAAACTCTAGCTATGATATGTGATGAATGAAACCTCTAAAAAGATAATTGATAACAAATTGCAATCTGTCGAAAATTACTCTCCTTAACTTTAGAATTTATTGATTCTAACCTTAAATTATATCATTAAATTCTCTCATATCCATATCAAGCTTTTTGATCATTAAGGCTCTTGCTTAATTCATAATATGTTAATCTATTTGATCTTCTTTTACTCTTTACTTAAAAGGAGAATTTTATACTTCCAAATTATGGTTCACATTAGTATTTCTTTTAAATAATTTGTTACTCTCTTATGGAATTTTGAGGTTCAAATCCATTATTTATACGAACTTTAAAGGTTGCTTTGTATCATTAGATTAATCTAACTTAGAAAAAGAAGTCTGATCATCTTGTGTGAAGGTTTGTTATAATCGATTATCAATCTCTTAATTTTCTGATTTTACAGTCTTCACAGAATTTCCAATATCTACATCTTATTTAACAATTTCAACATCTTAGAATATGCTTCTCTAGTCCTTAACAGGATCTATATCATCAGCATTAGATTTAACGGATTATTCCGTGATTGTTGGTAGAATAGGTTTCGAAGGAGATTTTTATTGTATGGACTAGTTGATTTAAGTAGTAGCAAATTTTTGGTTTGACTTCAATTTGTATTTTTTAGGTGCTGTTATCTAAACACAAGTTTCATCATGATCATTCTAAGCATTATGGTTATTGTCTATGATTTTTTTAGCATCAAGTACTTGATTGGCTTCTTAATCTAAATATCCAACTAAAGTAGTATTTTAATGTATTTAGGAATTTGCAGAAACTTGTACATTATTTGCATTCTCTTAAGATTGACTTAAATTATATTTTTTAATGTTACTTTGCAGATTGATCTAGATTTGGTTTATTTAACTGAATTCCATCTTAAGTTGTGCTTTGCTTATCTATTTACCCAAAACTCATAAATTTGTCTTAATTCATATTTTATTTTCTTTCTTTTTTTTACTATTTATATTTTTTAGATTTTTTTTTCTGTAATATTCTACATTTTTTGAGCTTCAAAATTTAAATAATTCTGAAATAATATGCACATTTATTTTTAAAAGCTTTTGTTAACATACATTTCTATAACTAAGATTTACTCACGAGATATAAAACAATATCTCTTTTTTATTGTTTTTATATAGAAAAGAAGCATTATTAATTGGTAATTGACTCATAATTTTATTAAAATCTATTATGAACCTTATTAAAGCCCTTGTAAATCTAATGTATTTATAGAGAAGGATTAAATGCTTAAGTAAATCATGTTTCAAAATTCCCTTTTATTATCAATTAAATTACAATGCTCTTTAATGAATCTAATTATACTAATTGTGTCTATAATTATATATAAATATTTTGCGATAAAGACAAATGAATTTTCATTCTAACATTCATTTAAATATTCTCTAAATAACCTTACAATAGAATAATTATTCGACAATTATGCTTATCAATAATACAATACTTGATATTAGTTCAGTTTTCAATAAAAGTATTACATTTTCTGTGTCTTAATTTAACTGTAAAAGATACCTATCAAATGTTAAAATTATAATCTATTAATAATTTTATAAAACTGAAATGTATTATATAACAATATTTGCTTTTGAAATTACTCAAGGAACCATTAGATTAAGGATTAGCATTACAAGATGCAGATATCTTAGTAGTTATAAAAAGTCTTTTTATTTATAAAGTATCTCACATATACTAATGATTTTAATTTTAGGGGTTTATTTTAATTTTCTTCAACTAATAACATAGAATAGTGAAGAATCATTAACATAATATTGAAAATATTTATTATGAATGTATTTGATTATATGAGTATTTTGAATTAATCAAGTTAATACATTCTATTCGTGTCGAAATCCTATGTGATTAATCAGAATACTAATTATTTGAATTTCATCATTTTTATACTCTATAAATAAAATGTCAATTTTTTCAAAAAAAGAATAAAAGAAGCAGCCTACTCAATATTTGGAATTTGATTCACTTGCTGCTAAAAAGTATATTTATGACTCAAAGAAAGCTAATGAGTAGTCTGTAAAACAAGAATAGTATATAAATGATTTAAGAAAAGCGTATGAATTCCAAAAAAAATTAGTTATGACTAGTAAAGAGTTGAAATTGAACCCATCTTTTAAAAAGTAGAGTTACTTTAAGTCGAAAGAAAATAATTAATGGACGAAGTGGAACAATATAAAATGAGTTAGATGGAAATTCTTAAGAAATATGAAGGGGAATACTAGGATAAGGAGAGACTTGCCAAAGAATGCTAAAAATACAAATAATAGATTTTAGCACTTTAGAAAATGTAAATGCCCCAAGAATTTTAAGAAAAAAAATGTCAGGAATTAAAAGAATCTTTATTTAATACTATCAAGGACATAATGAATGACTTTTTGGAAAGTTACAATGATTAAATAGGGTATGACAATGATGATTCAGGTATCAATTCAAAATTAATAAAGTTTCTGCATCAATGTTTCATGATTTACTCTAATAGATTGATGACTCAATATTAATGTTCGTAGAAAACCTACCAGCTTAATCAAGTAGACAATATTAATCAGAGGAAGTTCAACACCTTAAGGATTAAATTGAAAAAACCTTGTAGATTGTGGCTAATTTGCAATCTGAAAATTAGGACTTAGTAGCGTCATTAGAATCTGAAAAGTAACTTAAGGATAAGATCAATAATCAAAAAAATACTTAATAGCAATTGGTTAGCCAATTATAAAATCAAATTGAGCAAATAGTTAATGAGAAAAAGGCTATAGAATAATAACATTAAGAAATTTAGATTAAATATTAGGATTTATCAAAGGAATTTTAAAAGCTTAACTAAGTTAAAGAAGATGAAAAAGAAAAGCTAAAGGGAGAATTAATAACGTTGGTCAATGAATTATAAAAAGAAATCCAAAAGGTTCAATAGGAAAATTCTCTACTTTTATAGCAAGTTGAAGAAAAGAATGCTGAAATTACTAGTAAAACTGAAGTATTCAATAACAAAGTGAGAGATTTAGAAACAAAATTAAATCATGAAGAATTGAAATATGAATAAAAATCCAAAGAAGTAAGATTATTAATATTATATAGTTTCTTAGAAATGAAAGAGAATTAAATCAATCTAAATCGGAAGCTACGAAATTATTTGAAAATAATAATATTTTATAATAATAATTAGATGCTTTTAAAGAAAAAAGAAAGTAGGAAAAAGAAATATTCGATGATTAAAAGGAAAAATATAAATAAATGAAATTATAGTTATAAAAACAAGAATAAGAATATGAAGCAAAAATTAATTAGCTTGAGGAATAAATCCAATTGCTTTAGTAAAAGACTGAAAGCGCAGTTTCATCAGATTTATCTAACAACCCTGAGATAATTATGGAAAAAGAATTGCAAATTTCTAAATTAGAATAATCTATCTTAGAGTATCTTATATATTAATATATATTAGATTAAATTAAAAAAACAACGAATTAAAATAAAAATTGGCTTAAAATAAAATAGAGATTAATGACTTGAACCATGAATTGGAATAGTAAAAGCTGACCAATCAATAGCATCTAGACAAAAGAGCATTTGCATTAAGTGAATTAAATCGATTAGAACAATAAAATTAACTTTTAAAATAAGTATAAAATAACATCCATAATAGAAAAACAATGATCAAAATTAAATTATCAAATAATTATAACTAGAAAATCAGTAGGTATCACAAATTGTCAAATCTTCAAAGTAGTAGCCTGCTACAAATATGCAAAAATAATTACTCAATCAAAGCATTTCTAAAACTCCTATGGTAGAAGCAAACTATTTAGATTCTTCTATGGTATCTGATGTTGAGAGCCAAACCTCAAAACAGTCTAAACCTCCTTCCATGCTTATGAAAGGTTTAAATTATTTCAAACCAACCCCTAAACCCATTTAAAATGCGGTATTTTTATTTAGTTATCAAAGTACTAAGAAAATTAAGATATTAAAATTGCTGCAACCATGATACATAAGTAGACAGATGAATTAAAATAAAATTTAGAATAACTTTATAAATGTTTCTTGTCAACAGTTCTACTAAGTTAAAACAATGAAGAAGGTAAATTTCTCAAGTTTGAAAGGGAAATAAATGAGTGTTTGAAGAAAACTTAAGACTTAAATGATAACATTGAAGATTTTTTGATATTATGATTAATTTGAATTTTAATTATTTTTAAAAGAGATTATATCATTTAAATTAGTCATTTATTTTGAATAAAATCTTTAAAAATTGTAAATAGAATATTAAAATGAAATTATTATACTTTACTAATTAAGCTTATTAAAAGAAAAGCATCATTTTTCTTTTTTGCTTCCATTTCTGACACAATTTTTGCAATATTCTTTTCGTACTACTAAACATTCCTAATGAAATGGTTTGTTGCATCTTGAACATTAAACGCAATGAGAGGCTTATGAAAACTATTTCTTGCAAGATGTACAAAATAGCTTCTTTTGATTCTTCATTTACTAATCAAAGTTGATATTCGGACTTACAATATAAAAATTTAATACTTTTTTCCTGCATTTTCCCTTTTTTCTCTTTTGTTAGCTAAGTTGCTATGACAGTAAGGACTTAGCTCTTATTCAATAGATTCATCTTCAATAGATTTTAATTTTGGCTTTTTTTTTATGTGTTTAGTTTCTTTTGAATTAACTTTTTAAGGAAGCTTCCGTTAAACTTGGTTTCTTTTATTTTTTAATTCTTTTTAAGATTGATATTGCTGATACTCCTCTAATAATAAATTTAAAGTAATTAAAGATATATAAATGCTGTGGTAATTTGATGCATTGTCCACAAATATAGCCAACTAGTTTGCAAGCTAAAAATTTGATTTAAATAACTTGAATGGTTTGATATGATAACCATCATTCGATTTTAATTGTAATAAGCCATTATAAAACATTTTTAGTGCTTAGATTATAGATTATAGTTCTTTTTCATTCTTTAATAACTGGTAAAAGTCTTGTTTCTAATTATTTTCTATCCATATCAAATCTTTAGATTATAAGTATTTTGTATACGTTTCTTCAGTAAGCAAAAACTATTCAATAACTTCTATATTTTCTAAATTATATTACTATTCTATTTATTGGTTTACAAATACTTTAAATTAATCGATTCTATGGTTTGATTGGAGTTGTGTTATCAAAGAGCATGATTTCACATATTATTTCTAGGTTGTAAAATAAGTTTGATTCATTAACTCCATATAAATTAAGTGCATACATTAAATCAGATAAATCAAGGAGAGTATATTGACCCCAGCCTGTCATTGTTTCAACAAAGACAGAGCCAGGAACATGAGTAAAATAAAAATATTATTATTCACCAGCATCTTGTCCAATATATGTTCCACAATTGATAAATGCAGATTAATTTTGTTAAAATAATATTTTTAAATGAGCTAATATAAATTGAGATGTTACATTGTCTATAACTCTTGGAATCCTTTTAATTAATTTATTCCCTCATCTAATCTAAATCATATAAGCCATCTGTTAATAAACTTAATATGTATATTTAATCTGAAATTTCTAAACTGGTAAAGTTGATTTTAGTGATATTAGACTCACAATCGTAATTTATAATTTGATCTATTTCTATAACACATTCTATCCATGTCTTTTTTATCAAGTCTTTCATTTACTTTTCTTAATGCGCATACAAATATTTCATTATTTCTAAAAATGCTGTTGCTTAAAAGTTAGCCTAATGGCAGTACTCTTCAAATTTAGACGTATCTGATAATATAAATTCTTCAAAATATTCATTAAGCAAATTCATAAGAATTTCATAAAAGTTTTTCTCTATGTAATCTTAATTAACATTCTGTGGAATCGAACAATTAGGAAACATAATCTAGTAACTCGTTTATATTTTAAGGATATCCTCAACTAAATTAGAATTTATCATATGTGGTTGTGGTTTCTATTTAATTTCCAGAACTTCTGGGTAATCTAGAGCCAACTTTTCTAAAACAGGATATTTTATTTTTCCGTTCTATCCTCTATAATGTGGATATTTCTTTAAGAAAATGGAGACTTAGTCAATTGGTTTGAATGATGTTATTTCCATTTCTTCAATTATAAATACTTTCTATTTTTTTTAAATTCTTTCTATTAATGATAAATGAGTCTTTTTTTATTCAGAATCTGGACATACTTGCTATTTCAACTATTTATTGTTTATGTAATCCCATTAATTAGAGCTTTTTAATTCTTATATTCTGTCTAAGCAGTAATCACAAATCCAATCATTGGTATTATCAAGCACTTAGACACATTCGGCATGAAATTTAAATCTGCACCTTTTACAAATAATAATTCGATCGGAATAATCGAATGCAATATATGGAACTTTAGATTCCGATTATTCTTCTTTTTTCTATGATTTTTGAACTATTTGCTATCTGATAGATTTCATAGTGACATGAGGATTTGTGTCCTAGTTTTCTGTTTGTTACAGTAGATTTAATATCATAGGGATAGTAGATTGCTTGCATTTCCTACATTTGTTTTTATCGACTCTTTATTTTTTCGGATGATTGCTTTCTTCATAATCAAGCTGTTTAGATTCTTATTTTACCAATGATTTTAATTTTTTTTTCTCGTCTAAAAGCAATGTAGGCAGGAAAACTGTCTTCAACTATTCTTCCAATTAATTTATCACATCTTTTAATTCTTTTTATCCGTATGTTAAAGGATCCACATCTATATTTGAAACTGATCTTTGAATTTACGATAAAATTGATTTTTGAATTGCCTCTCTGCTCTTAATTAACTTGGGAAATTGTCTATGCAAATAAATGGATTAAATACTCTATTTCGCTTACTGTCTTGAATATTGGCTTTTTTGATTTAATTCTCTGAATAATTAATTCTTATTGATCTAATTTTAACATAAATTAATATTAAAATACAATAAAAATCATATTCATAATTATTTTGTATTTTTCATTTAAAAATCCTAAAAGATTTCTAATCCTTATAAATTATTTACAACCTAATTTTTAAATTTATAATTGGTTATGGTTCTTAAGGATTAATATCAGAATTGATAAAGATTAATGATTGATGTCCTAATGGGGAACATCTTTTTTTACTGCATTAATAATTTAACATTCAATATTAAGATATGTATATATGAACAACTATGAAACAGTCACTTTTATTTACAAACTTCAGATATTTAATTTATATTCAACTAAATCAAGTAATTTTAAGTTTTCTTTATTAAAAAGTCTTACATCGTCTTCCTTACTTAGTTTGATTAGGTAATTTTACAAGAATTTCAATTCTTCGTCTTTTGAGTCATCTAGATATTCTAAAATTGGAATCCCATTTTCTAATTAGAGTCCAAAAGAATGAGGCAGATTATCAACGATTACTATATCTTTAAGAGGTCTGTTTGTAATGATTCTTAAATCCTTAATAAAAAACCCATTTTTGGTTTCAAAGCAATTGTCTCTGCACAAAATTTCATTGATGTACTATCTTTTAGGATCCAAATGGTTGACAATAGCATTAGCATACAGTTCTGAGGAAGCTGTAAATAAGTGAATGTTGTAATACTTCGACATTTCCTTTAAAAATTCATTGCAAAACGGCCTAACATTGAAACATAACTAAATTGAATTGTTGATAATATTACATCATATTTATCTTCATTGTCATCTTAGAGAGTGATAGTAACCTAAGGAGAATCTCGAGATGTACAACTATGAATAAGAGTTTCATCTAAATCAAGAATTAAAAGTTTTGACTTTTTTTGATTTGACTCCCTAAGTCGAATGAATCTGCTTCTCAGAAATTTATCTGATGGAGCTTTTAATGAATTGCGTGCATATAACAATCCACTCTACACTATTTATAAAAATCTTAAGAAGTCATTTTAATTAATGTTTTTGCCATAAACTAAATGTCTGAATGGATGTTCTTTAATATTGAGATGCTTTGTTACAACTTACTTGGAGGAATTTGACTTATAGATCGGTTGAGGCTAATATGCTTGCTTAGGAGTTTGATATTTTTATTCCATTTATCGAGACATCTCTTAAATATCATAGTTAGGGATGGTTTGTTGATGATTTTAGGAATTTTAAGGGTTTTCTTTATTTTCATTCTCGCTGGAGTCAAATTAAATATCAGAATCTTTTTCTATATGATTCTCCTTTTACTTAAATTTTGATAATTTATTTTATCCTTTAGGGGAATTTGGGGATAATAACTTAAGAGGTGTGTTATCAGAGTCATCAGTTTAAAATTGTTACATTTCTCCTTTTGAGAATTTAGAGGGTTTGGCAATCATTGGTCTTTTAGGAGTTACTTCAGCATCATCATCTGAGTAAAACTATTTCTTTTAGTCATTTTGGATTGGCTTAGATATTTTTGGCTTTAAATTTACATGGCTGTCCATATTTAGAATCAAATAAATTTAACTTAATTATTGAAAGATAATAATAAAAATACATATTGTTTATATTTACTAAAATTAGGATATTAAAAGATTTAATTAAAGTGTATTATATTAGAAACTAAATTAATAATAAGATGTAATTGCAGCATTTCATTTTTTGATTGATTTAATAATAACTTAAAGGAGACTAGTAATTAAAAAGAAGATTTTATTCGTTATTACAAATAAGTTTTGATTAATTTAATACAATTTAAGACTATAATCAAACAACTTTGTATTAGTTAAATTGCAGTTAAATACCTAAACTATATTAAGATGATTTTTAGATGTTAGAAATAGTGATTCATATAATTTTATATAATTTATGGGCTCATATTCTTAAAATCAATTAGATAATAATAAAGATCCATTTAATATTGTTATTAAGTATTGATTAAAATATTTTAATTTGTAATTAGATTCTAATTAGTCTGAAAAGAAATCCATTTTATTAATAGGTATTAAGTTATTCAATATTATTATTAATTTCACTTTTAAACTACTAATGTATTAAATCCTGTTTAGTTCTATGATTATCTCATTTACATTTATATTTAATCTGCTTAACACTTAAAGTAGTTAATTATTAAATTGATTTAGAAAGCTATTTTTATAATTAATTATTATTTTGTATGTTGCAATACGTTTAATTTCTTTATTCAAATCTTAATTTTTTGAAAACAATTTTAATTTCATTAATAAAGGTAATTCAGATATTTTAAACAAACAAAAGAGAGATCATTTGCATAATGTTCAGATACAAGATATAATTAAATATAAGTTATAAATATTAATATTTTATATTGACATTTTTAGATTATTTGCATAATCATTGCCATAAATTTTCATCCTTTGGACTTCCTATGTGATGTTTGTATTGATTAAGGAATTCATCCAAGGTTCTTGATTGTGCAGTTGATGAATAGAGTGCATATAATTTGTAGTGGAAGAAATCAGTTAACAACAGGAATGGAATGACACCTCTATAGATACTGAAAGGTGTCTTTTAAGCGAAAAGATTGGCAGCTATTCTTCCCTTTTGATTTGTTTGTTAGAAACTCAAATCAGTGCTTGCTAATTGCAATCTTGTCTTGATAGTAAGGAATCCGTAGCCAATAGCCAATAAAGGTGTAGATATCAACTAAGAATGATAAGAAGTAGCAGTACTTATTAGATGTAATCTTATTCATAGACATTTCGGAGATGATAGATTAAAGTTCCATTGAAGGCCAATTTAAAGACTATTCCTCTGTAAAAATGACTGAATCCATTTCTTGCATAAACCTAGACTTTACTTGATTGATTACTTATTCAATTACGTCGAATGCACCCTTATATCTTCCCTGAACATCGGAGTATATAATGGTCTTTATGGTATCAATAGGATAAGTAATCAATTCAAACAATGAAGAGTATAGGTAATGAGAAGCATAGCCATTGCCTCTGCTGTATACTAGTGGATGAGCCCAAACTGTTAAAAATTAGAAGGCATTCAATAATGCTCCTCTAAAGTATCCCTTGAATAATCCTTGATTGAATATTTATTAAAGACAAGCTCTACAAATTAGGCAATATAGTACGTGTTGGAATCTCCAAAGGTGAATCTGGTCTTCAAGCCTCCATATGCTTATCTAAGAGTGAGCAATCTTTCCACTCCAGCAAGGACAGTAAGACGATAGAAATTGTCAGAGAAAACTTCCCAAGTTTTGGGGTCTTCCTTAAATTATCTTTCAAATTTAGCCCTTGGACCTAAAAATCTAAATAAATATAAATTTAGGTGGGCATTACTTTTATTGTTCCACTCTGACGACCTTTGCAAGCCAATCATGTCCTGGACCACCTCCAACAAAGTATTCGAGATCCACTAATTGAGGGTCTCTCAAGATTTTGTCGACGAATGTCCAATTAGGACTGTACAATAAACCACTAATCATTTCAATATCTAAAATAAATAATATTTATTCATAAATTATTGCATATAAACAAGGTGAAATATAGTGAAGCACAAATATAGACGAGCGTGGAATCGGTAAGAATGTAGGAGGAGGGAGCATAAAATATATTTAATTGATGAGTATTTCTTATATTAATTTTATAATTAATTTTGATTATGTCCAACAGAAATAAAAAATCTAAGAGTCCCCAATTGCAACAACCCAAAAATATCGATAAGGATCTCATGAAATATTTAATATATCAGAAGATCGTTAAACCACAAGTTCCTTTAGAATTAATAACTAAAACTTAGCCTGATGAGGATTCTGAGGTTGAAGATTTCAAACTTGAAATAGAAATGAAGTATTCTCGAATTCAATTTAATCCTAGATATAAGAGTTGTAAAATCAATCACACATTTAAATTTCCAAAAGAAAACTATGAATCTTCATCCGATACATCATTACAATCTTTAAAGGATGTTACTATCTACAATCTAAATTACGATAATTTGGATCGATTGACTGATGCAACATAGCCACATTTTATGAAGGCTTTAAATGAGAGACTTATGAAATTAACTGATCTCATTGTTGATGAATCATAGGTCAAAAATAAGCAATACAATTATGCTCCAAACTTGAAATCCTCCAGGTTATTAATCGTAATAATTTAGAATGCAGAAACTAAGAGGAACAAACATATCCAACACTTCTATCACAAAACCTACAGAACTCTCCTTGAATGCCGCTAGTTAAAGTCAAGGAAGGGAAAGTGTCATTACGAAACCTCCGTCTAATCTCGGGTTCAGAGCCACTCCAACCATCTCCTCAGAAAAGAAAAATAGATCTAAGCAAATCCAATAAATCCTGAAAATCACACAACAAAAATATATGAACAACCAAAAGTAATCATATTTTGATTTGATAGCATAGGTGGCACATTTTATAAGAAAACACCTTAAGTAAACAACAACTACATCAACATCAACTCCAACATCAATAACAGTATAGTGGTGGCAGGCAAGAGAAACATCTAAGATATTCGTATAAAGACTGAATAGGAGGAGCCAGAACCTAGTTTGCATTAGTACTAGGTTATTCCCAACTCAAGGTAACAAGTTTTGGTTCATTTTAGACCGAAAATGAGGGAGTCGACAATGAAAGGCAAAAAGTTGGACATTTCAATTGGTTATAAAAATCTTACCTTGGATAGTTAATATTTAGACACCTACAGTCGTAATACTAAGAGCTAAAACAAAAATTACAAGGTTTGATTTTAATATAATAATTATATAATTTATTCGTTTTTGTTGACGTGTCAATGATATTGAATGAGATCTCAAGAGATGATGAACAACAATCATTTGTCAGTCTCAATAACCGAGATTTAACTGCAGAAACATAAACAAATTTGAAATAACAAATTACATATTTGCCACCTATGTATGCATCAATATCATTCATTGTTCTTTTTGCTGCAATTTTAAGTTAACTTCAATATCCAAGGGCATAAACCTTTCCCTTGTTTTTGGAATTACCATTTTAAAAGAATTAATTATTTACTGTATAATATTTTATAATTCTAATCTTTAGATTGGAAATGCACTGATGAGTTTGATAGGCATCCTAATCTATTATTTAGTCTACCAGACAAACCAAAAAGTCACACAAAAACTAAGATTAAGTCAAAGACATGTCTCCTTCAAACCTTTTTCATTTTAGATTTTCCTCAGTGGAGTGTCATCCCATTTGTCATTTTTAGCATTTGCATTGCTCCCAATTGAGTAAAAAAACAAAGCCAACTACATATGTATCACTATTTCCTATATATTATTTTTACTATTACTCTAGACACCGAAGATAGGATTTTATTAACCTTCTCCTTTTTGATGAACTTCCTCTACACTAGTTATTATATGTGTTATAAGTAGAGTTCACAAAAATAGAAAATTCCAAATTAATTAAAAGACTACTCATTGAGTCAGTAAATCAAGGCTGCTTTATTTACTGTAATTTGCTTTTTATTCACTGCTTGTAAGTCTATCATCCTATTATCTTTAGTTGTGTCTGTTAACTTCATCAGTTTGTTTATGGGCATGCCAATGGCTTAAGGAGAGCCAAATATAAATGATGGCTTAAGTGCCTCTGAAGACTTTATAGCGAATATGGTTAGCGAAATTTATTCAACCTTGTCATATAGCCTATATTTAATGAATTCATTATTTATTGGCATGTTTTATACTGATTTTAAAAAGGTAATTTGTACATTTATAAAATAATCTAGATCAATTTGATAATGATAATTGATTAAGAAATAATATTGGGTAGAAACCAGAAATCCGTCTGATTAAATGAGTTATTGTTTTATCGGGTTTAATATTATTTCCCATAAAAACGGATTTATAATTAATAAATGAAAATATTCATCGCATTGTCTCTCTTGTATTTGACATTGGCCAAGTATAAATGGTCATCATATCTAGCTAAGGAATATTGTCAGCCTTTGGTGATCAAGTACATCCATTCTAATAAGTGATTGTTGCATTATCAGAAGTGGCATCTAAAGACTTTAATTTCCAATAATTGTTTGTTGCTTTAGATGAATTGGCTGAATCATTTAAAGCTAGAAAGAATGAAGAAAATGCATTTTACGAACAAGAATATTAATAATATTAAGCAGATGTACAATACTACTAAAATTAAATTACAGACTTTAAGAACAAGGTATTGATATGAATTTTAATGTTCCTCAGATAGCTTAATTAGAAGTTGATGTCAAGGATTTGAGTGATGAAAGAGCAAGATTGTAATAATTGTTGACTGAAGCCAAATAAGATCTTTATGATGCTACTAAATTGTTTAACGCAAAAGAAGCATAAATCAACTCAGACAAGTCTATATTCACTAGATAGTTCAATGAATATGCAGATACAATTGCAGTTTTAGATTAGGCTATTGCATTATTAAATGAAGTCAAAGATGAAACATCCTTGTTACAAAAATCAGAGAACATCAAAGAGATTTCATCAAAGATGCACACTCAGTATTAATTCTCTCCTAATAATAGTCTCAAATAACTCTCTTCCAAGAGAGTCTTTTATCAACCATTGGTTAAGGCACTCACTTAAATTGCATAAAATAACTATGTTGATTAAGAGAATCTCAACAAAGTTATCAATTATATGAATTAATTAAGACAATCTTTAATTGATGGATAAACTTCCTTATAAAATCAGTTTGATGCTCAATCCAAATTATAATAGGATATTTTATCTGAAATCTAAGCAAAAATTACTGGAATCAGAGATGTCCTCATACCTTTATTGCAAACAGAAATCGAAACCAAAGATGGCGAAATTAAAGCACTTAATGCAATTCTGAATGACGCAAGAATTAATTTGGCTGAAGCTGAAGACAACCTCACTTCCACTTAAAATAGATGGATTGAAAGGTATTTAATTGATTATTAAACTTTAGAACTGCTTCACATAACTCTTTAATACAATAATACGATAATGAATTATTAGCCATTAAGGATGCTGAAAATGCCTTAAAAAAAGGAGGTATATTTAGATAATGAAAAACAGAATTATTGCCTACATACACACATATATTTATTAAAATAAATTTCGTTAAAATTTCAATGTTGTATTCTATTCGTGAAAGCGAAGCTGAAGGCAATATATCGACAGATTCGTATACGGCCAATAAATCTATTAATCAAGATACTATTTTAACAAAAAAGAGTTCCAGTAGATCGTTACCCAAAAGGCAGAAAGATTTGGATGAAGAAATACAAAATTTGAATAATGTTATAAATAAATTGAGAAAGGTAGAACAGCTACTTCTCAATCAAATCTAAGATCTTAAACACCAATTGGAAGTTCAATACAAAAGTTCAAATAAAAATCAAGAAAGCATAGATGAATTAAATTAAGAACTAAATTCAATATCAAATAAATTACATCATGAGTTTATGCACAATAGTTAGTAATAAAAAACTAATATTGAGTTACAGAAGTTGATCCTCAAATTAGAACAGGATCTCATTACAAGTAATTAAAAAAATTAAGATATTTCAGAAGAATTGCAAATCGTAAAGTACTATTATATTAAGGAAGATCTAAATATTCCAATGAACACAAATTTGTTGAATCATTATTGCAAATGGTGATTAGTTGCCATCCTGAGCATTCCTTTCGAGAGTAGCCATCACTCAAACAAGCCTGGAAATGGTTGAAATCCATTCTATCTGATTATTTGGCACTCAAACAATAAACCAGAATCTAAAAAGAGGGCTCTAGCCAAAGTTCCAGTTCCACTACTAAATGAACATAAACAATAATTTTTCCATTAGTTCATTATCATACTTCAAGATTATTTTATTAAGTAATATGTTTTATTATAAAATTGCTTTATTTAAAGATAATTTAAGATATAATTCTTCATTATTTTAATTAAAATATGAATCAATAAATAACTCAGGATCCATTTCAAAATTACTTAAATTAGTTTAACCAATAGAACAACAATACTAGAATAGTGATTAAGGAACAGACATCATAAAATAATTAGGTTTAACAAGACCGCGGAGGTTTGTCAAATCTGACAGCTTATTAAAAAGTATTCAAGACAGCAGAAGATGGTACAGTTACCTGTAATTACGAAGATGTAGTTTATAATTATATAATCAAGGTAAAAAAGTACATGTAGAGTGAAACTCGTACAGAGATCATCCCTAAAACTAATACTGGCATCAAGCGCATAGTAGAAATTGAGCATAAAATGTGAAATATATATAATTATACAAATTAAAAAAATTAATTCTATTCTATCTTCTTTACATTAACCAAAGCCAAAGCACTTGCATATACGATAATCAATCTCTGAAAATTACATAAGTATGTATATTTTATAAAACACATTAAAAAAGTCATATCGTATCAAGTTATTTAGTTGGAAATATGAGAATTCTTTGCTCTCTGTTTTTTAATCTTTATTGCATTGTTCAACGCTTTCGCCTATTGCAATTGAAGTTTTTTCTATTTAATACTTTCTTAATCCTCCTTTTCTGATCTAATAAAGTTATTAATTTTAGAAACTGTGATTTTCGTTGATTAATTCTCTTTGAAGGAATCTTCAATTATGAATCTTAATTTATCATTAGGCGTATCTGTATGATTAAATTAAGTAGATGCCATATCGTCATTAGTTTTTACGTTTACAGCTGACCCTCGCCGACTAAAAATACTATATTCTTATGATTATGGTCTATATCCTTGACTATGCTTTCGAGAACCCAATCGACTATGCTTTGTTGAATAATCTAAAGTTTATTCTTCAAGATGAGGCTTGAAATATGTTTATATGTTTAAGGCTTAAGGTTTCTTAAATTAATTATCCCCTTAGGTTTAAATTTCCTTTTGACTTTCTGATAAAAAAGCTTTTGAAACAATTTCCTACATATCAGATATACTTTCTTTTTTTAGTTTTGTTTTCTTAACAAAGTATTCTTAGAAGTTTTGTAATTGCTCATCATAACTCATTTTAATCTTATTCATTTCTAGCAACTCAGAGAGTTCCTTTAATCTAGATTGTTCACTTATTTGATTTCTTAGTTTTTATGACCATAATTCATTTGTATAAATTACTCCATTATTCTGTTTATTTTAATGTTGATATGTATCATGTACTTTATTATTTGAAATTTAGCTTATTATATCTTTATAGTCAGCTTTAGACTATATTGTATTTACAGAGTTAGAGGCAGTTCTCTTTAATTATAAATAATATTGTTCAAGTTAAGAATTTTTTGTGAAAATTTCATAAGTTTTCTTCCTACTCTAAAGCTTAGAGTTATTCATTATTTAGGGAATCTAAAACAAATATTTGAACTTGTATTTACTGTTTCCCACAGTTTGTTTGAGTTTATCATTTAAATCCACCCGATCTTCTTCTGTTACAGTGTTTAACCATGGCTTCTCCAATTATTTGTTGTTTCTTCTATGCAACCGATTTAAATAATGAGAATTCTTCTTTGGCTGACTTAAGTTCTGTAGATCTTCATCTTCATCATTAAAGATCAAGTTATCATAGCTATTCTTCTAGTTACTCATAAAAAAATAATTTATATGCAATTAAGAATTTAAACAATATAAAACAAATATTTCATTTCATTTTTCTATTTGGTTTATTTACAAGTAACTTTTATTTCTTTAATCCAAGAATCTTCTATTTTTATTTTTATTTTTAAATTTTCTTATTTTCGATATTTTTAAATTTAGGTTGCTAATCTTCTTCATCATATTCTTATTTAATTTCAATTGATTATTCTTCTTATTTCAATTTTTATTATTCTTTTTTTTATTTATTTAGCTTATGATTTTCAAACATTTTATCTAAATATGGCAATTTAATTGTATGTCTTCTCATTCCAGCAAATCTAGCCTTTGCTTCTTTGCCATTTTAAATTGTCCAAATTTTTTCTTACTTTTTTTCTATCTCTATATCTTTATACTCAGCACAATAGAAATTGATAGCTTGTAGTCTTTATGATAAATTAATGGATAATGGTATTCTTATATTTTCAATGTGATACACCCTAAAATAGCCATTAAAATGAACCTTAGAAAACGATCGATGCTAACAGTGTATATATACTCCTTATTGAATGCTACATCTCTCACAGCTCCAAATGTACCTTTTATCATCCTTTCAAACTTGAAGTCTTTCTAGTAAATTAAGATTTCGCCTCTTTCATTAATCATATAATATTTTTCGTTGTATGCTCTGATACATTTTATTTTTGTTTTTGAGTGTTTTAATGAATGTTCAGAAACAGGTTAAGATTTCTATTCGAGAATATTGTATATCCTAAGTGTCAAGTGGGTAGTTATGACTCCAACAGAATAGTCATCCAAGAACAGTCCATCATAATCGTGCATTTTAACTTATAGATCCAATTCATCATTTTTTACATTTCTTGATTACCATTATAATTTTTTCTATTATAAATTAAAAATGGATGGCGGAGCTCCAAAATATGTCACCAATAATAATTTTTGGTCACTAGAAATAGCAGCAGAAGTCACATATTTATCTTTGCAATTAGTAAGGGGCACGAAATCCTTCGAGTTTATTGTTTCTTAATCAAGAAATAAGTTCTGATCTTCATCATATTTTATATGATTTATTTTTCTATTGGCATAAATTACATAGATATCATGATTTGAATTGCAAAATCCTTTTAATGGCGATGAATCAATGCCAATTTGAGTAATTTCATTTAATTCATTATCCAATAATAATAGACTTTATTCTCTTAAAACCAAGAAAAAGCAAATGTCAGCAATTCTGAAGGTCAGTATTTATATTATTTTGAACTCCTTTCCTTGTTCTCCATATTTCTTTATCACTTCTTTTTTATCTAAATCAATTAATTTCAATAATCCTGTTTCATCACCAGTAATTATTTACATTAAATTTTATATAACAATTATTTTTATTTATTCTTTTACCCATAATCAATTAACAAAATCGTCTTATTTCTAACATTGTAATATGGATGGAAAGACTTAAACCATCTATCCAATTATAAATAGTTTAAAACATCTTGTATTATTTTAAATAGTTCTTATATTCGATCTATCAATGATAGATTATTGTGATGGAATCTTACTCTAACTTTTCGATATTAGATGTATATCATTAATGAAATTTAAATATCCCAATAATCTACTGGAGAATTCTATAAATTCGATAAATAATAAAATTAATATCACAACAGAATGATGATGAAATCAATTAAGAAGAACATAGAAAATCTATATCCATAATTTACTGTTGTCGAAGTGCTTCGTTATAATAAATTCAAAAAAACTATTATCCTTAGAAGAGTCAATTAGCCTTACATCTTGAGGTTGTATAGTTTAGAAGGAGTTAATAAGGATAAAGTAATTTCTTTAATCCAATTAATTAATAAACTATCTAAGACTTGTAGTCCTCATTTAGTTAAATTTTATGAGGCCTCTCATGATGCAGATAATACTTATTTAGGGTATTTTGATATATAAATTTATAAGAGTGATAAGCTAATATATTGACACTTAATATTAATGCCCCCTTAATGAATAAGAAATCCTTAATATTCTAATTTAGGTATTTTTAGATCAAAATTAATTATTAGGCTTGTTCTGCAATTGAATTGTTTCATCCTAAGCATTCTCATGGAAAAATCAGTTTATCAAATCTATTTTGCTCTCAAAAAACTACAATATTGGGGGATATGAATATTTTATATTATCTTCATTAAGATATCTATTAAGATATATATTTATTAGCTCCAGAGTTTGTTAAATAAAAAATTTATGATTGTAAATCTGACATATGGATGCTTGGAGTATTGGTTTATTAACTAATGTTTAAAGAACAGCCTTTTAAAGCCAATAATATCAATGTTTTACATAGACAAATACTAAAAGGGATTAAATTTGTATATCATCCATAATATAGTCTAAATTTAAATAATTTGTTAAGAATACTACTCTCGTATGATCCTGAACTGAGACCCACAATAAGTTCAATTAGAACTTTTGCAGAGTAAGCTTTGATAAGTTCAGAAAGGTTCGATATTTTCTAAATCTTACCAAAATATAAGGTGGATCAAGTAACATTACAAAAGAAGAAAAAAGATATTAAGCGTAATGTGAGGGATGTTTAAATTTATCTGAATGATCAAACATTGAAATATCCGTCATTTAAACCTTCTAAAGTCTTAAAATAGGAGAAGAAGATATACCAAACAAATCCATCTCCTCAGCGGCAAGGAGAGAACTCGAATAATAATGATAGTTCTTTGGAGATTTAACAATAGTTTCCGACATTGCAGCTGGAATAATAGATAGAGAGTAAAAAGAATTTATCTTTTACTGAGAAATACTCTCAATCATCAAAAAAGAAACTGAATTACTCTTAGAGTTCTCAAAAATAATAACAAGTAAGTTAGGAATCCCTTTATCCTGTTTAATTACCAAAAGTGCTGTAGTATTCATTTAACAAGATTAAATTTCGACATGAATTGAGTCCTACAAAATTGCAGAATGAAACTGTTTAGTATTAAGTTGAATATTCTTTAGTTAGGAGAAAGGTCCAAATAGTTTTGTCCAATATTAAGATAAGCATACGGAATAAAAAATTAGGAGATCTCCTCCTAAAATGCTATTCCATCCATATATGGAATCTGCTTAGAGATCTTTCAGTTAACGACAATGATTTTTTCATATGTATTTTACTTCTGATATGTTATGATTAATTTGGAGTTTTTGCTGTGAATATCTAAAATAATCTATAAATTTTAAACTTTTCTAATTTAAATTATAATCATTGTTTTATATAGAATATGATATTATTAATTTAGTAAAGGATTTATTGAAATAATGTAATATTTATAATCTAAATTAAATAATTAACACATGATTTAAGCCGATTCTGATTCAAGTAGAAGAGTAGCATACTTTTATAATAGATTGATAGGGAAATTTCATTATGGTAAGGAACATCCTATGAAACCGAAACGTATCGCAATGGCTCATAGCTTAATAGTAAATTTTGGGTAGTTGAAACCTTATATAAAGATAGACTATACAGATCATTGGATGTTTACTTGATTAGAGAAGCACAATTAGAAGAATTAAAAAAATTCCATGATCCCGAATATGTTACTTATTTAAGTTAGTATATGAGCGAGAATAAGGTCAACTTTGTAAAGGAATACTGTTCAACAAATAACGATGGGGTTATACCTGAGAATTTGTTGGAGGAGTATCGATTAATAACTAAATGGAGTCAAAATAAGAATACTAAAAATCTGAATTCTGAGTACAAAGTAGGAGACTCAGCCGATAATCCTACATTTTCAGGACTTTTCTCTTATTGTTAATTTAGTGCAGGGGCAAGCATTGATTGTGCCCATACAATACTAACTGGGTAAGCAGATATAGCAATCAATTGGTCAGGAGGATTGCATCATGCTAAAAAGAAGGAGGCAGCTGGATTTTGTTATATAAATGACATAGTATTGTGCATTTTAGAGTTATTAAGAATATATGTTCGAGTATTATATGTAGATATTGATTGTCATCATGGTGATGGAGTTGAAGAAGCATTTTATTTGACAAATAGAGTAATGACTTTATCATTTCATTAATATGGAGATGATTTCTTTCCAGGAACAGGATAATTGAATTCAGTAGGATTAGGAGTCGGCAGATATTATGCAGTTAATGTGCCATTAAAGCCAGGAATATCTGATGGACCTTACTTGGATTTATTTAAGAAAGTTACCAGCAGAGTGATGGAAACATTTCGTCCTGATTGTGTTGTTATGTAATGTGGTGCAGATTCATTATCACTGGATCGATTAGGTGCTTTGAATTTATCCATCAAGTAAAATTGAATATAACAATTTAAAAGAGGACATGGATAATGCATTTCATACATGAAATAATTTGGAGTTCCATTGATTCTTTTGGGAGGCGGTGGCTATACAATTTAGAATGTGTCTCGATGTTGGGCTTATGAGACTGGCATATGTTTAGGATAAACTATCGATGAGGTATATAAATATTTTACTACTGAATGTAGCCTATTCCATCTAATGATGTATATTACAAAAACTATGGTGGAGATTATCATCTACACTTTCCAATTCAAAAGAATGTAGAAAACAAAAATAAAGCTGAAGATTTAAATAAAATAGTATCTTAGGTTTATGATCATCTCCATAACTTAGAAAATGCACCAGGTATTCATTTTCATGATGTCCCATATTCATTCTATCCTAATATGGAATTAGAGAAAGATGAAGATGATAAAATGAGTATTTAAAATGTCTATGTATTATAGAAATGGATATGAAATAGGAGATATCTTTATTTGAATTGGAAAAAAACCTAGGAATTTCAGATGAAGCTAATGAAATATCAGTAAATTCTGGTTCCAGAAAACTACATTCAAAAGAATCCTGAAATCGTTCATATTTATATATGTATATATATTTAGATATATAACTATTATAGAGACATCTAAACCTAAATCTAAAGATTTTGTTAGGTAAATTGAAGTTTTTATTTGTTATTCAAAGTTGATTATTCTTTATTAATAATAAAATTTTCTTCTATTTTAATCTGTTGTGATTAGGTTTAAATTTTAGTTCTTAAGATTCATATTAAATTTAATTACTTATAAGTACTATTCGGATTAGTGCTAAGAGTTTTTCATTTGTCAAAAATGGATGATATAATAGTTCAATTGAAGTAATTCTCTTTTTGTGATCTTGTTCTAGAGTGGGTATAGGCAATCTTTGTAATTTCGAGATAATTTAGTATTAAATTCTTTGGGATCATTAGTCGAGCTTTTGAGATTTAAGCGATAATTTCCTATTTGGTGTTAGCATTAAATGGTAGAGTTTCAACTAACATTCCGTACAGTACTACACCCATAGACCATACATCTGCTAATGGAGAAACAGTTTTATCCCTCCCTAAATGAATACATCATCTTCCATACCTACTTTTAAATAGTTCTGGGATCATATATGGAAGATTACCTTATCTGTATTTTCAGGGTTGTCAGTTGAAGTAAGACTAGAAATACCAAGACCAATAAATTTAATTACAGCTAAATCTTTACTTATTAACAATAATTTTCTAATTTTAGATCTCCTTGAATTATTTTCTTTTAGTGGTAATATGAAATAGCACGAACCAACTATTTTAAATAATGTCGATCTTCACTTTCTTCAAATTTTCCTTTTGTTTACAAGTATTACTGCAATTAGCCAATTTACAAATATTCCATTATAAACAACATTTAAAAATTTTGCATAAAGAATCCATCATAAATCTTTACNACTGAATGTAGCCTATTCCATCTAATGATGTATATTACAAAAACTATGGTGGAGATTATCATCTACACTTTCCAATTCAAAAGAATGTAGAAAACAAAAATAAAGCTGAAGATTTAAATAAAATAGTATCTTAGGTTTATGATCATCTCCATAACTTAGAAAATGCACCAGGTATTCATTTTCATGATGTCCCATATTCATTCTATCCTAATATGGAATTAGAGAAAGATGAAGATGATAAAATGAGTATTTAAAATGTCTATGTATTATAGAAATGGATATGAAATAGGAGATATCTTTATTTGAATTGGAAAAAAACCTAGGAATTTCAGATGAAGCTAATGAAATATCAGTAAATTCTGGTTCCAGAAAACTACATTCAAAAGAATCCTGAAATCGTTCATATTTATATATGTATATATATTTAGATATATAACTATTATAGAGACATCTAAACCTAAATCTAAAGATTTTGTTAGGTAAATTGAAGTTTTTATTTGTTATTCAAAGTTGATTATTCTTTATTAATAATAAAATTTTCTTCTATTTTAATCTGTTGTGATTAGGTTTAAATTTTAGTTCTTAAGATTCATATTAAATTTAATTACTTATAAGTACTATTCGGATTAGTGCTAAGAGTTTTTCATTTGTCAAAAATGGATGATATAATAGTTCAATTGAAGTAATTCTCTTTTTGTGATCTTGTTCTAGAGTGGGTATAGGCAATCTTTGTAATTTCGAGATAATTTAGTATTAAATTCTTTGGGATCATTAGTCGAGCTTTTGAGATTTAAGCGATAATTTCCTATTTGGTGTTAGCATTAAATGGTAGAGTTTCAACTAACATTCCGTACAGTACTACACCCATAGACCATACATCTGCTAATGGAGAAACAGTTTTATCCCTCCCTAAATGAATACATCATCTTCCATACCTACTTTTAAATAGTTCTGGGATCATATATGGAAGATTACCTTATCTGTATTTTCAGGGTTGTCAGTTGAAGTAAGACTAGAAATACCAAGACCAATAAATTTAATTACAGCTAAATCTTTACTTATTAACAATAATTTTCTAATTTTAGATCTCCTTGAATTATTTTCTTTTAGTGGTAATATGAAATAGCACGAACCAACTATTTTAAATAATGTCGATCTTCACTTTCTTCAAATTTTCCTTTTGTTTACAAGTATTACTGCAATTAGCCAATTTACAAATATTCCATTATAAACAACATTTAAAAATTTTGCATAAAGAATCCATCATAAATCTTTACTTAATTATCATGCTTTAAAGCATGTCAAAAATCATGCATCATCCTACATTAAATTTAGTTATTACTTAAGCATTAGTCAATGATTATTTAACCATTTTGATTGCTACTTTTTTTCTCCTGTTTTTTTGTGTCTATTTAGAAGAACCTTAACAAAAACTGCTTCTCCAATATTTTGAAGCACATAAAATTTTGCAGATTAAAAACTTTCATTTAATTTTTCATCTTATAATATATATTAACCTTAAATTATACCCTTTAAGGCAAAATCACAGATCCATTTTTCATATAATATAAATCATCTTCAGTTATCTCCACCCCTTCTTGATTAAATAAACGTAGACGATCAAAAATATGTATCCCATTTTTATTGCAACGATTTACTAATTTCGCTAAATTTTGTTTTTTCTTATAGTAAGAGTGCAACATAAATTTGAATCACCGTTTCGTTATATTTTTATCTAATCTTATACTCTATATGTATTACATATGTGTTGTTTGTTGCAGACTCATAATCTTCAATAAAGGGATCCATATTTATATTTTAATTACATATATATTGATTGAAATTTCAAAATCATAATTTAGAGGTGAATTTAAAAAAGATTATTCTTTTCATGATCAACAAAATAGTGTAATTTATTCAATTATTTATTGCAATAAAATATATATATATTAATTCAATGAAAATGAAAATGGATTTCTTAACGTATTTTAAAGGTAGAACCTCCAAATTAAATAAGCGAGAAGGACTCAATGGAGTCTTAAGATCTAATTGCATTCCTATTGAAAAAGCTCCAGGGTCCAATTCATTTGATTAAAATAGTTCCATTATCAACTACTCGGATGTAGAAAGATAATCGCACAATTCTAATGATATAAATGTTATTCACAACAATCCTTAGATAATTACAAACATCGCAGTATTAAAAAAAACTAGAAAGTTATCACAAGTATCGCCCTTAAAACAAAACAATAAATTGTATAACTTCCTGCAATCTCACAACCAATAATTCTAATTTCCACTCTCAAAAACTGGAGCAGTCAATCTTAATGATTACTAAATAATAGCTATCCCAAAAAGTGTAGTATGTAATAAAATTATACTAAAATCTAGAGTATGGATTCAAATTAAAACAAAATGATTAAGTCCAGCCAGAGCAAAGAGCTTCTAGTATGATTAGGAGAAGAGAAATCAATTCAAGGTCTTCTTCATTAGATTGCAAATTCCAAAAGCCTCTCAATAAATCAGAAATAATTAGTTCGAGACAGGATGGTTCCAGTAGGCAGAAGCGGAGGTTTATTGCTGCCGGGTTGAATTCTATATAATGAGCAATCCCATCTTATGGCTGATAATAATTAGTAGATTTCCAATTCCATATGTTTCTATAAAAATATTAATTATTTTTGTATAATTATTAATTAGGTTTAGAGGGATAAAGTGTCAGTCCTCTGAGGTGGATTGGGAATATGGAAGATCACACAGTTAAATATAAACAAATTAATATATGTATACGTTTTGCCATCATTTAATCACTCAAGCTTATAATTCTTGATCGATTCTTGCTTTTCCATCTTAGGTCAGTTGTACAGTGATCACCAATTTGACTCTTTTTCTTCCATCAATATCGGCTGTGAAGGAATTAATTTTAGTTATTGTAATTAAACCTAGAGAATAGGATTTAAATTACCTTATCTCTACAGATTTTCAGCTACTCTAACACTGATCTTTGTGGCTTCACCTAATGCATGTAATTCAACACTATTGAATTTCTTCAAAAATATTTTTGTGATGAAAATGAATTCCTTAGCACTTTTCTTTGATGACACGTGCAATTCGTTATTGGTTGGATCAAGTCTTTATTTTTGAGGTCTTTATGCCTATTAGGTGCTCATTATTTATTTAAAAAAATAAATATCTAATTTTTAATATAATAGCAATATAATTTATTAAAACCCTCTATATTTTCAATATGGAGACTCCTCTCCATCTGAGAGTCCTCTTGCTCCTAATATAAATAAATCACAATTCTCAAAAGCATAAAAATCTCGAAAGCTGGAAAGTTAATTAATTGCGCTATTTATCCTTCTTGAATCCTTCGCAGCAGAATTTGAACTCTGCCGCTGTCATCAAATCAGATAGGTTAATATCTATTGTATGATTATTCTAAGTTCGAATGCATTATTATAATATTAAATACGTGTGAGTTATAATAAAAATAAAAAAATAAAAAATATGGAGCAACCGAGCTTCGATCTCAGCGCCTCATGCATGCTAAGCATACGCTCTACCAAATGAGCTATTACCCCACGTTCGAATATTTGGCAATGATTATCTAGATAACAAGCTTCTTTAGTTAATGTGAATTGGGATTATGGAATTTGAATATTTATAAATAGCATTTGTTGTTAAAAACACTAACCGAATTGTGAAGGCGTCTATTTTAAATTGTGTTATTTAAACAAGAATATATATAATTCAAATTTAAATTTGACGGAAAAATGATTGATCATAAATAATATTTGTTTTATTTTATTTTCCCTCACTTTCAAAAAAGATGGCCAGAACCAAAGAAGGCAAAGAGATGTCAAAGAAAAGCATCGCCAAAAACTCAGGAAAAAAAATGAAATCGAAAAGAAAGGAAAGAAAACCTCATAGATTCCGACCTGGAACAGTTGCTTTGAAGGAAATCAGGAAATTCCAAGAGAGCTCTCGTTTATTAATAAGGAAGATTCCTTTTTAGAGATTAATAAGAGAGATAGCAGGAGTGAATGAAAAGGAAATGAGATTCCAAAGTAGCGCCATATTTGCCTTATAAGAGGCAACGGAAGCATTTATAGTTAATCTCTTAGAAGACAGTGTTCTTTGTGCACATCATGCCAAAAGAATGACTGTAATGCAAAGAGATATCAATTTAGCAAGAAGAATTAGAGGAGATGAATTTTGATTTTTATTTCATAATATATTATGATACCTTCAAACTCATGATTGTGATAAGATCAAGGATACAATTAAACCATATAATGCCAAAGCCTCTGCGAAAATGAGAATCAAAATCAATCCAACAAACAATCTCTCCTATTGTGCATTCCCTCTAACACCGACATCTCCCACAATACCAATTGCAAAACCAGCTGCTATACAACTGCAACCACAACATAATCCCGATGCCATATGTGCAAATCCAGACTTATATGAGTATTCCAGAGGGTTTTTCACTATTTTGTGTTACAAATCTCACACATACCTTTTTATGACAGCAAAACTGCGACGATCATACCATAAATACCCAAAATACCTGCCATAACTACTGGGATCAATGATTTCATAATTATCTCAGGTTTCCAAATACCTATGGCTGCTATACCAGCACCTGCCTTGAATGTTCCATAACCTGCACCCAAATCTAAAAGAGTAAATCCTTATATTCATACTTGCCAACACTAAAGCCATTGTGACTCCCATAAAACCAAAAAATGAAGAAGCACTAATTGGAGTAGTGTCTGCTGCTGCACTTACCATGGTGTCAAGAACGAAAAGCATTTTATTTTATTTATTATTCAATATTTGTTTATTCAATAAATCATTTTACCATTAATAAGTAACTCTAAACAGAATTACAATACTTCTTATTCGCTTTTTCTTAACTTTTCCCTTTTATTAATTTACAATCCCAATCAATGAAACAATTATCAACAGGAAAACAAGAACCGCAAGCTTCATCTATTTGGTAATTCAATTTCCCCCATTTCACACATTTCTTCATGTTCCCTCATCTTTGTAAATCAAGCGATAAATTGAAATTCAATATCACATCTACCTATGCATAAATCGTCATTTTTGCATCCTTAGAACTTTCAAAGTGCTTTAAACAATCATGGAGATGAAATATAAGCATTTTACTAAAAGACAATTATATTCGAATAATGATTATAAATTTTAATTCAATAAAAGATGCCTTACACATAATATTGGTATTTATCGTACCATTTGGCTCTCCAATTATCAATAGACGAGTTAATGATGCTAAAATATAATTTGAATGATTCTACTTTTAACAAATAACATTTAATTTTTGATTATCATCCTCATACAAAAAAAATCTCTCTTCCAATTGAGTAATGGATTTATCTCCTCTTTTAAAACATGGCATTGAGTTCTTATGTCCACAATACCTTTAGATATAGTTTTATGTATTACATCATTTTTACAAGTAACAAAATTCTATCACTATGTTTCCTAAGTGCCATGAAACCTTTATAAAATAGTTCCCTAAACTTCTTAAATAAATCACTTTGAACACCACCAAGGATTTCAATTTATTCACTCAACAATTTAAAGGGAACTTTATTTTCAATTTCAATTCCCTTCCCTGGAGCATTCCCTAAGAAGAATCCAAAATCTATATGAACTAGATGGCCATCTCTTTTTAATAAAATGTTCCCATTATGTCTATCCTTAAGTTGAAGTATGTAACAGGCAAGAGAATATCCAACTAAGCTTTGCATAAAATTGGTTCGATGACGATCACTAAAATTATGACTAATAATTGAACAGATATACTGATTACTCGAAGAATTAGCTTAATGTTTATTGTCTGTTCCATAATTATCGTTTTAATGAATCAATTGTAATAGCATCCTTCACCATTTCTATTAATCCATAATTGGGTCCCAACGAAATTACTTCGTAAATTGATAATCTCATAGGGAGATCTTCAATAATAAAGATTTAATCTATAGTAGATAGGAGTTGCATAGCAAACTACTCCTATTTCAAATTGTCCCCTGATTTCACAATAAGATGAACCAATCTCCAGGACTTCAGATTACCAAACAGAGATTGATCCTTGATCCTTTGTTCTTGGTCCTTAGCTGACTCTCCAAATAAGCTCTGGCCATCTTGTCCAAGAGGCATGCTTTTTCGTTGACCTTCCTATACAAATGAACTCCCAACACTTACAAAATCTTCATTATTCTCTTTAGAAAATGATTGATAAACACTCTTCTCTTCAGCTTACTCCTCATTTCCAGGAGAATAAAATTACACCGTTGGTGTTTCATCAATGATATCCTCTTCAATAATTTGTAGTGGTTATTGCACCGAGATCTTATGCACATTTGGATCTATGAGATTATCTAAAAATACTACATTTGTTTTAGTCTAGGAAGATGGATCCATTGATTGACATTCTCTATTGCAACATAGATTTGTGTAGAGTAATTGCTTCAGATTGCTTATAGTCATTCCTCTGATCCTTCTCCACATCAGGCCTGTAGATTTCCAGACATATATAGAAGGGCGACCTTTCCTTGGTGGAGAACACTTTGGTTTCTGATGCCACTATATTCAAGACTGCATAGTTTCTGATTTGCTCCTTAACAAAAGGAATGTATACAGAAGATGGTAAATTCTGATTAATTCTCTGTAGATCTGCCTTCAAAGATATTATTTAGGGGTAAGCTAGATAGAGTCTAATTATTAGTTTAGTTTACCTTTCAGAAATTCGAATTATGTCGTTCCAGAAATTTATAGTTGAAGAGAATCCACAGACTCTTTCCCCTGTTTAGTTCTCTACATTTACTGATAAGTACTATCCTAAATTAATTTCAAAGGCATTGACTTTGGGCGTTGTTTAATCATAGACAGCAGTCCCATAAATTTAAATTGCTTCTTTGTTAGGATTATGAGTAACAAACTCTTATCCATTGATCAGATATTCATCTCCATATTGGTCTTTCATTATATTTGTGTATTCAATCAGAAAATCTTAGACTCCTTTCAGATTTATGACCTTTTTATTCACTATCTGCGATAAGGATTTTAATTGAAAGTAAGTCAAATGCGCAAAGTAATAGTTATTTTAACATACATTGAATAAAAACTATATCAGCTCTTCGTGATTTCTTCTGAATACTAAGTAATTGATAAATTATGGTATATAATATTCTAAGTCTTCTCTTTTCTAACTCAACCAATTCGGATTCAATCTGACCTTTTCCAAATTGTTCTTGATAACTTCAATATCCTGACCGCCTTTATATAATTATAACAGCACTGCCTTAGTACTTAATACATCACCCTAAATAAAATAGTATTTTACTTCATCATCTATAATATGATTGGTAAAAAATGAATCAGAGTTTCTCCTTTTATTCGCAAAACAACAGTAACTTGCATCGTCTTGTATTTTAGAATTATTCATGTTGATTTTCTTAATTTATTTATTATTATTTACATAAAACTCGTTATTATATAACTTAAACAATTATGGTTCCATATTTATTCAACCTTAAAACTAAATTTAATAGATTTATAATATAAAGAACAAATCTTTAGTAAATCAGAGTAATCATATTTGATTTGTCAATAGTTATAGAATATTGCCAGTTTCACGTCTTTTATTTGTTTTTGATTGAGACTTCTGTTATCTGCAGCTATAAGCCTTGCCATCCAACTCCACAATCCTTCTTTGCACTAATAATATAATTCAACTAAAATTACAATTAATGGTAGCATACACTTTTGATGTGAATTTTTCAACTTCAAATATTTGCTAACATACGATATCCATTCCAAATGACAAGTAGATGTGCAAATGTTCAACTTCTAAATTCGGAGTAGATTTCTTATTTTAATTCAAACCCCTGTCTGTCTTTAAATCTGAATTTTAATTAATTATTCTAGTTTTCATTTAATTAATTGGTGATGCATTAACATGCTAAGACTTCTTATTTAAGTTTTAACTGCTTTATCTGCATCTTGCCAAGACCTCCTTTGAATCCTTGATGAATAATTGATAGATATTCTTCTGTTTATCAAACGCATCAAAATTGCCAATATGTATTCCATAATTTACGATACTTCCATTACTATATGGAACTACCTTCTGTTAGATGTTGCTTTTATTTTACTCATCCATATCAACCAATTAAAGAGATAGTTTCTTTGCACTTTTGGGTTTAACTACCAAAATGTGGAATTGATTCATTAAACTAAAATAATCTGGAAACATCTCAATCAATAGATTTTAACCAATATTATTTGCTGATATATCAAATTGTAAAGGCATTGTCAGGAATCCCTTCTTCGCTGCCTTAATTACAATACTCCTCAATTCAAGATTCTAAATTACTATTGTACCATTCTTATTGGTCTATCCAACTATCTTGCCATCAATACTGATATCAACATTATCAAGGATGGACTAATCTATGATGTTCTTACTAGTAATTTTCAATATAGTTTTCTAGATTTTAATCATCTCGACTTCCTATTTATATTCTCCAAATCCTTTTGTGATTAAGATGTGCTACTTAGGATAGAAATCCAATTTCTCAATACTTACAATATATTCCATTTATGGTTTAGTCCAAAATCGATATTCTCCATTAAAATTAATGGACACCCCATTTACTAAGAATTTATCTGCCTCGATCAATTTCCCTTGATGAATCAATTTATATTTGGCTTATATGATATCATTTCTTTCCAATTCTATGACATTTTCATTGAAATTTACATCTTAATGTACATATTTAAAATGCTTTCCTTAGACATCAACAATGAAATCGTTATTCAAAGGCAGATCTTTAAAATTAATAAAGTTGGATGTAAGCTTCTTGTTAATGGTGATCAATTTAGCTGGAATATGCGATTTGTCACTTATTTACAACTTATCTTTCTGAGAAATTGTAATAAAAGCATCCTCAAACAAATTATTCAATTGACCACCCAAAGCAATCACATCCTAATTATGACATACGAATTTAATGTTGATTGTTCCTCTCTCTATGTAGAGTTTTAGCAATTCTAAAATGTGTTAAGTATTTGTAAATGGCTTGTTGAACAACACCACCTTATGTTTCTGATTGTAAAGTTGAATCTAACACAATAATTCAGCAGATTGAGATATTCGTTTCTCCAATATAGTTATCCAAGGATATTTTCGTCTTACATTATAAATCAATTCCTGAACATAATGCTCTACCTTGATTTCCTATTGTTAAAAAGGGTCATAAAATTAATCAACAGTATATTTAATTGAGATGATGGTTTCATCCTGATTTAATAACTTAAATTCAGCAAAGTCCTTACAAATTCATAAATATCATTACTTCAAATTCTGTTTCGTCATTAATTTTAACGATTTCTTCTTGCAATTACTCCTTTCTCTATTTAACAAAGGTATAGGTTTTATCTTATGAAAATGAGTTTAAAGTATAAAATTTGGTAAGGGAATTTTTCATTGTTTTTTTATTCCGTTAATCGAACAATTAAAATTTTATTAATAATAAATATAACTCAACCACAAAAGTATTCTCACTCCTCATAATTACATAATTTTTAATACTCAATAGGTCTATAAATCATTAATTACTTACTCGATCTATTTTGAGGAAGAATATATTTATAATTTTAATAAGGAATTTTATAAATAAATGAGTATTGCACTCTTTTTCCTGCTTTTAATTATTTCCAGCAACTAAAAGATATGCATAAGAAAAACCTCTTAATAATTTGAAATTCAGGTAATGTCACAATTGAAATGAGAATTAGTATTAGATGGATTTAATTAATTAATTAAAATACTTTTTGATCACAAATTAAATATACATCTTGGCATACATTTTCAGGTCTTGCGTTTTGCATGCTTGATCATACTTAATGTGAAGATGTTACTACAATTTGTGATAAATCCATTCTCTCCCAAAACCTTAAGGCTGTATTCACAAACTTTGATTAACTTCATGGTTGAGGGCGCTTCGTCACCTTAAATTGAATATATTTGAGTCTACGGGAGAGTATACACTCTAATATAACTATAATAAGCACCCTGTATCTCCACACTGTTTAATTTCAAAGAAATTGTAATAAAGAGTGTCGGTTTGTCTATGGTGCAAAAAAGATAGAAGATCATAACAGGGATTGCTAATATTACATATATTATCGATCAGTAAGGTCTTCGACATAATTGTTATATAAAATATCAAACATCAACCCAAGGAATTCTCTTGAGATCCTTTGGCCCGTAAACCTTATTGCAAAACCTAAATTCTGTGTCATCCATATAACCGGGACATTTAAAGTTTTTCTAAACTGGATTTAATTTGGGTCTTCCTCCTGAGCAGTTGGGACATTTCTCTAAACACCCCTTAATAATACAATCAGCTATTCTTTCAATGAGTTCTCCTTTGTTCCCTGTTTATTTTTGATCATTTGCTTTTAACATCTATTTCAATTAACCTGCTGATTTTTTCTCTAATTCCTATTAGATTTTTCTAAACTCTTCTTTCTATGTCTTATCATAAAGAACAAAGACATCAGGTTCTTCATCATCACTTCCACTGTCAGATAATTCAGATTATTCAGATTTCTTGTTAGCCTCTACTTTTTTTGGCTTAAGGGCTTTGCTCTGCTTATTATCCTTTTAATTTTTGTCTTTTTTGTAGTCATAATCACTATCACTATCATCGTCATCCACATCACTTTTTTTGGGTTTAGTTTATTTGGACTTGGCATTTACTTTTTTTTATTAGGGTTTCTTTTTGATTTCTTTTTTTTATAGTTTCTCAAGAATGGCTTTCACTTTTTCTTAATCCTCCTTTGTTAAATTTTCAACATGGAAAATATCTTTGTATGTTGCATTCTTGAAGGCTGATTTTAATGAAAAACAATCCGCATGATAATGGTGTTCTTGATGATAATGATCTTCATCTACAATGTTGCTTAATCTTAGTTCATCTTTGCCAATCTTTGCTTAGCACCCTTTGCAAGTAGCTCTACCAGTTGGTGCATATACTGCTGTCATAAACATATCTCCTAAAGGGCATGCTATTTTCATTATCAGTTAAATTAAATAAATATAGTTATTATATACTAATCAATTATTGAGATCAATTACTCTGTTTGAACACAAAAATTGGTTATGTTTTTTAATTTCCAAGTAGAATATGTAAATATACATAATGATGCAACTAAATATAATAAATTTGATCCAACATTTTTATCTATTAAAAAAGGCAATTGGGACAGATTGGAACTGGGGACCTTCAGCTTGTTAGAGTGATACGATAATAATTACACTAAAATACGGTTTCTAATATTTAAATGACTATAAAAGTGTTCATAAAATTTATAATTAATTTATGGAAATTGAAAATAATAGGCAAAAACCAAACATTCTGATTACTGGTACACCAGGAGTTGGAAAAAGTACATTAGGAAAATTGTTAAGTGAACATATTGAGGGTCTCCAGTATGTTGATGTTGGATTGCTGATAAATTAAAAGAAATTGTATAAGGAATGGAATTAAGAATTTAATGTGCCTGAATTTGATTAAGACATGGTATGTGATGAATTAGAAGATGCTATGCAAACTGGAGGAATGATCATTGATTTTCATACATCTTCATTCTTCCCTGAAAGAGTATTTCAGATAAATAAATTTAGTGGTTCGACTTAGTTGTGTTGCTAAGGACCAACAACACTGTCTTATATGATAGACTCAAAGCCAGAGGATATGAAGATAAGAAGATAACAGAGAACATAGAGTGTGAAATTCTAGATGTTAGCAAAGACGAGGTGGAAAGGTTGTTTTATATTTTAATTATATTTTAGTTCTTACAAACAAAATATTATTATGGAATTAAATAATGAGGAAGTACCTCAATTAGAGCAAAACATTTTATAAATAATCGAGTATTTAAAACAATGGAAACAGGCATAGTTGTAAAAGTAATAACAGCAATAATAAATCTAATGAAAATATATGTATATTAATTATAAACATACCTTTAAGCATCTTGCTGTTTCCATTAAGGCTTACAAGTTTTCATCCACCTAAAATTATAATATCTATTTTCATTTATAATATCTGTATATATAATAATATATTTCAATAAAGCTATTACTACTATTATGAAGATTGAATCTCTTTCAATTTTTAATCATAATGCCTTTAAGCATTATTATAAATTTATTGATATTGCTATTTCTCTTCCTTTGATCTATCCTAATCGTGTATAATCAGTTTAATTATTTCACTTGCTCCTTATGTATCCCCTGATTTCGCCTTCTCTTAGCCTTGCTTCAACAATGCAAGAATTTACTACTATCAACAGTATTTAATACTTGCTAGCCTGGAAAAATATGTTCCATATTTGTTAAAATCATCACTAATATTTGCTATGTTAATTCTGCCTACATTTATTATTGATTGATCTATTTCATCTGCTATTGCATCAATCTAATCAGAAATAATCAAATAGAAGCATTACAAATATTAATTTTGTAAATAGGGCATCGTATTTAACTCGTTTTCACCATGTGCAAATGTGCAAGTAGGACCATTTTTACATTGCCCAGTTTAAGGATTAAAATGTTTACACAATTATGCTACATTAATTAATCCTTGATCTTACTTTTGTAATTTACAATCATAGGATTGATTCCCTACACTTTATTATAAGTATTCGGCTAAACTGTCTACTCTGGGAAACTTTGGGGTTGCTAAGCATTTTATCGAAGTTCTTATGGTCCATGAGCAAATTAACATCTTATTGCTAAAGCGCAAACTCCATTCTGTGCTATTCAGATAAATATCAAATCAATACTAAAATGTCTACAAAGTTAGGTTTTGTACTTAGAGTTTGGATATTAAGTGCCTTAAGAGTACATATTTAAATAATATCTCAATTTAAAGAAATTAATTTGTTTATTCTCACAATCAGAATTTCCTTGATAATATCAGCTTCACTCCTTTTTAAGCCATTCTATTTTACGAATATTATCAGAATTTTATAATCAAATTGAATTATTAAGCCCAAACACCTTGAGTAATCCCCCCAAATTCACATTAAATTGCTTTAAAATATCAAAAGATAATAAATAATTTGCAATTTTAATCTAAAACCTTTTGGAGATCCCTTGATTTAGGATAATATTAAAGATTTGCAAGTAAAAGATTAATAAAAACTAAAGTCTAACTTCTAATTATCTATTTAACAACTGAAATAATAAAATAAACTATCAATAGTGTCATCAAACTAATTAACATGGACAAGAATCGTCATCTTTATCAACATGATCAAGATTGTACAATTTCCAATTCTCAACTACGTAAATTGTTTTAATATGTTCTTTGAATGCAATTTTATGATTTTTTTATCCTTTCAAGATTTGCTAACCGTAAGTATCCAAGCGTATTTATCTTAAGGGATTCTATGATTTTAGTTCTACTTAAGGAGCAGCATGCACCTTCTTGGACTTTTGGTTCATATATATAATATATTTTATTTTTTAATATCAGTCAAATATTGGATTTACTTCCTCCCCCTATTTAAGTAAATATTCTTCACTAATATCTAAATACCAATACTAATGCTCACTACTTGAATCAACTTCTACTTAAATTTTGTTTAATGTTTATAATAAAACCAAAAATCTAGGTATCTAATTAACAAATATCATTTTAACTTAATGTACTGTATTACATTTTAGTGTTTTTAATCTATTTTAATTTGAAACAAGGTTGTTCATAGATTAATGTAAATCAAAGAAATATCAAAAGGCGAATGACAATAATTATGGTTGTTCATGTGCATGTCCTCAGTAGTTAGAACAAAGATAGATATATGAATTCGATAAAGAATTACAATAATAAATATATTTTATATTATACTTTATTATATCAGAATCTCAATTTTGAGAATAGGAATCTTGATTAAGCTTTCTTATCAGCCAAACTACCTGCTGGTAATGTTCTGTATTTCTCAGCTAAGTATTTTCTAAGATTCTTTCTCAATTCTTTTCTTTTTTCAACATTCTTTAATTCAGCTTCCTTTACTCTCTCAATTCTGTCTCTGACTTCCTTCAATGTTGATTCTTCTAATCTATATCTAAAATACAATTGAATAAATTCATTACCTTGTTGGCATAATGTGATTAAGATTTAATTATTTAATGAACACCTTCAATGTAGTTCGCTTTCTGATTTGCTTTTAACCCATTCTCTTGGTTACCTTTCTGGGATATCTTTAGATACCAACCACCAAACCATTTGGGAATTTTGCATCCTAAAATAACTCCATATTTGATTTACTTTAGTTGATTCTTCATTTGCTTTAATCAAAATAGCCTTCTTTCCAGCTTATCTACCGGCAAGCATAACTACTAAACGACCTGGTTTCAAGCTAGCCATATTACAATTGCTTACAATTTGCCCATTTCAAAATACAAAATAAATCTTTTAATAATTTATTCCAAATTATTGGACTCATATAATTAACTAACTCATTAATATATAAAAGGAATGAGGGAAATTATGCTTCTCAATTTAGAATGGAATGGAGGCATCATCGGTGATCTACTCTAGGAATAGTTAGCTATCGAAAATCAAATCCAAGATTTGAATCTTTTAAATAAAGAATCAGATTTCTTAGTCAAATCATTTTACTATGAAACTTAAAATGGATAATTTGATCCTAAAGCTATATTTGTTGATTTTGATATATAATTTCAAAAGAAGAAAATATATATCCAAATTAATAATAATTTATACCTATAGTCCCATTTTACTTTGTTAATTTGATTGAAGATTAAATATCATATCATAGTAAATAAACATGATAAAATGTTATGAAATGCTTAAAGAATATGCAGAGGTATTTATGTAGATCAATGGAAGTGTAATTTTAGAAAATAAACAATATACTACTATTCTCCAAGAAATATTTTATAATTCTTAAGTTTTTGTTGGGCATCAATAAACCAGGCTTATAAAAAAGTGTTAGACATACAAAATTCTCTTAAAATCTGTTCCTATATTACGATTAAAAGTTTTTGTCATGCGGTTTTGACAATACCTACCTATATTCATTTAATAATAACTTTGGAGGCATTGATTATCAAGATCGGAAATTCAGAAAAACAGGGTTGATTATCAGAGGAGAACCAAATTAGAATAAGTTAAATTAGTGCAAGACATCACACAAGGGTTTTCTGGAGAAAGGCTATTCAGATATTGCTCAGATCAGTAATCCTGATAATAATGTGAATGTAATGGTTAATACAATCAAAAATTTGAATAGGTTCCAAGACAATTTTTTAATATTGATTATGAGGTTAGTGAAAGTCTCAGATGGAATGTTGCAGCATATTAATTATTTATAGAATTTTATATTTTATTTTATTAACTAATATTTATTTGTTAAAATTTTGATATAAATAATATTCGTTAAAATAATGCAAAAGTATATTTTGTGCGATAAAAGTAACCAATCCTAATTATCACTCAATTTATCAAAGAGCCAATAAAAATTAGTCTGCAAATCAATTCACGATTAAATTAAAGAAAGAACTTAATCCAAAGAAACAACTCACAGAAGTACACAAAACAACTAATTATCCTAAAGAGTAAAATAATCAGGATCTTTGAGTTCAGTTATTGCTAATTTCTTTGGTCCATCTGAACAGAAGAAGAGATGCAATGAAGTAAGTGAAAATATCGAAAAGTCTAAAGTTTTGGTTATCAAAGAACTCAAAAATTAATTAGACCAAAAAGATGAATAAATCAAGATATTAACCTAATAATTGCAATCTAGTAAATTCGAATAGGCTTACTGTGGAAAGTGCAATAATTTAAAAGAAAAATTTCAGAAATTATAATCATCCATTATTTAACAATAAAATTTGTTTTTGTAGGAGTTTAAAACAAATATTGAAAATGATGAAAACTTAGAAAATGAGGATGTTGTCTAAAAAGAGAATTAAAAAAATATAGAATCTAATACCTTTTAATTTAAGTCATCTATGAATAGTTTGAAATCATTCATTGAGAAACTTAGCCATCAATATATTGAGGTTGATGATCGATCCAATATGTTGATAAATGCAATGAAGCTAGAGAAATAGGAATTGCAATAGAGAGTAGTATAATTGGAATAAAAGGTTAGAGAATTGCAATGTAATGAGTAAATAATGCAAAAGAAATTAGAGCAATTATAAAACCCTTATTAAAAATACAAGAATCAATTGTAATAGAGTGCGTCGTTAACAAAGCTCAAGTATGTAATTAATGCTATTTTAAAGTCCAGAGATTGAGTGTCAAGTGAATGTCGATAAGATCCTTCATGTGGGATAACCGTACTTGAGAACAAGATACATTAGTTAAAAGGAGAATAAAAATAGTTAGATGAGTTTGTTTTGAGTGGAGATGGGAAGTTAATATGTTGATTTATAATATTTATTATTGTACGATAATATCTAGGTAATGATCAAAAGACTAACTCATGAGGTCTTGTGGTTTTTCCAATGGTGAAACGAGCACCAAGATATTATTTCAATAATTATGTTTTCTTAATTGCAGTGATCAATGCAGCATCAACTGATTTTTGTGTATTTCTCTTTCCATCTAATCTTGTTTTTTCTGCTGTTTATTATTCAACTGTTAGCTAATTAATATATGGATATTTGATTACTTCGCCTCTCTTAGCCCAGAATCCTTATTCATTCTTGCGTCTTTAGGCTTGAGTTCTCTTGAAATAATCATCATCAATTTAACTGGCATTAACTCCAGTCACATCGACTTTAGTGGATGTTGGGATAACATAAGCAGAGTTGACTCTCTTGAGAGGGACACCATTAATTTTGAAAGGACCTGTAACAAGCAACAATCCAGATTTGAGCTACTTCAAGAAGACTACTCTTTTTCCTTAGAATCTTCCAGACAACAAGATTAACACTTATCCAGGAACAATCTTTCTCAATTTAGCTGGTCTTGGAGCCTTTTTTGATTTTATTTCACAATACTTTTCTCTTTCTGACGAAATGGACATTCTCATCATCACTCTTGTACCAATTACCAATTCTCACAGTTCTCTTTTTGGCAGGCATTGATTGTATTTTAATTAATTTTAAATCTAATTTTAAATTTAATTATCCTAAATCACTCGTCTCACGCTCTATATCTTTTCCCATTTTTGGTCATGTAACTCAGGGTTCCTTCATCTTCCAAGCAGTACTACTCTTTCCACACTATTTCAGATATCGGATCCTTCTCCTACACCAAGAGTAAATAGTTCCTATGATATTCAATTTTGTCAGCATAGACCTTATTGTACACCCCTGTTATATTCTAAAATGGCAGACAATTCTAAGACTTATCAATCTTAAATATGCTGTGTTCATAATCCCCTAGAAATGCAAATGTGGGATAGGTTTAGTACAGCTTATTCAAATCACACAAATACAATTCTTTCTCTTGTTTATTATATAAAAATAATTTATGTTAAGGAAGCATGCAGATTGAATCTATTGTTAAGTAATTCTGGCTTAATTGTTTGAAAATAGTTTTAGTTTAATAAAAAATTGAATTGTAATCTAATGCTAATCGAAGGAAATTTGGAGTCATACAATTTACAATCGCTTGCTTTGAAAATAGTTTGCTGACTATAAACAAACTAAAGTTATCTGCCATTGTTCTTCCCTAAATGATAAAATAGTGCTCATATTTGTCATAATAGAAATTATCATACCTGTACAAGGGTTCATTAATTTTTTACTTAAAAACCAGTCTGTTTTTTTAAAATACAACTATTCTATCAGTGCAAACGAAAAGTAATAAATGAACATTGTGCAATTTGATGAATCTGAAATGATATACAATTATTTTTGAGTATCTGGTGAACAACTTTTGTCTTAACACATAAGAAAGATGTCCATTATCCGTATTATATACATAAATTTGCTCCTTGTTCATTAAAGCTAATTAATTGTCCATAAAGCAAAATTAGGTTATTTATTTATTTTCAACCTCCTTCTCTATACGTTTCTCTGCTCTTTTCTTACTAAATTGGCATTTTCGTTTAATCCTTTCAAATATCTAACTCATAATTTTAGTTATTATTTCCTAAATTAATCACTTATATTAATTAAACATAGTTTAGCCCAAATTAAGTTAAAATTGGAGTCAAATCGTAAGTATATTTTATTCTAATCCATTTCTTAATTAATATATTTAACTTATTTTTTTTAAGAAAATAATCCTAATCCTTAATTATAAATCGATATTAATTTATTGGATATCGTTAATATATTCAAAAGCAAAAGAACATTATTTAAATCCCTAAAATACAATGGTAAACTTACTTTAAGGTAATTGATAATAAAATATTATAATAATAAATGAAAAAATTAATATTTGCAGTTATTTTTTACAAATTAATGTTTAGCAATTATAATTGTAATAGATTATAATCAAAGTGGAGTTTCTGCTTTGACTTGGAGTTTAATTTCGCTTTTATTCTCTTATTAAGATCCTGACCCTGAATCTCCAGGTTAACCAGCATCTAATTCTTAATGTTCTTCTTTTTCGTGAAGCTATTTGGCTCCGTGATGTTGTCCTTTACTAATTGAGTGTTTAATAATTATAAGATCAAGAATGAGTGTAATAGTAAATATAACTAAGTTAGCTAGATTGTAAGACCAAGCAAATTTAGTTAAATCACTTTCCAAATTAGTAAAGAAGTAATCACTGACAGGATCAGATACACATCCATCGTCATTAATTTATTTAATTATCTTTCTTTTGCCATCTATGATAGCAAAGGAGACTATTATTACAATTATTTCAGCTATTTGTAATAGTATTTTGAATCCTATTTCTATTAAGAATATATAATTGTATTAGGATTATGGACGAGCTAAAGATGATAGCAAATAATTTATTACTTGCCATACAAGACCAAGCGAAATTGCAAGCAGTCATTGTTCCAACAATATTAAAAATGAGACCAATAACCAAAAAATAGGTGATAGTAACACCCAGTTGGACTCTTAAGGCTGTGTAAACATAGTGCAAAGTATCTCCTTCTTATATAATTTGGTCAAAAAAATCGCCTCTACATTCAGGTGACCAAGGGATAAATGTTTTAGCGTTTAGAGTCCAATTAAATTTGGGATCTATGTTGAAATAAGGCAATTTTTCAGACAAATAAATTACATTATTGGAGAGATAGAATTGTTCTTCATCAATCGAATGAATAATTTAGAAGAGTGGATCATTATTCTCACATAGCTATCTTCTTGATAACATCAAAGGATAATCAATCCTATTAGGTGATATATTCTGATCTAAATTTCTTCTACATATTTTATCACCTTCAGTCACTCTAAATTCTACTAGTGGTAAGGTAGACGTATTTTTTATAAAATAAAAGTAGAATCCCGCTCCCAATGAAACAATATCTCCAACATTTGTATTGTTTATTTATTTTAAATTTTGATAATCTGCATTAGTAGTAAATCCTATTTCTGTTATGGGACAACTCATATTTTCAGGAACGCAAAAGATGTTGTCACCATTCCCACACGTGACCTAGTTTTATGATTAACAATTAGATTAGTTTGATTATAAATTAATTCCTACTTATCTTCTTGCACATAATACAAAAGCTATTAATAATCTTATAAGATCATACGTCTTCCAAAAGAACCATCGTTCCAAGAATTGAACACTTTTTCCTGCTGCACATTCACTGTATTACAATTCTTTGAGAGCAAATCTTGACTGCAAATACGGCCAAGCATAAAAGATTCTCTGAAAAACGCATCAATATTGTAAGCTGTTAAAGTAGAGAAATTGTATCCCTTACTACAATCGCAACCTATCCTAGTACCCGGCCAATTATATTCAAAAAGGGAAGAATACTATGGTAATCAAAAGATTATTACTTGACTCCCAAATTAAGTCTTACAATTTTTATTTGTATAAGTAAACCTTATATCATCTATGGTATCTGACAGCACATTATCTATGAACTATTAATAGTCTTCCGAAGAAACTGTTTGATCTCTATAGGACACAATGCTTAGAGATAAAACAGTAATGCTAACAATAAAGAAATAGGCCTAATATGCTAATTTGATTTTATCAATTGGCTTTTTTCTCAATAATCTTTTTAATCTTCTTGCTGATATCAATTTATCCTCCTTTTCCTTCCTTTTCTTTTTCTTGATTGTATCTCTCTTCATCATCTTTGAATCCTCTACATCTTACTTATTATTCGGTGTTCTTCTCACCTGATGAACATTCACATCTTTTTGAGTTTAATGTTAACCATCAATATCAAAAACTTGCCCATTTTCTTATACATCTTACAAAAGAGATTATTCTTAATCTGGTTACTCTAAACGATGGTCTATGTTCTTTTCTTGATCTGCCATTAATTTTAATTATAAAATAGAAATTATAAGTGAAAATGCCTTTCTTAAAATACATAGTAAGAATCTTATTACTTTATTTATTTAATATACTTCTTAATCATACTCTCATTTTTTATAATAATATAAATAATATGACATATTAATGCAAAAAATTACCATTAAGTACTCTGATAGTTCTTCATTAGTTCTATCTACTTAATTTTAGGACCATAAAGAATGCATTTTTATGTTATAGACTCAAAATATTGTTTTAAAATTAGCTTTTTTTTCGAATAACTCGAATTCTATTTTTGTATTCTTGCCTAGCAATACATGATTTTTTGTCATATTTATTATATATTCCCCAATTGATTCATTCTTTCAAGCATAAACTAATCAATTAATCACTTAATTTTTCATAAATTTTCCAAATGAACTTTTCTCTTATTTACACTTACTTAATTTATAATTCTATCATTGATCTAATCTTTTAGAGCTTTCACCATTTATCATAATAAAGTCTGCTAATCTTCAATTGAGAACATTAGTATTCCTTATTTCCATATCATTATATTTCGAAACTACTTATGTTTTTACTTCTATAAACCCTTCCATCTAAGATATTGCCTCACTTATAACTAATAATGCTATAAATCATTCAACTTTAGATAGAAATTACAAGTTAGGACTGAGTATATTTAAATTACAAATTCATATTGAATTTTGGATTGTACGCATAGGAGAGGTTTATTATAGTGATCAACCTAAAAATTTGATGATTTTTGATGTCTAATAAAGCTAATTATAATGGGAGTTCTTAAAAATTATTTAATAGCACCTTTTTATACGATTATTATAGTTCATTCTCATTCGTTTGCATCAGTTATAGCTGGTTTAATTCATAGTTGTGTTATTCATGATTTAATCAAATCTAAAGCCCTTGATTAAACTATTTTATGATTAATACTAAGTATTCCTAAACTAGGCGAGGATAAGCATTAAACCTTAGTATAAAAACCATTTTTTCTTCATGTTCTGATGCTTTTTTCGATCATTTAATTATGATTAACTTATCAAATTTCATGATTTGGTGAAAAATCTTAAAATTTAACTTAATTACTAATAAAACAACTTTAGTTATATATTAAAAATTGAAATAACTTTATATATTTAAGTTATAACATCATTACTAATGGTTAGACACATTGAAAATCATACTATTCACTAAATCACAGTTAAATCCTAGGAATTCCTCTGTTTAAAAATTATCTTATATTTTTCAATTGATTTTGAGGAAGTTATATTTGCTGTGTATAATATTTAGGGAATTTAAATTCAAAGTTGTGTGAAGCATCTTTTTTGATTTGTTGATCGATCAATTATTATATTAATTATTATTATTAAAATAAGAAATTTTTGATTTGAAATGAAGGAGATTTTTATAGTATTAAAATAATAATTTATCATCTTCCACCTTTCCACCATGAGGGCATCAAATGTTTTAATGGTTGTTTTCCGAATATGTTCTCTTCCTCAGGAGTGAATTGCCATAATTTGTTTGGGACTTCTTCGTTTTTTAATTCTCTGAGATCATTAAAGAAGGGATGCATCAAGGCCATAAATGGTTTGATTCTCTGTTGAGGTTAATAACTAGGATTACAGAAAAGAATTACGTAACCATCTTCTTAATCAAATCAATGAATTAGGGATCTGGTTTATATTTTAAAAAGACTTTAGACCAAGGATGTCCTTTGACTTGAGGAAATTTAAAATCTGTATTAGAAACATTGAATTCTACTATATCGGCAGCAGTGGGAGTCCCAAGGACCTTCATAATTTCAACTAATTGATCTACGGAACTTTCTCCGGGGAAGAGAGGTTCTAATAGGATGAGTTCTGCAAAGACACATCCTAACGACCAAATGTCAATGCTTGTAGAGTAATCAGTGGCTCCAAATATCAATTCAGGGGCCCTGTAATGTCTGGAACATAAATAGGAAGTATTAATTTATCCTCCTGAAATGATTTTGGCAGACCCAAAGTCACAATATTTGACAGTTGTCCCATCGATTAAGATGTTTTGAGGCTTAATGTCTCGATGAGCCATTCCTTTTCCATGAATGAAGGCGAGGCCTCGTAGTAATTGATAGGTGATGATTTGTAACTATATCTGAGTCAATTATTGCTTCTGTTTCTTTAGATTCCTCAAATAGTCGGATAAATTATCTGGCATGTATTCCATTACATAATTAATATAGACTTCTTCACTAAGTTGATTATTTTATATAATTTTTACTTTTAACCAACAACATAGAATGCATCTTTCAAAGCAACAATGTTTGGATGTTCTCCCAGCAATTTTAAGTTTGCCAGTTCTCTGTTTTTATATTTCTTATCAATGGGAGCTTTCTTTATTGCAACTCTCTCTCCGCTCTCTTAGACGGAGGCTAAATAACTTTTCATAGGATATCATATTGGTTTACACTATAGCAAATGCACCTTCGCCGATTCTTTTTTCTACTGCATAACTCTAGAGATTCTCACTATTTTTCATAATATTTTTATTAATGGAATAAGAAAATAGAATAGAAATCAAATCTTGGTAAGCTGTTGGAGTTTGGAGATGGAATATAAAGGATGATAGATGTGCAATTGATAAGCAGAGTCTGTTTGGACAATGTTTGGAATGTGAAGCCAACCAAGTTCAAGAGGAAGTATGATGCATTTAAATAAATACATTAGTGTAAGATTGTTCAAGGACTCTGCAATCATGGATTTCATAAGCATTGTATTGATAGATGGCTAAAATAAAGCAATACTTGTCCACTTTGTAATAAAGAATGGAGTGATTCCAAAATATTATGAATTTATTTTAGTTTTCATACATAATATTAAAAAATACGTTTTTTGTATATATGATCACTTTTTTCCTCTTCTTGCCTATTCAAATCTTGGCATTTACATATGAATAATAATAACAACTCATTTCTGACGATGTAGATTTTTATTTGGATTACAATTCAGGAAACATTTTTGATTATGCATTTACAGAAATGATAGGCTAAGGTGCCTTCTCTGAAGTGTACTTGGGATATAGAGTCGAAGACTAAGAACCAGTTGTTTTAAAACATATCAAGGGCAGTCGAGAAAGGGTTGTTAATAGGGAAATCTAAATACTCAGAGCTCTCTAAGGATTACCTAATATCGTTTAGATTATAGATGCAATCAAGGGAGATGAGGAAGACTCAGATGACTTTTTTGAATTGGGTTTAGATAATCCGAATCAAGAAACACCATAAATGGAAACTAAGAAATCTCCTCATAAGGAAGATCATATTGAAGCCACTATCATATTTGCTTATTAAAATACTACTCGCTGTTTAGATGATATTCGTAAAAGTGGAAATTATACCTTATAATAAGTGAAACATTACTTTAAATAAATATTTACTGCTTTGAATAAGGCTCACGAACTACATATCATGCATAGGGATATCAAAGGCTCAAATGTTCTGGTCGATGACAATGATAGCATCATATTAATTGATTGGGGTTTGAGTCAATTTTATGATGAAGGAAGAAGATAATCTACCAAAATGGGTACTAGATATTATAAGGCGCCGGAATTATTATTGAAATACAAAGAGTATGATTACTCAATTGATGTTTGGGCTGTTGGATGTATGCTAGCTGATTTCATTTTTAAAACTCATCCATTGTTGCCTGGAAAGGATAACGACGACTAATTAAAGAAGATAATCTCTATGTTGGGAACTAATGATTTGTTTGAATACATTAGAAAATATCATATTGAGTTGGAATTGAATGAAATTCCTTAGGTTCAGGAGAGACTAGATTTCATGACATTGGTCAATAAGAAGAACTTTAACTTAGTAAGCAAGGAAGGAATCGATCTGTTGGAAAAGATCTTTATTTATGATCATGTATATAATTAATCTAATTTGTATAGAAATTAAGAATAAATGCAAGTTAAGCCCTAGAACATGCATTCTTCTTATGATTTAATTAAATATATTATTTTTAAAGTATATATATAATTTAATTAATAAAACGTGTTGAATAATTAAATTAATACATGAGTTAAGTGTCTCAAAGATAAAGAAGTCCATCTCCCTAATCTCCTGAGAAGGTTGCCTAAAGAGAAAAAGCAGCCTAAGCTATGAAAAGACGTAATCAAACATAGCCAAGCTTTTTCGAAAAATACGCCTATCATTTGGTCATAGGAGCATTCGGATTTGTTTGTGTCTATGCTTTGTTTTCCATTTTGACAAGATCTAGCAAGAAATTAACGACAGCTCCTGTAATAGATGAAGAGGAAATAGCTGCACACAATTCTTTGGGATCCTATCTCTAAGGTCCAAATGATTTCTTCAAAGATTGGAAATTTAGTGATGCTAAATTTATCTTCAACAATCATTTAACATTCAAAGGAAAAATCTAACAATGCCCTGAAAGCGGTGTCATAATTCCAGAGAGCTACAATTTCAGAGAAGCCTAACCAGAATGTGCATAACCAATCTACTTCTAGGGTATTAACAATTGTAATATCTATAGGAAATTGCTCATCCAGTTATTCAATTGCGGCAGTATCAGCCACAAGTGATAGATTATGCAAATCCAAGAATGGAGAATTCTAAGACCAATTGTCACCATAATCCCCAATCTCATGTGATGACAAGAACTACAAATGTGGAGGAGGTAGTGTAACAAGAGTCTTGGAAGTTGGTAAGAAACAAGGATTTGTTTCAACCTCATGTTTACCATACAGTGGAACAGAAGATGCCAAAAATAATTGTGATGCTCTTTTCTCAAATTGTGAAAAATATAAGATCCATGATTATTGTGTTGTTTCAGGTGAGGAAAACATCAAAAGAGAAATATTGAACAACGGTCCAGTTGTTGCTGTGATCTAAGTCTTCAAAGATTTCCTTGTTTACAAAGGAGGAGTCTATGAAGTAGTTGAAGGAAGTTCAAAGTATACTCTCTATTAAATTATTTAGATTCCAATATGGACACGCAGTCAAAGTTATTGGTTGGGGTAAATAAGATGGAGTCAACTATTGGGTCATTGAAAATTCATGGGGAGACACTTGGGGATTGAAAGGATTAGCCTATGTTGCTGTTGGTATTTAAATTATCCATAATGTTAGGTTAAAACTAATTACAATTAGAAGCTTATTCAGTTGCTCCAATCATAGCTGCTTCTACCGAAAAAAGTGCAGAGTGAGTTTAACATATTGTCTACATTAGTATTAATTTTATATTAATCAATTTTATAATATTGTTTGATGAATTAAAATTTCTTTAAGAATGTCAATTTTATTATCATTATAATTCTTTCTGTAGAATCTAATATGCAAAATTACAAATTTCAGTAAACATTAATGCCATACTCTGTAAAGTTTCTCCTGGTTGTAACAACTTACGAACTTCGATTGATTTATCTAATTAGAATAATTTTGATGCATTACTATTTTATTATAATTGTGCGCTCTGATTCAATACAATTTATAAAACACCAAAGGCCAAAGGCAATGTAAAAATTGGCAATCCACTAGTCATATCAACTGATTAATGAAATGAATGATGTTGTTTTATATTGCCAATTAGTAATGCCTCTTGTGTTTTTGCAACGTAGCCAATTACTCCGATGTCTGAACTATATTCTGTTGTATGCATATCATCTTTATACGTGTAAATGATCCCTTAACTAAAAAAGAAAAATTTGCTGTTGGCCACTCCAAACAGAGTTTCAGCATGACTTTCAATTGACTTTTATAACTTATATTTTGACTTCTGCTTCGACAATTCTGTAAATGCTTCAAATAAAAGATTTTTGTATCTCAATTAATAATTGATGAGTTTAAATTACAATACCTTATCTATAATTGCTAGTAATAATTATGAAATCAGCAATCCAAGGTATTTTGCATCCTATTTTTTATTATTTAGATTTTCCAATGTTACAATTCCAATTAATCTACTATCAGTTAACAATGGGATAAGATAACAATCCTTTGCGAATTTAGCAGTATTAATATTTCTATAAACAAATGCTTATTATTTATAAATAGGCTATGATGATTTGACAACATTCAAAAATTCATCCGTATCAATATATGCATTGACAAATTCATTTTTTTAATTATAGGTATAAAATGTAGCAGTCTATTGATCTATCAACCACAATTAAATCAACTCACAATTAAATAACTATGAATCAGAACTCAATCTCTGCATTATTACTTCAATCTAATCAATTTTCAATAATTGTTTGATCAAATTAATTAGACTATTGACACTTTCTCCTAGATTTTTATACTATACAAACAAATCCATAAAGATACTAATTTAATCCACTTGATGTTGTTGATCCATTTAAAATAATTAATCAATAGCCTATTTGATACCACAATCTAATAAATCTTGCACTAAATTCCTTTGCCTTAATTTCAAATTATTTAGTTTAAAATCTAATTTATTAGGCAAATTCACTTGCTAAAAGATATCTAAAATCTCATCGTCTGGATCATTAGGTTCCACAATAGTCTTTTAACCCACAGTGTTTCCATTTAAGTCATAAGCCGAATACCCTAACAATTTCAATTGTTTCTCCAACAACATATTCCTCTTCTACAGTTTTTGATTCTTTTCCTTTAAATCTTAGACTGCTTGTTCCAACTTTGAAACCTCTTGAGACTTTTAGAAAGCCTTTCGTTTATTTGCTTCATTCTCCTTCAACATGTCCTCAATAATATTTCTTAATGAGTCTTTATCCTAAAATAATCACTAGAACAATACTTTTTTGTAATCACTCCCACTCAAGACCTCCAATCTTTATTCCAAAGTAAACACTCTTCTTTGATTGAATTAATTTTAACTAGCCTCTTTTCTCAATGTTTTCTTATACACTTGTGTTTCCTCATTTGTATGTTATAAATGCTGCTTAATAGATTGCATATTTTTTTCAGAATACTCGTTCTACTTTTGTACTATCTCAAATTAGTTTTGCAGTTTAGCATACTTTAATTTCATGTTCTATAGATCTCTATATAACTTATTTGAATCTAATTCTGTAACTTAAGCTTATTACAATGATTCTTATAAAGATTAGACTATTTTTTTAAGATTGAAGAGATCTGCTTCTTTAAGGATTTTAAGTTAATCAACCAATGAATCTGCTTGCTGCAATCGTTACTAACAAAGATGCAAATGCGTCTATTGCATCCTATAGATATCATTCATTGAATTTGAATAGTTTATAAACTCACTGATTATATTGTTGTCAACCTTGTCTTTGAATGAATTGATCAAGTCATCTAAATAGCCATGCATAAAATGCTATCCCTAAGGCTTTCTTGACTTTACCTATCTAATTTACAGGTATTTTCTCTATAACTAATCTAATTAAGCCTCTTTCTATTGTAAAAGACTATGCAAAGATTATGTGCTTGACCCTAATCATCATACTTACTTATCAATATTAGAATCTGATTCATAATACATTTTACTAGTTTAGATCGGCCTTTAATCTACTCTTGCACTTTGTTTTCTCATCGATGGTGGAACACTAATCAAATCAAAGTAATGGTTTGTCTATAATTCTAAAACTTGAGGTTACATGAAATTTTGGATTATAAAATTATTATATTTTTATGTGACATCAACCGCATTAATCAGAACCAATCTATATTATATAANAATCCACTTGATGTTGTTGATCCATTTAAAATAATTAATCAATAGCCTATTTGATACCACAATCTAATAAATCTTGCACTAAATTCCTTTGCCTTAATTTCAAATTATTTAGTTTAAAATCTAATTTATTAGGCAAATTCACTTGCTAAAAGATATCTAAAATCTCATCGTCTGGATCATTAGGTTCCACAATAGTCTTTTAACCCACAGTGTTTCCATTTAAGTCATAAGCCGAATACCCTAACAATTTCAATTGTTTCTCCAACAACATATTCCTCTTCTACAGTTTTTGATTCTTTTCCTTTAAATCTTAGACTGCTTGTTCCAACTTTGAAACCTCTTGAGACTTTTAGAAAGCCTTTCGTTTATTTGCTTCATTCTCCTTCAACATGTCCTCAATAATATTTCTTAATGAGTCTTTATCCTAAAATAATCACTAGAACAATACTTTTTTGTAATCACTCCCACTCAAGACCTCCAATCTTTATTCCAAAGTAAACACTCTTCTTTGATTGAATTAATTTTAACTAGCCTCTTTTCTCAATGTTTTCTTATACACTTGTGTTTCCTCATTTGTATGTTATAAATGCTGCTTAATAGATTGCATATTTTTTTCAGAATACTCGTTCTACTTTTGTACTATCTCAAATTAGTTTTGCAGTTTAGCATACTTTAATTTCATGTTCTATAGATCTCTATATAACTTATTTGAATCTAATTCTGTAACTTAAGCTTATTACAATGATTCTTATAAAGATTAGACTATTTTTTTAAGATTGAAGAGATCTGCTTCTTTAAGGATTTTAAGTTAATCAACCAATGAATCTGCTTGCTGCAATCGTTACTAACAAAGATGCAAATGCGTCTATTGCATCCTATAGATATCATTCATTGAATTTGAATAGTTTATAAACTCACTGATTATATTGTTGTCAACCTTGTCTTTGAATGAATTGATCAAGTCATCTAAATAGCCATGCATAAAATGCTATCCCTAAGGCTTTCTTGACTTTACCTATCTAATTTACAGGTATTTTCTCTATAACTAATCTAATTAAGCCTCTTTCTATTGTAAAAGACTATGCAAAGATTATGTGCTTGACCCTAATCATCATACTTACTTATCAATATTAGAATCTGATTCATAATACATTTTACTAGTTTAGATCGGCCTTTAATCTACTCTTGCACTTTGTTTTCTCATCGATGGTGGAACACTAATCAAATCAAAGTAATGGTTTGTCTATAATTCTAAAACTTGAGGTTACATGAAATTTTGGATTATAAAATTATTATATTTTTATGTGACATCAACCGCATTAATCAGAACCAATCTATATTATATAACAAACCTTTAGATTCTCTACAATCAATCAACCTCAATATTAATTACCCTCTCATTTAATTGAATACCATAGCAAAATAGCATTAATGTAAGCTTGATTTTCTTGGCTATAAATTAAAGTAAAAGGACATACATAAAGATTAATTTATAGAGATAATCTTCTAAAATATTAATTGAAAAATGTAATTGAGATAAATATATATTCAAGAATAATCTGATAAATATGATCAACTAAGATTAATAAGCACTCCTTTTATAAGAGAGTCTATGAGTCCCTCTTCAAAATTAACTATTATCTTTCTGGTTTATTTGGCCAAAAACGTCAATTTATATCTTGTTATTGGAAGTACGAAGTATCGCTTGATTTTATTTTAAAGAATTATTTGATAATCATATTAATTTAATTTTACAATGATTAGAATATAAAAATGTACCGGGGATGAAGAGATTGAGCAAGAAAAGGATATTAACTAATGGTTTGAGAGAATGTATACAGAAATAAGTGCTAAACAATAAGAAACTAAATTAAGAACTGATAAATATAATGTTGAAATAAAACCAAATATAAAAAAACATAAAATCTGCTTTCGAGATGAAATCAATCCTGAATCTGGATTAGTGGATGTTAATATTGTTGAAAATTGGAAAGTATATAATATTAACGAAAGAAATCCAGTAGATGATTGTTTTTGTTAAACCTCATGAATCTTAAATATATTTTATTATAAAAGAAACTAACTTTTCAATTTAGAATATATCTTTGAAAACAAAGGACTTCAATATTTTAAGTTTTTATATACTCATAAAAAAAATGTGATTGTACTTAATTTATCAGTTTTTGTAAAATATAAATTTTAATGAATAAATCCGTAAAAAGTTAATTCTCTTTTTCGATTAAATAATATCATCTTTAAGAGCAGATTGTCTTTTAGCTTCACTCCTTTACATTTTTTTGAGATTGCTACGTTTTTCTGAATACTAAAGTGTATTATTTGAAAAATGAAACGATTCGCAAATTTTGACTATGAGTTTTATGATTATTCTAAGGAAACAAATTTTAAATTCTGATATTATATAGGTCATATTCTCTTGTGTGTATTAACTTAGAAATGTGATAGTATTCAAAATCTGAAATATCACGATTAAGAATATTTCTAATTGAGAGAATTTTAGTAATCTTACTTTTTCTTATTTTCATTCTGAAGAATCCCATTTAGAATAACTAATTACAGTAGCTTCTTGATTGCTTCTATTTATTTTCATGATTATTTTATCCATTCCTAAAATATCTAGCCATTGTGATTAAACCAGCATTATTAATTATATAATTTATTATGTTTATAAAAAAAATATCATCAAATATAAAATCAAAAAAATCGTCAGCTGCAGGATTCGAACCTGCGCGGGTAAACCCAGTGGATTTCAAGTCCACCGCCTTAACCACTCGGCCAAACTGACTCGAATTATACTTATTATTTCATAACTTATATATTCTTGCCCAAATTATCATAATATTTCATTCGTGATTAAATATTCTATATTAAAAATCAAATATCAGCAAATTTCTCAATTTATATTTACTCTCAAACATCCTTATCATCTAAACTTAAATTTTCAAACACTATTTATTAGTACTATACGAATTATTTAGTTCAATATTCAAATGAACTCTTTAAGTATAATTCAAAATTAAATTGGTATTTTAAATACAGAGACTCTTAATTAAATGGTTAATTGAGTTTTTTGTAATATTAGACTTTGAATCAGAGATGAAAAAAAGACAAAAAGAGACATATTAAATTTTTTAATTCATTTTGATTGATGAGAAAAATTTTAATTTCAGTAATTAATTCTTATTTATCAAAATATAATCCCTTCTTATAGTTTGATAAATAAGCAATCAATGAAATCTGGGGAAGACATCCAAAAAATAAGTCATCTTGTGCATGAATATATTTATGTTGTATATTTTAGATCAGCCATTATTTTTTATTGATATTTAGATACAAGAATTTAATGAATGTATTAATTATAGTGAGAGAAATACACAGATATATAAATAAAATTATTTTGATATTCATAACTTCAATTAATATTTTAATTTAAATGTGCTTAGATGGAAGTTCATGATGATTGATAAATTTATCTACTTTGCATTTTTTCAACTTATGAGGCTGATTTGAAAACTTTCAATTTTTATTGATAGATATGATTCTCAATCAACGAAAAATATTTATCAGTAAATATTTGTTGATTTTATTATCTTAAAAAATACTATTTAATTAATATTCATGGGAAGGTAATCCAACTCTATTCCACTTTATATAGCTTTTATTCTATTTTTATGTTTCCATTATTAAAGGGAAATAATGTAATTCAGCAAATTGCTTATTTTTCATTAAATTATCCAGTAGTTCCAAAAATTTAACTATTATTGAAAATGTAATAATTACTGAGGAGAGTCTACAAGTATTAAAAATTGAACTAGATTAAACATTTTTTGAATTTAATAGAAGGATTTTGATAGTCATTTTGTTATTTCCATTATTTCATTTTCGTTTTAAATAAGACGAAGTATACTGATTATCTTATGATTAGTTTTCTATTCAAAATAAAAAAACTTAATATATATTGCTTAAATAGGGATTGCTGTGAATTTAAGTGGGAAATTGACAATTATATGAGTTCTACTTTTGAAATTGTGGATTGAATTATAATCTATAATTAAAATGGGATAATAGCAATCTTAATAATACAATTTCTTTTGGCCATAAAAGGGAGAAGTGTAATTATGGACGCACTCTTAAATTAAAGTGAATTTCTTGTTTTATCTAAGACTATATCTGAAGGAGATTCGAAGTTCTCTGAACAAAATAATGAATCTGTAATTACTTGCCCTGTGGAATACTCTTTAAGTTGGATTTCTAAATCAAATCAAATTCAATTTACATCAATAAAAATGTCAAATGGAGCTAAGGTGAAATTTGTGGTAGATCAAACTAATGGCAAACTAATAAGTAATGTTATTTACTCATAATTTAGAAACAGAATATACTTAACTAGAAAACGTTGAAAAATAGGCATTCGATGAATTACAACCTTAAACAATGTGGAAATGTTGGGTTGAAATTTGGCTTGGTCAAACTAAGAAAAATGATATTGTGCTTAATAAATAAGAAAGTTTAGAAAATGTTTAATCAGAGTGTGGTTTGGGATCCATCAACAATCCAATTGTCAAGGTTTATAGAGAAAGAAGAGGTCAGATTTAACTTCTAACAAGACATTTATGTTATACAAATTAGAATGAAAATTAGAAGTCTAGCAAATACTAGATAAATATGTAATTTTGCAAGTCTTAATTTTGGATGTTCAATTGGGAACTTAAATAGAAAGTAGTTCCAGATGCATATTTTTTGGAATTGCAAAATAAAATATCAACTGAATCTCTTTCTTTTTATCAATATACACTAAATTGAAAATGTTTTAATATTTTAATACAAGAAATGATTATATAGCAACATATACGCTATTTAAAATATAAATTTAACACTTATTGATTTATGTTGATAGTTATTCCATTTGCATTCAAAAATCTAATTATAACATAGCTTGTTAGTGTCAGTCATTTTTTAAATAACTTAAATGCTGATTCTTGAGGAGTTTTTTTTTTTAGAGATTTCTATATGAAGATCATAATTTAGCTTGTTGAACAATGATATTCATAATAAGTGTTATATAAATACAAGGACTATTATAAATGAATCATATTTTCACTTTTTTTCTATTTTTATTTTTATCTAATAATCTTTGTATTTACTTTTAATCAACTTCCAAGATTCTCAATACAAGTTGATAATCGTTATTATATGCTAATAATAAACCCTCATATTGATTATCAGTAATTGTAGGAAAGTACTTTTATAATTCAGAAAATGTATTGTAATGATGATTATTTTTAATTGGAGGAGTTTTAGATTCTAAACTGCTTAAACTCCATTCATCAAAATTCCTTTGAAAATCTGATTCGTCATTCATGAATTTAGCAACTAGACTTACTGATAATGGTTAGCTTAAGTTTATTGATGAAGAACTGGATTTTTCTGGCTCAAATTCCATATATTTTGGCATTTAGGGTGGTTGTCTTGCTCTTGAATAAATCTATGGCTGTGCTTGGGTCTTAGACTACTAGTCATCATGAAAGGATAAATAATCATCCAAAATTTAATCTTCAATGTCATTTAGGCATATTATAGATTCATCAGAGCTAATTACAATAACGGCATTGTTATTACTAACATCAACAGCAATTGGCTCATTAATTTTTGATATTTTTTCTACTTCCATTTGTTAATTACTAATAGGTTCAATCATTTTTTTGGGCTCCTCTTTTGTTCTACAGTCAATTAATGGAGCATTATTGTTCGTTTCTTTACACATCTGATTTTTGAAGTTCTATTTTAAATGTTCATTTATTCATTCACAAATATTTGTTTAGTTTGTGGATAATATTCATTCATGAGATTCAACCCTTCCAAAAACTTAAGATCTAGTTTTTATGCTTTCCAAAAAGTTTCAATTTATTCTTCTTGCTTTTAATGAGAATCTTTTTATTTTTTTCCTTTTTTCATAAGAAAAAATGAAATATTTATATTAAATGGTCATGTGTTATTTTGATAATTTCTTTAATACTCATTAAATAATATATCATTACTATTATGCTTATTTCTATTATTGGTATTATTGCAAGTCATGTCTGATCTTCTAACCTAATAAATCTAATTCTCTTAAAAATAGTGATTTAGATTCTCTGGCTCTTCTTGCCTATAAGAAATTCACAATGACTCTCTTTTATTTTGGACCCAACATGAACCAATTTTTAACATGTGATCTCAAAATCTCATCTTATGGTATTGGCTTAGCGGTCTCTATTTATTCTTATACTGAAGACTTAAACTATCGAATGACTTAATCCTCATTATTAATAAAAGAGTGTTTACCTCTGTCTTTCCCTCTGGAAGACTTTCACCCAACCTAACAATTGGCTTATTTTTATAATCATATTTCTCTCTTAAATATTATTTATAGTCTTCCTTCTTATGTTTAATTCTCAATGCTTCCTCAATATATGAAACATCATCTTTGCCTAATTTAAGATCTCTAACTTTAGCTCTCAACAAGTTTGGGGTTATTTCTGGAACTTCAATTTCTGATTTACTTATTTCTTATTGCTGCAATATATCAATATCTTACCTATGCCAAATATTACTCAGTCTTTTATTTAACATACTCATCCTCTAATTATTTTCTATATTTTTGCCTGACTTTTTCCCTCTCCTACACAACAGTCTTTAATCTAGCCATAGATATCTTGAGTTGCACAAGTTTTCCCATCCTACCTTTGACACCTACTACTTTTTTGAAAAATATTCCATCTGATAATAATAAATTCTTTTCTTTCAACATCACATACCTCAAATCATTAATTCAAAATGTACCATAATTTTGTTAAATCTTCAGTCGATTTCAGTCTCAATTCTTCTATTTTCCATGATCTTCCTTATGAGACCTATTATTTAGTATCTTTCAATTATTATTTTGTCAATGCATCAGTAAATTATAACAATTTTTCACTTTAAGTAGCTGGAGCCTAAGCATTGAAATACTGTGGTTTAAAAGCCAATCTGCTCCATGTCATTATGCGATTTATCATATATTGAAAATAAATAAAAATATTATTTCATTTAACAAATATTTATGTTTGAAATTTAACTAATTCAATTTGACCAATACAAAAAAATTACAATAACCCTTTAGTCTTTCTAATTATTAGTTCTAAGTTTTCAAAAGCTCTTCTTTGTATTAATTTAAAGAAAGCTGGCCAAATTCCTTACTGATTTGAATATACTCCAATCCTATGAATACACCTGTGATTTCATGTGATTTAATTAAAAACAGTCATGAAGGTTTTGATAGAATTGGATTATAAAATGAGTAAGTAGTAAAGTTGATATTTTTTCTATTTGTTATGGTTGACATTTTGAAAATCAGGTTTATGCTATATCTCTATTAAATGAGATATGGCATTTAATTAATAGGCAACAAGAATTCAAAGAATCATTTTTTATAAATTAAATATTTTCACAGTTTTAGCTCTATTTTGTATAAAATTAATCCATTTTTATTACATTTCCAGCAATGGAACTCATCCTCAGAGATTTATTATTTTAAGGCGTTTGTGTAATTAATATATATAATTTCTTTTATTTAAACTCATTTATTTAATTGTCCAATAAATTTTAAGTAACCTTTAACAGTATTCAAATATTAAAGATTAGATTTTTTGATATTAGTTAATTATTCGGTAGAATAAAAAGGTTTATAGGAACAAGTAAATTAAATAAATTAATATTTAAGAGGTCGAGTGATGTATTCTTAACTTTAATTCAAACAAATGCTAAAAAACAGTATTATTTGAGCCATAAATTATTTATGATTATGTATTAAGTAAAGTATGTAGTATCACTTGATATGTTGATGATTCTAGATTAAATACCAAATGATGATTGGTAAACCTAATAGTTATAGTTTTATCTTATTGTATTCAGAAAACTTTGATGGGATAATTATGTTTTATTTATTTAATTAATGTAAAATATGGATTTAGATTTTGAGTAGTTCTAGCGATATATGCAATCGGAGAATACTCAATAATAGAAGCATGATTAAAAAGGGAATGAAAAAGATAGGGATCGTGGACATGATAAAAACAAAGATAAACATTACAAAGATAATAATAGGGAAAAAGAGAGAGAAAGAGAGAGAGATAAGGACAAAGATAGAGAGAGGGATAAAAGTGCTGAGAAGAAGAAGAAAAAGAAGGATGAAAAAAAAGATAAAAAAAAGTATGTTGATCAATATTACATAAAATTAGAAGATCAAGGTCTGCTTCAAGATCTTCGAAGAAAAAAAAAAGCAAAAAGGACAAGGAAAGAGAAAAAGACAAGGATAAGGATAACTAATAATAAGTTATCACTTCGCAATTGCTTATGACAAGTGACATACAAAAAAAGAGGGAGATTGCAAAACAAAGAAAAATAGAAATTATGGAGGCAGAAATCAGAGAATTGGAGAGAAAGATTGTAGAAGTTGAAAGAGAGTTAGAAGAAGCACATAGATAAGATTTAACAGTACTCATGTATTGTTTGCCACTTAAAGCAAAAGAAAAACACATCTATTAGTTCTTTTAAACAGTAACATACTATTAAATTTGATTAGTTCAATTGTGGTAAAATTAGGGATATTAGAATTATTAGAGATTAGAAATCCGGAAGATCCAGAGGGGTGGCTTATGTGGAATTTTATTAAGAAGAATCTATACCTATGGCATTAGCACTAAATGATCGTTTATTTATTATGGATGGATAATAAGTAGGAACTATTCCTGTTAAAATACAATTAAGTTAAGCAGAAAAAAACAGAGCTGCAAGAGATTAGAAAAACATGCAAATTAAATAAAATAAATTGCAAAACATCTAAGATTTATAAAATATGAATGGACCAGCAAGAGTGTAAATTACAGGCATGGCAGAATAATTATAAAGAATTAATGAAGAAGATATCAGAGAAGCCTTTGTTCCATTTGGAACAATAGAAACAGTTGAAATTCCAAAGGATGAGTCAGGTAGAATGACAGGAGTTTTATATGTTACCTATGAGAAGGCTGAGTCAGCAAGGAATATGATAGAAGTAATAAATAATTAGCCATTTTTATTAAATGGAAAACCAATTAAAGTTTAATTAGTCTCTGGTGCCAATAATTATATGGATTTATAATTAGATGATGATCTAGTTTAAAATCCAGTTATGAGAATAACATTGATGAAAAAATTGATGGATGACAGTCTTATAGATAATGTATTAAAAAAATGATTTTTAGATAAACTTACCTCCTTTAATGACATAATTAGGACTAACAGTTTAAAGAATTTTGAATATAATCTAATCTCCTAATCCGACATTAGGTTGTATTTCTGGATGGATGCCTCTTAAACACAATCCTCCAGCCTGTCCTTGCACTACAAAGGTTATTGTCTTAACAAATATGTGGACAGATCTTGAGATTTCCAATTAAGCTGCAATTGTTGAATTAAAAGAAGAAGTAGAAAGTATTTTATTTTATAATAATCCTTTTTATAGATGAATGTAAGAAATATGGAGAAGTAGAAATGGTTTGGGTAGACAAAAAAAATGAAGGTAATGTAATCATTGTTTTTAAATAATGGGAAGCGGCTAAATAAGTAAATGTTTTAATGAACAACAGAAAATTTGGAAATAAAGTTGTGTAAAGCTATTTCATAACAGAGAGTCAATTCATGAGCATCATTAAATGATTTAGTAATATAAAATATTAATATATAAATAAAAGTAAACCATTCATTTCTGTAACTTAACAATATCTAGAATTGAATTCTTATTGAATTTTTTTAAATTTTCCAAATTTTAGAATTGTTTGTCAAAGTTTTTCGCTAAATTCAATATTCTACTTGATAAATCCAAAGTGACATCTTTGTCAACATTCAAAATTTACAAGACTTGAGCAATCTAAATAGATATATTTATAAATACAATTTCATCGCTCTAATCTTGACATGATATGTTGCATCCTATTATTATGCATGCAGCTGATAACAAAGAGTAATTGAATTAGCTAATGATTGAGTAATCATACAATATCATCTTTGCTAAATAAACTACTATTTGATGTAATTTTTAATATTAATTAATCATTTGTAATGTAATCGTTATTATTTCATATAGAGTAGCTCCAAAAAATTTAAAATCTAATGCTTATGCAATTTAATTCTCTTTCTCTCTAATTTCTTCTTTTGATAATTTTTTATGTGCTATTTTTTCATGAACAGTTTATAATTTTACTGGTTAGACCTCCTCAAACTTACATGCTAAGAACATGCATGTAACTCCTACGAGATGCATATCTTATGGAGCATGAGATTTTAATGATAAATTTAAATATTAATCCATCAATCTTACTGCCAAAAAGAATGTCTGATCTTTGCATTTATATGAAGTCAACACTTCTATCATCCAGTCTATCATTTTAGCTCTTAAAGAGCTATTGATTGAGTGTTTTTTTAAGAATTCACACTTCTAAATACCATCATAGATTTAATAATTTGTCAAAATAATGTCACCATAATTATAAAGAAATCTGTTATGTTATTACTTGGGTTCTTTAGATGAATGATCTTGGGCACTTTAACTAATTTAAGTAGTCTATCTAACTTTTATTGGAGAGTACTATTATATAACTAAAACTAAATACTATCTAAATAGTTGTGCAAATTGTAGTTTTTTATTTTTGTTCAGGCCGATAGTGTAAACTTTAAACATTTTGATTTCTTTAAGTAAGGTAGTTTTGTTGAGAATATGACTATTTTACATCAATACTTTTGAATTCGAAATCTTGATAGATAAACATTTATTACTTGGTTAATGATTAAGCAGAGTTAATGAAACTAATTGCGTTAATGACTTTTGGTTATTTCTTTTTTCAATATTATTTGAAACTTCTGCTTAGTTCTCTTTCTCAAATATACGTCTAGTTGTAGTATCTTTCATTTTATGAATAAATTTTGTTTAACAGATAATAAATAAATGAATTTTTATTAATAAACTTATTTTAATTTAAATTAATGAAATAGTAACAATCTTGCTTTATGATATAGATTTATTTAAAAATTATAATTATTTTTAATTGATTCATTAACCTAATAAGAATTCATTGTGATATTAGTTTCATAAATTGTAAAACATGACTTTGGAAAATATTATATTTTCTTATTTTTTTGTAAATTTGTTCAACTCAAACTTTTTGTTGTTAATTTGGATGGATCATAATTTATTAGAGCACTTAACATTATTTTTCTATTAACAAAAAAATTTGACAAAAGATTTATTATATATATAAATAGCAGTTAATTTGATTCCTCTTTTTCAAGGTATTTTCCAATAATTAAAAATAAAGGCTTCACAAATTATTACAATTTATTCCAAAATTTCAGAGATGAGGAGCCAAAGATAATTCTTTAGAATAAATGATTCATTATTTTTATATATCATATAGATATTGAGAAATTTACAAGGGTTTGACTTGGATGGAATAATATAAGAAAACTAAGAGTAGGAATGGAACTACCATTTTTGTATATTTTGAATCAATTTAATAAGTGGATAAAGTTATAAATTTTATTTATAAGAATAGTGTGTTTACCGAGCTTAACATAAGGATTTAATTTGCTTTAATAAGGAATTCTATTTTCGAAATTAGAAGGGGAACTTGCTTAATCTTGTATTTAAAGTGCTTTACTTATGGAATAGTCTAAGGATGAGAAATTTCATTTGATTTTGCTCTTAATGCTCATTAGGATATGATCAGTACTTGACACAAATTTCGTAAGCAAAATTTTATATATACTTTGAAGATAGTTTTATTGTTCAATGAATATTTTGTCTCAATTTTTTATTCATGCTAATAGTTTTATCAAATATAAGAAGTGTATAAGAGAAAAATATCATTTAATAAATTATCCTGAATTAGTTCAACAACCTAGATTAGAAATTAAGTGATTTTTATTTTCTATAATCTTCTTGTTTAATTATTGTTCATTTTTTATTCTTTTGGTTCATGGAATAAGAATATGAAGGTTCGAAATCAGGTGAAGATATCTTAATTGTAGATAAAATCTGATTCATCTTAATTAACATTTCTTTTTAGTTTATCTTACTTGAAGAATAAAAGACAAACTATGACAACACAAAGTTAGAATAAAAAATTAAAAAAGAAGATCTGAATACATTCTCATTAAATAATTTAAGAGTTAATAAAATGAAATCAACTATGCTAATGATTAAATATTATATTAACAACAACATATTTATATTTAATTTTGAATATGCTCGCTAATAATAAGTTATCCAACAAATTGTTTAGGGAATCAGATATTGAGAATAGATAAGTTGGTGACAATTAGAGTAAGAAAGACAAGGAAAATTATTTAAAGGAATGGGAAGAAAGTCTGAAAAGAAAGGAACATTTAGTATACTTTATTTTTATAAAGAATATAGCTGGAATCTAAACATCAGGAATTAAAAATCTATTCTAAAAATCTTCAGATGTAAAGTAAAGGACTCTTAAAGGAAAAACTAAATTTGGGAGAGAAAATTGAAAAGTATAATAGATTGTTGGAATAAATTATTGATCAATAGACATTCGATACACAATTAACAAAATCTAATTCTTTGACATCTTAAACTTATAGAAAATCACGCAAAAACGGAATTAATGAATGTAAAGAAAGAATTGGAAATTTATTGAAGACCATAAGATTAGAAACCAAGCCTTATCTCAAAACATAATAGGGTTCTTATTTTAGCAATAAGACTGAATTCGAAGAAATTCTATTTAGTAAAAGGAATAATCATTCTTCTTCATTCACAGGGATAATTAATTTAAGCAATAAAGAAGAATTAGTATCAAAATAATAATATGAATAACAACGTAATAGTAAAGACACTAAGGAAAGGTTTAGCCAATAGTATGCTACATAAGAGGAGTTAATCAACCATTAAAAATCCTTATAATAATTAGAAGACAATCAAAAGTATTTTTATTCTAAAGTGTATGAAGAGTTGAATAAATTAAAAAAACATTGATGAATTAATAAAAAAATGTATTATTTTGAAGCTATAAATTTGTATTTTCACAGTAAATTAAATTTAATTTGTTAATATTTTCAAGTTTTAAATCCACTCTTTAGGAATCTAAATGTATTTTTCGCTTGATGGTTTGGATTATATTGATTCAGAGGAGAAAATGAATAAATATTTAATTTGTTTCCATAAATTAATTATTAAATGCTACAAGAATATTATAGTAGAAAGGTCCTATTTATAACTGGATGTACTGGTATGCATTATGTCAACTTAAATTAGGATTTGTGGGCAAAGTATTATTAGAAAAGACTTTGCGCTGTTTGTCGAATGTTAGATGTATTTATGTTCTGATAAGATAAAAGAAAGGTAGTAGTTTAATGGAAAGGTTTAAACGAGAAATTTTAGACTCATAAGTAAGCATATAATAATGAGTTAGTGTTTTGATCGATTGAGATAGATTTATGGTGGAGGTTTTGAAAAATTCATAAATGAGAAAATTATTCCTGTTGAAGGAGATATGCTAAAGGAAGGCTTAGGGATGGCTGAAAATGATAAAAGTGTAATAATAGACAATGTCAATGTAAACGAACAATTAATCCTTAGATAATCATTAACTGTGCTGCAAGTGTGGATTTTAATGCAAGATTAGATGATGCCATACAAATTAATGTAAGGGGACCTCAAAGATTTATAGCACTAGCATAACAAATTAAAAATTTAGAAAACTTTATTCATATCTCAACAGCATATGTCAATTCAGATAAGGCTGGTTATATAGAAGAGAAAATATATGATCCTAGCCAAGAGAATTTGGAACAATTAGTGTCTCAATTATTGAAGACTCCTGTTAGTATATTAGAGAAAAACGTAAAGGATATTATTGGAGATTTTCCTAATACATATACATTTACAAAGTGTATAGCTGAAAAACTGTTAGTGTAAAACAGAGCTCCTAATTTTCCACTTACCTTCGTTAGACCATCAATTGTAGGAGCTTCTTGGAAGGATCCAACACCTGGTTGGATTGATAGTTTAGTGGCTAGCAGCGCAATTTTTTTCTTTGTAGGTTTAGGATTAATAAAAACTTTAAATGGTGATGAATGCTTGATTGGTGATTAGGTCCCAGTAGATTATGTAGCTGATTTTATTTTGGCTGCTGGTGCATATCAAAATGGAAGGAAAGAAGTAAGCGTCTATCATTGTTGCTCTTCTGCAAAAAATCCAATGACTTGGCAATTAGCAAAGGAAGTAAATGCTTTATTTTGGACAAGATCCCCAAGTTCTCAATAATTTTCAAAACCCAATTTAACTTTCTATAAAAATGAAAAAATATATAAGGTTATGTCAAAAGTTAAAAATGCCCCTGCTTTAATCTACTATTAGGTTGCAAATAAGATTGGAAACAAGGAAATGAAGATTTAAGCCAAAAGATTAAAAAAGATTATTGATAGAGCGGAATCCATAAATGACACTTTCAAACCATTCGTTATCAATGAGTGGATTTTCGATAGTTCCAATAGTAATGTACTTATCAAATTCTTAAATGAATTTGACAAGCAACACTTTAATATTGACATTGAAAAATTGAATTGGAAATAATATTTAGAAAGGTTCAATTGGGGAATACAAAAATATATCTTGAAAGATCAAACAAGAGAATTAAATGAACAAAGTACTGATGTTCTCAGCTAAAGAAATCAATAATCTTACTTTAGTGATATCGAATGGTGTCTCAGTCATGGCTAAGATTTCAAAACCAAAACCACCAAAGAACAAATAAGTCTGGTGATGAATTCTCAAAGAGTATAATCAGTTATCAAATAATTAGTTGAAGAAAAATCTAAAAAATATCAATAAACTACACTTAATCTTGATAAATTGCATTAAAACATTGAAAAATAAGGTATTGATATATGTGAAGTAATGTTTGCCAATTATAATATGGGAGTCATTAGGATATTTGCATGGTTTATAACTAAAGTTTTTAGATAAATATATGAGAAAGTTTAAATTAATGAACCAGCCTTATTGGAATTATAGAATTATGATTAGAAAACTAGGGGTCCCTTAATCTTTATGCCAACTCACAGATCCTATATAGATTTCATAATGGTATTTGTATACTATTATTGTAGTGTTCTTATGTCTTCTTTTCATATAAGATTAAATGTCCACATATAGCTGCTGCAGAGGATTTCTTATCAATGGCTTTGATTCCAACAATTTTAAGAGCATCTGGGGCTTTCTTCTTAAAGAGAAAATAATTGGAAGATAGTATATTATATAAAGCCATCTTTTATGAATACGTTTAGAGAATCTTAATTGAAGAGTGCTATCTCGAGTTTTTTATCGAAGGTACAAGATCTAGAACAGGTAAGACCTTAAATCCAAAGTTTGGATTGTTAAGCATTGTTTGTGATGCAGTTTTCGATAAAAAGATACCTGATGCCACAATATTACCAATTACAATCAATTATGAAAAGGTTTTGGAGGCTGACACATATCCTTATGAACTTTTGGGAGAAGAGAAAGTTAAAGAATCATTACTTAGGGTTATTAAGGCTATTAAAATATTATCATCAAATTTCGGAAGAATTCATGTTGGATTTGGAAAAATGATATCAGTAAAGGAATGGTCAAAATAATAAGGTTTAGATTCATTTGAGAATATAAGAGATCGTAAAAAGGGAGTTGAAACTTTGGGTTACGAAGTAGCTTACTAATTAATTGAAGAAATGGTCGTAATGCCTACAGGAATAGTTTCAACTCTTTTATTGATGAATAGAAGAGGAATTACAGAAGATTAATTGATAAAGAGATTCGAATGGGTATTAAGACAAATCACAAAAAGAGGAGCAAAGACTTCAATGACCAATAATGGTTCAAGTGATGTAGCTGTGAGAAATTCAATTGGATTCCTATAGGATTTGGTTGATAAGAAGAAGAAGAATGTATTTGAATTGACATTGATACCGAAACAAGAATATAAGAGCATTCTATTGTTAAGTTATTATAGGAATCAGTTAGCTCATATATTCTTTAGTGAGGGAATAGTTTGTTGTGCTTTAAATGGATTTGGACATCTGTTATCCCATAAGGAAGGAGTAAGCATAGAGAGATTATGGGAAGAGAGTGATTTCTTGTTGAAATTATTAAAAAGAGAATATTTTATAAGAAACAGGATTACATCTAAAGAATAGATGATAAACTTCATTTAATATATGATAGACAAAAATGTCTTAGAAAAAGTCTAAGATAAAATCAGAGTTAATTAACAATTTGGCGAATAAGCATCCTAATTCACATGCTCACTCATTTGGCCTTTAGTGGAATGCTATTGGGCTACAATTGTCTATTTGTATTAATTAAAAAGAGTAAGTGATACAAGCACAACATTTGAATTTTCTGAATTGATTACTTAAATTTAAGGATTTGCAGAGTAGATGTATGGAGAACATATTATGGAACACTATGAAAGTTGTTCCATCGAAACTATTAAGAATGCCATAAACACTTATCAAACTATGAGATGCATCAATATAAGTAAAAAGGATGATTCTGATTAAGTAAGTATTGTATTTACTGATCAAGAGGTAATTATAGTACTATAATTTAGTTATTGGAGGTTGAGGCTTAAGTTAAAAAATATTTAAAGAATAATTATTCTAAATCAATATCAAACCCTATAGATATTGCTAGATCTTTGTTAGATTATACCATTATTCCCAAATTATGAGTATTGTAAATTAGACTCATATATTAATTATTATAATATTTATGATTGATACTCAATGATGATGTGATCCATGTCCATTTTTGACATATTATAAACCACAGTATTTGCATGTTTAAGGTGTGCCTTCTGTTCTTGTATCTAATTTAATATAGACTTAAGGATGTCCTGCATTGATATGCGTGCCTCCCTTATTATTAATCAATTTTGGTAATTACCAAACATCTGACAACATCAGAATCTACTTCTATTACAGGTATCTTGTGAATGAACTCTTCAGCACTGCTTTTATGAGTTTAAAGAGATCTCTTTCAATTTAATTATTTAAGTACTTTGTGAGTTACATCATAGTCTAACCACTTATGTTGAGCTAAATTTGTTTAGGATTTCACCATTTGTGAAAATTAGGCTAACTTAGCTTATTGAATGCATTTTTATAACATAGTTGTAAATTTGATATTAATTAAATTAGTAATATTAATAATCCATAAGATTTAATCTACTATTCATTTTTATTGTTTGTAATCACTCGATTTGCCTATTATTATTTGAACATTTTTTAGGTTATCCAATTCAGTTTATAGAATCATCAGTTCCTCCTATTTTTGATGAAATTCTCTATCATTTAATTAAATTGATACTTATTTTACTCTATAAACTTCTTTTTCCATGTGTTTACTTCATCAAACAAATATTTGTGTTTTTCTTCAACGTTTGTTGTTTATTCTTCCAACTACCCATGCACATCCTGAATGTATTAGTTTGCTTCCTCTATTTCTTTATCTTTTTCTATTATCTACCTATCATAGCCGTCTATGATATTTTATCTCTACTCTATCTTCTCTTATAATTATTAAATTTCATCCTATAAAATTTTGATTGTGTTAACTAATTATTAAATTTAACTATATGCTTGAGATAATTCACCCTCCTCATCTTCATTATCTATTTTATTTTCTTGTTAAGCTTCCAATTCTATTATTCTATTTAGTAATTCCTTAACCTTCAATCTCCAAGGTTCCTCAACTTACTACATATCAACTACTTATAATGGGCTCTACACATTAGCATTTCCATAACTAGATTAAATTCTTTAAACTCCCTATTATTCCCACGTTCCTCTATTTGCATTTGCATTCCGATTAATTGGATAAATTTATCTATTGTGTTGATATGGATAACTTTATTATTACTATTGATATTGTTATTAAATCATTGGTTAAACTTAATTTTAAAACGAAGGTTGAGAGATGAGTTTTACAACTCCTTATTATGGTAGGGATAATGGAGATTTGTATTCTACCCCAAAGCCAGGTGCAGAAATTTATTATCTCATTATGACTAATTATAAATTACAATTAAAAATAATTTAAACGAACATATTAAAATATAATTGAACGATTAAAGGGATTGGCAGATAAATATAGAGGATATGTTATAAAAAGGAAGAATATAAAAAATAAATTTGCAGAAGAGTGCCAAGAGTATGTGTGATTTAATGTTGCTGAAATTTGAAGTAACTCTTTAGCTTGTCTGCTTACCTATCAGAATACAAATTAAATAAATTATTAGTGAGATAGAATCAAAATAATTATGGGTTTGCATTCATTAAAAAAAGGTTCTATTTTATTAAAGCTTTTATTATTATTATATAATCATTATATATATATATATAATAATAATAGTATTCACTTTTAAATTAAAATAGCTCAAAAAAAATAAAAAGAATTATGACAGAAGAGTGCCAAGAGTATAATGTGTAAATTGATTTTGATTAAATTGAAGTAACCCTTTAGCGTGTCTGCTTATTTATTTCACTAATAATTAGATAAATAGTTTGTAAAATTGAAATCAATTAATTATGGGTTGCTATTAATAAAAACGTTCTATTTATAAAATCTTTATTATTACTACAAAAATTCTATTATAAAATCACTATATATCTTAAATAATAATTAGCATTGATAATGTTTTTTAAATACTTTAATTTTACCTCTTATTAAAACTATTTTTCAACATTTTATATATTTATTGTTTATTATAATACATTTTACTAGCCTATGTTTCCTAATTATTACTTGCACAATAATGATAGGTAGATTTTGCTCTTCAGTAATCTCAAATTTCATTAAACAATCCCATGGATATCCATTGATTTTTATTCTAATTAATTACTTGCATCTTCTTCTTTATAATTGCAAAATACTCTGCCATACTTTCTTGCTTTAATTATGGAACTATTTTATTAATTTATTTGAAAGGCTTTTTCAAAATAGATGAATCACTTGGTTATTTTGATATCATTGATTTGAACATTATTTTCCTCCTTGTTGACTAAGAAGAATATTACATTTAAGACTCTTCATTCTTTGAAGTCTCAATAAATGATATTGCATTTGTTTTATCTGCAAGTTGCTATAAATCCTATTGCGATTCTGATTATTATACTTATTTTATAGATTATTAATAGTACTTGTATCGTTAATTGATGGCCTACCAAAATTAAGTTTATCTAAACGTGAAATCCAATTAATGTTATTTTTCATAATCTTTTGAGTTTTCCCTACAGTAGATCTTTTGCTACGTGTATTGGAGATGGTCAAAGGTTATATCTTTATTAACTAGAAGTATTTCTGATTATAATTTATCCATCAAATATTTATATTATTAAAACATTAACAATTTGAAATTATTAATACCTATAGTCAGCCATAATTCAAAGGGTCTAACTTCTTTCTCTTTCTTGGAATTTTTTTATATTTTAAATTAACAGAATAACAAAATTAACTTATTTTCTATTAGATGAAGAAACAATTTATTATTTTTTTGTACAGAATTTGAAATGGATGTTGAACAGCTTCTTTAAAGTTAACAATAATGTAAAGAAGCTTAACAAGCGAAAGTATATATCATTATTATTTATGAAATGAATATTATTAAATATATATTTAAACTTATGAGTTTTTAAGTAATTTATATTTGTCATAGAATAGACAACAGACTCGAAGAAGGAAGAATTTAGAAAATACTTAGAAAAGGCTGGAGTGATTGATCAGCTAACAAGAGTATTAGTTGGGTTATATGAAGAACCAGAGAAACCTAACAATGCAATTGAGTAAATAAAGTGTTTTGAATTAGTTATGTGAAAAAGTATTTGGGATCTCCAGTGGATATTGATGTAGATAAACTTAAATTAGAATATGAAAAACTTAAAGATGAAAACATAAAATTAAAGAGAGAAGTTGCAGAATTAAAAAAAGAAGTTTATAATTATTTTAATATCCAATTAGTTATAAGCTGCCTAATAAGAGCAAAATTGAAAGTATATATACACATACGCAAATACAAATAATTTATGCTAAATGTGTGCTATTAAATATCATATATTATAGTTAAATAGCCAAAAATTGATCAATCAAATGCAATATCTTCCATCTCAATGGCATCTGATTTTGATAACAAATAGTTTGGACCATAGATTCTAGTTTAATCATTCTACGTTAAATTGATAGTATTTAGAGTTGGTCTTTTTGTGCTTTTAATCTGATTTTATTCTTCTTATTTCATTTTATTATAGTTTTCTGTAATTTAATGAGACTACTGAAAAACTTTTTAAACAACTGGCCCCAGATATTCTACAAGCCGAGAATTAATTTACTTTTCATTTTCATCTAATTGTACTTCTTAGTACGCTCTAAATAATTTTAGCATTTTACTCCTTGTATCATATTTAGATACTTTACCAATCACATTTAACTTAGCTATTGAATTCTTGGTATATTGTGAATTTTAAACTTAATGTCCATCCCAAGTGATTATTGGCTAAGGAATATAATTAAAAAGTTGCAACTGTTTTTCATCAAGCAAAATTTGCTTTATTTTATTTATCTCCTAGAGCTTTTGCAGAATTAGAACAATGTCCAGGTCATTATTAATATTGATTGTCGATTTTTGAAGTACTATATAAATCCTTTTATATCTTTTAAAATGCCTGAAACAGGAAAGATAATAGACTATAAAATTGAATCCTAACCTAATTTTCTCATTAGCCATAAGCAATTGTTCAACCATACTTTGTATGAAAGCATCTTTAAGATGATCTATTGATTTATATTCATGAGTTATTGGTTCTAATTTTACTGAATCTATCTCTTTTGATTAGTTTATTATTGAACGTCTTTGATTAAATCTGCATCTGATTTATAGATTTAAGAAAATCTTTAAGATTTAAAAATACCTGTGACTTTATTAAATTAGAATAATTTTTTTGTTGATCCTCTAAATTTTTGTAACATAGCTTCTGCCTTTTCTTTTTCTTTTTAAATAAATTTGAAAATATCATTTAGTTCAGCCTTTTTTTGAGATTTTGAAACATCATCCAATTTACACTAATATAGAGTATTAGCAAGCATTAGTTTAAATCCAATTATATTATACTTAATGACAATAATACCAATTACACTAGTGATCATTTTTAAGGTTCCTCCTATAAAAGAAATGAAATCACCAAATTTCTTAAAAGATATAAAGGAAGAATAATATTCCGAAGAAATCCTAAGGTTTACAGCAAAATAACTAGTTGGTTCGGCATAATCATTCTAATAATTTTATATTAAGTTACAATAAAACTTCTGATATTTCCCAAACGAAATGACCAAAATTCTCCAAAGAAAGAATCTTCTTAAAAAGGAAAAACTGAGTTATCAATCTCCAGAGTATTTGGTTCCAAAAATATATCTGATACCTATTCTTAAAGTTTTGTAGATTGTTGATAAAAATCCTAAAAAAGTTATTGAGATATTATTGCATCATTAGAGAATGGATTTATAATTGTAGTAAACATCAAAGTAGATAATTTAAATGTTTGTCGTTCTGATAATAAATTCAATTAATCCTCAGTAAAACATTGAGTTGAGTTTTTGCAAGCTGACACTTTGATTTGAGTGTATTAAAAATGCTATGAATTATATGTACCTTCTAAAACAAACGAGTAATTTAGAGGTAAACAATAATAATTAGTAAAAGTTTCTACCTGATCAGAATCTGATATCAAATCTAAGGATTAAAAATGTTAACTAGTGCATTGCTCTATAATTAGACTTGTATTAACTGATTTGGTTCTTGTTTTATTTGGAAAGGTTGTAATATTGTTCTAATAAACAGTAATGCTAAACATTGTCTAATTTGTGGTATTTAATAAAATTTATAAAGGGTCATCCAACTTAATGCCTATCATAAAATTAGAGATATTGAGAACTCTTGCATTCGGAGAAATGTCATTTATTGTTCGAGTTACTGCCTTAAGCTTAAACATAGGTTTACTTGTTAGTCTACTCTATTAATCAAATCTACTCCTTATGAAATAAACACGTAAAGCATTACAAACCACACCATCAAACTCATGAAACCTCCAAAAATAGAAGTAAACTTTCCTTTATTTTAAATATTCAATGTTATATCTGCTCCAAACATATCAGCAACTTGTATCAAATTTACAACCTTCTAATACATTATATAATTATTAATATGATCAATTACAGGCTAATTCAGATTATTGATTTAAGACGACTATTTGAATGTTTTTAATTATTTCAATTGAAGTTATTTAAATAGATAGGCAATGTATTTCTCAGATACAATAAAATAAAAAACTGTTTCAGATAGTATTATTTTTACTAGTATATAAAGAATAATAGGAATTATTTTATAACTGTGCCATAAGATCCATTTGAAGATATTTTAATCGCTTTCTTTATGATAAGAAAGTTACAACTCATAAATTATTCTTATTCTATATTGACTCTTAACGTATAGAAATGAGGATTGACTCTTATCCAACTAATCAGCACTCTTATAATAGTTGAATATTTGGATATATTTGGGGGAGTTTTGAAAAGCCTTTTATTATTCAAAATTAATAATTCTCCTTCTGGATGAATGGAAATTATGGCAGCTAAGATATTATTGTGTGAATTTAGTTAAATCAAAGGATTTTCTTTTGTGGAGAAGAGTTCAATATAAATTGGAGATATTGGAGCACTTAATATTCCTGAAATAAAGCAACAAATAAGTTTAAGGTATTGATAAATGAATTAATTGTAAATTTAAAAAGAGATAATTAGATTTTTTTGATTAGCTGCTTAAAGAAGCAGTTGATGATTTACATTTAAAAATCGATAAAAACCCAACTACCAATTAAAAATAAAAACTACACAAAAAAAAAGATCATGTAATTCTTAATTTAAAGTAATGAAAAGAGTTTTTAAAGATCAATTAATAAATTAAAAAATATAAAGTTCCAAAATACTAATTCTATACTGTTTATACTTGTTTATAAAAATATTACTAGGATCAAATTATTGGGTAATATAATCAAGTAATATAGCAACTTGGGAATAATAGGGAGTTCGAAGAATATAATTGAATCATAGAGATATTGCTAATCTATTAGTTGATTTTAATTGAATATATATTAAAATTATTCTAGATATAATGATTTTTATAATAGAATTTTGTAGTAATAATAAAGATTTTATAAATAGAACGTTTTTATTAATAGCAACCCATAATTAATTGATTTCAATTTTACAAACTATTTATCTAATTATTAGTGAAATAAATAAGCAGACACGCTAAAGGGTTACTTCAATTTAATCAAAATCAATTTACACATTATACTCTTGGCACTCTTCTGTCATAATTCTTTTTATTTTTTTTGAGCTATTTTAATTTAAAAGTGAATACTATTATTATTATTATATATATATATAATGATTATATAATAATAATAAAAGCTTTAATAAAATAGAACCTTTTTTTAATGAATGCAAACCCATAATTATTTTGATTCTATTTCACTAATTATTTATTTAATTTGTATTCCAATAGGTAAGCAGACACGCTAAAGAGTTACTTCAAATTTCATCAAATTTAAATCACACATACTCTTGGCACTCTTCTGCAAATTTATTTTTTATATTTTCCTTTTTATAACATATCCTCTATATTTATCTGCCAATCCCTTTAATCATTCAATTTTATTAAATAATGATGTTGTTATAATTATATGAAATATTAATAATTCTACAACCATTATTTGGAGTTACTTTTTGACAAAAAATAATGCTTCTGGATTTTGAGATCATTAATTAAAAGTATTTTAGCTTATTCTCCAACAAGATAGAAGTAAGAAGCTCAATAAAAATGTTTGTAACTTGTACATCACTATGAAAGTTCAATCAATCTCTACTCTAAATCATTGAAATGTCAAAATAATTATAATAAATGCCAACTTATTATTAAATATGCATTGTATTAAATAAAATATCAATTCAAATATAAATTTTATGATTAGTTAACAAGATAAATAACGATTATTGCAAGAAAAATGAGATAGGATTGCAGCGTAATTTTTATTTAAGCTATTTAAATTATTAATAGAAACTTGAATAATCTCAATAGACTTCTACTAACAAGTAACCTTAATAAGTAATTTAAGCATAAGAAATTAATCAAATCAATTAATCTCCTTAAAAGGAGCAGCCCCCTTAAAATTAGGCTGCCATAGCACATTCAGAATAGTCAGATTTAATAAGTTTATATTTGCAAACAAAGCGAAAAAAATTAGGGTTTTAGACAATAGAAAAGTATTCGAATAACTCTGCTCCTCCTCAAGCAGAAGTTATGACAATAGAGTTTGGTGTACAATGTGAATTTGAGATTTCATCTTCTTAACATGAAAATGAGGATCAAGTAATTTCATTGATGGAGAATGTGAGGAGAGATTCAAGGAAAAAAAGAAGTTTTTTAAAGCGCTAAAAACCAATTGAAAAAATAGAAAAGAATATATCCACTGAAGAGATCCCAATCATTTTAGAGGTTTTTTTCAAGAAGTTCGAAAACTATAGATAAAGCCATTCATGGGGCAGGAGTTGAGTCCTTGAAGACTTAATGAACACTTAATAAGTGACTTAAGAAATAGGTAAGGACAGTCTAACGAAATTACTTTCATTTAGTGATAAATTATATACAGAGAACAGGGTTGTAACATCAACATAGTGGTCGCCCAATTACCTCATACATTCTTAGCCTCATATTCCTAAAATGAAGAAGGATCAATAACAGATTAAGTGAGAGTGGTTCTTTTATGGTTTTTGCAGTTAAAATCTAGACCTGACAGCCTGTTTTCATCCCTTCAGTCCAAATATAGTGAGGATTATACAATGACTAAGTCGTTGTTTGGGACTTGAGAGCAAAGCACACTCCTAAGAAGAGATCAACTTTGAATAGTGGTGGACATAGTTATCCTATTTATGGATTAAATATTGTTGGATCACAGAATGCAAATAACTTAATATCTGCATCAAATGATGGAAGAATATGTATATGGAATTTAGCTTAATTTAATTAACCACAAAAAAAACAATCATAGATTTGAAAACCAAGAATAAATAATAATTAACAAACCTTTAGGTTGAAGTAAATGCAACCTGCATGATGTTCCCTCAAGGAGATGCCAATAATTTCTATGTTGGTGCTGAAGATGGATGTGTTTACAAACCAAATTGCATCAAAATATAAATGAAAATATTGTTATTCCATTTGAGGAACATTTAGCTCCTGTGAGTGGAATTTCAATAAATTCATCTCCATAAGCGTCACCAATAATATCTAATTTACTACTGAGTAGTTCATTTGACTGGACATGCAAATTATGGAATACAAGAACACAGTCGGAAGCCAAATGCCTAGCATCTTTTGAATGTTTAGAAGATTATGTATATGATGTATAATGGAATGGATAACATCCTTCATTATTTTCAACGGTTGATGGGGAAGGTTATGTTGATTTGTGGGATTTGTCCTATGATTTAGAAGCTCCGATTACAAGATATCAATCTGGGAACAATTCTATCAATAATCTTAGTGGTCTAAAGACGGGGCTAAAAAAGCCATTGAAGATTCTTTTGGAGAAATATAAATTTTTAATTATCATAAAAAGTATATTATTGTTTCTAACTTATTTGTAGGCTCAAAAAGTTGATCATGAAAGATTGGCGAAACTAGAGCAATGGATTAAAAGTGACAAATGAAATATTAGTAATTATATTTAATTATTATATATTTTATAAATGAAAAAGAGAAATTAGAAACTATGTATGTAATTCAAATAATAAATTAAGCTGATTTATGTGTCACATCAAAAGTGCTTTGTGCAAAATTTGGAACCTACACTAAGAAATTAATAGCTGGTGGAGATGAAAAGAATTGTGTTCAAATCTGGTAAATTGGAAATCAAAAACCAATTGCTGTATTTCAATGATAAATTGCTAGACATTAAGTTCATAAAATAATTCTAATGCTTAAGTTGAAGTTGCTAGTGTGAATTTTAGCTTTTGTGAAACTGAATTATTCTCAGGATCTAATAGAGGGATCATCAATATCTGGGATGTTGAAAGCCAAAAATGTAAATCATATTCATTCATATAGAAATTTAAACACTTAAAGGACATACTACTTGTGTTAATACACTTTGTATTTATCCAACTGAAGAAAATAAGCATCTACTCCTAAGCGGAGCCTATGACACTTCAATCAAATTATGGGATTTGAGGACCAAAACTGCAGTCAATCAATTCAAAGGCCATAGCATGTAAATCAATGCTTTGGCAGTCTCTCCAAATTGTAAGCTATTGGCATCAGGTTCAAACGATGGATAAGTTAAAATTTGGGATATTGCATAAGCAAAAATAATAGCATCTTTTACCTAACATGATAGTCAAATAACATGTCTAAGTTTCAATCCTGTTGATAAAGCATTGGCTTCAGGTGGAGGAGATAGATGTGTCAGATATTGGGACTTAGATCGATTAAATTAAGTAATTTGATCTTTTTGATAAATTAGATATCATCTACTAGAACTGACACAACTCCAATTTAATCCATATTATTTGAATAAAATGGAAAAGCATTATATTCTGCAGCTTACGATTCACTAAAAGTTTGGGATGTAGAACATGATTGTTAACTTTTGGATAATGTAGAGAGCAGTTGGAGAGGAGTCCTAGACTTGATAGTAGTTCAAGAAAAAGATCAGTTATTGGGACTTGCATCTAATGTGCAAACTGGATTTACTCTTCATGGAGTCAATCTCAAAACCATTTGCTAAGATCCAAAAAGTATTGATGTTAGATCTAGTGGAGGTGGTGCTTCTATCAAACGAGGTAGGACACCTGACAAAAGATCTGAAATCTAAACTGCGAATCCGAAGCCTTCAGATTCCGAGAGTAAAGTTAAAAGTAAACCCTCTTTGCAGATGCAAGCATAGAATATATTGAATCAAGATTATTAATATGATCGTTAAAAGTCAAACGAACAATTAAAGGAGATTTAGCAATAATAATAATAGCAGCCTTATTATTAATAATAATAGATGATTGGATCACCATATCTTAATAATAATGCCTATCAATAATTATAGTAATACCCTCAATAACAAATGTTTTATTAGTACTAAATTTAATAGCCTCAGTCATTTTAGTAATAAGCTCCTTTTCTATATCAATAACAACCTAATCCAATTTATCAACAACAACCTAACCAACTCTATCAACAACAATAATAACAGAATCAGTTATTCTTACAATAAAACTTATTAACTTAATAACCATAGTAACAATTCTAAAATCATGATTAAAATCCATATTATTCAAATCAAGTACACACGCCCTAGCATAATCCATAAAAACCTCTTTCATATCTTTAGGTTCCTTAAGTGATCCTTCCAAATATTGATGAGGAAGATAAACCCTAAGATGAATCTGAGATTATTAATTCAAGCGATTTAACTCTTTCTTAATTTATGATGGGGGATTAGAACAAAGAAAAATTTAAACAAGTAGATCTTATCCATGAAATTGTCAAAGATCACAATAAAGTTTAATCAGTCCTGACTTAAAGAATTAATTATATGAAACCTATACTTCATTGGTGGAGTAATAACAATCTTAAATCTGCTATGAATGCTATCACTCAGTAAAATTTGTATTTTATATTAGAGTAACAGAACCATCCATTTTACAAGATGCATTGTCTCTCTATTCCCAATCATCCAAATTTGGACAAGTCCCTATGGATTCTATCCCCATGTTATTGGAAAAAGCCAGAATTCTGATTGAGTCAAAGTACACTAACCATATAAGGGGAGGACTTGATTTTGCTTGGACAACATTAAATCAATTTCGAGATGTAATTCTATTATCAACTATCTCAGGAAATCCTTAATATCAAACTATTCAATTAACTATCAAAGGCAGATTTAACAAGGGAAGAAAGGATTCAAAAATATGATAGAGTGATTGAACAATTTAAAATTATAGTTTAAACACCAAAATTACAAAAAGTAATCGATAGAAACAAAGAAGATCTCTCAGACTTGGCTAAGAAATTTTAAATTGAAGTAGTTGGATTTCTCAAAAAAGTGAATCAGAATTAAATGCAAAATTGAATATTAAATTATTGTTAATATATAATATTTTAGTCGTTAATGAATATCTCAAAATCAAAAAATTCTGTTCCCTAGGACAAACCTCTCAAAAGTCCTTAGCCAGACATACTATCTATGCCCATGCAACCATTAAGAATTGATATGCTCCTCAACTCCAAAAATAAATTGGAATCCCAACAATCAACCAAAGCACTAGATATAGTGAAATAAATGCATATAAGCAGTGCAGGAAATTTAAGACTGGATACATCTATCAACAAATCCAAAGAACATCTATTAAAGAAAACTCCTACTAAAACAACTGCTAGTTTTCATTATGATAAAACTCCTGACAATTCCTAAAACAGTTAATCTTATAGTCCTCATACTCATGCTTGTTTAAAACCTTAACTTAAATAATCAGAAGATTAAGTAAATATCAAGAATATTTCTTCATAAAAATCCATTTTGTAAAAAGATCAAAGCGAAAGAATTGAGTAACTTAATTTGTTGTTGAGAGAGTCAAAATAATTATTAACACAAAAAGAACAAGAAAATTAAAAATTATAAGAGGCTAATAATTGTTTAAATTAAGATAATCAAAAATTATATTCTCAAACAGAGGAAATGTTGAAGGATCTTGAGTTTATGAGATCTAATTTAGAGTAATAAAATAAAGAGTATAATCTTCTAAAATAATAAAATCAACAATTAATAGAAGATATGAAACTAATACGAAGTGAGAGAAACAAGGCAATTAATAATAACAATGAATAACTCTTAATTTAAAAAAATAAAGAAATTTCATAATTGTAAAGTGAATTAAATGAGCATAAACAACTGCTATTAGCTAAAGATTCATCAATTCAACATTTAAAACATTAGTTTGAAAATCTAGAATAATAATAATATGATATAATGAATAAGTTGGAATAAAAGTAAGATGAGCTATAAGCCTTAAAATAATAACAATAATTAAATATTCTAAATCAAAAGAAAAGCAATTAATTTGAGTCTTTATCAAGAAGATCATCTGTGTAAAACGATGTCCTCTTGTATCAAGCTCAATTAGAGCAATTACAAAAAGAAAAAGATATATGTGAATAAAAATTAGTTGAAATGTAAACTGTTATAAATCAATTCTTATTAAAGGACAAGAAGGTAAACCAACCATTCAATAATTCTGCTGTTCTATAAAAAGAACTTAATAAAATGAAACAAATTATTTAAATCTAAAAAAGATAAATTGAATCATAATAGAAAACCATTATGAACTAGCATTATGAAATCTAAAATTTGTAAACTTTATTGTATTGTTCTAATGAGTAAGACAGTTAATTTAACAAAAAGACATTTGATTCCAATGACGCAGATAAATACTCACTGTAATCTGCAGATATGTAAATATTATTATAATAACTCCTCTAGATATCATATATAAGAAAAAGAAAATGACAGAAATAGCTTAAGTGAACATTTAGGCGCTCATCATATTACCTTTTAATAATAACAAGGATCTAAATTTATTATGGAAGATACTTTTAGAAATTTAGACAATGAATTAAACTCGCATAATACTTTAACAGATTGATTTTTGTTTTATAAATTATTAAATACTTATTATTAAAATATATTTAAAAAAAATAAAAAATAAAAGTACTTGGATCAAAGCATTTTCCAACTATTTTTTCCTTGTAAAGTTGATGATATGTTTTAAAATGAATTAGACTAATCCTAATCCTTTGATATTCCTTATGATATGTGATAATTAATTATACCTGGAGATGAATTCCTAATTTTATGTCTGACATTAGAAACGTTCGTTGCCTTACTCTTAGGTTCATCTTAATTTAATTAATATTTGAATACTTTTAATAGCCGGTGAAAAGGTTCTTGTATTTACAGAGGAAGTTTTTTGAACTAAAGTAAAACTGGTTGATGACACATTATCTTTGGTTTTTCTAGAAAATATTATTAAGATCATACACTTATTTTTGTGATTAAGTCTTTTCTGTCAATTCTTATAAGACTCTTATAGGTTAATTCTTAATAAAGGATGCCTAACTCTTTGTTAAATTTTAAGGTGATATTAGTTTCTTAAACTAATTGAGGTCTGTAACTATGCCTTTTGCTTATTACTTTTATTCAGCCTCTATAGCGGAATTACTATTATTATTAAAACTGTTATTTTAAGCTTAATTTGCACTTTAATTTAAGTATTTATCTTAGAATGAGTTATTTGGCTTTTATTAGTTCCTCAACGTAGATGCTGCTTGTCTTCTACATTAAACATTTCGTAAATATATTTGAGAACTAGATTAAGGTAAAGGAGGTCCCTGTTAAGATACTTTTTTTAATGGATCTTTTGAAAATGGAGACAAACTTTCTTTTTTTTGTAACACATTAGATTTTTAAGTATCTTTGACATCAGTACTACTAGGTCTGAGTTTGGAATCTAAGGTTTCCTAATTCTTAGTTATAGAGGAACTTCTATCCTATATGTTGGTTTAATTTAGAATCATGGGTTGATTATATTAGGAGAATTCAGTGTTTTAAATGTGTTATTTTTAAATGCAAGATTGAGATTAGGATTGTTTAATTTAATTTTTTTGCTAAAGTTGCTAAAACTTTTAATAACTAGATTATAATTATGAAATTGATTAAGTTAATGTTTTTTGAATTTCTGAATGCTTAGTAGAATTCATAGTTTAAATTGATGTTGGACTAATTAATTAATCTAATTTACTTTTTTATTAGATTGTATTATTAGTTTAATTTATTAATTGTGTTGCTTGAGATTATTAGGATGACTTATCAAAATTCAATAACGCTTCAGCCTATTTATTAAAATAATTTAAGGATTATTAAACTTGATTTTTAAATTCCTAAAAGTTGGTTAAAATGGAATTTTAGTTATCTTTTTATTTCAAAGAGCTAGGTCTGGTCTAATTAGAAATATCAGTCGATAACTTTTTATCGTCATTTTATTATAAAGAATTGCTTCTGATTGGATTTGAACAGTTCTAATAGATTTAATTGCTGCTACTCAAAATAGATCCAGCAGTAGGTTATTATTGAGTTGTATTCTCTGAATTCTTTACAAAATTATTAATCAATTAAGGTTTTTTGTTATTTAATTCAATGATATTTTATTATTGTTATTATGTTATTTACTATTATTATTATTATGGTGTTCTGCTTTTTGCAGCAGCACAATTCATAAGCATATTCTAAAATGAAGGATTGTTAATTAATTTTGCATTATTTAGATTAGAATTCATTATAATGTCATTTTATTCTTGTTATTATGATTTACTGCTTTCTTATCTTACTTGAGTTATTACATTCTAAGTGCTTTTTGGAAAACTAGTTTAGATTTAGGGTTGTTTAGGCAATTAGATCAAAGATTGGTTTTTTTATGCTCCCTAATTAAATTCTAATTTTACTTTTAAAATTGAAGTCTCAGAATCGCGTTTTAGATTCACTTCAGAAGTAGGCACGAAATCAGGGGAACCTGAATAGACCAGAGTTGCTAATTGAATATTCTCTTTATTCATTTAGTCTCTCCATTTTAACTTCTGATTGCTAGGTTTTCCCAAGACTCCCTTTAAGTATTATGTGAATCTATACCTATTTAGCTTATAAGTTAGTATATATTTCATCGACAGGACCATTATGAGAATTCAAAAAAGTATTTCTAATGATTAACTCCTCCTAAACATGCTAAGGATTTTATTCATCAGTTGATAGTTCATTCCATGAAGCAGTTCTTTTTGGTCCGAGTTTATTCATTCTGTTTTCCAATGCGTTTAGTTAATAAAAAAAGGATGCTCGAATTTCAAGATCTGGACGTCTGGAATTCAAAAATTCTAATGTTTTATATAATGTCCAAGAATATCTAAAAATTTAAATTATTTAACGAACTTTTTCATAAAATAAGCAGCAAGCACACAACATGCTCTACTCTATCCTCTAACTGAATGTACTAGGCAACTCTCTCCTTATTGAAAACATTCTTCAATGAATGTAAATATTTTATTTACATTTTCACCTCGTTCATCAAATAACACCTAAATATCAACATTTGAATTGATACTTCATTATCTTACTCCAACCAATTAAAAGTTAAATACTTTGCACCCATCAATGTCCATTTATTTTGAACTTCTGTGCCAGCACAATTAATAATATGAGTTACTTTATTTGTAATTATAAATTCTCGATCCTTTTTTAAATTCAATACTAAACCTATGATGCAAATTCATCCCCAATAAATAATCCATCCTTTATTTTAATTGCTCCTACTATTTGGTTCTAAGCCATAATAAAAAATTTAAATTATTATTATTTATGTTAACTCTTCTTAAGCGATCGATATTATTTATTCCTCGCTTTTACTATCATCCAAATGTTATAGATCATTATGAACATCCAAGAAATGTAGGATCACTAGACAAAAGCAATCCCAAGGTAGGAACAGGATTGGTTGGTGCACCAGCCTGTGGAGATGTCATGAAACTACAAATCTAAGTTGGAGAGGATGGTAAAACCATAGAATAAGCTGTCTTTAAAGTAATCCAATAGATTCTATTCATTTTAAGACATTTGGCTGTGGTTCAGCCATAGCATCTAGTTCTTATGCTACAGAAATTTTAAAGGGAATGACCCTGGAAGAAGCTTACAACATCAAGAATTCAGATATTGCAAGCTATTTAAAGTTGCCTCCTGTGAAATTGCATTGCAGTATGCTTGCAGAAGATGCCATCAAGAAAGCAATCGAGGATCTTTAATCCAAGAATTATTAGTCAACATAAAAGTAAGACAAATGATACATTAAGTGATAATATAAAGTGATTCATTAATCGCTATATTTATTTTGTTGTTATTCTTTTTACTAAAATCTAAGTTAAAAACAAAATTAAATTTTCTAAGACATTCTTATTAATCCTATTTTAATAGATTCAATTTACTTGGATATTAATATTCCTTATGATCAATTTAGATTCATATAAGCACTTTTAGTTTTCTCAATAATTTAGTGATGAATACTTCTAAGAAATAATAATTCATATTATCAATTGTTATACTTATTTATAAAATACCATTACTTAGATTAATTACCAATTTTTATATTAAATAATTGCTCATTGAATAGTTTGATTCAACTAAAGCAATATAATAGAAAATAAAATTCTTTTCAAATGATTGACATTCAATAGAAAAGATTAATATAATTAAAAATAGATATTTTATTTTAAAGAGTTTAATAATAATAGATGCAAATTTATGTAGTTTAGATTCAATTCTTTTTTTCCTGAATATTTGTAGACTTTCTAAAAATATGCAGAATAAACACAAAAATCAAAATTTAAAAGTTTAGCAATAGAGATGCATATGTTTTCTTAAAATAATAATTTTTAGAACATTAATAAATAATTAAAAATAAATGATTGTAAAATTTCACAAGAAAACAGAGAGAATCAAAGGATTGTCATTTCATCCGAAGCAACCCTGGTTACTTGTTGGATTACATTCTGGAGCAATTCAAATGATAGATTATAGATTGGGAAGGGTAAGACTATATTGAATATAAAAAATAGACAATTGAAGAATTTGTGTAACATGAAGGCCCTGTGAGATCAGTGTAATTTCACCAATCTTTGTGTCTGTTTATATCAGGCTCAGATGATTTTACTGTAAGAGTTTGGAATTACAAAACTAAAAAATGTTAATTCGTGTTGCGAGGCCATCTGGACTTTATAAGATGTGTACATTTTCATCCAGAATTGCCTTGGTGTGTCTCAGCTTCAGATGATTAGACTTCTAGAATTTGGAATTATTAATCAAGACAAATGTTAGCCATTGTAACCGGGCATAGTCATTATGTTATGCATTGTGAATTTCATCCAACGAAAGACTTTCTAATTACTTGTTCTTTAGATTAGACTATCCGATTATGGTCTATTGCTTAATTAAAGAAAAGATTTACTCAAAAGAATGTAAAATATTCAATTAGGTTTTAAAGGTGCAAAATGATTAACAGAATGAATTAGAATTAATATAAATTTTAGAAGGACACAATCAAGGTGTGAATTGGTGTACATTCAGTCCGACTGAAAATTTAATATTGTCAGCATCAGATGATAAGAAAGTCAAAGTTTGGAAATTTAGTGATTCAAAAGGCTTTGAGATTGATTCCTATTAGGGTCATAATGTAATTTAATATATACTATCAATAGAATAATGTGAGCAGTGCTATGTTTCATCCATTTGGAGAATACTTTATATCTAATTCTGAGGACAACACCATAAGATTTTGGGATATGAAGAAGAAAGTTGAAATTGACTGTTTTACAAACTATGAATTGGATAGATATTGGGTTAGTGCTGTTCATTAACATAACAATTATTTTGCTGGAGGAAGTGATTCTGCTTTATACATATTTACATTATTTAGGAATAGACCTGCTTTTGATTTGATAGATAATAGGAATTTGTTTGTTGGGAGCAAGAAACAAATCAAAATAATAGATTTATAGAATAATTAAGAGAAAGTCATTAAGAGCTTTCAAGAAGTTAACACCTTAATATCAGATAATCTACTATAAGATAATATTGAGTTCATCTAATAAAATATTTATGAGACAAGTAAAAACTTACTCTTAATCAGGTTGAAATAGAGTTCTCATAATAAATAGAAAGGAATATGTAAATATGTGATTTTTGAATGCCAAACAAATCTCAGTCAAATCTTTTTGGGTAAGACTGCTATTTTCATTGGAAAATATAAGATTTTAAAGTCTAAAGAAAATTCGGAGATAGAAATTTATAATTTTGAAGTTGATTCACATAGAGCTCTAGGCCATAAAGCTGATAAACTATTTTCTTTTTAAGGAGGCAAAGCCATCTTTTATTCTGATGAGATGATCAATGTATTAGATCCAGAGGCTAATAAATTACTATATCAAATCCCTTGTTCTAATGAATTCAATAATATGAAAAAAGTGTTGACTAACGATACATATGTTATGATTTAAACGAAGAAAGCTATTTATCTGTTTACAAAATCTTTTTAAAGAGTCACTTAGATATCAGAGTCAATAAACATTAAATCAGTATTGTTCTTAAGTAAAACCTAAAACATTATCATATATTCAACAAAAGTTCACATTAAATATTTGTTAATAAATGGTGATTCTGGTATTTTTGGAACCATGGAAACAGTCCCATATCTTATTTAGTTACAATAACCAATAGATAGATAAAGTGAAAAATATAAATTGTGTTACATGAATAATGTTGGCACCCTTCTAAATGTGACACTTGATTGTTCTGAAATGTTGTTTAAGTAATCTTTGATTGATAAAAACATTAAATATATCTAGAGCTTCTTAAAGACACATAAGAAATTAGGTGCTTTGATTACATCATATCTATATTAAAAAGGATTTCCAATGATTGCCTACTAATTAGTTGAGGACAAAGGAGCTAAATTTTAGTTAGCATTGTCTTCCAATAATTTAGAACTATCCTACAGAACTTGCGATGACTTAAAGAATCCAATGTGTTATCAAAAACTATCTGAAGAAGCCATGAGATAGGGTAATCATAATATAGTTGAAGTTTGTTAATAGAAATTGAGATCCTCTCAATAATTGTCTTTTCTCTATACAATTACTGGTCAAACTGATAAGTTGAATGTATTGAGTAATATAGCCAAAGAATAAAATGAACAAAATACCCGATTCTAAACATTATTACATCTCGGAAATTATAATCAAAGAGTTCAATTTTTATAGGATTGTAAATTGAATCATATTGCCAATCTCAGCAAATTAGTACATGGATTAGAATATGATAAAAAGTTGATCATACCTGAAGATTTAGAATGGGTGTAATCTTTATAACCAGAATTACTCTAACCTCCTGTTTAGATTATTAAATCTAAATAGCATCATCTATTTTCTATGAATTGGCCTCATAATTCTGTAGATTAAGATGATTAATATAATATATTAATATAAGAGGATCAAGAAAACAAAGAAAAAACTCAGAAATCATAAGAAAAACCATCATAGGATTAAGAAAAGCAGAAAGTCAATAATTCTTAGATAAAAAAAGAAGTTCAAAACTAAGAGAATTAAGATAACGAAGAACCATTTGAAGATTGTCAATGGGAAATAAATGAATCAGAACTTTTGGAAATGTAATTAAACTAAGCAACTTTAGATTATAAGAGCTTGCTTTATGGATATCCTGATTATAAAAAAGGTATGATATACTTATAACAACATAGTTTTGTCACCTGTTGAATAGATAGTTACCGAGTAATTCTAATAATGCTAATAATCATTAAAATCTACAAAAAATGTCACTAATATTAATCTGTGCAAAGATTATATGAAATAATTATGTCTTAGCTCAGTTATAGAAATAAGTTAAATACCTTTCCTTTAGGCTGCTCCTCAAATGATATCAGCTGTATCAGATAAATAGCATTTCAGTAGAATTTCCTAAGATCTTCTAAAGTAAGGATACAAACAAACTACTGATGGCAAATTTCAAGATGCTTTGACCACATTTAAAACTTTATTGAGAAAAGCATTATTTAATGATAAAAACACAGATATCATTCCAATCTGCTTAAATTATATTATAGCTATGAATTGTGAAATTTAAAAGAAGGACTAAAGTGTTTCTAGACAAATTGAATTAGCTTGCTATATGGCTATGTGTGATTTATAACCAATACACCGTTCACTTACTTTAAGGGCAGCCATGAGTTTGGCATACAAACAAAAGAATTATTTGACTGGGGCATAAGTAGCTAAATATTTATTGAAACTATTAGAAAAGGCTCCATAAGGATCAGCCTATGCTAAGTTTGAAGTTATTGAAAACGTAAAGAAGGTATTTAATAATATATTAAATGGTAGATCTTAAGAAATTGTGAGTAATCATCACGAGATGAGTATGAAATTAATTTTGAAGAAGAATATCTAAATTAAGGGTCTAAGATTTTGTTTGCTGATAGTTTGACCATCATTAAACAATAAAGCCTTCACTAATGTCTTTTTGATAAAGCAAATTATTCTTAAAAAGGAAAACTTTGTTAAATTTGTGATTTGTGTTAAATTAATTGAATTTGTATATTAATTTTATATAAACTTATTGTCTATGATATAAATTGTTTATTTAATAAGAAATACAATTTCAATTCGGATGTATCAACTATTTAAAAGAGATAACCTAATATTATAAAATTTAACATAATTAATTAATTCAATCAGAAAAGGAGCTGCTACTATCTGAACGTTCAAGCTTAGCCATTTTCTTTCTAAAATCAGAATCCTGTATTCTGACTTTGGTTGTTTTTTATTATTTCATTAAAGCTAATTGATTGATTCTGGCATCCAAATCATCATGTTGTTAGATTAATATTTTATTTTTGGCTTTTAAATCCCTAACTTATTTTTATAATTGATCTATAGTATCAATATATTATGCTTGTTCTTTTTTTTAATTTGACAGTTGTGATTTTAAGATACTATTTTCTTCTCTTAGTTTGATCATTTCCTTACTAATTTTTTCAATTTTAGCTTCTAAGACATCCATATCTTTATGTTAAGCATCAGTTAATTATTAAGATTATCTTTGTAATCTTTCTAATTACTCTTTATATTTCTCCATTTCTTCTTTTAAAAAAGTATTTTATCTTTATTCAGCATGTAAGAGTCTAATTTATTCATTAATTTGCTATTCTAATTTATCAATCTAAGCATTCTTTTTTTTAAGTTCTTCACTATGAGAATGGCCAGATTATTTTTCATTTACATATTAATTATTTAGATCTCTAACCTATTTACTCATTTTTTCAAATTGTTATTCATAATCATTTATTTCTAATTCTAAACGTTTGCTAAAAAAGATGAAATTAAAATTACTTTTAATCTTCTAATTATGGAATTAATCTACTTGATTTTTCATATTAAATTCTTAATTAATCATTTTCTTATTATAGAAACTTATTGTCCTTTTTAATTCTTTCACTTTCTAAACTTAAATTCTTTAATTTCAATTCCAATTCTGAAACTCTCTCTTTAATTTCTCCACTCCTTTTTTTTTATTTATCAACATCAACCATTTTCTCTTCTAATTGAACCTGTAATTATTGATCCAACTTCTTTTTCAACTTTTAGATTCTAATTTACTACTCTGAAATAGTTCCTTCTTTAGTCAATAGTTTATTGTCCAATAATGTAATTTAATTTCGAAGTGATCCTATTTCTTTTTGCAACACATCAATTTCTGAATTTAATTACCCACTCATTTTTTCTAAAGTAGTGTTTGTGTCAAAATGCTATTTGATTTTGGATTAATCAGTCAACATATGAGTTAGTTTTTCAATCTGAATTTATAATTTTTGATTATTGAGTCTTTCAGCATGTCTAATGATAGTGATAAATTCATACACATTCTCTTTATAAAAGTCTGCTTGTCTTTCGATGGCACATTTTTCATTTTACCAATTTCTTTTGTCCTCCTACCATTGTACTTATAATTCAATGATTTCTTCTTTCATCTTAGCCAAATGATCATTTTTTTTCAAAATTTTGAATTGTAATTTACTGACTACATCACGCAATTCTTCATCACTCCTATGATTATAAGTTGAGTCATTGTGAACACTTCTTTTTCTTTCATTTCCAGATTCACTACGTTTATTAGATGAAAAACTCTTTTTTGTTGGCTATCGTTACATATTAAATTTAATGTCTAAATAAATTGTACATCATTAGTCATAAAGTCTTTGGAACTATACCTTATCACCAGGTACTTGTATATTTTAAACATTCAAGGCTGGACAATGAAAGAAGTGGAGATTCTGAACTTGGCGCTCATGAAGTTCGGAATAGGAAAATGGCGCAAAATTATAAACTCAGAGTGTTTACCAGGGAAGAGCATAGGACAGATATACATGCAAACTTAAAGATTACTAGGATAACAGAGTTTGGGTGAATTCATGGGTTTGTCGGTAGATCTAAAGAAAGTGTATCTACATAATATGCAGAAAAAGAATGTATTCAGAAAAAACAACTCAATCATTAACACAGGAGATAATATGACATAAGAGGAAAGGAAGAAGAGAATAGCTGAAAACAAAAAGAATGTATTCTCTAATTATTTTCTAGTTTGGCATCAGTCCTGCTGATATTGCTTTAATTAAATTACCCAGGTATCATGTTAATTCATAAACTTCCTTCCTTTCACATGATGAAATCTTGGAAGGCAATTTTACGACAGTGGAAAAGATAAACAATCTTTGTGCATTGAAAAAAGATATATTAAGGAAATTGAAAAAAATAGAAAATGGAGAATTAGAAGAAGCTTTTGATGATGAGGTAGAATAGAAAAGAAGATATAAAAAAGTTATGACAGATTCAGATTCTTCATCGGCTTGATTGATATCATATTTTCATTAATATTGAATTTTGTATCCTAAAAGAAAAATTATCCTTGCAATAATTTTCTTTAGACATTTAAATCTAAATTTAGAAGGACAAAGACAACTAAATGTGGGAGATTAGAAATAGTTATTTACAATTCTCTTATTTTATATTATATTTTGATATGTTTGATCATTAACTTGTCTTCTTAAGTTCTTCCAATTCAAATGCCTTCTTTATAGCTTCTTATTGATGTCTTGATTTAATTCCTACTTAACCACCTCCGATAGTTCTCAACAATTCATGATTTTCATTATAGTGTTATCTCAAATCACGAGCCTAGAATGTATTAAATAATTACTAAGTTGTCAAATTCTGCTTAGTCTTCTTTTCTGACGTCGGTCAATGCTACACAAGTTGCTGTCTTTTAGTGGACCAATGCTCCCAATCTAGCCTTGTCTTTTATAATTGTATATTTATGTACTTTTAACAAAGGCAAATGGGACTTCTTAACGCCTACATAATTATGGGAGCCAAACAACTAATTCGATTGGATCGACATCATAAGCAATCAAAACTAATTTGGCTTTTTTTGTTTCAACCAAAGTAGTAACATGATTCAATCCGAATTTGAGGACTGTCACTTTCTTGCTATCTGTCTTTTAGTTTTATGCCTTGGATTCAGCAGCCTTGACTAATCTTTATTTCTTTTCGGTTTTGGTTTCTGGGGCATATTTCTTCAAAAGAGCATAGACCTTTGAACCTAACATTAATATATACACATTACTTTGATTTTTGTCGAGTGTTTTGCTGAATTAATGAATGGCTGCCGGTACTTTGATTCTTTGCAATAAAATCTTTTTTTATCTATGTAAAAGAATGTAGCGAGGCCATCTGACATATCTTGATAAATCTCTCTTTGGTTGGACATCATTTCCAATTCTGAAGTTTTTGGCCTCTTTAACAAAGAGTGGGTTCTTCTTTCTATCTGCTACTTTCTTTTAAATCTTCTTTGCCTTGGATGTCTTTGGAGCTTTTGGCTAAAAGAATTATCACAATCAAATTTACCATTGCTAATGAAAATCTTTTAATATATTTTTTGAAAATAAAAGAAAAAACAAGCCTTAATATTTAATTAATTCATATACTTTATATGCCCAAATGAATTGACAAAAATATTATCATAACACAAATACAAGAATCTCAATTCATCAAATAAAAAATTGATATGATGAACTTCGACTTATTCACTATTAACTAAATTTACATACAAATGCTTCTCTAAATTTTTTAAGCAATCAAAATTATAATTATATAAATTGAAAACTAGAAGTTCTATAGATTTTTTATAAGTAAATCATTATCCATTTAAATCAATTGCTTAATGCCTGAAGGGTATTCAATATTAAAACTTTAAATTCATGAATGCTCACTTTTTATCCTTATTTAATCTGTCATATTAATCAATCCCATCTGAAATCTTGCGATTTTTGCTCCTATTAACAATTTTGGTATATTCATAAAATATTTATAATGAAAGCATCTTTATTTGAGTCAGCTAATTCATAATTCATTGAGCAAATTTAAATATTGCTTTAGCCTAATGTGTCCAACTGTGGCTTTGCTTGATTAATATTCATTTTTTTGATATAAAGCAGTTAAAGTTTTTGAGTTATTTTTCAAAATATTAGAATAATTTAGTATATATAAAATTATAAAAAACAGATTATAAATTTCATTTTTTCTTTATTTAATTATATTTCGTTTTTACTAGCTTTTCTTCAACCTTTACTTTCTAAAATTACACTTAAGCTTATTTCAATTACAATTCCAAAGTGTTAAATCTTTCATTTAATTTAATTTTCTAATTAAATACTTTATTTAAATTAGCATTTTCAATTATCAAAATGTGAACTCTTTCCTCCAAATCAAGAATCAATTATGTGATATAGTCAGTTGTAGAGTTCTTTACAAGTTCAAGCTAAGAAATTTCATATTTTTATTAACTCTCCTTAATTTCATTCAATTTCTTCTCATTTTCTTTTATTAATTTTATTTACTATTCTATATTTTATTTCAACTAATTCAAGTTCCCTTTTGATTGCAATTCTTTATTTTCTTAAGTTAACTTATCATTCATCTAAGTCAACAATTAGATTTTTTATTTTAACTCCTTCATTAGAGTGTTTGATTATCCGCGTTATATTTCAGACGTCAAATTGAGGATTTACTTCTATAGATTGCTGTTTTTTTATTTAAAATAATCTAGTTCTTATTTTATATTTTGAAAAGCGTTATTTCCAATTTTAACAGGTGATTTAGCTGAATGAATAGAAAAGTTATAAGGAGATTAAATTGAATTTATTTCTTTCCTTGTTGTTAAGGGTGATCTACAATTTGGAGAAAAAAAGGTTTAAGTTTTTAGCTTTGTATTTTTAGGACTCATGAACGCAGTATTACTATCTTATAGAGAATCAGGGACTGTCTAAAGTTTTTATTTTGATATTTAGAATTGAAACTAATAATTCAGATCTTGGGTCTTAGAAGCTTAAGATCTATAAGTATTCTGGTTAGAATCGATAGGTGACAAAGGCGATCGAGTTTGCTACATAGTTGATAAATAATATTTTAAAATATTAACGATAAATTTAATATCAAAATATAATACCGAAAAATGAGTTTACTAAAGATATCAGAATACTACATAAAATTAATTAGATATGAGTTATTCTCATTTTTGGATAACTTTATCTGTGATCACATTAACAAATATATAATTAATTTATTAATATTTTATGAAAGAATATATTGGTATAAAACTTGTTCTTTTATGCTCTTCTCTCTTTCTAAACTGGTTAATCAGATAATATTTTTTATACTTGTATTTGAATATAATAAAGGAATACAAACAATTTAAGATTTGTATAATTTATTTATATCTAGAGTCTATAGACTGTTACAAACTATATTCATATTAAAGTAGATTATTCAGTTGTAATTTGATCCAATTCATCCACAAATAATACTTTTTTAAGTCTTTTTGATAAATTTTTCACTTTTTTTACACCCTACACCTTAATCGATTGAGCATTTTTTATAGTGTTTTCATATGTTTACTGTAATATATTTAAGTCTTCATTGGACATAGTATTGATTAATTCAGCATATCCAAAAAATAATTTTTTTTTCATTCTCTCATGCAAAGTTCCAAATTAGTCTCTTCTATTGCCAAGTTTTCTTTGAAAACAAAGCTTATATATTCCTATTAATAAGAGTAAAGGAGCTAATAATAAGACATAAAAAAGGAAAGTCATTTTAAAAATAAGTATTATTTAATAAAAAATTTCTTTTGGCAATTATTATTTCCGAATGGCAGTTTTTTCTATGTAATCTATATTCAATGATATAAAATTCTTTAATAAATCTATTAATTTTTCTAAGTTGTATTTTATCTATTATGAATTATTCATTTTTCAATTGTCACCAAATTTTTTAATATCTAATCCATGGAATAATAAAATTTAATATTCTTTGAATTTCATTTCACAAAATTCAAAAATCGCTACAATATCGCTTAACCTATAATATTTAGAATCCTTTATTAAAAATTTAATATTTGAAGTCTTAAAATATCAAATCATTAGGAGTAAAGAGAAATCAATATAAAAGTTAATCATTTGAACTCCTTTCATCCAATTATTAGAATTCTAATTTTGCAAAAACATTTGATTTTTCAATCCAAACATATGATCATTTATATTAATTCTTTGGAGATGGGAATTACATAATTAGATTAGAATAAATTTAATTAATATGAAAAAATATAAACAAATTCTTTAATATGCATAAATGAAGAGAAAGCTCTAATAATCTGCAAAGTTTAATATATTTTAATGTACTGTTGTAATTTTACTCAATCAAACAAACCTCCCATATCAACATCTTCTTCAGGTTCTGGGTCCTTTGGCTTTTCAGCTGCTTTTGGTGCTTCTGTTGGTTTGGCAGCAGCTTAAGCTGGTTAAGCAGCTGGTGCAGAGCTTGAACCTCCTCCGACTGAAAGAAGGCTTATAATGTCTTTTCCTTCAAAGGCTCTGACGAATTAGGTTGCCAATTATGATGGAACATTTACACCAGCCTGTAAAAATATTTCAATTAATGAATACTTTCTTGGTGAGTTTTTCAACATTTTCAACTGTTAATGGAGTTTGGGCTCCAGCCAATAAAAGAGCTGCATATGCTACTGCTGTTGCTTAATTTGCCATAATAATAATTATATTTTTAAATAAAAAGATTTCCTTAATTAATTAAATGTGAATAGTTCAGAAACAAATAATATAAATTCTTTAAGTATTTTTTAACAGACTATTTCTCTAATCAACAATGGCTGAATTTGAAACAGAATCCAATTCAATTCTTTCAAAATAAATCATTAAATAATCTTTTATTTTAAATTTAATTTACAATTAAATGATAAACACTGAATTACACAAGAACATAAGTTGGGTATCATTTGAGATCAACTAAATTATTGTCGAAGGTCATCATTGATAAAATAATCCTAAAAAAGTGTGATTAAGAGAATTAGATAATTAGAAGATCAGAGCATCAATTTGAATTTATTAATTGTATTAGCCAAAAATATTAATCAATTATATGATTAAAAGAAATGCTTGAATTGATTTATTACTTCATTTAAAAGCTTTCATTACAAGAAAACCATTCCATATAAAATTATTAAATTTAATAATCGTTATTATGTCTAGAATTCTTGTCGAAAATTAGTAAATTATTCATCCCCATTTACTTAAGAATTTAAAAATAGACTTCAGAGCATAGAATGGTTCAAATTATTCATCAGTATTGCGCTATTAGTATATAGATTATAAGATAAAGATAAGAACTTGATTTAACATTTTATTAATTCTTTAACAATTCTATTTATATAAATTTAGTTAATAATTTGCTATTTTTAAATTAGAATTATATGAATGTCTATTTAAATGATTTACATTTCCGCTCAGATGGATACAAAACACTAGTTTAGAACAGAATAGAACCCTTGACATCAAGTTTATCAGTGGGATACTTTATCTAAATAAGCGACTTGATTTGTCTGTATATTTATTTAGTGGAAGAAGGAAGCATGTAATCATTAAATATTAAGATTTAACAAAATAATAAGAAATAGGCTTTTTATTCATCAAAAATAAATTAATAATTCTATTGCATTTATGTAATCAAAATGAATAATTAAACTCCTAATTTCTAATCAGAAACATTTAGATTAAGTCAACAGTCTTGAAATATTATTATAATTGGTATTGGCTAAATTAGGTTTGATTAAACTGTTAAGCTAAAAGTACTCGATTTAAAATGTCATTTCAGAATGAAAATTCTCATAAATATAAGCAAATTTGGCTAATTAAAAAAAATGAATTCAATTAAATATCTAAAATGCTAATCCGTTACAAAGATATTCGCTATTAGAACCATGTAGGATATCATTAGAATATAATGATATAAAATAATTTATTAGATTTGTTAAAGAAAAATGATTAAATTATCATTTGATTTTAGACGATACCTTTGAAAATCCGTAAAGGTTCTCTTATTTCCACTTAGTGATTGTTTTTCTCTCTTCATTTTTAAAATAGTTTAAAGCAATAGAGAATTTCTTTTTTTCATTGGCTTTATTGCTACTTACATTCATAAAATCAAAGGCTGATAGTCTTGCAGCATTATTACGACAACTCGCAATATTTTTATTATAGAGTGCTGGTTTCTCAAATGCATATAGAAATTCTAAATACAATATAAATCTATGTCTCTGTACTTAAAGTATTTTCATTTTAATCGCCTGTGACTCTTTTGTCTTGTATTAAATTTTCAGAAAAGTCTCCTTGATTAGTTGTGGTTTCGATAGATAGCCTGTAATTTTGTTGCTTATTCAACATAAATTAACACGCTATTATAATATTGAAAATAATATTAAAAATTTAGGATAAAATTACTTTTAGTATTGAATGAAGATCTGAAAATTATGATCTGATCTAAATAAATTTGATATTGATTTCCTTAATAGAGATTTTACATAATCATTATAATCATAAAAGGACTTTGAAATTTGAATGTATAAAGAGGAATCAGGAATAAAATTGTAAATATTATCACATCAATTTTAGTATAAATATAATTTAATTCAAAAATTTATGGTTTTTAATCTCTAAAAATTACTTAAGGATCAAAAGGTCTAAAAAATGATAGAATTTTGTATTCTTATATTAAAGATAACATTAGATTTGGATTGTTTACTGGGATTGATAAAATTAATTTAACTCTAAATTGATTTAAAGAGAAATATAAAACTACAATACACTGATGCATCTTCAAGAATTTGAAAAGCAATTAAAATATTTTTTACAATACTTTTATTATTATAAAAATCAGGCGCGATTCTTTGAGAATCAAAAAAATTCAGAAATTAAACTAATAATAGTTATTAGAAAATGACAGAAAAAGTTACTCATTTAACTTATGAAGCATTAAAAAGTATGGTGGAATATTAGGATAATACAACTTAATATTGCGTTTAAATTTTAAAAATAGAAGATTAGACTGATATGAATACAAAATAAGGGATTGTATATCCGTGCGTTTGTAGTGATGGATTTGCAAAAATGATAATTCATATACTCAATATAAGTCCTTCAATTTTAGCCAATATCTCGAAAATGAATCCAATTATTCGAATTTTAGAATTAAAGTTGAAATAGACATTTTTTATAGTAATGAGGCATGAGGTCATATATTTAGATAAATGTCAAGTTGGTTAGCCATTGGATTATGATGAATTTAAAAGGATGGTATTTATTTAATTTGCATATATAGAATTATACAAATCCAAATGGAAACAATGAAATTTAATTTCCAAGAGCTCCTCATGTTCTCCATATAAATTCAAATAAAAAATAGTCTATGTTACCATAACAACAATAAAAATCAATTCATGATTATATGAACTAAGACTAATAGCAAACCAAATCAGGTGTTAAACTCTCAATCCAATAAAAACAATCGTAAATTAAACAAGAACCATAATTTGTTGAAAATCAAATATATCAACCACCTTCTGATATAAATTTATTAAAAATATCAGAACTCTACCCCGGAATGAGAGGATTCAAAATTAAAGGAAGAATTACTTCAAAAACTGATATTACTTAATTTAGAAATGGTAAAGGACACTTGTTTACAATTGAAATCATGGACTCTGATAAATAAACTATTTAAGGAGTATTCTTTAACAAATTATGCGATAAGTTTTATGATTCTATTGATATTGGAAAGGTATATTATTTTGAAAATGCTTCAGTTAAAACAAATAGATATTCTAGCAAAAATCAAAATTCGAGTGATTATCAAATACATTTTGAAGACTTTTCAAAGATATCAGTTGCCTAAGATGACGAAGAAATTGATATTTTTCCATACTAGATTAAAACTATAGATGACATTGATAATTTGTCTTTAGATGAAAAATGTGATGTGCTTGGAGTTATTATAGATATTAAACCAACAACATAAATTATGACAAAGTCAAATGAAAATAAATCTAAGAAAAATATTACTTTATATGACTAAACCTAAAGGGGAATAGAAATAGTTCTTTGGGGATAATAGGCTGAAAAATGGTAATTTTAAAAGGATCAAATTGTAGCCTTTAGAGGTTTAAAAATTAGTGATTACTAGATGGTAAGAAATTTAACAGTTACTAATTCAACCATTTGTGAAAAGAATTTATCTAATTTAAAAAAAATTAATGGATTTCAAGAATTTTATGAATTCTATAGCAAAAACAAAGACTTCTTAGAAACAAAGCCCAAAGAATCAAAGAAGAAATTTCCTCTATCATATATTGAATAAATAAAAAAGGATTTTGAAGGAATCAGAAACATAAAATTCGTAAAATTCTATGAAATCAAAGCTTATATAACAAATATATTCACTAAACTTCTCTATTATGAAGGATGTGAGAATTGCAAAAGAAAAGTTGTCTATATACAATAAACAAAATAATATCATTGCCAAATTTGTAATTAAAACTTTGATCAACCTAGTTATAAGTATATGTTTAATGCTAAAATTGCAGATACAACTGGAAATCTAACTGTGATTATGAACAACGATTCAGGATAATAAATTTTACGTATAAATTCTTTTTATTTATTTTAGAACTGTCATGCGATGAATTTTAAAAAAAGAGTCAAGTAGAAAAAGATGATTATGTTAAAAGATCAAATTTTTAATAATTTAGATTCTTGATCGTTGGAAAGGTTGAAACCTATAATGATGAAATTAGACCGAAATACTACATTTCATCTTTTATTTAGGAAGATGTAGTTAGTGATAATGAAGAGCTATATAACCAGATAACTTAAATGCTAAGCCAAAATTATTGATTTAAATGCTGTTTACAATTTATATATTCATTTTATTCAAAGTATTTAATAATTGAAATATAATATTATGTATTGCTTAAAAATTTGAATCTAGAGAAAGTAAATCGATATGAAAAGAAGTAAGTATTCTAAAGCTGAGTCCTATATATCAATAAAATTTAAAATTAAACAATAAAATTAGTATTCTCCTTTTGATCAACAATAAGTATAATTATTTAAAAGAAGAAGTTTAAACATATTATTTTAAAAGAAGAAGAATAAGAGGTATTTAAAAATTATTTTTGGAGTGATAAAGAGTAGGATAATATTGAGAAAAAATATGATTTATCTTTGCTTATTCAAATTTAATATATTTTTATTATATATAATTTAAGAAAGTAATGTACTAGGACCCTCAAAACAACGAAGAAATTATATTACTTTAGACCATAGAAAAGGAGTTATCTAATGACTAATAATTATAATAAATTTGCAAAATAATAGGGTAATAAAATCAAAGTAATATGTATTTTTTATTAAAGATCCTCGATTGTTGGTATTTCTTCAAGAATTATTCAAAATACTCTTTAATTCCTACACATAAAAAGATTATCTGTAAAAAACCCTTAAAGTATTAAATGCTATTTTGAATAAATACAAATTCAGGAATAGACCAATACAAAATTCTGATTTAAGTCATTATATTAATTAAAAATATAACGAAGTCTTGGGTACCTATATTTTTAATGGATAGCTCATTTTTATGAGAAGGCGCTCTTGAAGGGACCTGATGAAGCGTACAAACATATGAATTTTATTTATTACAAAAAGATAGCAAGAGATTACATGTAGACTCCGAATTGCTAAAATTCTGCATTAACAAAAAGTATTTTATCCAAAATCGATTAAACTAATTAAAGTTTTACAGGAAATACTCCTTAAGAATTTGAAATGGCTGTTTTTGAAAGTCTAAATACATAGGAATAAGAGTTACTCACATAAATTGTTTCGGCTGATTAAAGTAAGGCCCCTAAATAGATAAATAGCTTATAAGAAAAGTTCTTATTAAATCTTCCCCCAGATTTGTAGGATAAATATAGAACTCAAAATTTTACAGATATTTATGCTTTTAAAGATTATCTCGTATAAGAAAAGTAGACAAAAGGTATTGAGAAAATTTTAGGATATATATTTGTTGACAAATTAAACTTTTATTTAAATTCCTATTATTTAGTGAATTCAGCAAAAAAGATCAAGGAAAATAAATCAGAATTGTAAAGATAATTGCATGAACTTGAAAAGGATATCATGGATTCTCAGAAGGATTATTATTCTTTTATTGATATTCCATCAGTCAAATATTTTTATAAAAGTTTAAAATCAAAGCGTGTTCGAAATTTGAATGGGCAATGCTTTTCTTTTAAAAAAAAGTTAACAGACTTTATAAAATTAGAAATCAATTCCTGTGAAGTACCAAAGAAATTTAATATAACATAATTTGAGAAGTGGAATGAAATTTATACTAGTTTGTATTCAGAAATGTAAAAAAACACAACAATTGAGGAAGCTAATGTTGCATTTAAATTAATTTAGAATGTTTAATAGTTAATACTATCATTTTTAAGATTTAGATGGAATTATCTCTTTTTATTTTGTGCATTAATTGTAGAAGCTAAACTTAAATAAGACGAATTAGATTCTGTTTTAGATGTCGCTTATAATATGATGTAGAACACTAATAGGGCCAATTTAAATAGAACTTTTGATTAGATTTTAGTAGAATTAAATGCAAAAGCATCTACATAAATAACATCAGATTACTTTGATAGAAATGGGTATAATATGGGTTACATTTCTTTGTAAGTCCTTGAATCTCTGCTTCCTTTTATAAATAATAAACTAATTAAAGTTATGCTTCAAGTGAATGTACAAAGCAACTAAAAAATTAGATTGATCAACGATTTGAAAACCTTTGAGTTTCAATTAATCCATGATTGCAGCCAAAATTTAAAGAGCTATTCAAAAATATTTGATAAATTAGTTGATTCAATCTTGGAAGGGGAAAAGGAAGAGAAAGACTAAAAATCATTTTTCTTAAAATCTTATACAGTGCATTTCAATACAAAACTAAAAACTTTAATTGGTGAAAGATCTAATAAATAATTGGGTTCATAGTTTTTTAACACATATTTTTACAATATTTCAAAATTAAAATAGGATTATCAAAGAAAGGCTTTAGGCCAATATCAAGAAATATTTTAAAGGGAAGAGAAAATTAGTTAAATTTGCGAATAATTTATTCTAAAGGAGGCGGAAAGGCAATATCCGGCGGATACATATAAAGATTTGATACCTGTTTATATCGATACCTTTTTTAAGGATAATCCTTTTATAATTTTCTTGCCTGCCTTACTTAGAGGTTTGAGTTTTTTCTTTAGACCTCAAAAATATGTTATGTATGAAAAATTAGAAAGAGTTAAATTTGCTGCAGTTGCTTTCAGAGATAAGGATTAGAATGAAATAAATAAATTTATAGAATTTATGAATGTTTAAAAAGATATATATACTTTTGAATAGTAATTTCAAATCGCAAAGAATATCTATAATTTTTATATCACAATACCTCAATTTGTTGGAGAATCTTCAGCTTGTAAACCAATTTCAGATTCATTTCCATAATTTAGTTAAATGAAAAGCATAAATCATTATAACTCTACTGCATATAATGCTATTTGTTTTTTTACATCCAAGTTTTTTAGTCAAGACCAAAAGGCAGTAATAAAAGGAGAAGATCAATTAAGAAATAGTGACATATTAAAGAAATTGTCAAGTTTAATGAGTGAAAAAAGTCAGTTTGAATCCATTTAATAAGACAATTTCTTAATCTAATTTTTAGAATTAAAAAACTACAAAGCTTAATTAATAAAAGAAGTACAGTAAAGTAATGATTAAAATTTTTACAATAAATGTATTGAAGTATTTCAAAAATAGACTAGTAGATAAACAATTATGAATGAGATAATTGAATATAAAAAATAGAATAAAATACCTCAGAATGAAATAGAATAGTATATTTGGGCAAAGAATTTTTGGATATAAATTGGAAATTATGAATTTCGAAAGAATATTGACAACACAATAAAAAAAAAAGTAGAGGACTATTTTAAATATTTAATTAGTATTCCAACGCTACCTTAGCTAAATGAAAAATTATAAAAAGATGTTAATACTTTGCAAGACTCTTACATTAAAGAATTGATTAAGAAATAGTATTCAAAATATAAAGATGAATTCGAAAAAATTTTTTATAAAATAGACCCACAATCTCCTGTAAATACATAGTCCATTATATAGATGGGAGCAATTTAAAAAAAGTTATCTATTATTAGATAGGATTAAAGATTTAGGGAATTCTCAACAGAAGATTAATCAGTTTTGGCATTTATAAACGAATAATTTAGTCTTTATATGAAGCAACTCTTGGGAAAAGTATTCTAAGTGGCCTTAACCTAAAAACCAGGATATGAATTCAAAGTATTTTAAAATAAGCCTATTTCATCTAATGATACTTTAATGATGAAATACAAATAAAATCAAGAATTGTAAGGAAAGTTTGGACCTCAAAAAAATTCATATCTTGACATAACCTTGCTGACTGGAAGTGAGAATAAGAATTCATTATATTATGAGTTGTGTGACTATACGCCAACTTAGAGGTAAATAGAATTTAGGAATTTTCTAATAGAAATAGAACCACTTTAGGAGGAGAAGTTGAAAAACAAAATCAGAAAAAATAAGTGGAAGGAAGAACATCCTGAATTAGAAGAAGTTCTAAAGAAAAGAATCAAAAGAGGAGCTGAATTATGGAATTAAGTTTAAGATTTTCTCTGTAAAAGAGAGAATAATGAAAATGCAATGGATTCAGATGAAGAGTCAGAAAAATATAAGGGTTAATAATAGTAAACCATTGATATAGTTGAAGATGATCAATTAGATTAAAAAATTTAAGATGTTCAAAGAAGTTTTGAAAGACATTTGTTGACTGGAAGAAATTATATAAAGACAAGGTAATGATATATTGCAATGTTTAGATTAAATAACATGGATAATGATAACCCATTATTGACTTAGAAAGAAATAAATGTGAAGACGGTTCAGTTTGTTTTGGAGTAACATCCCTACTTCAAAAAGAGTCAGATTTTATATAAATCGTACATTTTGTGAAGAGTATTAATTTTAAGATTATTATATTAAATTATAATTTGTAGAAACTAACTATTAGATAATTTTTAATTCATTAATAAAGTTCTCTTTATAGTCCTAAATGTTAATTTAACGATTAATCTAAATCAAAAATTCATCATTTTAATATTAAATTACGATATCAGTTAGTTAATTAATTAGTTAGGTATTTAAAATAGAATTCCGACTAAAAGGATTTGAATATTGGTGATATTAATAAATCATTTAATATGATGCATTCTTTTAGTTAGTCATCAAAATTTGGAAATAATTGTTATTATTATTTGAAATTTAAGTATGTTTTCAATTTTTATTAATTATTATTTATAACATAAAATGCACTAGTATAATAATGAAGAAGTAAATTTATAGAGAAATTCTTATGTAGTAATTTAATAATATGATGGATAGTAAATTTTACATTGAAGATGTCTTTGTTGAAACATAAAATGAAAAACTTGAAATTCCAAATGCAGATAAAAATAAAATCATGCATACACTTGTATTGTATTTTCTATATATAAAAAGGAAGAAAATTTAAAATAGAAGAATGATTTTTTAAATTCAGAAGATTATAATAATTTCTAATAACTACTTGTGATTTCATTAATTACAATCAACTTCTCTAATGATGATCCCTTTTTTAGACATATCACAATGGTGGTTAAGGCCATCAGGAAGGCCATCAAAAAAAGACTTACTCAAGAGACTATTGACTTACAAACTAAACAGGAATTTAAAGTATGATGATATTTTTAATTGTAGATTTAATAGTCTTCTCTCTTCAGAATCTATTATCAAGATATTAACATAGGGTTTATAACATCTACTTAACAAATTAAGTCCACAGCGTTCATTTTCGTCAATAAAAATATTTTTAATGAATTCGTGAACAAGAGAATGTCAATTGAACAGAAAGATTAGTAAGTGAGATTGACGCTCTACTTTTTCGATATCAATATTTAGAAAGAATAATAAATTTAGCAGGATTTTAAATATCAGTTCATGCGAAATAATAAGTTCAAAAATGAGTTTATTGTATTGAATGAGGAAATTGATCAATAGAAATAAACTACAACATATCATGTGTATAAGCCTATGGATGATTAAATTTATTTTGTTAAAAGAGTAAAAAACAACCTAATTATAGATTTAATTGTTAAATATACCTTTGGATGTTACATTTCAAGATATATTTAACACAAAAAGTTCAATCTAAGATTTCTTCAAAATTTAAGAAGCGCGTACACTTTAACGTATTTCGCATCCAAACATTATCAGACTCTATGAATGGTGGTTGGAAATAAGAAATTACTAATTGTTTTTATACACTCAGATAGAATATTGTATTTATCCAGGGTATATCTCATAATCTAAAAATCTATTGAGTTACTCATATTTTTATATGAACCCCATGCCTTAGGAATAAAAGAGCAAACTCATTAATGAGATTCTCTGTTAGATTATAAGCGGACTGGAATGCCTGCAAAAAAAGTAAATCGTTCATGGGGATTTGAAACCTGAAAGTATCATGGTTACTAAAAGTATCACCGGAGACATATAGGTAATAAATCCATATTATGAAGGTCATGTTAGCAGATTTGAATCATTCATATTCGTGTTATTAGGATTTGCAAAAGCTTTAAACCAAGGATTATATGGAATACAAATAACAATGTTTGTATGCCCTTGGTGTATTACTGATGCATCTGATCCTCACATTCCCTGGAGAACCAACACTCAGAAATAACTATGTTACGAAATTTCAGAATTATGACATTGATGATTCTCTCAGTGAATTTGATAAATGGGCATAAAAGTCAGTCAAGAATAAGAATAAAGAATTTTCATTCTTTTTATATAAACGCTACATGGAATTAGCAAAATCTTTATTAAAGAAATAATAATTTCATGAATTACATGAAGTAAGAACTTTTATTTAAAATAATAAGTAATTTGATCATCTATTAGTTTGATTTATTTTATAGTTTTTTTATAAAAAATCAATCAATTATCATGTATAGAGAAAGTTTCATAAATAAAATTATTCACTCTAATTGCGACCTCATTATTATGCCTAAATAAATTAGATTTTACAAGCACATGATTTATATTTATATTTAACCTAACCATCTAAGTTGGATATGAGGGGCTAAACTTAAAATTAATTGAACAATTAGATACAAAATAGAGAATTTATGAGTTTAGAGAAAATCAAAAAGATTAAGGATTTAAATTTGCAATTATAATCATGATACTTGATAAAGTAAATAAATAAAGCTTAGAAAAAACTATAGATACATAAATAATTTCATCTTTTTTTAGATTTTCCTTTTTTCTTTGTTTATTTTTTCTTTTTAGGATGATTTTTGGCTTAGTGATGTTTTTTGTCTCCAGAAGAATCATGTTCTTAATCTGATTCAGTAATAACTTTTAAATCGCTCTTATGGTTGCTTGATATTAATTTTTCAATATTTCTCTATTATTATTTTTTAGCAGAATCTTCCAAATTGATTAATTCTTCTTGATTTTCCTTTTCAATTAAATTTTGTAAATCATCATCATTAAACAATTTTTTCATGACCTCCTATTTAAATTTATCCTTCTCCTCTTAACTACATAAAATAAAATTTATAAATACTGTTTTTATAATTCTTATTCAAACAGCTAGCCAAAAAGCTTCTTTTTCATTTCATCATAAGGAGTTGTGTTAGTCGCTTAATCGAAATGATTATGATCCTACTTTTTATTGGAGTACTACTTTAAATCTACTTTATATGAACATTGGTTAGAAATATTGATATCGTTTTCTTGATTTGAGTTTTATTAAACAAGGTGACATTTGGATTACTATTTGCTCTCATCAGTTTATTCATCAATTTATTCTAAATCAAGCTACCTTAACCCATTCATTAAGTCATCTTGTTCTTCATAACAATTAAATTGTTATTCAATAATAGAATGAATATCCTATTTTTCTTCTTATATTTCTGATAACCTCTATTACTCTACTTAAGGTTGTTCATCCATGATGGCATCTTAATTTTAGTTTGTTTATTCTTCATATCTATAAGATTTTCGTTATGGTATTTCTTCTAAGAAATTACTGACAGAAGGTGGTTGATGGACTCCTTTGTTTTCTAGAATGTCTAGAGATGCTTAGCGTGATTTATCAGACTATATTTTATCTAGAGATTTTTATAATCTTGAATCACTCTCGAAAATTGGAGGATAAAATAACTCATCATTTAATCCACTAAATTATTTTAATCTTGCTTATTATTGTTTAACAGTAGAAATTAAATCTTTGACGAAAGAATCTTGAATAGTTTATTAAAATAGCATATGTTAGGTTGTGTTTTAGACCAGCATCTTTGCTCTTCTAATTATGTCCTTAGCATTTCTTTTGGGTATTTTCTTTGATTTTGAATCATTTGCTACTTGTTATGACTAATTAATTTAAAGCCTTTAATTATAAGAGATGGTTGAATCGTATATTTTTGATTTAAGTAAATTTACATTAACACTTAAAGCTCCATAATGTAATACTTTCAGGGTTTCTTCAATGTCATCACTGGTCAATCTAACATTTACAATCATCAAAATTCTATTTTCTTCTGTAAAGTATTCACACAACAACCTAGTTAATTTACATTCTCTGAATGGTATACGACTGTTTTAATCAGACTCATTTTGGCATCTCATTTATTTTAGACACTTTCCAAGAACTAACAAAGATTTATTTATATTGCAAGCTTCTGTAAGTTGAGAGCCTTGTGTTTCAGCTCTTTTTGCTCTTTCTGATCCAGCTAAATCAACAATACATATAGTTTGTTTCTTTAAAATTGTAAATTGTTCTTATTAATACAGAAATGAGACTTGTATTTTAAAGATTGTATGTGATCGACTTGATTGATTATTTAACGTGGTTTCACCCATTTATCTATTTGTTAAAGCTTTTTGAAGCAAATCTTTAAATTATTAGTTATTATTTATTTCCTTTTCGACTGCATCTTTCACATAGCATTTCTTATCATAGATTTCTTTTAACTATAATTTGGTTTTATTATTAGCTAATAGATCATATATTTCTTCATTGTAAATTTCAAATGATTAAAATGTGTAATTGACTTCCTTCAGGACATAGTCATCATAAGGAGATTCTCCAATTTTTATGACTTGTCCATCTATTTCAATAGAGGTTTTATTTAGTAGAAATGCTGTTTTAATTTTATCAAGAGTTTATAATGTGAGCGGTAAAATTCCTGGTGCTTCTTAAGTACCGATTATAGTGTATGTTTTACCTGAGTTTGTTACACCATATGTAAAAACCAGTCCTCCCTTTTCTATAAAGTATGTTTAATAATTGTACATTTTTCAAAAATGTCCTTAATCATTGGAATAACATATTCTTGATGTAAATTTCTTTATGTGGAATTCTAATCGTAAATTTAAGAGAAAGCGAATGTTTTTTAGTTGGAGATTTCATTTTCATTGTTGGTTTCATAAATATCTAGTTTTTTGTCTGTAATAATATAATTTACTAAAATGAACTCACAATTATTACCATAATTTTCACCAACAAATTTAGGACGAATTCTACAAATTACTTCAATACCATTCTAAGGTTCATTCTAATCTAACACACTTAAAGTTTCAACAGTTGGCAATTCTATTGCTGGTTTTTTCTTGATTTCCATTTAATAACTTTGAATTCAAATTATAAAAATTAAATGAATAATAGGAGTTATTATTAAGTCGAAGAAATAATTGAAGAGAACTCATAAAAGTCTACATATATGATTGAAGAGTTAAATTTAATAAGAGAGAACCTTTACTTATGAAATAAATTAAATGACCAATCCAACTTGGATAGAGTATTGGTTAATTTAATATTAAGATCAAAAGATATTTATAATTAAGTTTGCTTTAAATAAAATATCTTCTCGTTATGTCACCTCTGAATCTAGGTTATGAGGTGCCTAATTTTCAACTGACATTGTATTTATCTTCATTTATTGTTTATAGAATTCAAACAAATGATTGAGAATGTTCATCATTCAACTACTTATTATATTTAATAAAATCAATAAGGATCTAAATTTGGAGAGGGTTCATGCAGAATTAATGTATATTCAGATGTAATTTATTTACACATTTGCAAATACTGTATATCGTGGCTTCATTCATAATTATCTTTCTTGTTCTTTTAAATAAGGAGGAGAAGTAAGGATCAACCCTTTCTAATTAAGAATTATCGTTCAAGTTATTATCATCTATCCCTTATTCATTCTTCTTGCTCTTCCGATTGATTCTCATGATCCAAGAAATTCTAGTAAATTTATTGTATGTAGTTTAAATGCTGATGAAAGTCTCGCTCAATTCTCTGCTTCTTATATGACCCTTTTTTATCCCCTATTGGAATGTTATATATAGAGGGAATAGGAACTATTAGTCCAATGGCTCTTATTTAGGGCATATTAATTTGAATAGTGATATTATGTTTCTGCGTTCCTTAAATAAGTTGTTTAGACTTTGAAAATTATATAAAAATATATTTATATATGTTAGATTATCCACAATTTAAATTGCCTGAATTTGTAAAGTTATGTTTCCATAATTAGCTTTTAGATAAAACCTATTTAGAAGATGTTATTTGCACTGCTCTTAATTTAATATTTTTTCATCGTGCACTTGGCCCAGTCAAATTGAATCATATGAGATGTGAACGTTTGCCCAAAATTACTCAAGTATTATTGTTGTTATCTTTAGTTAAGATGTGGGGAACCTTAAGTTGACAAGGACATCAAGAAATTAATTGATAATATCAATAATGATCCTAACATGATTAATTGCTCATCTCTTTAAATTTCTTTAAAATTTATGGAAGAACAACCAACAACACTCCTATAATTTTTTAAACCAAAACTTAAAGTATTTGAAGAGTGGTTACTTTTGTTTTAATTCGGTCTCTCTTCCCTTGATAAAACTTAAGATGAATTCACGCATATGCTGAACAAAATAATTGATATTGCAACTGCCAATTACGATCATTTTGATGAGCAATTTGATTAATCCCAGCAAAAACCATTAAAATACCCATATGAAGTATAATATAAGAATTATCATTTTAGTTAACTTTTAATTTTTAGTGATTAAATATATATATGCATTTTTCAATTATTGTTAACTATCTTTATTATATATTTAAATAATCTACTTTAGATTTGCAAATAGTTTTGCATAAACAACCTATTTATTTCAAAAGACCGACAAATGTTCATTCATGTCATTTGCAATATTTGATTTACCTTGTGGGAGGTAGTTTTAAGCAATATCTAATATCATAAGGTTCCTACAAAAATAAGTAATCAATTTTAAGAATGATAAATATTAATATTGTCAATTTAAACAAATATTTATATATACTGTGAAAGTGCATGATTATTTGAATGAAATATTATATATGAATGGCAATGCTATAAAGTGGCTGTGAATAAACTCTCAGTTTATTAGTCTGGAACTGGAGAATGGGTCACTTTTTAAAGGTTATATAAATTATAAGTAAATGTATATACCGTTTTTGTGTGATAATTAAATAAATGAAGGTTTTTGCTATAATGGCATTATTGCTGGCAGCAGCATACTGTCAATCAAATGAGATTGATGTAGTATTAAAGATGCTAGGGGATTTAAAAAATGAGACAAGCAAACAATTATAATAATTGGAGAGCGATTGGGAAGCAACCAGATATGTAATTGATTATATATGACATTTGAACAGCAAAAACAAGACATCGTAAATGATTTAATGAGATCTGCATCAACATAAAGAGGTGAATGTAATAGAAGAGATCAAGAGTGGGCAAACAAAGAAAGAGACATTAGAATTACACTCAGCTATATCAATTGGTTAGAGAAAAGAATCAAAGAGAATAATGAAAGACTCTAAAGATTGGATGTCAACAGATGTGAATCCAATGCTAATTTCATTAATGATATCAAAAATTCTAAGAAAACTCTAAATTTGATTGCCTTCCTCAGAAGAGCTGTAAAGAATGCAAAAGAAGTAAGTGTTATAGCAATAACTAGACTGATTTACCAACACTTTTGTAATCTGCTCAATTCATTTAACTCAAATCCTATTTGGCTGATGACGGTGAAGAACCAGAAGTGACATCAGAAGATAATGAACCCCCCCATGTATATGATGAACCAGAAGCTGTTGATGACACTGAAGACGTTTCTGAAAACTAAGCAGAGCCCACTCCAGATGTTGAAACAACTGAAGAATCAACAGAAGCCCCCACTGAGGAAGTAGAATAACATAGTTTGGGTGATGCCCATGAAGAACCTGATGCACCTGTTCCTGAACATCCTTTGGAGGCCGAAGAAAAAGCTACCAATGAATAATTAGCAAAGGAAGCTGCTGCATTCAACAAAATTATTGAAAAAGGATAAAAGGCACCTGCTGAAGCTGGATCTGGCAAAGATTATTCATAATTCACAGTTGCTTAATAAGAATTGTTAAATTTCTTGGACATTTTAGAAGATTAAGTAAGAGGTTCATTTGGAAAGAAACAAGATAACCAAGTTAATTCAGCTATGGGTTACAGTGATTTCAAGGGATTGATTCAAAAGGAAAATGAAACATTCAAAGGACATTTAGTAGCTGAAGATGTTAATCTAGTAACACTTTTAATATATTCAATTATAGGAAAAATTATAAAATTAATTGATTACCATCCTTTAGGCTACTGCTGCTTGCAAGGACAGATTAAAGAAAATCCAAAACTCAATTGATCTTGCTAATGAAGTATATTCTCTCATTGATTATTCTTAGGACTTAGCTTCTTCAGAGGCTCACTTTAAGTCTGTAACTGAAACTCTCTAGGAAGAGCAAAATACCTTTGATGATGTTTACAGAATTTATTCAAGTTAAGTTGGCTCTCAAAGCACATCATACAAAAGAGATGTTTAAGCCAAAATTACCAACTGATTATGTAGAATCATCCAAAAATTACATATTATTATATAAATCTAAATTAATCATATCCTTCTTAGGTTGTATGTATGTGTCGATTGTCTAATTACTGACTTTAAAGTTAAAGAAATGGTATCAAATCCCTCTATTTTATTTAAGTAATTCAAGAATTATTAGAAATACTAAAAATAATTTATTGAGAATTAAAACTATAATTAAAATTTAACATTTATGAACAAGAATCAAATTCAAAATGCCAATATTCGCAAGCCATCAAATACATATTTAAAAACTGAATTCAACAATACTTCATAAATCAAAGATAATAGATTCACAACAGAACCATCTCCTAAAAAATGCAATAAAGAGAATATTGTTAAGGCCTCCTATCTAAAAGCCACTCTTTCTAATCATTTGATTAAACAAGAGAGAAATATTACACCAAACTTACCCAAGAGCAGTGTGATTAGTTTGTTTTTAAAATAACAATAAGAGGAATAATAAGTTGAATCAAAGGGGAATATTTGTTAGGCCCATAAAAAGAAATATAAATATGAAGCCAATGAGCAATTGATGTGCAGTAGATGCGTCGTTGATTATGCCATTCTATCTGGTTTGCCTATACGTTATTATGAAATTGAGAAAAAAATGCTGACATTTGGTTAAGAGGAGGATCACGATGAATTTTATCAATTTACCTAAAATACAACCAAAGAACTTTAATATATTTAGAATATATAAACACAGGCGAATGGAATCATCAAAAAAAAAGAACTCAAAGACTTTGTTCTAAAAGTTGGCGATGTTATCAGTTAGAACATGTAATTTCTCAAATTAATACAATAACATTAAATTCAATTCGATAATCCTAAATAAAAAACACATAAAATATTAGAAGAACTCTAAATACAGAGTAAATAAATCATTGATGACATTCTTGATAAATAAAAAGCAAAATCATAAGGCTTACTTATAAATGATGCTCCCTAATAGATTAATTTAGCCAGCTTCAAATCCGTGGTTTCTTAATAGATCAACGATTTGCAGAATATTAAGAAGGATATCCTAGAAAATGTTGAAAACATCATTACTTAGATGGATGTAGCTCCATTTAAAATCATAATCAATAAATATAATGAAAAATTAAGATCATTTGAAAATACTCTCTTTGAAATTTAGGAATAATGTATATAGTATTGTTAACAGTAGACAAATAATTTCCTAAATAGAATGAAGATTAAGGGTATACAAAGAAAATGAGAGAGTTGAATTTTTAAAAGAAACTATAGAAGATATTTACAGAGTTGATGGAAAATCCTATTCAAAAATCTCTCTTATTAGCAGATTAGAGTAAAAATTACACTAAATTTAATAGTAAATAACAATACGAAATTTATCTAATTATTATAAAAAGTGAATACAAATTAAAACACAAACACAATTTTCTATCAATCCATTCTTAAAGTATTCATTATATTTAAAATAGGATATTAACTCTGATGAAAAACCGAAATAAATCAAACCTAAGTTAAGATAACAAGAATGAACTTAAATAATTTTTGTTTATTTTTATCTACTATATAAGATTTAGTAAAACATTATAATAATTATTTAATTAATTAATATTTTATTTTTATAATATTATTATCAAAGAAAAAATCAAAACTCTCTTTGAAATAAATAGGTTTTATTGGAATGTCGATACATATGCTAAGATTATCACTACTTTTTGTATTTCATCAACATTTAAATAATGTATTATAGGTAATTATGATATGTTATGTAATGAATAGATGATAAACAAAAATGAAGTCTTAAACTTTAGGAAGATATCTTCAAAATAAGATTAAAATTAAAAATCAATAATTATATTTTTATTATAATGTATTTTTTTGATATATTCTTAAATGTAATTATCATTAAGTTATTTATTTAATAAATGCCAATCTTGATTTATTTTCAATTTTATAAAGTTGTTTAATACTAAATAGACTTAGATCCTTAAATTTAATTGATTATTGTTTATCTAACAAATTATCAGCCAATTTATTGATCACTTTCTGATTCTCTTCATCTAAACCTTCAACTACACCAATTATCACCTAATCATTGAGGGTTTTTAATAAATCCTTTGCATTCTCAACTGTATATTCTCCAATACAATCAATTTTCACTTGTTATTCTAAATCAAAACTTACAAACCTAGTATTTACAACACAGTCTTCAATCTTGAGATTACCCTCATAACAAATTTACTTATTATCATTCTAAATCAAACCCTTGTTCTTATTTTACAATTTAGGGCATTCATTTATGATAATATTTTGTGTTTCGCTATCTTCATTCTCATCGACTACAATAACTATTGGATTAGGTCTAACCCTTTTTACAGGAGGAGGAGAAGCTTCTCTTTTTTTGCCTTTTTTGCCTTTCCCTTTTCTTTCATCCTATGCATTATCTTGTCCCTAATAACAAATAAGTTATTCGATACCTATTGAGCATCCTATTATTGACCATCATTATTGCCCCAGCCTTATTCTGTATTACCCCAATTACTTTAAGGTGCATCATTTGCTTTATCTTGTGTTTGTATGTTGACTTCTACTGGTTCACCCCAACTCATGTATTCAGAATATTTATTATTGATGAATTGAAACCTTGAATGAAACTTTTGTAGTTCATATTATGAAGTAAAATTATTATTAAATTTAATAAAAATATCGTTAAAGGGAAGCTATTAATCTAAAAATAGAACCTCTAAACATCCAAAAATATGTATGGTCTATTTCCTAATTAATTCAATCCTTTTCATATTGATATTTAACTAGATATAAAATTGAAAAATGACATAGGAATATATTAATCTTGCTTCTTTGAATCTAAAACATTGCTGATTTAATATATAATATTTGAAAACATGGTCTCAAACTTGTTGCTTCTTATTTGAAGAGATTTATGCAGTTTACGAAAAAAGCTCATACATTTGAAGAATTGAGAGTACGTTAATCAAATAAAAGAAATAGGTATTCTCATACTAGTCTGGCCATTAATATATCTTTGCACCTTTTTTTATTTAAAAATCCAAATTTTAAGGGGTCCATATAGTTTATTTATAGACTATCTTGGCTTTGAGTGCCAATCTTTAACATATAAAATTATATTGGCACACAATACATATATAAACAAAATATAATCAAAGTGTAATCTTCGCCTATCATTCTGAGATTATCTGTCTCGTATGTAGGGTCTTTCTTGATAAATCATAGGAATTTGTTGATGAAACCTAAAAACTCAAAGTCTTTTTTTTAATGACTATTAAATCCAATTGGCATGATTAATTTGGACTAGGCTTTTTTAGTATGCCATTTTTTGGAATAGAAAGTGAACCTTTCCTTGGAGCTTTCATTGAGCTACAGCCCATAAAATAATAAACAAACAATTATTAAAGTTTATATATTTACGATCAACTTAAGTTAGTTAGATTTTTATACTGAATTTAATTATGGAGCAATAAACGATTATTAATAAATTTATACCTTAGATATGACTGCCAATTATGTTATGAAATAAAATTGTTTGTAATCCCCTAAAATAGAAAAGATTCAATTAAAATAGATATTATAATTGATTTATCAATATATTTAATATTCGTTTATGTGAGATATGATAATTAGTGTACTAATTCATATACCAAAGACTAAATTTAAAATAATATATAAATTATAATAATGCTATTTATATCTAATACTATTTTAATAATAACAAAAGAATTCAATTACTTATTGTTTTTAATTTCTTGCTTTGTATAATTTTTCAATCTTATCACATTATAAACAAAATGACTGAAACCATTAATTGAGGTAATAAAACGATGTATATTATGAATTTAAATATTGTTTGCCTTTGTTTTTGCCTCAAAGTATAGAAGCAATCCTAGTCTAACTGATTTCCAAAAATTGGTTTCTTGAATCGAGGCTCACGATTGATTTTGCTCTAGATTTTTTAAATTTAAGATATTAAGTTTTATATTATTTTGATATTTTCTCCTTCTAAAATTTACAAACATATATGATAAATGGCAGTTATCTTAGTTTTGCGGTGCTAGGCTTCACGAATCTTAATTGAATATTAGAAATAAAAATAAAAATTTAGATTGTATATATTGATATTCTAAATGCAAAGAAATACATTAAAATGATGAGGATTATAGCAAATCACAATTCATTAACAAGAGCTCGCTTCAATTTGTTATAAATTATTCCGATTTAGAGATTATAGAATGAGATGAGTGTATTTAAGGACTTTCTTCATTTAATAAGAATGATAACATACTCCCAGGTTCTTTCACTTCTTTTTCTGGACTTGTTTCTTAGCTTGTATGCTTTGTTAGGAGGTATTGATTAGTATTATGAGGGGAACTAAGATTTTTCTCATATAATATGAAGATGTGTATGATGTGTTTTTTTATCTTTTTCTTTATGCTTCTTTTACTTTGGGGCTTCATGGTATTTGTTCAAAGGTGAAGTATGTTGTGTAGTTTTGAAGAGCTTATTGAATTTTTTTTGCTTTTATTTGAAGAATTAATGGCAATCAAATTTTGGTTAAATAAGAAGAGTTTCAACCGGGGTGGTCACATTTGCTCTTCAAATTATAGGTTAAAAGTAATGAAGTGAAGATAATAGTTAAAATAACTAAGCAATACAAAATAACCAAGACCATCAAGAAAAAATTATTTAATAATGAACTTCCCTATAATTGAAATCACTCTAAAAATGCTCGTTTTTTTTTAATTTAAATTTCTTTATTGTTAATTCTTTAATAATTATTTTCTGTTTGATTTGCAACACAATTCATATAAATGATAATATATACCACTTTATTTATTATTCTCTCCAAACTTGCCTTAATCAAATTTAAGAAAATAAGAATAATTTATAAAAGAAGTATTATTTTATTTTTAATTGATTATATGTTATAAGATCTCTACATTGATTTTCAAGTAAATAAACTGATTTTATCTATATGTGTATATAGATGGAATTTACTATGTGAGATTTTATTTTAATATTAAAGTTATATTTATTATTTGTTGTATTAATTTTTTATATTACATTAACAAAATAGCTATTTACTATTCCCCATGAAATTATATAAGTAACTAAATTCAACTTAAGTTAAACTTGTAATTTAAAAATATAGTACTTATTAATGATTATTTGTAATTATTAAATCTATCCTCTACTTAAGAGAACTCCTCAAGACCTCTTAATCGAATATTAAATCTATAAAATTAATCTGTAAGCTAATCCATATAATTAATCAAGTTATAAAAAAATTAAACAAAATTTCAGGTAAAATAATAAATAAATAATTTAAATAAGAATCACCTTCAAAGATCACTATTTGTTCAGCTATATCAACAATATTTAATGGATTTTATAGTGTGAACCAAGATTAAACCCTTCTTGCTGAAAATTTTAGGATCAGATAAAGAAACACTATAATAGAAATGGGATCTTTATTACAATTCAATTTTTGATCAAGATTCCATTAACATAAAGAGAATTTTGTTAAAGTCCTTCCTTTTCGAGGTAATAGTTGGGGTGCTTGGTGAAATTTAAAGAAATAAGAAACTTTTATGATGTGTTTCTATTAGAAATTTAATATCATATTTGGATTAGTATTATTGAATTTGAGGATATTTAGATGAAATGGTGGTAGTTAGAAAGAGGAGAAGCCTTATGCAATTATTTATCAATAGAATTAATAATTATGCTATTTTTTAAGTAATTATGAGATTAGTAAAACAAATCATTTAATTTTTTTCATTAGTGAGATTAATTGTTAATTTTAATTAGAAATTCATATAAATCTTTGTTAAGGATGTTTAAATCATTATTATTTTTTTTATGGTGAAATAATCGAAAGTTTAAAGATAGAGAAGTCGAAAATATGATAAAATTACACAGGAAGAAAGAGTTTAAATAATATAAATGAAAGAAAATGGTTCAACTTGCAGAGAGATTAGTGAAATAATGAATAAAAATATAAAAACTATCTAATCGATTAAATCGATCTAGAAGAAATCAGAATATGCTGATTTGAAAAAGGCTTTAATTGATTTTGGATTTCAAAAAATAATGGAAATGTAATAACTAGATGTATTTAAATTGATTTATGTTAGAAAAGGAATTCTAAGATCATCGGGAAGTAAGCAAGTAAACTTATTAAAGAACAACTAGAAATGAAAACATCGGATTTTTGGAATTTAATTCCTGAGTAAAAAAAGTTCTCAAATAAGAGAAGAATTATATAACAGATTGTATTGAATATAGTTGAGAAAGTGCAAAATGTAATTCAAAAAAACAATGACAATCATTATTAATAAACAATAATTATTAAAAAGGAGGAATTTGAGGAGAAAAAGGATGAAGTTTCAAATAATTTGATCGAATAACCCATCCCTCCATTTGTAGCAAAGGCTTATTATTATCTGATGTCTTTGTTTATACCAACCAAAAATATCTATACCTGTCTTTAATGATTTATATATTTAATTAACTACAAAATTATTGAATATATTGTTCAAGCAAAGTCATCTATTTGATTTGGTCTAACAATCAAAAGACATAAATTTAGTGTTGTTAAATCTTATGCTAATATCATTTAATCAAGTGATTTGTCTCATTTATAATATTATCAATTTATTATATAAAATATGGATTTATACCATTACTTATTCAAATTCATAATAGTGGGCGATGCAAGTGTAGGGAAGTCCTGCATACTCCTTAGATATACAGAGAAATAATTTAGAGACGAACATGATACAACAATAGGAGTGGAATTCGGATCATAAATATTAAAGAAGAATGATAAAACATTGAAAATACAAATCTGGGATACTGCTGGTTAGGAATCCTTTAAATCGATAACTAGATCATATTATAAAGGGTTGATATTTGTGGTTATAATTTAGTTCTATTGGAGTGCTCCTGGTCTTTGATATTACCAATCCAGATTCTTTTCATAATGTCTAAAAATGGTATAATGATGTGAATGAACAGGCTGCATCCAATTGTACCATCGTCTTAGTCGGGAATAAGACAGATCTTGAATCACAGTAACCAATACTTTAAACTTAGACGTAAGATTACAACGATTTAGGCAAAGGCTTTGGCAGACGAATACAAGATACAATATATTGAAACATCTGCTAAAACCAATCAAAATATCGATCTCCTCTTTGAAAACACATCTCAATAAATTTTAGAGAAAATTGATAAAAAATTAATCGATTTTGCTAATGAAGTATTGCATTTAGAATATAGCTTTAGGATAGTGGGATCAAATTGGGAACCATCTATAAGCAAGCCAAAGAAGGGAATAAAGACAAAGATAACGATTGCAAGTGTTGAAGGCCTTTATAATTTTATATCAATATTATTATAGATTTTTTAAATCTAAATAGTTTTATAAATTCTGAGAATATCGGATATATATAAAATTTTCATTAATAAATAAGTACCCTTTCCAAATAACAGTTTCTTCTTATAAATAATTAATAATTCATAATTTATAACAGAACTCTCAATAATTTGGGGCTTATATACAAACTCAAAATAAAGATTTAATTATTATTATAATCAATGCCTAGTAGAAAGCGCCCCTCCCAACGCAATAAAAAGTATGAGAAATTAACAGATGAGGAAAGAAGTCTCATTATGGACTTTAAATTAAAGGGTATGGGTTGCCAAGAGATAGCCAGAAGATTAAATAAAAATTTAAAGACAATTTAATCTGTCTAAAATTCAGAAAGAAAATCAGAGTACAAATCCCTCAAAGTAGCTATCACTTAATATGGGGTCAACTAACTGCTTCAAATCACTTCCATCAAAGTATAAATTTTACTAATTTTTGTTTATGGATGAAAGAAAATTAAAAAAACTAGCCACCAAAACCATCAAAAGTGTGATGCCACCCAATAATTAGACTATGTTCGCTCACTTGATTCCAACATAAAAAGCTAACTCAAATAAAAGAAGAATTATTGACTAAATAGTCAAAAATATCTTGAATAATATTCAAAAAATTTTGACTGCTAAAGAAATGACAAGTCTATTTGAACCAAACAATTTATCATAAGGTGACACTATGTGTATGGAAACCTCTGAATACTCTGAATACTCATCTAATATGCTCTAAAATGATTCTGAAGACTTAGAAAATGAATATATTGGTGATAATAGCGAAAGAGTCCCTAACACCTAATATCATTTTCATAACTTTCCAGGGATATTCAGATAATTTGAAGGCTTATCTATAAATTTCTTAAACCATAGTCAGTTTGAAAAAACTATAGAACAGTCTTCAGATAGTTATTTTGATTTATGAGATGTCAATTTTACATACAGGATGATATCAATATAAATAAACATAAATATATGAAATCAATATTAATCTACTCCTGATGATAGAGAACATCATAGACCAACATTTAATGATTTTAGAGTAACTATGGGGTCAATAGATAGTGTTATATCTTTTTTAGAATTAAAATAATTTAATATACATTTTTGATTTTTAAAAACAAAAGAAACCATATTATTCTGATACGAAAGGCTCATTTACATACTTTTTTGTAAAATATTCTGCTTTAACTTTTTAACCCTAAATAACAGTTATATAATAAGTATATAATATAATTTTAATTTTTTTAAAAAGTTTTCGTTAAATATCTAAAATGCAATACTATTATTTATCGTCATACTAAAAAAATAATTTATGCACAAAATGCCAATTCTTTCAAATTATGACAATAAATTCAGTTTTCAATATCTATTAATCCATTCATCTAAAATTATGACAACCTATACTTTTTCTAAACAAATTTTTTTTTATATTACCTTATTAAGTTATTTGGGTTGCTTGACATTTATTTATTAAGTATTTAATAAAGATAAAGAATTAATTTTCAAAAACTACTTTAATAAATGTACTTTACAAATAGAGTTAATACATAATAGTCTTTCGGTAAGTTTTCAGAAATAATCATTGAATCGTTTCATTTAAACTATCTTTTATGATCTTACCTTAATTACAAAATTAATTCAAATGAATTTATTCGCAATTCATAAAATTCTGAGATCCTGATGGTTTTCGATTTTTTTATGTTTATATTTGTAAACTATGAGATTAATAATCTAGGAATTAATTTATAAGAATCCTTGATAATTTTATCTAAAAGCAATAAATGGCAGGAATTCTTTGAATTTAGAAAATACAAATATCCATATAATTTTACTCTCTTAACAAAGGAACTAATCTACCAATGAATCTGAATTAGAAATGCTAGCTGTTTAAGCTATATTAACATCATAAATAATCCTGATGAATTAATATAATATATATCATTCCTTTGGAAGTCCTCCTTCTGGTGTTTATTTGCCTAACAAAGCTTTGTGAATATGTGGAATCACACCACCACCTGCAATAGTAGCTCTGATGAGAATATCAAGCTCTTCATCACCTCTGATAGCCAATTAAAGATGTCTTGGTGTAATTCTTCTCACTATGAATGAAATTAATATTTTGAATTACCTTTAAAGTCTTTTGAAGCATTTCCTGCTAATTCAAGGACTTCTGCTGTCAAATATTCCAAAATTGCTGATGTATAAACAGCAGATGTTGTTCCTACTCTGTTTTTGGCAGAGACTCTTTGCTTCAAATATCTATGAATACGACCAACAGGGAACTTATAATTGATTAATTTTCTACTTAAAGTCCTGCTTTCAAAGACCTAGATTAAGGTGCTTTCTTATTCTTGCCTTGGCCGAATTTTCCTCCTTTTCCACCTTTTCCGCCTTTTCCGCCTTTTGCACTCTTTGCTATGCCACTCTAACATATATTATTCATACTTTACCATTTTGTTGTTAATTTATTTTTAAGCATTAAAAACTATTATATACTTTGTTTAAGAATCGATAAACTCAAATTTTGATTGGCTGTGCCTTTTAATTTTGGATAATCGTTTAACAATAGCATGTCTCCTTCACTGTTTTTCAAATCTGAGTTCTGTCTTCACTTTTCTAAAAAATTGTTTCAAACTTATCAAATTATTATGCAATTATATAATGGAAATAATTATTTCCTTATTAATTTATAAATAAACACTAAAGCATACAAATTCTATGATCAACTTATCAATTGTAAAGATTTCGGTTAAACTAAATTTACATTACTAATTTTATTAATCAATCTAACTAATTTACATTGGAATCTCAACCCTATTATGGTATCATCAAGGTATTTAGTTACTTCAGAGGTATGTAAACTGTTTTAAAGCATGAAAATATCACTTTAAAATAACTAGTAAGAGCCTAACAAATGTAAAATGAGAGATTGAAAAATAAAATAATAATCATTATTATAAAAAACAGCTAATCTCTGCAGTTAAGTTTCAGAATAAAGTCTAGAAAGAATGTATAAAAATTTCATAGTTAAAGATAACATAAAGTTATTACAAAAATAAAGTATCCTCATAATTTTCTCTTAGTATGATCCTTATCTAAAAGTCGTAATAACTAATATTGAAATTCTCTGCTTATTGTTTTTGGCAAAACAAATTTAGGAATTTAAGCTAACATGATTTCTTCATCATTTTTACCAGGAAATGGGACTTTTCCACATAGTATTTAATATAATAAGACTCCCAAGGCCCAAATGTCAGCCTTTTTTCCATCATAAGGTTTTTTTTGAAATATTTCAGGCGCCATATATGCAGGTGTTCCACAGTAATCCTAACAAAGCTAATTTTCAGAAGCAAGACCAAAATCGATAAGCTTAACTTAATTATTGATTATCATAATGTTGTCGGCTTTGAGATCTCTATGATAAATGTTTCTTGAGTGTAAGTATTTAACTCCTTCTCTAATTTAACTATAAATTTGTTTGGCTTCATTTTCCTGTAATCTTCTATTAGGTTAATCTGAAAATAATAAATTTTAAACTTACTTTTCAAATAATTTCTTAATGTTTATCCATCTATAAATTCTAAGACGATAGTACTCTTATAAGTCCCTAGAAATTTGACTATGTTTTCATGGTCTAGCTTTCTCAATATCTCTGTCTCTTTAAAAAGTAGTTTTTTTTATTCTGATTGCAATAAATTAGAATTATACTTTTTGATGGCTACCTAAACTATTGTGTTTACTATTTTTACTTAAGAATCTGTCATTCTGTCATACGCTTTAAAAACTGTTGCAAATGCTCCAACAGCCAATTTAGATGTAATTTGGTACCTTTCAAATTTAACAGGTTTGGTTGACTCTTCAGTCTTACAAACAGTGTAGCTTCTTTGACATTTCATTGATTAAATTGTATTAAGCATTACTTGCTTTCTTTCCACAATTTATGTCGCCTATTATAAAATTTATTATGGATTTTGAGGTTTTCTCCTGAAGGCAGACTACGTTCTTTAAGGTTTAATTGGTGTAGGTGGACAAGGGATGGGCTTTTAAAAAGTAAATTTATTGAAGAGATCCTCAACAATTTAATCAAGAGTTTACATAAATTTATTATATTGATAATTTAATAAATCAAGATAAGAGTCTCTTGTCTAAAGTAAAGAGATTTTATTTTAATATTCCGATCTAAAATTCCAACTACCATACCTTGAACTTTAAGACCTAATTTGATTAGGCTTCTTTATAATAATGGAATATTATATAACACAAGGCAGTCTGAGAATAATTAAGATTGCTTTTACCTTTAGAATCATGTTGAATATACAAAACACTATAGTTATTCTAACTATAGGATCACCTGCTTCTCCCCAAGTTGGAAGAGTTTTGTCTGTGCCATTCCACCAATTCTTTAATAATACTAATTCAAAATTACTTTATAAATTGCAATCCAGAAAATATCTAAAACTATTGTAAAAACAGTGATGGCTCCCAAAATTTTTAAGTACTCAGGGTTAAAACAGTCTCTGCAAATAATTAACAAGTACATAGTCCCTAATAATATCTATCAGTCTATAATAATAAGTTTACATCAACATAGGCTGGTCTTGCAAAGCATTAGAACATGGACAGCACAATCATCAAGAGATACAAAATGAATCCATAATATATTTCATCACTAAGTTCATCTGTTGCTTCTCCCTGAAATTGAGGTTGTATATTATCCTGATTCTATCGATAAGATTATTGGGGTGGTGTTGGCTTGTATATTTGTGGTTAGTTTTATTATTGTTAATAGAGCAAAGCCGAATTGGTTTGGACTTTTGAAGAGTTTTATGGCTTTAAAGAGGATTGGAGATTCTATCTCTAATTATTGTCCATGAAAGGCTATTAAACTACAAATAGATCTCTCTTATAATCCTCAATATCATTATAGTGTTATTAAATATCAGCTTCAAATTTAGAGATCATTTCTTGGAAATATCTAAGCTAAATAATAATGGGTAGGGCATTTTACTTTATTATAAATCCATTGAACATCAAATTATATAGTTGGGGTAGCAAATTATTGCCTATCACCTTGCAACTAGAGTTGGAGAGAATGAACTTGTTGATCTTACAATTAGGATATATCTATCTTGGCTTATCCAACTAGAGATTTCTTTTGATTTCGATCTTAGATCAATAAACTCAAAGTTATATTCTCCCTTCCAGTTTTAATTTGGCTAGAAATTAATTGAAATAAAATTTATTTTTACAATCCGAATTGTTCATTAAATATTGGATGGAACTTGTCTCCTCCAGTTTATTATGCAACTTGTTCATTATTATCAACCGATATTGATACATAGCTCTGAATAAAATCCGAATTTGTTATTCCTGAGGCAGATTTGATTATTAAATTGAGCGATGAATCAGTGTCTATCCCGTATTGATTCTGTTATTGAGTGTCTCCGATATAAATCATAAATACATTGTATTTCTTTGACTTGTCTTTGACACTCTCTTGATTCCTCAACCAGTTACACAACTTATTATTCGGTATCTCGAATCTTTTTCTTTAACATTGCATCAGCAGATATCAAAATCTGTGAAAATTCTTCGATTTACACTTGGCCTCTTTGATTTGGAGTGCATTATTCATAAATTTAATTGGCAACATCTCTATCATACGCTTAACTAGTCTATGTTGATTATTCTTAAATTTTATCATACTAATTGATCTAATGCTTAATATATCTAATCAGGTTAATATGCTTGTCCTTAATTCAATCCAACTCTCTAAAAAGCTCCTAATACCTAGTTGACACTAGGTTAGAATTGCAACGACATATTTTAAATTAATTATATAATTTATAAATTGTATCAAAGAGTTTGAACTAAAGAAGTAATTCAATTTATTTTCAATAAAAAAGTGTTAACTTAATTAGAAAAATGAATAGATAACAATAATGATATATTTTTATGATTATTAAATATCAATAGAATAAATTTTATATAATGCTGACTGCTTAACTAAAAAGAAAGAATTGGAATAAAATAGTACGTGCTAAGGGGGTTCAAAATATACATAAGATGCATTATGGAGATAAAATAGATAACATAGAGAAATGTCAATATTATTAAATTGATATAATCTATTATGAAGATAAATTATGTATTATTTTTTAACAAAGATGAGAAAAGTAAAGTATTCATAGGGTTCTTGAATTTACAAATACATTCATACATAAATAGAAACTATGAATTAAACCTGTATTAGATAAAATTAATCAAATAAATTAATTATATAAATTTAATAGGGGGGTGAAATTTACTCATATAAATTGTGGTAATTCATGAATCACACTTTAATTTAAAAATAATATCCAAGTTGGCACATGAATCACAACACTAAAATTAAGAAATTGCCTGTTACAGTACTCTGCGGTTTTTTAGGATCAGGAAAGACAACTCTATTGAATTATATCCTTAAATAGCGCCATGATTGCCGAATAGCTGTAATCGTCAATGACATGGGAGAGATCAATGTCGATTCAAACCTGATAAAGGAAGGAAAGTTTAGTGTGAAAAAGACTAAAGAAAAACTTGTTGAAATGTCAAATGGGTGCATTTGCTGCACTTTGAGGTAATTATTAGACATATAGTATTAGGGAGGATTTAATCAAACACATATCGAAGATAGCCAAGTCTGGGAAGTTTGATTATATGTTGATTGAGAGTACAGGGATAGCTGAGCCATTGCCAATAGCCTAAGCATTTTATTTTGAAAATGAGGAGATGAGAAAGAAGGGATAGATGTTGAAGAAGTTCGCTAGACTTGACACAATGGTCACTATGGTATCTTTATTTATCTATTATTATTTAGATTGATGCCTTAAATTTCTTGGATCAATTGTAATCGGATAAATAAGGAGAGGAAATGAATGTAGATAACAAATAGATGGATTAGATCCCATTGTCCTAATTGTTGTTAGATCAAGTTGAATTTGCTAATGTTATAATATTGAACAAAACAGATCTTGTGGAAGAGGAAAGAAAAGAGTTTATATTGAATCTCCTAAAGAAATTGAATCCCAATGCTAAGATTATTGAATCAATATAAGGATAGATAGATTTAAAAGAAATTATCAACACAAAATTATTCAACTTTGAGGAAGCATCTACAACTGGAAAGTGGATAGCTGAACTCTAAAAGCCAATCCATAAAAGTGAAATTGAGGAATATGGAATCTAATCTTGTGCTTTCAAATCAAGAAGAGCATTCCATCCTGCCAAACTATTTCAACTCATTGAAAGAAATAACACTGAAGAACTTTCCTTTTGGAATAATATCATAAGATGTAAAGGATACATGTGGGTAGCAAGTTGGGAAAGATTGAATATTCACATACACAAGGCAGGAACCTAATTGACTTATCATCCTGGTTCCTTTTGGTGGATCTCTATACCAAAGAAGGTTTGGGCTGATACAAAAGAAGAAGTTGATGTATGTTATATCATTATATCAATAGGCTATTTGGGATGGAGTCAAAAACAATTGGTTGCCTGAACCTATTGGAGATAGAAGACAAGAGCTTGTCTTCATTGGATAAAATTTACCAAAATAAGAAATTTTAGATGCTTTTGAAAGTTGTTTATTGAGTGAATAAGAGATGGTACAATTCTTATAGAACGGATGGGATAATACAAATGATCCATTCCCAAAAGATTGGGGAAAGTTAGTTAAAGAATTTGAGGATCTGGGAGAACTAAGGGGAAATGAAGGAGAATGGGAAGATGTATGGGATGAGGAGGGAGAAATGTAAGAAGAACACTAAGAGGATGAATCCATGTAAGAAGAAGTTTAATAATAATAATGATAGATTTGATTAAATTAGAATGTCTTAATACATTATGTTCATTAAATAATATTTATTTAAAGACTATATTAGTTTCATTTAAAATCAAAGTTTACCTATTTGTTAAAATATTAATTAATGAATAATCCAGAAGTAATTTATGCAAACCTTACAGGAGATTCAGAGCGTAATAATTAATCATTATGAAATAGCTTTCGTTACTGATAGCTTATGTGTAAATTGTGAATAATAAGGCAAAACTACAATATTATTGACTAAAATACCCATGTTCTCTAATATTATTATTGTCTCTTTTGATTGTGAACATTGTGGATATAAAAATAATGAAGTCTAATTTGGTGGAGAAATCAAAGAAAAGGGAATTAAACTGCATTTAAAAGTCAGCGAACCTAAAGTAATGATTATTTACAAATTTTTAGGATCTCCAAAGACAAATCATCAGATCAGAGTTCTGTAAAGCTTTGATTCCAGAACTAGAGTTTGAAATGCCATCCAATAAGAAGAGCAGCATCAATACTTTAGAGGGATTCCTTTAAAATATTATTGATGACTTATCACATGATCAACCAATTAGAAAGTATACATAGGTGGAAGTCCATGATCGTATTGAATATATCATTGGAAAATTAAAGGAATTCAAAGAGGGTTAAGGATTACCCTTTCATTGGATAATGGAAGACCCTTCTGGAAATAGTTTCATTTAAAATCTAAATGAACTCTAAGAAGATCCCCAACTTAAGATTCAACATTACATTAGAACAATCGAAGAGTTGGAAGCTATGGGTTACAGTGCTGAGAATTAAAAGTAAGAGGTTCAGCAAATACAGTAATAATAATAAATCATTGCTGACCCAATTCATTAAGGGACTGAATAAATATAAGCTAGTGGATAAAATTTTGCTTAACCAATTGAAGATTCTGTTAAAACTGAATCTATCAATATTCCTACACCTTGTAATGTTTGTAAAGAGATGGGAGAAAATAAAATGTGCACTGTCACTATTCCTCATTTTAAAGAGATTCTTATTATGAGTTTTAATTGTGGGTTTTGTGGATTCAAGGACACAGAAGTTAAAGCAACTGGTGAGATCAGTAAGCAAGGTAAAATCATAGAATTGAAATTTGAAAATGAAAATGACTTATGCAGGGATGTATTTAAATCAGATACTGCTAAATTGATTATTCCTGATATTGAATTGGAACTTGGAACTGGTACTCTGGGTGGTGTGTATTCAAATGTCGAGGGATTATTAGAATAAATTCTTACACGTTTAAGGGATAATGTAATTGTTATAATTTAATAGTAGAATCCATTTGTTGGAGATAGTGCTGATGAGGATTATAAGAAAAAGATGGAATCAATATTTTAGAAATTGGAAGAATTCAAGTCAGGAAAATCCAAATTTACTTTAATCATAAGAGATTTAGTCGAAAATAGCTTCATTTAAAATCCTTACTATCCAAATGAAGACAACTAAGTTAAAATCGCTCTCTTTGATAGAACTCCAGAAGACAATGATGAATTAGGAATAGATACAATGAAGACAGAAAATTATCAAAATTGATCAAAATATATAATTCATTTTGGTGTTATTTAAACAAAAAAACATCCTAAATTAGCAAAATTACTTTTCTTTTGTCAAAAATAATGTCATTCTATGACCTAAGTATATTTTCTAAATATTTACCTAAATCAAATAAATTATTCAAAGTCAAGAAAGAGCGACAACTAGAATCTGAATTAAATTAGAAATTCCTCTTGATAATATTGACTTCTAATTTTATCTAAAGGGTTATTCAAAATAACTTATGAACAAATGAATTAAAGAAATACTCCTTAATGAATTGGTTAATTTAAGTCCACTCCATCAATACTGGAGATGTTGATAAAAATGAATTAGGAATAGATACAATTAAAAAACTGAAAGTAACTTTTAATATAATATATTAACTTTCTCTTAAAAATATTTAAATGCATATATGGATTCAAAAATGCTTTCCTAAGTATTAACTGAAGAGTTCATAAACAAGAAATGTTATGCTATTTGTAGGTAATACCCTTATTAAATCTGGTATTAATCCTTTATAGAATCCTCCAATAGAATCTTATTCATATATAACTCTACAAATATCAATAATTCTAACTCTTGATCTGAGGCCACTCTTATAAACAGTTTTATTATCATGTAATCTAGTTCGTATAACTACATGAGGATAAGTTACTAAGACTGCGATTGCTATATAAGGATAATTTTGATATGATTACATTTTGACAATATTGAGGCTTTGAGAATATCAACAGGCAAAAGCTAACCATTCTTATCGGTATAATTTTATTTCAACCTCTCGTAAATTGGAAATTAGACTGCGACATGAGATAGACCCAACACAGTGGCTCCAAGACCTTTGTACAAAGCAAGGAAGCCTTCCTGAAATGATATTGAATTGATTACTTCTTTATACAAAGTGACTAATCCCCTGAAAACAGATGTATATTTTGGATGACTGTGATCATGCAAGTATTATGTTTACATTCTAGTTCTGATTAACTTTAAATAAAAGTTAGTTGCATTAATATACCCATAAAGGATTAGTAATTAAATCACAAACAAACCCTGTGATTATGGTTGCCAAGAGATGATTCTGGAAACCAGAGATTCCATATTGGAATTCCAAGGTTTCCTTGTTCCATTTATAGAGTGGAAAGAAAAGCGAATGAAATATTGGATTAGCGACTGCTGTAGCTCGATAGCCTTTTTAATGACTACACTTTTTACCTTTGTAGTAACCGGCCAGACCCTCCTCTTTATAGATAACACAGAGAGTGTTAATGAAGCCGCGATATTTATTGATTGATTTGGTAGCATTCTTAAAATGGTTAATTGATTACTTAGAGGTTTAATCTGCTTCTGGCTACTTCCAAAGGGTGGCATACAGTTACGCTGATGAATCCTCCAACTAAGCCAGCAATAAAATGATGCCAATATAATTTTCTTTGTTATTCTTAATTCATTTTATTTTAATAATATTTAAATTCAAAATAGATGAATATGAACGATAGTTTCTTTGACAACATCTTAGTTGTGAGTTAGAATGTGAACACCAGCAATAAACCTTAAACAATTTGTAAATCATTGGAACGTACATTTGCTGTGTGTAGTTAACCAATTAAGTATGTAAGCTTTTGATGTTATAAAATTTACAGGAAAACTCCCCAGCATCATCATACCCTACAACAAGAGGATACCAAAAGTTAAAGGCATTCAACTCAACAATTGGATTATTATTTAAAACAACAAAATAAAACAGCTACACTAAATAATCAGTCCAAAAGTTATCGTAGTATCAAATAATCAGACTCCAATCATCAAACTTAGATACCTTAAAGTAAATTTACTCCATTATTCATTACAGAATCTTATCTCAAACAATAAATGAGGTTGAAAATTAATTTAGAAAATGAAGCCTTTCAATCAAACTTAAGACACAAGACCCAGTCTTCTCACAACACAACCAATCCATATTAAGGATCCATAGTCAATCTCATGAAGTAGCAAGTAATTCACAACATTAACACTGTAGATGCAAAAATAATAGTAAAGCTTCTTGAACATCTGTAAAACCATGAACGAGGATTCCAAATCCAGGATATCTTCTACACATAGATAATCCTTAATCCCATCCAAGTTAACTCAACGATAGGATTCTTAAAATATTCGAAAAAGCAATTCTGTCTATATGCAGGAATTCAGAAAGGTGTTTAGTAAAACAAAATATAGTATACACAATAAAGTTTGAATTATTAAAATTATATCTCTTTTCGATAAAATGAAAACATTCACAACAACTCTTTTTATTCATGCCTTTAGATTATTTATAAAACATATTTGCACCAGCCGAGAAATTATTAATCTTAGCAACCAATTCATCCAAATCACCCTACTTAATGTCTTAAAATCAATTGCATTAATTACTTAGTTCCTTTGTCTAGTCCTATCACTGATACTATAAACATGAACTTCACGGAATCCTTCACAACGTTTCTATATGAATATTTCTACTGAATTCAATTCATAATATCGAGTTAGCATAATAACCTTGATGCGGCAATCAAAACAGCTATCAATTACATTTATTTTGATAAAATTAATATATAGATTAAGTAATTTATACAATAATTCATTAGGTTTGGGGGACAAGGGAAAATGTAAAAGTAAATTCGTTATTAGCCTATATGATATCCAAATGATTATACACTCCAAACTCAGAGAGAATCAATTAAGTGATACTTATATTTAGTAGCAAATTTATAGGTATCTAAAACTATTAAGTCAAATAACTCATTCTTTCTAAGAGTGATTGATGAACAGTAGTTTTATGAAAACATCCTTTTGGAGACTTAACCCAATTTGTTTGTAGGATCTCTAAAATTTTGGTTTGAATAACTTTGTCCCTTTCCTTTATTTTAATTTAAAAGAAGATTTCTGAATTAAGATTCTCAATTTGTATTTTTAGAATTTTCAGATCTTTAAAAATTTGCTAAATTATGTAGAAACATGAAATCAATAGTTACTGAATAATGGAAATGTCATGAATAAAAGGCTTAGCAAGTAGTACTTTTTAGGAGTCAGTGCCAATCAATGGATCAAGTGCAGTTTGTAATGAATTTTGAGTGATATTTTATAATTTAAGACGGTTAGATTTGTTTTAAAAAATGATTTAAATATTCTGTATGAAATTGTGATTAAAGTAGAACTTCTGATCTGGGAATCTCTATTTAATTGATATTTGATTAAACTTGGTTAGCATCTTGATTAAAAAACGTGACTGTTCATTTGCCGTTTCAGTTATATTCTAGAGGATACTCCATAAAACTTAAGTCTAATTATAAAAGTATTTTTTTTTAGGATCTATGATGAGTAAACATTGCAGTTTGTTATTAAAGACGCATCTGAGTATTTTGACATTGTATAACTTCTAAGTTTAACAGTGTTGAACAGTGTATTTATAGGTTTTAAATGAATCAGCAAATTCTTGAGTATGGATTAGGAATCTTCTCAGCGTGTGTTCCATATTGATATGAACTAAATTTGAGACACTATCTTCAGGGTGTCTACTGGAAGATACGATTAACTAATATGTAGATTGAAAATTCATGTTACCTTTCTGAGTAATTGTCGTAGATTTTCACTATCCTTTAATCGGAATAAAATTGATGAAAATTTGTTTTCCTTCTCAAGTTGCAATTAATCCTGTTTCTTGTCATGCGAAACCAGCAAAATCGAACTGGACAACACTTTGGACAAAAGTTGTTCCCATCTTTCTTGTTGACAACTCTAAACATATTGTTCTTTTTTAGTTTTTTCATAATTGTATTTGATGGCGATCATACTCATGGCCAAAAAAACAAAGAGAAATATGTTGATAATTCCATCTTTAATGTCAATGTTGTCTTAATCTAAGTGGACTCCAATAACGATGATCAACAGAAAGGTCTGATAAATGAAGTTGGCACCCAAGAGATAAACACTGAAGTGCAAGTAACCACATTAGAAACCATAATACCAAGATTGATCTAAAGTGGGATTGGTTGTGCCATTAGATAATTAAGGCATTTTAAAAGCACAAAGCAAAAACAATTGATAAATAGTTACAATTAAATTGATTAAGTGAGGTTTTTGTTGTAGTATTTTCCATAGTATCAATATTGCAAAAATCGATATTCCACTGAGTATGGAATAAGGAATTGAGTCTCGCAAGATAAATTTTACGGTGTTCAGAATGGAAAAGGACTATAGTAGAGTAGAATAATTACAACTGAATAGATGGTGAAGTATGTCACTTCCCTTAGTTTGGATGATTTGGAGTAGTTTTCATACTGTTCAGCTTGATCCTTGAATAGGAATTCAAGAGTGTACTTATTGAGCATTATTAATTATCAATATTATAAATCACTCTTATCGATTATCTAAATTTATAGACTGTTTTAATAAATCTTGTATTAAAATGTTCTTGAGTAAATTTCAAGTAACCCTACCTGAGAAGAGATGAATTAATAATAATACTCTCCTAAAATCATACAAATAATAATGTTATATTAATAATTGAATAATACTTCACAATTTTGTATTCTTGGTCACATCGTGGAATGCTTCAGCAACATACTTAACATTTCCTTCATTCAATCCTGCAATTGAAATTCTTCCACTGCTCAATAAATAGATATGATATTTGGCAATCAATTCTTTAACGTGTTCTGGACCGACACCCTGAAAATATTGATCAATATATTACAGTGAAGGCAAACATACCAATTTATTTGGAAATGTGAGACCAATCATGAGGAGAACCTAGACTCTTCAAAGTGTTGGCCAGACTAACTCTCATCAATTGAATTCTATTGGCCATCATCTTAACTTCCTATAACCACAATTAGTTGAGTTCTGGGGTGTTGAGAATTATGTCAGCCACTCTAGCTCCATGAAGAGGAGGACTTGACCATAATGGTCTGGCTAACAATTTCAATTATGAAACCACCTTGTCTTTTTCTTATTGATTAGCACATACAAAACTAAGGCATCCTGTTCTTTATCCATACAATCCCATGTTCTTGGCAAAGGATTATCCTAAAACAATAGGAACTCCTTGGGCTGTAAATAATCTGACTGCTTCAGCATCTTTATTTACGTCTCCACTTGTGAAACCTTGATAAGCCATATCAAAGAATGGAAGGAAGTTCTTCTTTTTTGTCAAGTCCAATAATTGTGTCCATTAGGCTGTAGTCAAATCACAACCAGTTGGATTATGGGCACAAGCATGGAACAAGATGACTGATCCATTTTGAGCCTTATTCAAGTCTTCTACCAAACCAGAGAAATCAACTCCACGTGTTTTTGGATCAAAATAACGATACTCAGAAATTTCTAATCCTGCCATTCTAGCAATGTTATGATGGTTTGGCCATGTTGGATTTGGCATATACACTTTTGTTCCTTAAGGCAAGAATTTCTTAGCGAATTCGAATCCAAGTCTAACTGCACCTGTTCCACTCAATACTTAGCATCCTGCAATGCTTTTTCCATTTTAAGCATAGTAAGCATCTCCATAACCTAATTTAATAGAAGCATCAATAAACGATTGGAGTCCTTCAACTGGAAGATATTCATTGTCCAATTTCTTCTCCTTTATTATTTGTTCAGCCTAGTTTAAATAAATTTAGTTACTCTCTTCACTGAATCGAGTACTACTGGCTTTCCGTCATTATCACGATAGGCTCCTATACTTAGATTTACTTTTGTAGTGCTTGGATCAGCCTTGAATTGAGCAGCCACTCCCAAAATAGGGTCAGCTGGTCCCATTGGCACTTAAGACCATACAGAAAAGAATCTCAAAGCTCTAAAACACTACATGTCGAATATCTTTCAATATATTAATTAATTCTTATAAAAAGTATGTCATATTAATATATATTACGGATCTTTTTTATTTTAATCACATAATATAAATTAATAATATACTATTTATAGTTGACATATAAAATTATATATCACATTATAAAACTAGAAGTAATTACACTTCTTCATTAATCTTCTAGTTCATAAAAAGTTTTAAAAAATATCATATTTTTAAACCCTAAAGAATTAATGATAACAACCCCAAACTACTTTGCATATCAAGTACCAAATACTTGGCTTTCATTCTCCACTTATGCAAATGAATGATAATTCTAGGAAAAATAAGAATTTTTAGTTTTATCATTTAATTTTCTTTTACCTCCTCAGAATATGCCTGATTTCTTATATCGACCTTATAGATTTTCGAATTAATATCTCTTCCCTTTTTATGTCTATTTTTTGATATAATCAAATTAGGAATATTTCAAATGCTCTCTTTGGATCCTAGAATTTAAGAAATCCCTTTATTAGGGATTAATAGTTATTTGAATATCTCTAACATTTTATTAATCAAATTATCAAACATTTTCTTCCCCTTTCACTTCGGGGTCCTCTTTAAAAAAAGTCAAATTCCTTCAAAATTGTTATCATCAAGTCAACATACATAATAAAAATTAAAGAAACCGAATTAAAATTCTAAACGAGTTTGGTTTTTATAGGAGTTAATGATTTACTTGTTCTACAATTCAGGTAAATTTTTTCATTTTTCAAGTATTAATTTATTATTTATGATTTAATTCTAATTAAAATGGAATAAAAATAATAACTTTTATATTTCAATTAGGGATTAGCCAACATCCTGGCCCCAAAAATTCGTTACAATTAGATACGAGGTCCTTATTGTAGTGTTCTCTCTGTTTCTCAAAGTATTCAAGCGTTGTTTGATTATTGCTTATTAATCTTTTATTGTAATATATATTTTTACTTTGTATGAAATGCTAAGAATAAAAATAAGACAATCATCAATGTGAAGCTTAGAGTAGCAGCAAATATTATAAAGTAGGTATCGATCTTGCCAATCGGAGGATTTTTTAAAATTTTATTGAAATATATGCAAAAGTAAACAACTGATGTTAAGGCTCTAAATATTCATTTTAAGTTACTAGCATAAAAAACTAAGCAAAAAAAATATTTGTAATTGTTCTGTCCTATGCAGTTATTCACCCAAGGACAATGATGATCCATTCTCAATATACATTTATTACATTGTCGGCAATGATGACATCGCATGGGTTTATTGTTTTAACAAAATTTACAAGTTTTCCTCGAAGTAGTCAAAGGGTCATCTTCATTATCGGTTTATGTTGGCGATCCTGGCTTAGTAGTGGATGTTTTGTAAAATGAGTATATAACAGCCAACAATAACAAATGATGTAAAATCAACAAAAGAATTTCCTTTTCTTCCGGATATATGAATATCTATATTAAGAACTCTAGTTTACATAAACCATCATTATTTCCAAGTATGCGATGATCAATATCACAATAGAAAATGGGGCCAATACCCATAATTAATTAAAATTCATAACAAATATGATGAATATAAATGAAAAAACTCCTTACTTTTTCTCAGTCATTAATTATTAAATTAGGCCCTCTCAATCGATCCACTGAAAAAACTTACTCTCTCCATTCCCTAATTTAAAATAACTCCCCCCACAACTCCTCCTCTCCATTTTTGTATTAATTCTCCAATAGAATTATTAATAATTCATATTTGAAATCACTCCTCAGTATTAATCTCTCTCAGTTCCGCATTATTTATGACTCTCATAAACAGCTAAGATCAAATAATATAATAGTACTTTATTGTACTATTTATACAAAATTTGAAATCCAAAATTTTCATTGTCCATTTGTAGTATCTATTTTATTTAATAGGTCTAATGAAATGTGAATTCAAGTATTAATGATTCAAATCTATAACTAAATGAGAAAATCTAAGTAATAATAATTTAAATGATATATATTAATTAAGAAGCTTAAGAAATTTTTTAAAAATATTTAATCTTTAGAAATAAGAATTATTCCGTTATTACAGTAAGGAGTTAGATTATTAATATTAATAATAAATACATTGTTAAGTATTAATTTGCAAAATATTATCATTGATTTAACAATTTCTAAATCTCTTACTGCATTTCTTTTGGTTTGACATCGGGATCATAAAACTTTACCACTTAACCCTATGAGTTAAGTAGGAATTTCCCAAAATTCCATGGTACTTCCTTAGCTTCATTAGAACTAACTTTTAGTGAACTGTTTAATCTTAAATATCTATAAATCTCATGAGTGTTTTAACCATTAACTTCAATTTTTCTTAAATATTTAAAAAATCAGTACTAAAATAACGGAAAGGAAACTCCGTATTTGGATATAACGAACTCCTTTATTTCAGGTTCGGGTTTAGATTCCTAACCCATAAATTGATTACAAGGAAATCCTAAAATCTCTAAACCTTAGGCACTAATTATGTTATTATTTGGTACCTGTATGATTGATATAGTTCAACAAGTTCGCTGTAGTTTGAGGATGTCAATCCACAAGAGCAGGCAACATTTACACAAATGTAAGCTTTTTTGCCTTTAAATTGAGAAAGTTGGGTTTTCTAACCATCAATGTTATTAAGTTCAAATTCGAAGAATGTTTTGGTTGGTGGTTATAGTTTATCTACACTTTTTTTAAATAATTGTGATCCCATTTTAATATTCTGACTTCTTAAAATTAAATAATAAATTTTTAGAAAATAGTTGTTTTGCATATAAATTTGAAATAGACACATAATTAAAATTTATGACGACAGAAACTGAATAAATTTGAAATTAAAATATAAACTTTATATTATAGAACCACAAAAATACTGTTGTCACTCATTCAATAGTCCCTCTGCCTCCTCATTGGCAGCTTACCTTTTAATCATGTCTTTTTCCATCATTCTTAACTCTCTAATTTATTAATCTATTAATTATTAGGCTTTAGCTCCAAGAGGGTGATTAGGGATGTCAGTAACATTGATGTATTTATTAGTAGCCCAATTTTGGTCTCCTTTGCTTGTAAAAAGAGGTTTAAAAAAGGATATCCAATTATTGATGAATCCTTTGTCAAAGGGGTTTCCAAACATTCCTCTATCATTAGCCCATAGATAGGAGTATCTTCTCCATTATACTAATTCTGAGGGAGTAATGTTGTAGGAAATCTAAGTATAAAATTAAGATTATTACTCTCAATAAACACAGCAGGTATTGTTAACCAAAATAATAGATTTGCCATATATTGATTAATATAACGAACAAATCAAAATAGGACTTCTCTTGTGTTCTCTATGATAGTGTGAATTATCTGAGTATGAAAAAAAGATATGAAGTCCAAGAAATAAGATAGAGAATGAGGAGTGGATAATTGTATAGACCAATGCATATGTTGAATTGCATTGAATGGAATTCCCATCTTTTAACACATCTACATTTATATGGATTAGTACTTTTGACAATATAGACAATGTTAGCATCTAACAACTTTGGGGATTGAACATAGAACGCAGATGTTTCTATTCATTTTAGAGAGTGTGAATAGTTCTGGTTTAGTATCTAAAAGTTCTTTGAAATCTGCTTATTTGAAATAACCTGCTGGACATAATAGAACCAAGAAATAAGTAGTAAAGATAGCATAAATAATGTACAAAATATAATCCTAGATTATTAGATATAGATACCAATTCAGGATAAGTTTCATAATTGAAATAGAGTAAAAGGCCGTGACCAAGAAAATAATAGATAGCAAACCCTCCAAATATTTATTTTAGTATATTGTCTGGCATTATTTAATTGAGCCATCCATTAAGTTTATAAATAGGTGTCATAAGGGCCTGTCTAATAAATAGTATGATTGGAATACTAAATCATCATGTAAAAATAATAGCCTTGAGCCATCATAGGCAACTGCATAAAGATTTGCATAGCATAATCACCACTAAGAATGGCATGCCAAATGAAGACTCTCATCTCTTTGGGGACATTTGCAAATGGGTTATATGAGGAGTGATGATGATGTTGGTGATTGTGTTAATGTTGGTGTTAATGTTGATTTTAATGATTGTGATTATGATTATGATTGCAACATTGATGCCTCTTATTCTCTGTCTAATTGATATTAATTGGGACATGCTCAGCATTTTCCCTATCCATATTTGAATTCATGGAGCGCATAGGAATTTAATAAATTAAATCTTATGGATCTTTGTGTTTTTGGGGTTGATGATGGTTATGCCGAAGCCATAATCAGAGGATTGAGAGCAAGTTTCTTGACCGAAGCTCAATACTAGCAGATGAAGAATTGCGCCTCAATTCCAGAATTAAAGTCATTCTTGGAAGAAACAGATTATTAAGTACACATGACAATTATTAATATAGAATTGCTTATAAGCTGACAATCCTCAAATACCTACATCCATTCTGAGATAGAGACTTAAAAAGAAATTGGCTGATGAATTTGAGTACATCGAGGCTCAATCCACTGGAACACTTACAAAATACTTATTTCATTTGAGGTATGATTGATTGATTCATTATGAAAGATGCCGTTTTATGATTGACAATGTAGTCAACATGATAGAGGGATTGAAGAATAAAATTGATATTGAAATACTTTTGAGTAATATTGATCCACTAGGTTGGTTCCCTGAAATCAAAAATATTAAAGTTCTTGAAGGAGATGATTATAGCAGTTTATACAGAGATGTCCTTATCGATACACCTATTGGTGTCTATTTTATGAAATTCTTGGAAGAATCCATTGAGAATTTACATGAAAACAGAACTTTGAATGACATCCAAAACTTATTCAGAGAAATGAAACCAGAGTACATCAGGACATCACTTAAGAAGATGTGGTTGGAAGATTTCTATTTGTTTTGCGAATAAGAAGTACAAGCATACAATTTAGTTAGTTAATGCCAACATCTTAGGAAGCACTCTTGGAATTATTAAAATTTGAGGCTGACTTTAAAACAATCCAAGTTATTTACAATTCAATCGGAAACAGAGATCTTAATACAGCAGCCAAAATTATCACAACAAGAAAATAATTGTGTCCAACAATTGGAAACTTATATCCCGATTGTGAAAAGATGTACTTATAAGCCATGACTTTGGATGCACTTAGAGAAGCTGTCAAAGGATGCGATAATTATAGGGATTTACTCAAGGATGCCCCAGATCCTTTAAAGAGAGAAGAATTCAATGTATAAACAAAGTAATTGCTCAAATCTACTTATTTATAGAACTCTTGATGATATTATGTATGATGATGAATGCAGAAGATATGCTCTTGCATTTGACGGATAAGGCTCATATGGAGTATTCTATACTATTCATATTAGGTCTTCTATTCTTATTTGAAACTCAAGGAATAAGAAATTAGAAACATTATCTGGTTGGCAGAAATGATTTCAAGAAAGCTTGCTAAAAATCATCCAGGATGGAAAAAGATTATTATCCCCTTCAGTCACCTTGGAAAATGAGCATTTAATGCATAATATATATTAATATATCTGTATAGCAACTATTTTGGCATCTAAAATTTATACTAATATCCTCAATTCACAAATTCCTAAAATAAAGGAATTAAAATTATAATATAATACTGTTGTATGATATATATGTAAATCTATTATATATCATTCCTCCTTTGGAACTGCATTGTCTTACATTACTTTAGCATATGAACATCTTTCAAAAGCATATCCATCGGCTTTAAAGAACTTGCTCTGAAATTCAACCCAATGAAGACGCAATGCATGAAGAAAACATTCCATCACATCCATCATCATCAAAACTCCGAAAGTAGCCATAGAGAAAATGGCATAACCAATTAAGAGCTAGAAATTAATAGATGGGAATAAAATACCCTTATTGCACCAACAAAACCTCCGCTACTAATACCTCCATTCAAACACATTTAGAAGAAAACTTCTGCCAATTATCCGTGAGCCAAAGATAAAGCCCACAATCTTAAATAAGAGGCTGTATTTGAAATGGATCCCAACACAAACTCAATAGTTTCAATTACTTGATGTACAAATATATCACCAAATTCTTCGTGATGTCCACCACCAGATTATTCAGCATGAGCTTCTGAATTCTCTTGAGTGCCTTCAGAATCCTACAAATAATATTAAAATAAATATTACTTCATTAATTTTTTAGTAAAGATCCTTGTTCAAGTTCTCTGTTAAATTGCTTGCACCTTGAGCATGATGTTTTTTGTTTTGAGAATTAATTATGAGTGGTTTTGGGAGTAGGATAATTGGAATGCAAAATAGTGCAATCAATAACAACGCAGTTTAAGTTGATGCTTCTGATTAACCATCTCCCCATAAAGGTGGATCTACTGGTTTACCAGGAGCAAGAATCATATTAATCATCAGAGTGATAATACTTGGGGCTTCATCAGTTTTTCCTGTCCAATTCACAAACCATTTATAAATAATTAAAAAGTCCATCCAACCGAAAGAGCAAATGAAGAATGTTAATTGAGGAATGAATTCAAAAATAAAATCTATCCAATTCTTGAAGTATATTGCATTGATTCCCTTCAATATAATACCGAATGACATCTGAATGACACCAATAATAACTGCCAATTTCATCTTGTATGAATTCATAAATGTTAATTCATTGGGTACACACATCCAAACTGGATCTATACCAAATGGATATACACAAGATTAATCTTTTTAAACCCATTCTTATTCATCTTCGTACCTTGGATTTTCAACTGGTTATGTTTCATAGCAAGATCCAAATAAGTTGATCGGAACAGACATGAAATCATTATAGATCCATCCATTGTAAAATGCCCAGAATCCCATCATTAATACCATATGTCTGACAATTAGAGCATGCTTCATTAAAGAATCTGACTCCTTGATTTCTTTATTATAAACACAAAGATATATTCCTAATAATAATAGACAAAATCTAAATAATATGATATTAAAGTATACCCATGTCCAATATCAGCAAACATAACACCAAACAAAAATGGGAAAGTCATGACTGTGAATAATCCTGGGTTGATTTCCTTATATCTTGGCATACCGTAAGTATTAACTATCTCTTAGAATCCCCAAGTGACTTCATTAGTCTCAAAAAATGTTGGAGGTGGCCTTGTACCTTCAGGTGGTGATATTTGTAATTGTCCTGTTGGCAAACCCTCATAATTGGTTTGAACTTCTCTTAATGCCTAATCAACTTTGATATCTGCTCCTTGAGGTAACCAAATTGATCCATAGAGTACACTTCCTTGAACTCTCAGGTAATTCAATTGAGTATATAGATATTTCTCCTTAACCAAAAATAATTTTAATTCTTCTAATTATGAGCAATTCGAGTTTTAATAAACTCTTTAGAAATCATCAAGGTAGGCTTCAACTTGATTCTTTGTCATTTCTAATAACTATGAAAGATAATATGAGAATGTGTACATTTCTAGTTTCAACTAACTCTGTTTCAATTGATCTTAATTTCTCTTGGAAAATCATATTATTTTCAGGGAATGTGTATTTAGCAACCTAAAAGGATTCACAGATTTTATTGAGTTTGTTTGTGATAACATTGGAACCTCCTCCACCTGGATAGACTACAACAAATACACTTTTAATGATTTTTGCGTCATCCTTTATTTTATTATGATTAATATTACATTTTTAGTGTCAACGATTTAATCACTTTCAATATCCATGGTATTCATCCAAGCATTACCTTTGGTAATACGAAATATGATTCTCTTGAATCGTATTTGGTCTTCCTTGTTGATGACACCAACCAAATAATTAAATTTAACAGATCCTTATAAGACTTTGATGTCATCTAATTCCTTTCCTTACAAATTGACATATCCTTCGGCTACGTAATTAGCACTAAGATATATGAATTTGATACGGTTAGAAAAATGATTGTCCTAATAATGCTTCGCCCTTTAATAAGACTGATTTGTGTTCAATCAGTTTGTTTCTGCGTTCGTGAAGATTTTCCATATTAGTACTCTATTCAATTAGTTGCTAATGTTTCTTGTCGATATCATTTTCAATTTCATCCAAATAGGTGTGACTGGCTTTAGACCTTGAGAATTCAGAGGATTGAATACCTTTCCTTAATCAATTGCTTGAAGTTTTTGATCAAAAAATTGACATCCTTGCAGTAAGTAATCTTCTTTTGATATTTCTTCATTTCATGCTCGATTAGGGATATTTTAACTAGCAAGTCATCGCATCTCTTAATGTAATTAGCAAATGGCCTATTGATCATAGGTAAAGTTGGATCATAATCAACGAAATGAATGCAATCTAACTCTGCCAATTCATTCATGACATTCCAGGCACTCTCTCTTGGGATTATCAATTTGTAATAGCCCATTGTTTGGGACCTAAAGAAGTTCATTATTAATTATTAATATCTTTATTTTGTATTCCACATATTAATTAAACAAGTAACCCATGATCGTTTCGCATTTTCTTAAAACCAGACACTCTTTCCTTTCTACCACAGTAAATATGTCCTCATATGTTTCAAGATAAATGCAAAATTACGCAATCATTTATCAATTAAATATAGTAAATTCATGTTTCAGCCATCCCAAAAAATAAGAGAAGCCACCCATGCAGGTAGTTGGTATATTGGAGATCGTACATTTAAATTCATTAAACTCAAGGAAAGCAATTGGATGCCCAACTGAACGACTTCTTATCAAAGGCCAAAGCAGAAACCATACCCAACATAAAAGCAATTATTGGACCGTATAAAATTTATAAATCATATCAGACACGCTGGCTTTTCATATTCAGGACCAACGGCTGCCTTTGCATACTAACACTTAGTGCAAAAAGAAGGGTAATAAACTATAGCTAGCATTAAATTATTCTAGAATGAGAGTCTTTTTACTTGGACCCTGTCATCATACATATATCAAAGGAATAGGTTTATCTGAACTAGAAATTTATGAAACACCACTTGGCAACATCGAATTGGATTAACCAAGTATTTACTTTTGCTGATCTTTTAGCAATAAAACAATTAAGTACAGAATTGAAAAAAAACTTTGTTTTTACAAATAAAGAAATCGAGGAAGAAGAACATAGTTTAGAAATGCATTTGCCATTCATTTATAAAGTATTTCCAAAGTGCAAACTAATTCCTATAATGGTGGGTGCAACTACTGAATAACAAGATGCTTAAGTGGCAAGTGTACTAGTCAAATATTTTGTTGATCCAAACACAGTGTTTGTCATATCATCTGATTTCTGTCATTGGGGAAAAAGGTCAATTAATGATATTATCAAATTAGTTTCCGATACACTCCTTATAATAAAGAACATGGGGAAATTCATTAATCAATAACATAATTAGATGGATAAGCAATTAAATTGATTGAATCGCATAAACTTACAGAATTTTATAAGTATCTTGAGGATACAAAAAATACTATATGTGGTAGACATCCAATTTGTGTTTTACTAAATGTAATCTTGATTTGAAGTTTAGATAATCAACCTTAGCAAATTGCAACTAAAAACACAACTAGCAAAATATAATCAATCAAATCAAGTGACAAAGCCTAATGACTCATCTGTGAGTTATGCCGCATTAGTGACTAGTTTAATATGAATTAATATTATTACACAAATTATATAATTAATTCAATAAATTCACATAATTTTTTATTTAAAAGAAAGATTTGAGATATTTTTTTATTTTCCCCGTTTCTCATACTTCGCTGAGCTTTTACTCTTAACATTTTGACTTTGAACCTGCTCATCGTATTCTGTCTATAGTCTTTCTATTTTTTTAACCGATTTTTTTTCAAGGATTTATTAATTTTCGCTTTTTTCTCTTTGATTACTATTATAGTAATCATAATATTAGCTAATAATAGAGTAAAAGGAAGTCGAATTGTCAATAAGATTATCTGATTCTGTAGATTATGTTAATTTTAAAGTCATCCTTTTTTAGCAGGATGAACTAGAAGCTGAACTAGTGGTCTTTAATCTATCTGCATTACAGTGTTGACTCATTTAAAATTAGGTTATATCGTCATAAATGATCAAAGGCTTTACTCTTCTATGATTTTTCTCGTCATCCCCAAACATTTAATTGGATCTACACATAATTGGAGATTGACTAGAGAACTTGCTTTGGAGTAGTTTTGAGATGTTTATTCTAATATCTAAGTGATTGGAGTTAGAGGGAACACTCTTATCGTTCATAAATAGATTATTAATAATTAAGTTCATTTAATTTTATCAAGTTATTTTTTCCAAACTGATTGCGTAATCGATCTCAATTTTATTTAGCCCATGAGATAATTGGTTTTATCGTATTTGCCATTTGCATGTATTCTGTATTTCCCTTCATTCGTTAATTCTTCAATGCAAGTGGGAGTATTGGCAAATTTGACCTTCGGAGATTGACTATTATAAACCTTTTGGGCCTATAATGACTCATCTGAATGTCTGTAATTTCTCCTTAACAAATCGTGAACTTGCTGAGTGGATGAAATAGTTTAATAGGTTCTGCTCTTCTCCTTTTTTTTATTCATAACCTTTTGCCACACCTTGGCAGGCGAATTGAATGATTTCAATGATTCAGACCTATATATTCTTAACTCTTCATTTTGGGCCTAATACAGAGAAAATTTGTTCAGAGTCTGGTTGCTTGAGAGAAATGGACGATTCAAAATGGATGATTAAGTAGCAAAGCTTTAGTGATTTGAAAGACTGTTCCCTTCACAATGAATAGGAATGTGATCTAAAAACTTATTTCTAAATATTTTATAGAGTCGAACACAGTTTATAGACTTAGCACTATGACTTCTAAATTGGCTTAAGATTTCATCGTCCCCAAAACACTCCTTGCACCCTAGAATTGAGATCGGATGAATGTTCTTATTGTACTATCTGAACAACTGCACTTCTCCATCCACAATGATATAGACTGCATCAACAGGATCCCCTTATTGATATATCAATTAATTCGGGATGAAGTTTATTTCACTGATATCGCATAGCAATTGTCTCAATGTCTTAGCTGACCATTTGCTAAACATGGGAACTGTTGATAACAATGCGAATTTCTCCGCATCTTACTTTCGAGATTAGAGATCTATAATTGATATCTCCAATTACCTTTAATTCTTCTATAAACATCCCTCTTTATCACTATTAGATGAGACTTCTCCAGAGGCAATATAGTTTGAGTATGAGACTGATCGAACATCATCACTTATTCTCCAAAGTGCTACCCTGGGTACAGGTAACCTTAAGGAGTCAAATCCGAGAATCTCTGAGTCAGCACTTTTTGTCTACCATATAGATATATGCATCTCTTACAGTTCTGCATTCATCACAATATCCTGATAAGTAATATAACTTCTAGTCAACACCAAAAATTTCCCACTCAAAATAAAGTAAAACTTTGTGCTCATATCACCTATGTTAACCTAAGGCTCATAAGGTATGTGGCATTCATATTGAAGTTCTCTCAATATTTATTAATATTGAGTTTCTCCTACTTATTTTCTTAAATCATGAAAAAATGGCACATCCTTCAGACATACATCAATAAACTCAAGATCAAACTTTGTTTTGAACATCGATCTCTTGTTTATTGATTGTATCAATTGATAAAGATCACTCTCTCCAATAATCATAATAATTAATTCATTTATTCATATAACAATATTATATTCATATTCCCATCTATACAGCAACTTCCTATCCCCATTCATTTCCTGATTGTTCTTCGGATCATGAACATACTATTGAATCCTTACAATCTGTCTTTAATATTTAACTAACAAGAATAATCAATCAAAAATTAATGGATATTAATTATAATGCAAGGATTATCGATAAATCAATTATATTCAACCTTCTCTTCATCAAATCTCTTCTTCTCTCTTTCATTGAAATTTCTTAGTAACCAATACCTCCTTATTTACCTAGCTACCAAGAGCAAGATCAATAGGAGAACCAATCCTAAAACTGAATATCCAAATATCTCCATCAAATTGAGGTCCTCTTAATTACTAACCCTTAAAATAAAATGATTTCTATACTCTCCTTCATCTATTATTTTAATTTGCAATTTTATTGTCTCATTAATTGACTAGAAATCAAAGTTTTCAGCAACAAATGTTAAACGCAAAGACTCCTCTGTTTTCTTTTTGGATATTATTTGTGCCTTACAATATTATCAATTCTTACATATTAATTTACATCAAATTCTGTCAACTAAGTTTTATTTACTCTATCTCTTATTACTAACCGATTTTCTTAGCTTCTACGCACATAACTTTAAGATATCTTTTTCTCTATTTGAATAGCTTAAAAGTAAGGAACCAAGTTTGGCATCTGAATTTAATAGAATACTGCATAAACTTACTAATAGTTGGAGAAAACAATAGAGAAGATTTACTTATTTATTTAGGTCACTTCCAGAGGGAAATATCCAGGAATTGAAGAATATCTCTTAATAACTTTAATATTACGATCTGAAGTGAATTCAATTTAAAAAGTTGGACCATTGTTTGTTGTCATAAGATAATTGTTATTTGATAGATACTTAATCTATCTAAATTCTGTGTCGATAAAAAGCTTAGATTCGTTGTATTTACAGAACTCTTCTAATAAATTAATAGATGAACTCTTAAAATTAGAATCTACGATTATTAATTGATTGCTCTTTAACAAAAAGAGGGTTTTGTTAACAATAAGCACATCTTGCAGATCGGTAATCTGCTTAAAATAGGTTTAATTGAAATTTTCGTAAATAGCTATGTTGGTAGTTGAGTTTTGTTGCCCATATATTGCTATTTAGTTTTAATCAAAACTCAATTTCTAGATTTTAGTGAAGTTTGTACTTAATTTTCTAATGTCTTGAGGCGATTATTTTTTAAAGTACAATAAGTAGTTTTAGCAAATCAAAAATGCATACTATTGAGACTAAGCTAACTAATTGCATTTTTGATCTTAAACTAATTTTAAAGTTTTGCATTCTTAATTTATATCACAAAGTTATAGCAATTGAGAGTGAAACAATAAAGTCTCCTCATTTTATAAATATAAGATATCAATGATTTTATTTTCAGTTAAATAGGTTGGCATAATTTTACTTTTTGAAATTATCTACTTAAATGAAGCTTGATCTGATTCTTTGATATTGATGTTTGAAATTGGCCCATCAAAAATTTCCCATACATTTATTCTGTTTAAGGGCTTTAAGAGATTTTCCAATGTGTATGGTATCACTCTCAATGCTAATTGGGTTCCAACAACAGTAATTTCAACTTCCATCGATTCATTAAATGAGTTTGAGAACAACAATTTTTTGGATAGCAAATTAAAATATTGTTCTCTTGAAGATAGTGTAGATATGGTAAATTGCTTTTAATCTTAAAGTCCTATAGCTTTGTTATTAAAAAATAATAATTCCAACTGTGGATAACTGATAATAAAAAGCTTTTAACTTACTGCCTATGTTATTATTCTTAAGACAGAATTAGATAGAGCTTAATGTTATGCGAAAGTGAATTAAATTATGTGAGTTGAATTGGTTATATAGAGATACTTATCCGTTGAATAAACTACTTTAGGTTAAGGAAGATCATATTTGACACTCCCTCTGAATTAATGTTATGAGTAAATGAATATTTCTTAATCAGCTATAACGATTAGTTAATCATCAGAATAGTTTATTGATTAAATTTATTAATTGAATTTTTAAATAAATACTAACTACCAGCCATAGATTGAATCCGCTATAATTTAAACTTAATGTTTATCATCCAAAATGTAGAGTTCATCAATACCAAATGAGACTTGAATGATATTTTCATTTATAAATAATTTAGCCTCTAAATCATAAATTTCATATGACAATCTAAAGATTTCTATCCATTATTTGCTTTACTTTTTCTTGACCAGTATTAAATATTCTTAGCCTAAAAAGTATTTAACTAAGTCTTCATTCTCAATATACAAATTGTCATCGATAAATATGTGTAAACCTGGTGTATCTTCAGTACAATATGCAACGACAAATTAATCAGTCAATTAATCGTAAATTGTTGAAAAATTATTGATAGGTGATTTGACTCTCGTGAAGATATAAGAATCTATACAATGATAATCAATATTTAACTGATTAAATTGGCAGATATCAGCATAAATAGTTTAATCTTCCAAGAAAAAGAAAACAATTTTGTCATACTAATACTTAATCACAGATATTAAGTTCTCTGTATTTAAATATTGAGTATTTAGGTTTTTTACAAGAAATCCAGAATCTATTCCATCTCCCCCTACAATTAAATCTTGACCAACAACATATTCATTATAATAAAAGGTTTGGGTTTACGGTTTCTGTAACTGGGTATTTGGAGATTAAAAAGGCTTTAAGGCTTTTAATCCATAATCTAGAACTATGAATTCTAATTCTCCAATTTTAAAATTACCTGTTGTATTTCTTGCTGAAATTACACTCAAATCAAGTAATTAGATTACATAAACATTGTTATTCCTGACAGTAATAAGGTGATCATCATAGTTTAAAGGGTAAATCTTATTGGAAGAAGAATAAATCTAGGAATGATACTTAATGTTATAGGCGATATTGTTGTCAATGATCATGAACTTTCTTGTTTAAGTGAGGGATGATGAATTAGGTTGATTAAATTCAAGTAAATAACCCATTTGATCAATTTATTTCAGTTTTTCGCATTAAGCAAATATGTAGTCTTCGAAAATTGCAAAAGTTTTGATAATTTGAGTACATTCAAAAGAGATAGTTTCGATGTCATTTTAATCATTAATATTTATGATTATGATATTTTATAACTATGCTAAGTAGAGATATAAATCAGTAACCAAAAAGGCTTAAGCTTCATGTTGTTACTAACTTATAAGTTCAAAATTGAAATCAAAATAAAAGATTTAATTTTGTGTAATAGTAATAAATCCATTTAAATGAGATTAAAAATAAATGGTATTCTGCAATTCTGAGTGGTTTAATGTTATTGAGGTTCCATTTTGAAATTGATAATGCTAACCACAGGCCAAAACATACTGGACTTAATCAAAAGCAATTGAATTACAGGAATTGATATTTTTAGGGTTTTACCTATTTATAGTGAATAGTTTTAATTGCTATTAATTTTCAATGATATGTACCAGCTTATCATAGACAAGGGAGTAGACAGTATAGGTGT